CATCTGATTTTTGATGCCTTGGCAAATGAGACAGCGTCCCTGATTCTTGAGCGTTGACAGAGATCAGAACTCCGGATTCTATCTCTCATTTGAGTGAATCGTGATACTGCAAGCATAGCTCTTTCGATTCCTCTTTGAGAGACCGGAATAGTGTTCTCGTCCTGTTTCCATAAGGCCAAGGTCTCTGAGGCATATGTTAATGCAGGAAGAACAGTGGAATCGAAGAGATGTGCTCGGAGTTGGAGGTTCTTTGTTCTCTTAGTTATTTCTTCAATGCTCTTGAAGGCATTCCAAGCCTCTCTCTTCCTCCTGCGTAACTCAGGTGCCAGGTCATTCTTTATGTTGATTTCTCGACCTAGGTATATGTAACTGTTGCATTCAGAGATGGTGGTTCCATTGAGAGTGAATGGAGCATCAGGAACAAGACTGTTTCTCATGAACATTGTCTTTGCGAGATTCAATTGTAATCCGACCTTTCCACACTCACGGTGGAAGTCGGCCAGCATTTGTGCCGCTTGGCTGATGTTTGGTATTATTAGAATGGTGTCATCAGCAAAGCGGAGGTGGTGTAGTTGCCGACCATCTATCTTCACTCCCATTCCTTCCCATTCCAGTTGTTGCATGATGTTCTCGAGGGTGAAGAGTTTTGGTGAAATGGTATCACCCTGCTGAACCCATCTCTTGACATGGATGATTACTTGTTTGTAGAATGGTGAGATCCTGGTAGTGAATCCGTAATACAGCTCACGGAGGATCCTGATGTATTGAGTTTGAATGCCCTGATTAGCTAGGCCTTCTATGACCGCTTCCATCTCAACAGAATCAAAGGCCTTTTTAAAATCAATGAATGTTAGACAAAGCGGCATCTTGAACTCCTGAGAAACCTCAATGATCTTGGTTTTCGTGTGGATATGGTCGATGGTGCTGAATCCTTTTTGGAACCCGGCTTGTTCGCATGGTTGTCCTTCATCTAGTGTTCTGCCAATCCTATTCAGGATGACTCAAGTGAACAGTTTGTAGATGACAGACAATAGACAGATTGGGCGATAGTTGCTAATGTCGTGGATGTCTCCCTTCTTGTATAGTAGTACAGTCCTGCTGGTTTTCTATTGGGATGGAACCTTGCATTCAGACAGGTAGTGTGTGAAGAGCCGAGCCAGTGTATTGATGAGTACTGATGGTAAGTTCTTCACGTGTTCAGGTCTGACCTTGTCTGGGCCAGGTGCTCTTTGTTTCTTTACCGACGAGATGGCGTGTTGGATTTCAGAAGGGAGAACATTGGGAATAACATATCCATCCTGCGGAATTTGGTATGTGGGCAAGTGGATGTGGCTATTAAAGAGATCTGAGTAGAAGTCATGAATAATCTTCTCCATTGCCCTTCTGGAAGATGTGATAGATCCATCAGGATGTTGTAGGGCAGTCATCTTGGTCTTGTAGTTGGTGAAGGACAGGCAGGCATTACGAATGCTTTTCCCGGCTTCTGCTGCTTCTACCAGCACTGCTGCTCTCCTGTCTTTGAGGGCATCCTTGATCACTTCTCTGCACTGTTTTGCCAGCTCGGACGTTCGCTTGTCGTTGCCTGAGGCTTGTGCCAAGCCATGTTGGCGAATAAGGTCAAGAGTGGTCAAAGAAAGGCGTTTTTTTTTTTTTGTGGCTATCTCTATCCTGGCATTCTTCGCACAATCATGGAGGTGCTGAAGCATTCAATCGTATTCCTTGTTAATGTTGTCAATGACAGCATCTTCCCATGTTGCCGCAACAGAGCCCAAGAGCTCCCAGTTGGTGGTCGTTCTGGGAGTTCTCTTCTTAAACTTTGCATTCTTTTCTCCCCGTTCTGTGATGTAGAATTTTGCACGAAGGAGGCGGTGGTCCGATCCCATTTGGAATTTTTATCAACTTAGTTTTTTTAAATCAAATCTCATATGTGAATATATGTATGTATATTCTTTCACACTTATTTGTGTACCTCTGTCAGCAGACATATAAAATGTCATAGAATAGGTGCTGGAGCAATAGCATAGTGAGATAGTACAGTGAGTAAGCCTTGCGCATGGCTGACCCAGGTTTTATTCCCTGCATCCCAGATAAGCCCCAAGAACTGCCAGGAGTAATTCCTTAGTGCAGATCCAGGAGTGACCTATCAAAAACAAACAAATAAATACATAAATAAATGTCAGAGAACAAACTTAGAGAAGTTTAAAGAAGGAGTTCGTGGCAATCACAATGCAAAATTAGATGCAAAACTAGAGAATCTCATCCTCTCATACTGTTGTAAAGGAGCTTGCTTAATCAATCATGTGAAACCATCTTTAGGTGAGAAAGCAAGGAGATTTAATTAATTAACATTTAGGTAGATTGCAACTAGGTAATCACCTGAAATTGTGGTCAGGAGCAAGAGCATAGAGGCATAGAGAGTTTTTTATAAATAAATTTATAGCAACATATCACAACACTTGTGGAACAAAAAGGAGGAGAACTAAAGAAAGGAGTGTCTTTTTTTCCCCTTCTTGTTTTTGGGCCACAACATGCATTGCTCAGGGGTTACTCCTTGCTTTGCACTCAGGAATTCATCTTGGAGGGCTTGGGGGACCATATGGGATGCCAAGAACCGAAACCCAGTCAGTCATGTGTAAGGAAAATGCCCTACCTGCTGAAACATTGCTCAGGTCCCAAGAATAGAGTTGTGGATTTTTTTAGATTTGGGGTCACACCTGGCAATGCTCAGGGGTCATTCCTGGCTCTGCACTCAGGAATAATTCCTGGCAGTTCTTGGGGGACCATATGAGATTTCAGGGATTAAACCAGGCGTTTGCAAGGCAAGCACCTTATCCTCTGTACTATCTATTCAGCACCCCCAAGAATGGAATTTCTTCACTGGGTACTTTTCCAGAATTCACCTTGCATGATGGGTACGTGTGTGTGGGGGTAGGAATTTTGTGTTTAGTACATCCCATCCTAGGTTCCACATAGACATTTATTAATTTACTACTTGTTTTGGAAGGCTTCATTCCCTTTCCTGCCTAGATAACAGATTGGTTTATTCTGAATAAACCTTCTCCTCTATTCTGAATAATAACTTATGATTTATGCCACACACATCTTGCCCGGTTCCCAGAATGGGCCACTCTGAGGTCCTTATTCTTTGTTACCTGCTTGGCAACCTGTTTATGCATCTAACTTTCCTAACTGCACTGCCAGGGTGATGGATTTAGGTCAACAATGCATCAAACATTCCCTAAGCAAAAAGTAACAATATTAAAAGAGGACATGAAGATTAAAAACTGCAATTTTGACTCTTATCATATCAATATATCCTGTACTCTCTCCTGCCCCTTCCTGGAGGGCTTGCTCACCAGGAAAGACTAGACTACAGGGATGGGACCCCACCCTGGTTCCCACAAAGATCTGGGGACCACGCTGCCCCACTAGGAAGCCTCTAGGGTGATATCCTGCTGTCTCAGGGCAGAGTTCTTCTTCCTCACGCAGCCCTTACTTGGGAAGGCAGTGCACTGCGGCAGGAGCTCTTCACCTCCAGGAGGCCCTTCCTAACAGAGGGTGCTGCAGACCTGACATGCGTGGAGGGGAAGAAGGGGAGTCTAGGCACAGTTACCTTGTAGATGAGGGCCAGAACAGGGGAAGCCCGGGGAAGCAGAGAGAAACGGACTCTTTCCAGGTTCCTCCACTTTTGATAACACCTTTCCTAGTCCATATTATCATTGTTTAAATAGTTTGTGACTGGGGCTGAAGTGGTAGGACAGCAGGGAAGGCATTTGCCTTGCATGCAGCCAACCTGGGACTGATCTCATATGTTTCCACAAGTACCTCCAGGAGTGATCACTGAGTGCAGAGCCAGGAGTAACCCCTGAGGATCTTTGAGTGTGACCCCAAAAGCAAAAATAAAGAAAGAAAAGGGGGACCAGAGCGATAGTACAGCGGATAGGGCATTTGCCTTGCACATACCCAGGTTTGATTCCCTGCATCTCATGTGGTCCCCCGTGCACCACCAGAAGTGATTCCTGAGTGCAAAGCCTGGAGTAATTCTTTTTTTTTTTCCTTCCTTTTTTGGGTCACACCCGGCAATGCTCAGGAGTTACTCCTGGCTCTGCACTCAGGAATCACTCCTGGTGGTGCTAGGGGGAACATATGGGATTCTGGGAATCAAACCCTGGTTGGCTGCGTGCAAGGCAAACGCCCTGCCCGCCCTGCCCGCTGTGCTATCATTCCAGCCCTTGGCCGGTGTTACACAAAAAGCACACACACACAAAAAAAAAGCATGTGGGGGGGGGGTGCGCGGTGGGGGGTGATGGAAGGTAAGCTGGGTGGGAACACTGGTGCTGGGAAATGTACACTGGGTGGAGGGATGGGTGTTGGAACACTGTAAGAGTGAAACCTAATCATGAAAGCTTAGTAAGGGTCTATCTCACAGTGATTCAGTAAAGAAGTAAAAAAAAAAAATTAGTTCTTAACAGTATTTATTTTGTATACATATTATACATAATATATCAAGAATACTGCAAGGGCTATGCACGTCACACTTGAAACCAAGATTCCATAGGTCTCTGCATAGGTCCGGAAGAGGAATCGGTAGCTCGGAGAGAATTTGCTCTTTTCAGCTCTTTGCACGCTGACACAGAGGCCGGCGGCTCGGTGGCCGTCTACGCTCCAGCGCATTCCCCCTCCAGGGTCTCGTCCCACTGTCTCCCAGCGCCGGTGGTGGTGCCGGGATCTTCCAACCGAGCGGGACCCCGCCCCAGCCCCAAGCCATCTCTCCCTTGGAATTCCCGCGCTCTGCGGAACAGACCCGCCTTGAGGAACACCCGGCGTTTCCGGGGCGGCAGAGTGGGCGTGGGCTCCAGTAGCCCCGCCCCCGCCCCGCCCCCGCCGCGCCGTCGCGGGCTGATGACGCAGGGCGCCGCGTGCTCGCTCCCTCCCCCCGCACGTGTGCCGCTGCTTTCGCGGTGTTCGCCGGGCGCCGGCGGCGGCGGTCGCTTTCCTCGGGGGCGGGGGGCGTCGTCCGTGGCAGCTCCGGCGCGGGGAGCTCGGTGGCCGCGTGGGGGCTTCTGCGTGCGGAGCTGCGCGGGGCTGTGGCCTCCGGGTCGGAGGGGCCCGTGGCCATGGAGCACCTTTCCCTGGAGGTGGCGGCTGCGCCGCTGCGGCTCATCGCCGCCAAGAACGAGAAGAGCCGCAGCGAGCTGGGCAGGTTTTTGGCCAAGCAGGTGAGAGGCGGGAGGGCCGGGGACAGCCCGGCGGCCCCCTGGCCGGCGCCCGCGACCCTGGCTGGGGACAGCTGCCGTGCTTCTGTCGCTCTGGCCGGGTCCTCGGGGCAGCTCAGGTGATGGGGGCGTCCGCGCTGGTTTGCAGAGATGGAAAGTGTAGCAACCTCTTTTTTTTTTTTCCTTCACTTTCTCCCTCCTTAGTGGGGGGCAGTTCCTCTCCCCCACCCACTTAAACACTTACCAACTCTACCCGGCCATTAATAAATAAATAAATATTTTAAATTTTTTTCCAAAATGTCATGCAAGTTGCCTGCCTGTTTCCTGTGACGTGTGTGTTGTCAGCGAAGGGAGACAGGTCTTGCCACCCAGTTGGCGGTGGTGTTTCAATTTTTTTCCTTTGCAGGCCCTACCCTTTGCTTCATCCCCTTGACAAGTCTTGTTGCCTGGCGGTGTGGGGTGACTCCCTCGGGGGAACCTAAGAAGAGAAAAAAGGCCCTTTCTTGGTGTATGCCCTCGAAGAATTTAGCCTCCAGATTTGGAGGCTTCTCATCAGTACCCCAAACCCACTGATGGATCACAGGCTACCTCCGGCTCTACCGTAGTAATCATGTGAATTATCAGGGCAGTTCAAATTTGCTGGCAAGTGGGGTCTTTCACTACTAAGAGAAGTATGGACTCACCTGTCCTTCTATTTTTCTTATTTTTAAAGTGTTTTTGATTTTTGCTTTCGTTTTTGTGTTACACCTAGTGGTGCTTAGGGCTTAAAACCTGTCTCAGCGCTCTGGGATCACTCCAGGCGGGCTTGGGGGAGCCTGTGGTGCTGGGGATCCAACCCAGTTTGTCATGTGCAAGGCACCCACTGTACTATTATTAGTTAGGTCCTATGAGTTCAAGAACCTATTGCAATGTTACACATTTTTATTCCTTGCCCCCCACTATTCATGAACTTCATGAAAATAGAAAGTGGTTTTATGTGTTCTGTTTTTGGGCCACACCTGGCGATGCCCGGGCTTACTTCTGGCTTTGCACTCAGGGATCTCTCCTGGTGGTGCTTCAGAACCATACAGGGTGCTGGAGATCAGACCTGTTAGGGCATTTGCAAGGCAAACTCTCGTTCTGGCTCCGAGAGTAGAGTATGTTTTATGTTTTTCAATTACTAAAACTGTTAAATTATGTATCTGTGGATGCAGAGTGAGTAGTACTTGGGGTCTGGAGAGACAGGAAACTAACATTCTGTTTGATAACAGCAAATTGAATTTAAGAAGCAACAGGTGAGAGTAGGAGTGGCACTCAGGGTATTCTGGCTTGTGAATGCCACAGAGGGAATCAGGAACCCAGATGGAAGGCATAGGAAGAAATCTGCCTTTTGGTGGGTGAAACTCGGAAAGGGAATTGATTTGAGCGAGCTGGACTAGTGCCAGATTACTGAATTACACTGCTGGAGATGTTTTTCTTGACTTCAAAAGAGGTTCTAAGGATCCTGGGCCTGTTAAAGGGAACTTGTAACATACCCCACTACTGTAATTTGATGTGAAAAGGGTATTTAAATATTGGGAATGGTTGAGGAAGTGGTTTGTAGCCCTTATCACATACGCTTTTTCAGAATTTGATCTGCATAAATCTGAGGAACAGATAGTGTGATTAGTGTTTGTAATGAATAGTTCTAGATGTAAGTTGAATTAATGAGATAGGGACTCTTGGACATCTCTTTGCCTTCAGTTCTCTCTAGTCTCAGTGATGTCTGTTTTCACAGAGGAGTTGGTCGAGCTGCCATTCTCTTTCTCCTATCTGTGGAAACAGGGCTTTTTATGCTGGAAAATCAAAGACTTTGAAATATTCTCACTGTTGTTGGGGGTTTGTAGGAGGATTTCCCCCCCCCCCCACGCCTCCCTCACCCAATTCAGTAAAGACTTAATTTAGGGAAAGGCAAAGGAGGGGAAAGTAAGCCAAGGAAGCTCCTAGATTTTGGGAGGGGTCTCCTAAATCAGGATTCCCTGTAAACAAGTTTTAGGAATGTGCTTTAGGATTCTTTATCTGAACTGATGAGATTATACTTTCTCTACCCAGGCACTAATTATACCCAGCAGTCCAAACTCCTTTCACCTGTGTGTGTGTGTTTGCGTGTGGATTGTTTTTTGTTTGGGGGCCATACCCAGTTGTGCTTAGGGCTTACACCTTGCAGGGCTCAGGGGACCAGATGGGGTACCAGGGATTTAGCTGCAAATGCTCTGCCTGCTGTACTATGGCTCTGGCCCCTCTATTTAAAAATTTTTTTCCTTTAATTGGTTTTTTGGGGTCATACTCATTAGTACTCAGGGCTTACTCCTGGCTCACATAGAGTACAGGGGATCAGACCTGGAACAGCTCATACAAGGCCCACTCCTTGCTCCTTACCATCTCTCCGACTCCTCCACTCATTCATTCTATTCCTAGTTCATCCTTATTGCTTCTGTCATCCTAGAATTTTTACTTCAAGTGTGTGTGTGATTTTTCTAGCACCACCACATGGTTTTTGGACTGGTTTGACTTACTTTCTTCCAACTTCAGTTTGACACTACTTGACAGTAGCTTCAGATCTTATACTTTAAGGGCTTTCAGGCTGCCTTCACCTATTACTCCTCCCTCCCCCTCCCCCCATGGAAAATGACTTAGTAGATTGCTTGTTTGTTGTCAAAAAAAGATCCAGTTTTGGAGCAGTTATAGGAAAGAGTCCTCCCAGACAGAGCACGGAAGGTTGTACAGGGATGCGGAGTGCGGCATTGAGCTTCATACCTTCTCCCAGCACAAATCTTCCTTCATCTCCACTTGTGCACCAGCACCAATGAGGAATTTTGATTTGTATCTCTAGTCTTTTATGTTGGGGAAGCGGGCAGGGGGCGTGGCTGGGCCACCCAGTTTGCTCTCACTATTCTGACTCTACTCAGGTGTGACCCCTTTTAACCTTTGTGTTATCTGGGTTGTTACCTTTTTTTGGGGGAGGGTTGGGGGTCTTTTTCAGTCATACCTGGCGATGCTCAGGGGTTACTTCTGGCTCTGTCCTCAGAAATTCCTCCTAGAAGTGCTCGGGAGACCATATGTGGAATGCTGGGGATCTAACCTGGGTCGGCTGTGTGCAAGGCAAATGCCGTATTCATGGTACTATACCTCCGGCCCCCAGGATGCATGGTATATAGGTTTCGTCTAGCTGCTTGCTCTGTAACCAGTTCTTGGCCAACTGGGTGGCAGGATGCCGTGGTACTTTCTCGCCCTTCGGTGTTGTGCTTGGGGCGAGGATTCTCCTATACCCATAAAGGAGTGTCTGTGAGGTGGCAGGGATTGACCCAGAGTTCTGTCAGACCTGGGGTGGGCCGAGTGTCACGCATGCAACCTAACCCCCGTGCTCTTTTTGGCCTCTCTATAAAAACAAAGTTCTTTTGGGCTGTGTGCACAGTTCTGGATTTGCCGGAGCAGAGGGTTTGCTGGCCCCTTTGGTAGTTTATTCTTGCAGACACGTGTTGTATGGCAGCAAGGACTATTCAGACCTGCATACACACCAGCAGCAGGAGATCTTTGAATTTTTCTCTCCCTGTTGTGCTTACTGACATTCCTAGCCCCTGCCGGTCAGTTTCCTCTTGTATTTTAGTGTGCTGTGACTCCTTTGGTCTGCTTTATTTACTAGAGATGGAAGCCTTTGTAGTCTTGCTATCTCTCCAGCGGTGTTTTTAATCTCATGAGACTTGAATGATGAAGGTCCTCAAGTCTGGTAGTTAAATGGGAGGAAAAATAGCCACTAACAGCTTCTAAATGTTGAAAAGTAATTCTAGTCCTTGATTGTCCTGCCCCTGGGTTTTGTTAGACAGACTTAATCACTTAATCACTTAACTTCCTGTTAGTCGTTGATTTGCTCGAGCGGGCGCCAGTAACGTCTCCATTTGTTCCTGTCGCGTGCTAGTGTAGCCCAATGGCATCTGTTCACTCCGGGAACATGAAGGGCCTCAAACCGATCGTTCATGATCTTGACGAAGAAGTCTGACCATCTGGAAGGTGGGCGGCCACGCGGTCTTTTGACATCCCGTGGAATCCAGTCGGTAACAGCTCTAGTCCAGAGGTCGTCTTTAAATCTCATTACGTGACCAGCCCACGTTAGACAGACGTTAGACCACCAGCTGGTCACGTTAGACAGACTCCCATATGAAATCTGGACAATAGATTGTTTTGATTCTTAACAAGGCTTCTGTGCTCTGTTCACACAGATTCTGTTTTGCCTCTCTCTCTCAGGTGTGGACACCTCAGGATCGCCAGAGCATCCTCAGTGTCTTGGCGCAGTTACTTCTGGATAAGGACTGCACTGTGCTGGTGGCCCGCCAGCTGCGCCCCCTCCTTTTGGATTTGCTGGAACGGAATGCGGAAGCCATCAAAGCTGGTGGCCAGGTCAATCACGACCTACACGAACGGCTGTGTGTGTCCATGAGCAAACTCCTTGGCAGCCATCCTGATGTCCTCCCGTGAGTAAAGAACCGCCCTTGCCTGGAAAAGGGGGGCTTTTTGTATATGAAAACAACAAAAATAGGCTTTTGCTCTCACATACTCGCTGATGTCTCTGGGGATCCCAGGCTCTCTTGTGTGACGTGTGAAGCTAGAGGGCAGAGGGAGCTTTGCCACTTCTTGAGACTCCCCTTAGGGCAGGTAGTTTGGGTTTTCCTGAAATGGGTGGAGAATCGCTCACTGCCTGCTTCCTCTTCTGGACATCCCAGAGCTTTGGGTGGGAGGGGCATGGACACCCCCAAGCTTTGACTTGGGCTGGGCCAAATGCCACAGTGGGTGTTAAGTGATTGACCTTCTCTCTGGTGAGTGGCTGTGGGGGTTGCTGGGGGAAGAGGCTGAGGTAGGGGAACTAGAGCCAGTGGTGCCTGCCAGCCTGGCCCTGGCTTCCCTGCGGCTCTTCCACCAGCCCCACAGGGACAGCAGCACCCTCACCAATGTGTCCCCCTGCTCGGTCCCCTGGTTTTTCTAGCAGTAGTTCAGAAGCCTTGTCTGTGAATTGTTGTATGGACAGGCAGTGAGGTCTTCCACCAAGTTCTCACCCCAAGTGTGGTGTTCAGCTGGTATTCGTATATTTAGGCATATTATACATGTTATTCAATCTTCACAAAACCATGTTGCTATCTTTTATTACTTCCATTTGATTTTATTTTGGGGGTCACACCCAGTACTGCTCAGGGGTTACTTTTGGCTCTGCACTAAGGAATCATTCCTGGCAAGCTTGGGGGACCACATGGGATGCCAGGGATTGAACCCAGGTCAGCCACGTGCAAGCTAAGTGCCTTACCCATGGTGCTCTCTCTTTATCCCCTCAGTTGGATTTAAAATCAGAGTGAGGGGCCAGAGCTATAGTACAGCAGGTAGCTCATGTTCATTTGCCTTGCACGTAACTGACTCGGGTTTGATCCCCGGCACCCCATTTGGTCCCCTGAGCACTGGCCAAGAGTAATTCCTGAATGCAGAGCCAGGAGTAATCCCTGAGCGTCGCTGGGTGTGACCCAAAAAGTTAAAAAAAAAAAAGTGAAGGGGTCAGAGTGAATACCGTGGGTAGGGTGTTTGCCTTGCAAGCAGCTGACCTGGGTTTGATCCCCAGCATCCCATCTGGTCCCCTGAGCATTGCCAAAGTAACCCCTGGGCATTGCCAGGTATGACCCAAAAAAGAAAAAGAAAAGTGAAAGTCAAGGTGTGAGACGTGAGATAGGTAAAATAGGAATATGGGCTGGAGAGAGAGTGCAGGGGTTAAGGTGGTTGCCTTGCATGCAACCGACCTGGGTTTGATCCCCAGCACATACGGGCTCTAAGCCGTCTCGAGGCATCCCTGAGCATTGTCGTATATCCCCAAAACAAAAAGCAAGAAAGGAATTTGGGGCTGGAGCAGAGTACAGGGTTTAAGATACTTGCCTTTGCATGGGGGAGGGTGGGGGTGCACACCACACCATACCACCACCACCACAGTGGCCCCTGGGCCCAGTCAGGTGTGACCCACACCTCTCCAAGAGCTTTGACTTAGAAGGAACAAGGGTTATTTATTCTTAGTAATTTTTAATTATTTAGGGGAGGAAGTAAGGGAGGGAGGGAAGGAATAAAAAAAAAACACAAACCAAAAAAGGAACTGTTATTTACAAAATTATTGATAGTTGAATTTTCAGCATATTTTATTTTTGGTAATATTTTAATATGAATCCCATCACCAGTGTCAACTTTCCTCCACCAGTGTTTCCATATTTTGCACCCCTTCCCCCCCCCCCCCCCACCCTAACCTGCCTTTCACCTTGACAGGCACATTACAAAGTTCAGGTGGTTATAGTGTAGATCTCAGGTTTTTGGTATTGTTGACCTGTGTTCCAGAGATACAGGTATACCATTCGCCCACATCACAGTATAACTGAAGCCCCGATCCCCGTCCGCCCATTACTTCCCTTTCTTTTTCTTCCTGCATTTGATTTCTCTCCTTTTCCTCTCAACTCTCTGGTCGGGATGGTGTAGGCATCTCACCTTTACTAGAATACATACATTTCCTCATTCAGTTATTCTATGTATCGGGCAAAGGTTTTTCTCTGTTTGGCAGAGAATGAATGGACTTTTATCACTTGGAGAGGGGTTGGGAAATAGGGCCTTGGCTCTCCCCATGCTTTGGGAAATCTTTAAGACTTTTTGGTCCTGGCACCCCAGGGCCATTTCCCCCATCTTCACTTTTCCCAGGAGCTTGGTTCTTCCCTGAGTTCTCTCCAACCTCTTCATTTGCTGCTTTTATGTCTGTTTCTTCAGTGTCTCTCTTCTGTGCTTCCTCAGCTTGAATTGCCTCCCCCTTAAGTACCCATGAGAGGAAATAAAAGAATTTGCAAAGTTAGGGGCCAGAGCGATAGTATAGCAGGTGGCAGAGGTTTGTCTTGCATGCAGCCAACTTGGGTTTTATTCCCAAATACTCCCCCAAGTCTGGCAGGAGTAATCTCTGAACACAGAGCCAGGAGTCAGTCCTGAAACTACTGGGTGTGGCCCCCCCCCAAATTAAAAAAAAAAAATCTGGGCCGTTAAAATGGAGAGGGGAAGAGCTGGAGAGAGTACAGTGGGTCAGGCACTTGCCTTGCATGCGCCTGATGCAGATTCAATGTCTGGCACCCTACATTGCCCTGTAGCCTCGCCAGGAATGAGCCTTGAGCCAGAAGTAAGTCACGACCACTGCCAGGTGTGGTCCAAAATGAAACAGCCAAAAAAAAATTCATTTTTGTTTTTTGCCTTTTTGGGTGACACCTGGCGATGCACAAGGGTTACTTCTGGCTTTGCACTCAGGAATCACTCCTGGTGGTGCTCGGGGGAACCATATGGGATGCTGGGAATCGAACCCAGGTCAACCGCGTGCAAGGCAAACGCCCTACCAGCTGTGCTATTGCTCTAGCCCCTCATTAGTATCACTGCGGTCCCTCTTTTACTAAATTTTAGTAGTGTTTTACAGACTAGTATGAGCCTTTCACCTCTTTTTTTGGGGGGGAGGTGGTCATACCTGGCAATATTTGGTTTACTCATGGCTCTGTATTTAGGAAGCTGGGAATTGATCCTGGGTTGATTTGGGTACAAGCGCCCTACTTGCTTTACTATCACTCTGGTTCCTTTCACCTCTTTTGTTAAGTTGATTTCCTAAGGTACTTGATTTGTAGAGACAATGTTGTGAATAGTATTGTTTTTTTAATTTGTGTTTCTTCTATTTCATTATTTGCATATAGGAAAGCCGTGGTTTTCTGCATGTTGATTTTTTTTTTCCTTTTTGGATCACACCTGGCTCTGCACTCAGGAATCACCCCTGGCAGTGCTCAGGGGACCATATGGGATGCTGGGAATCGAACTTAGGTTGGCCGCCGGCAAGGCAAATGCCCTACCCGCTGTGCTATTGCTCCAGCCCCTGCATGTTGATTTTTTAGCTTGCTGCTTTACTGTATACAAGTCTGTTGTTTCTAGAGGGTTTTTTGAATGCGTTTTTAAGGGTTTTCTAAGTATGGTATCATGTCATTTGCAGATAGTGAGTTTGACTTCTTTTTTAATGTTGGGTGCCCTTAGTATCTCTCTCTCTCCTCATTGCTATGGCTTCCAGTACTATACTGAATAGTAGTTGCAAGAGTGGGCAGCCTTGTGACTGATCTTGGAGGGAAGGCTTTCAGTTTTTCCCCATTAAGCACGATGTTTTATTGTGGATTTGTGTTAAGGGAATTTAAGCATGTCAGGAAAGTTCCTTCAGTCTCACTGCATGATTTTTCAATCGTGAACACTTCGCATTTAAGCACTTACAGGTAAGTAAGTAAGTACATCTTGGATTTTTGTTCCTCTCTTAGTCCGGGGCCTCATGCCCAGTTCCCAGTTTCTGAATCTGAAGTGCCGAGAGTATCAAAAGATCCAATGTTACAGTGACTTAGATTTTTGTTTTCAGACTCTTGTGAATTCCTGTTATCATCTGTGTTCCTGTCTTGTCTTTTCAGTTTTGGGGCCACGGTGGTTTTTGGATGGTGCTGGGGGCGGGGTGGGTCACTCCTGGTAGTCCTCTAGGACCATGCCGTGCCAGGGACAGATTCTGGCCCCACATTGACGAGCAGTCTCCTTGGCCCTGTCTTGTGATGGGAGACGTGTCCTTCTGAGTCTTCCCCTCAGGATATCGTGCCCTCTCTTTCTGAAGGTTTGCCCTGAGATACTTCAAGGACTCCTCCCCAGTTTTCCAGAGACTCTTCCTGGAGAGCTCCGACGCGAATCCCGTCCGCTATGGGCGCAGGCGGATGAAGCTGCGCGACCTGATGGAAGCGGCCTACAGGTTCCTGCAGGAGGAGCAGGCGGTGTTCCGCGAGCTCTGGGACTGGAGCGTGTGTGTGCCGCTGCTTCGCAGCCACGACACTCTGGTCCGCTGGTACGTAGCTGCTGGGCTGTATCTTCTCATTTCCTGTATAGAGAGGAAAAGGGAGCCCACTTAAAACTGGTTTTTTTTTTGTTCTGCGGCCTTTTGGGTTAGTATCCTCCAGTTACTGGTCACTTGTGAGGAGAATGAGGTGATACAGTGGTATAGAAGTGGAGTGTGTGTGTGTGTCTGTCCGTCTGTGTGTGTGTCTGTGTGTCCATGTGTCTGTCCACCCGCATGTGAGGAAAATGAGGTTATATAGTGATATAGAAGGGGAGTGTGTGTGTGTGTCCGTGTGTCCGTGTCCATCTGCTTCATGTATATTATGTGAGGTGAATTACTTGTGACTTGTCTTATGACATTACATAAATTCTCTAAGGTTTCCTTTCCTCATACTCAGTTGGCCACTGCATTTTCTTCAGAGGTCAGCTGAGCATATCCTTTTTCCTCCAGGTACACAGCCAATTGTCTGGCTTTGGTCACGTCTATGAACGAGGAGCACAAATTATCATTCCTGAAGAAGATATTTAGTAATGAGGAACTGATCCACTTCAGATTGAGGTAAGCAGGACCATTCCTGGCGTCCCTGATGTGGCTCGAGTGAACATTCAGGTCAGTGATGAGCTGCTCGTTTCCGTCAGATTGCTGGAAGAGGCCCAGCTTCAGGACTTGGAAAAGGCCTTGGTCCTGGCCAATCCAGAGACCTCCCTTTGGCACAAGGAGAAGGAGCTGAAGTACGCGCAGGGACACATCGTTTCTGCGGACCTGTCCTCCAGAGTGACAGCCGTCTGTGGTGTGCTGTTGCCGGGCCAGTCGCCGGCCCCTGGAGACCTGGTATGTTGGCCCCAGAAAGTTGCTGGCCTTCCTCCCACCCCACCACAGAGTAGGATATTTTTCTTGGCTGGGCTCTGTTAGGGCTGAAAATCAGAGTGGGTTTGCCAAATCACAGAAGTGTTCAGAAGAGGAATTCACCCAGGCCCCTCTTAACCCATACTTCTTAGAAGCTCTTCAAACGCTCTTCACTTTTAACAAAGCTCTTTCATCCATTTATGTTTATCTTTCTTATTTATGTGTTGTGCTGTCTTTTGTGAGGTTGTGGGGTGCATCCTGTGATAGCACATTTATGGAAGACAAAGGGTGAATGGCTTTTCCTGGAGACCCAGCATCAGTCCAGTTAAAATGCGAGTAGTCTTTTGTATGGGAAACTGGTGTCTGTTGAGAACTTTCTCTGTCATGTGAAATGACCTTTTCCCCCCTCAAAGAATGTGGCACCAGACCGCACTTTGGATAGACTTAGAGCTCAAAATCAGGAGCCATGGGGAACCAGCCTGCTTCTCTGCAGCAGTGGTTTTCACTGGTTACTGTGAGATTAGATTCATCTGGGGCCTTCCTGGAGTTAGGTCCTGGGGTCTTTCTTTTTGTTTTTCGGGCCACACCTGGCAGTACTCAGGGCTCACTTCTGGCAGGACACAGGGGACCATATGTGATGCCTGGATCAAACCCATGTTGGCTGCGTGCAAGGGAAACACCCTACCCACTGTGCTATTGCTCTCGCCGCCTGAGTCATTTCTTGAACCTTCAGATTGCCATTACAACTGAAAACAACTAGAGTGTGATGTACTACATATAGGAAAGCACGCATTCTGAATATGTAGCTCAGAGACTTCATAAACTGACTCTGTATGTAATTAGCAAGAAACCTGAACTTCAAACCCCCTAGTGTATTTCTTTCATCACAAGGATCCTCTTGCACCATTCTCCTAAGAGTAAGAGAAATTTGGGATTAGCATTTTAGAACAGGGGAGGATTCTGGTTTTGGGGAGCTTGATGTTGAATCGTAGTGACTGGGGCTCTCAGGTGAAAGTGCCGAGTGTGCAGTGACGCAGCCTCTCTGCCCAGTTGCAAGACTAACAACGCTGTTGTAATCTCATCTCATCTGAATATATTTTTTATTGTTTGGGTTTGCTTTTTGAATCACACCTGGTGGTACCCGGAAGAGAGAGGAGTCGCCCTGGCTGAGTGAGAGTTGCACTGGTTGAAGATTAGAGCCAGTGGGTACCTTGGGTTTGTGACATGGGGCACTGGAATTGAACCCAGGACTCCTGTAGGCCGAGCATGTGCTCCGTCCCGCTGAGCCATTCTCAGGGCCCTGCCTTCGTTCAACTTGAGGGGACTAGCTATGCTTGAGAGTGACTGATGATGTAAAGTTAATCGTGTAGGTGTGTCTGTGTCTGTGTCTGTGTGTCTGTAGTTCATACCTTTTTTGATTTTTGGGCCACACCTGGTAATATTCAGGGGCTAGTCTTTGCTTTGTCCTTAGATGTCTGCTGACAGTGTTCAGGACACTCTGTGGTGTCAGGGATTGAACCCGGGCTTTCAGCAGGCCAGGCATAGACTCCAGCTTTTGACCTATCTCTCTGGCCTGATACTTTACTTTTCCAAAGATTATCTTCTGTATTATGGTTGGTGCATTATTTCCCCTAGGATGTGAGAGTAGTGGGGGTGGGAAGAAGGAAAGGTGGAAAGGCAGATTCTCCTTATTTTGAATAATATGTACTTTTTTTTTGGTCGGAAATGTAGGCTTTGGTTTGTCCAGTGTTTCTGCCTTGCCACAGGGAGCTTAGTATATTGGGTTACTCCCATCACAGTGCTCCCCTTCCTCTGTGTTTATTTGTAACCTCTTTCTTTGTGCTCTGCTTCCCCAACTGGTCAGTTACCTTTATCTCCTAATCAGACTCTGTTAACTTGTAAATATTGCTTTTCTCTTCTCCTTAAGTCCTTTGCATAGTTAATTCAGAGCAATGTCCCTTTTGTATAGACACAAGAAGACAGTTAATGCTATGCTTTTTGAACTTGGGAGTTAATTGACTCCTAGTGATATTCACCCCTGGGCATCTGTTCTCTCCACTTAAGCCTCAGTTGCCCTTACTTCCTAGCACCCCAAAAGCAGGGTCCCGACGAGGGACTGGATGGACCCAGGCAAGCTGTGAGCTACCCTGGCATCGAAATGGGCCAGTCCAAAGTGCCATAATGTTTAACTCTAAGTTAAGAGCATGGTCATGGACAAATTCTGTCAAGATCCGGAAAGTGTAACTAGATAGGACCCTGCTAAGGTTGGGAAAGATTCATTTGGCCTGAGCACTATAGTCTGAGATAGCAAGATGTCCCCAGGAGAGCCACCCTACAAGTTTAATGTATCTCTTTCTGTGTCCATACCAAATAATGTTAAGAAGTAGAATTAATTAAGATGTGGGGCTGGAGCAATAGCACAGCAGGTAGGGCATTTGCCTTGCACGTGGCCAACCCAGGTTCGATTCCCAACATCCCATATGGTCCCCTGAGCACCGGCAGGTGTAATTCCTGAGCGCAGAGCCAGGAGTAATCCCTGTGCGCCAGGTGTGATCCAAAAAGGAAAAAGAAAAGAAAAAAAAGACTTAATTAAGATGTTAATTAAGTTATTGGATTACGGAGAGGAAAAATACCCCTAAGTGCTATTTTGCCCTTGAGCTTGATTAGCGATTGATTAGGAAGGGCTTTTGATATGTTGATTGTGCTACTCAACAATGGGGCTTTGGTGTCTACCCCAAATGCTGGGAGTTGGAGGGAGACTAGAGAGAGCCCAGGCTTCGAGATGGAGCATGGGGAGATGAGCGTGAGAGACCGGAGGAGATGGGAATGAGGGGCAGTGTGAGACTAGAATGGGGGCTCAATGAGACTGAAACAAGCACGTGGGGAAAATGGAATAAACAACAACTGATCACCAGCCTGGCGGCCTTGTTTCCTCCTTTATCCGCCCATGTCATCAGCCGTCCCAGGTGGGGGAGCAGCCTGAGCCCACCAAACCCAGGCTTGAGGGAGAGAGCCTTCAGGGCTTTCCAGCTGCCTGGAAATTGTTCAGGGGAAAATCTCCCAAGCAGTGCTGAGGGCCACCAGGACCATCCTGGCAGTGCTTGTGGGACCATATAGTCTTGGGTGTGGAACGCAAGGCTTCCATAAGCCAAGCATATGTATCAGCCTCTTGAGTCATCTCCCCAGTCCTGGACAATATGTATGTTAGGGTTCTGGTACTGTTGATTGACTGAAGGTAGTGGTCAGTGGAAGCACCACAGAATTGAACTTGTGCTTTGGGAGGACAGAATTTTTTTTGACATGTCTATTTCTGACTTGCCTCCTTAGACGAGTACTAGGAATTCTTCACATGAACAGGAGTTCGTCTTACAATCCTACGTGCTGGTTGAGTCAGTCTGCAAAAATCTTCAGACCCTGGCCATGGCTGTTGCTTCTCAGAATGCTGTGCTGTTGGAAGGACCAATAGGATGTGGCAAAACTTCCCTAGTTGAATATTTAGCTGCAATGACAGGTAGAAGGAAGCCCCCGCAGCTTCTCAAAGTTCAGCTTGGAGATCAGACGGACAGTAAGGTAATTAAGGAATGGTAAATTTTGGTGGGTTTACATGCTCACAAAAAAAATTGTACGTTTTTGCTAGTAGCATAGGAGCATACTTTTTTCTTGTAACTGATGGGTCCAAGAATAAGACCCTCGAGTGCTTGTTATATTCCCTGTAGAAATTTAGTGAATTGGAAGAGTACAGGTGACTTCATAGGTGTGGGTTTTCTGTAATGTACTTTGTCCTCTTTCTACAGATGCTGTTAGGGATGTATCGCTGCACAGATGTCCCTGGAGAGTTTGTATGGCAGCCTGGTACCCTCACACAGGCAGCCACAAAGGGGCATTGGATCCTTCTGGAGGATATTGACTATGCCCCCTTAGACGTGGTATGCTACCTCATTAATCACTGCCTCCCAGCATTGTGCCTGTCTTTGAAGGGAATTTTGTTTTTCTAATTTCTTTAGGTTTTGGGGCCACTCCGGCTGTGTTTAGTGCGTACTCCTGGATCACCCCGGAAGTGTTCTCAGGGGACCATAATGGGTGACATGAATCCAACCTGGGTCAGCCATGTGCATGGCCTTACTCTCCAGTTGTAAAGAGAACTTTGTTACAAGTGATGTTAGGGGATGATTTAAATAACATGTTGCTGTTTGGTTTTGGGGTTAAACCCAGCCATGCTCAATGCTTACTCTGGCTCTGTGCTCAGAGATCACTCCTGGCAAAAGGAGTGATTTTACTCTCCTATCCCTCAGGGTTTAATATTTTGGGGGGAGGTTTGTGGGGATGGGCATGCAGTGCTTAGGAGGTGTTGGGGATCAAACCCAACTTGGGTGGGCCATATGCAAAGCTAGCACCCTACTTGCTTTAATCTCTCTAGCCCAACTGTGTGTGTTGGACTAAAAAGATTTTATATACATAAACGTGCATCTGTATGCTGTTATACATATGCACATATATGTATATATTACATTAAATGTGTGTGTGTGTGCGCTTGGTGATCCTGCGCATCACGTTGCAATGCTGGATATTGAGCCCCTAGTGCATGCCAAATATGTGCTCTGTTGAGTTATCTCTGCAGCCCAAACATATATTTTGGCCAGGGTGGGGGGAATGTAGGGGTCGTTTGGGGCTATGCCTGGAAGAACCTGGAGGTCTAGTCCTTTTTACTTGGGGCACCGTTTGATTTCAGGGATTGTGTGCTACGTGCAGGGTACGTTAACTCCTATACTACTTCTGTACTAACATCTATACTATTTCTCCAATCCACAAACAACATGATGCTTTTAAAAAATTATTTATGGAGGTCTCAGTTTATAAGAATATTAGTGCTGGAGCAGGAGTGTTAGTATAGTGAGCAGGACATTTGCCATACATGTGACTTACCCCGGTTTGGCTTCCAGCATCCCCTATCGTCCCCTGGTCACTGCCAGGATTGATTCCTGAGTGCAGAGTCATGAATAACCCCAGAGCATTGCCGGGTGTGACCACAAAAACATAACAAAATTTCAAAGATGTTAATGCTTATATGTTTTAGGGGTTAATGACACTGTGTTTCTCACCAAAGTACCATTGATAGTCCAGCATAGCCCCCAGTCCAAAGGACTTTTTCCTTTCACCCTTACCTTAGATGACTTCAGTTTTTGTGTCTTGCAGTTTTTTTTGGGGGGGTGGGGCATACCTGGCAGGGATTACTCCTTGTGGGGCTTAGTGTACCATATGGGGTGCCAGGGATTGAAACCAGGTCAGGCACATGTAAGTCAACTGACTTAACCCATTTTGCTCTCTCTCCTATACCTCAGGGTTTAATATTTTGGGGGAAGGTGTGGGGGGTGGGCACACCCGGCAGTGCTTAGGGCTTACCTCTGGCTCTGCATTCAGGAATCACTCCTGATGGGTACAGAGGATCATAATGGGGTGTCAGGATCAAACCTGGGTTGAACGTGTGAGACAAATGCACTTTTTTTTTTTTTTTGCTTTTTTGGTCACACCGGGTGATGAATGGGGATTACTCCTGGCTCTGCATTCAGGAATTACTACTGGTGATGCTGGTGGACCATATGGGATGCTGGGAATCGAACCCGGGTTGGCTGCGTGCAGGGCAAACACCCTACCCGCTGTGCTATTGCTACAGCCCTGACAAATGCACTATTTGTTGTACTAAATCTCTGCCCTCAGGGTTTGTTATTTTTGAACATAATTATTTAATTTTATTTTTGAGTCACACCCCACAATGCTCAGGGTACTCCTGGCTCTACACTCAGGAATCACCCTGTCGGTGCTTGGGGGACCACTCAGGATGCCAGGGATTGAACCCAGTTCAGCTGCGTGCAAGGCTGTACCAACTCACAGTATCATGGCTCTGGCCCTCTGCTTAGTTTTATTGTTATTCCCTTTTTTAAATTTACTTGCAATGAACGAGATCACCTATTTGTCTTTATCTTTCTGACGTACTGCATTTAGCATGACACTTTCCAGCTTTATCCACAAAGTAGCTATTTTGATTAGAGATATTACATGGTAGCACTGTAGCACTGTAGCACTGTAGCCCTGTCCTCTTGTTGTTCATTGATGGGCGCCAGTAACATCTCCGCTGTGAGATGTTACTGTTTTTTGGCATATCAAATATGCCATGGGGAGCTTCCCAGGCTCTGCCTGGAAGGCGGGATACTCACAGTATCTTGCCCGGCTCTCTTGAGAGGGGCCGAGGAATCAAACCCTGGTCAGCCATGTGTAAGGCAAACTCCCTGCCCGCTGTGCTATCGCTCCATTGCATGGTAGAAGTCATTATCTTTAGTTTTCTGGGACTAGGACGTTTTCCCCTCTTTGGAGGTGGGGCACAACTGTTAGTGCTTGGTGCATCATGCTTTTCTGGCATCAACTCTGGGGCTCCAGCAGGCAGTGCACTTGTTCCAACCCAGCTATCTCCCTGGTTCTGAACTCCATTTTCTCATTTATTTCTTTGTATTGGGCCACAGTCAGGATACTCAGGGTGTTGCTCTGGATTTAGGAATTACTCCTGGTGATTCTCAACGGACCATACGTAATGTTGGGAATGAAACCTGGTCAGCTGTATAAGGCAAGTGCCATACCAGCTGTACTATCTCTCTTGCTCTGTGAAGTCAGTTTTCTTAATTAGTCCAGAACCAGGGTTAATTTGCACAGGTCAGACTTAGTTAAAACCTGAAATAAAAACTCCAAGACCAATTCAAAATTACTTGTTGACTCAGGCTGTATAACTCAGTAGTAGAGCACTTTCCTTGCATGTAAGAGGCCCTGGGTTTGATTCCGGGCACCACACTGAGGAAGGAACATGTCGAGTCTCTCCCTTCCCTAGCACTCTTGGCTGAGCAAATGTTCCCAGTCCCCCCTCCCCACCCCCAAACACACATCCTATCATTTATCTATTCACTTATTAAGCTTAAGTATCTTAGAATTAAAGCCAAAGGATGATTGACCCTGACTTCATCTTGTCCCCTGAGCACTGCTACCAGTGATTCCTGAGTGACAGAATCAGGAGTAAGCCCTGAGACTGTTGGGTGTGGCCCTAAAACCAGAAAATAAATAATGGGAGTGGGGTGGGGGAGGAATAAAGCCAAAGGAGATCAATGAGCTTGAGGAAAATTCCTTGTAGACTATGCATGATGAAAGTGGGATATATTCCTGTTTCATAGCTAAGTACATTTCTTCGTGATCTGATAAATGATACATTGGTAGTTTCTATGTTGGCAGTATTGAATAAACAAAGTTCTTGTTTTGGGGTGGGTGGGGGCCTCCCCAGCAATGCCTTCTAAGCCAGTGTTTAATCATTTGGATAGAAGTTGATTTTAGTTTTCCTTTTTGTTACTTCTGTCTTAACTTTATGGGTGGGGTTTTGGGATTTAGGTTTCTGTGTTGATCCCTCTTTTGGAGAATGGAGAGCTCTTGATTCCTGGCCATGGAGACTGTCTGAAAGTGGCTCCTGGATTCCAGTTCTTTGCAACCAGAAGGTATGTCTTGCTAACCTTTTCTGTTTCCACTGTAGAGTCTACCAAGACCAAGAAGTGTTCATTGTAAGGGTTATGAGAATTAATGTGCTTCGTGTTAATAACTGTCACGTAGTAATGCCCAGCTATTGACTTGCCATGGCCGTGGTGATGAATAATATGTATGTTTTATTTGACTGTTATTATTCAGCGGTGCTCAGGATTTTCTTCTGGCTTTGTGTTTAGGGATCACTCCTGGTGAGGCTCAGGTCGTGTTTGGTGCCAGGACTTGAAGTAGGGTCTTGTGCAAGGCAAGCCCTTTAACCCCTTCACTATCCTACCTCGGCCCCAGTTTGTAAGTTTAATAAGTTAAATATTAGCATCAAGAAAGGAATAAAATCTGACCAGAGACAACGTATGTTCCTGTCCATGTCTACAACACAAAAGCAGTAGTTTCTTTTCTTTTTGCTTTTTGGGTCACACCCGGCGATGCACAAGGAATTACCCCTGGTGGTGCTCAGGGGACCATATGGGAAGCCAAGAATCGAACCCGGGTTGGCCTCATGCAAGACAAATGCTCCACCCGCTGTGCTATCGCTCCATCCCCCAGTTTCTTTTCTTTGTTGGGGGTATGTGTGGGTTTGGGACCCACCCAGTGGTACTCGGGTGACCTGACAGTGTTCAGGGGATTTGTACTGGGGTCAGTCGCATTCTGGGCAGGAGTCTCAACCCCTGTAATATCTCTCTGACCCTACTTGTTAGTCTCTAGCTATACAATTTAGCTTTTAAAGTCTCCAAGAGTAAAAATACGATATTTAGTGAACGTTTTTCCCCACACCTGGGACTGCTCAGCTCTTACTCCTGTCTCTGTGCTTAGGGGTCACTTCCGGCAGTGCTATGGATCAATCCAGGGTCAGCTACATTAAGGGCAAGCACAGTACCTGCTGTACTATTTCTCCAGCCCTGATACTTATGATTTTAGTGTCTCAGTGAATATTCATTTCCAGATAGAGGATGGGGCTAGTCAGCAGTGCTCAAGGAACACCCTGATGCTGGGGTCTACTTTGGATGGACCTTGATTTTTTTCTCGGAGGGGCCAGCATTTTTTCCTTCCACATTTGTTTCCTAGAAAGACTTGGAATACCATAGAAAGATGTCAGACTTGGGGGCTGGAGCGATACTACAGTGGCTAAGATGCTTACACCTACTAACCCAGCATCTCATATGGTCCCCCTCGTACTGCCAGGGGTGATGTGAGTGCATGAGTGAGTAAACCTGAGTGCATAGTTAGGAGTAAGCCATGTATAGTTGGGTGTGGCACGAAAAAACCAAGGGGGGAAAAAAAGGCTCAGGCTTGAATTCAGTTTTTGGCTCTGCCTTTTGTAGTGTTTTTGAATGTGCAAGGGGCGGTTCTTCTCTTGTCCTCCTAGGCTTAAAGCGCAGAAGGGCACTCACCATCCATCCCCTCAGTACAGCTGTCAGATGATTCAGTGAATCAGGAGTAAGCAGGTGGCTTACCCAGAAAACAGGTTTCATGAAGATTTCTTTTCTTCTTGAAATTTTAATAGTTCTAGTAATTAGCAGTAAACTTTCCACTTTAAATATTAGGAATTATATGGTACTGGAGCAATAGTACAGTGGATAGGATGCTTGCTTTGCATGGGTTCCATCTCTGGTACTCTGTATGGTCCCGAAGCACCACTAGGAGTGATTCCTCAGTGCAGGGCCAGAAGTAAACCTTGAGCACCACTGAATATGACCCAAAACAAACCAAAACCAAAAAATATGAATATATATATGTTTAAAAAAATTTTTAAAGTTTCAGATGTTAGGGTTTAAAGCATTAATCTTGTACCATGACCCTATGGATTATAATTTTTCTTTGTTGAAGTCATGCCTTAAGAGGAGCATGTCATTGAAATCCCAACACCTAAGAGAATCATTTGCAGTGATTTGAAAATAAGTGATTTTAAAAAAATAACTGATAAAGCTTTTCTTAGGATAAGTCAAATTTAGGTTGTTACCTATCCTTAAAATTTGAAGCCTTATACAGCACCAGAAGCGATAGTGAGCCACGCTTGTGTATACAAGATATCCAGCAACTAATATCCAGAAACATCATTAGTGATTAAAATTGGGAATTTGATAACAACTTTTTGCTTTTGAAATAGACTCTTGAGCTGTGGAGGAAATTGGTATCGACCTCTGAATAGTCATGCTACCTTACTAGATAAATATTGGACTAAAATCCACTTGGATAACATGGATAAGACAGAATTGAAGGAGGTATGTATTTATTAGAAAATGTATTGATTTTGTATTTGGCGTGGTGGGGGGGTCGCTTGGGGTCACACTGGCAATGTTCAAGGGGTTACTCCTGGCTCTGTACTCAGGAATTACTTCTGGCAATACTCGAAAGACCATATGGGATTATGGGGATTGAGCCCCAGTTGGCTGCATGCAAGTTGTAAATGCCCTACTTGCTATACTATTGCTTCGGTACCCTTCATTTATTTATGTATTTTAATTTTTAAACATTGACTCACTGAATTGCAAAGTCACAAAGATATTTATAATTGAGTTTTAGGCTTATATTATTCCAATATCATTCTCTTAACCAGTGTCCACTGCCCCCCACCAGTATCCCCAGTTCCCTTATAACCCCAGCCTGCCTGTGGCAGGCAATTTTCTCTTCCCCCATTGTCCTAGTGTTTCCTTCCCTGACTTCCCCTCCTCGCCCCTGCCCCTGCTTTGCCTACTGAAGACCAGTGCTCCTGCTCTACATTTCTCTAGTCACTGAAACAGCCCTTTTCCTCTTTATGAAAATTTCCACATTTCCACGAAAGTGGAGAAAACACCCTATTGAGTCACCATAATACCACCATAAATTTAACAGTGTGCTAACATTTCACTGCATTAACTAATCTAGTAATTTTGATGTCACTGCTCACACTCAGGGAGTTTGTGTTAGGTACTGAGAAAATGGAGTTAATATATTTGGAGTGGATCACAGAATTTTAAAAAGTTGAATGTGTTCCTGCCTTTTCTCCCTCTCTCAGGTTCTTCAGACCAGATACCCAAACCTGATGGCAGTAACTGATCACCTCCTTGACATCTACATCCAACTCACTGGAGAGAAACACGCCCAAAGAGGCAGCCTTATTGGATGTGAACAAGTACCTGAGGGACAGTCAGAAGCCAGAAGAGAAAAAAGACTAAGTTTGGAGGGAAGAGAATTGTCTCTAAGGTACTAGACTAAACACTTTTTAAGTTGATTTATTTAAAACAGCTGAAGTTTTTTGTTTTGTTTTTTGGGTCACAAATGGCGATGCTCAGGAGTTACTCCTGGCTCTGCACTCAGAAATTACACCTGGTAGTGCTCTGGAGTCCGTAAGAAATGCTGGGGATCGAACCTGGGTTGGCTGCATTCAAAGCAATCGCCCTACCTAGTGAATTATTGTTCTGGCCCTTCCATGACTTTTTTTTTTTTAATCTTTTTTTTTTTTTGCTTTTTGGGTCACACCCAGTGATGCTCAGGGTTATTCCTGGCTCTGCACTCAGGAATTACTCCTGTCAGTGCTCGGGGGACCATATGGGATGCCGGAGATCGAACCCGGGTCGGCCACATGCAAGGCAAACGCCCTACCCACTATGCTATTGATCCGGCCCTGGAGTGATAGCACAGCGGTAGGGCGTTTGCCTTGCACGCAGCCAGCATGGCCGATTCGAGTTCGATTCCTCCGCCCCTCTCGGAGAGCCCGGCAAGCTACCGAGAGTATCTCGCCTGCACGGCAGAGCCTGGCAAGCTCCCCGTGACATATTCGATATGCCAAACACAGTAACAACAAAGTCTCCAATGGAGACGTTACTGGGCCCGCTTGAGCAAATCGATGATCAACGGGAGGGCCTTTTTAATCTTTGGAGCTGGGGTGCTTGGGCTACTCTTTGCTCAGGGATCCATGTAGTGCTAGGGATTGAGCTGCAGTTTGCACTTGAACTCCTGTACTTTCCTGGACCCCTGCAAGGATTCTTACATGTAGAAATGGTTAATTGACATCAGGTTTTAGAATCACACATTGGACTATTTGAAGGCGTCAGATCTCTGGTTCAGTTCTGTGGTTGCTAGTTGTGGAGGCTAATGGAAATTTAGCTAAAAATATATATAATTTTTCTTTCTTGTGGTGCCGTGGATCAAACCCAGGATCTTACATATGAGGAGGATTGATCTGTATCCTAGCCTCTTTAAGAAAAAACAGAACAGAGGGGAGACATTTAAAGGCAAACTTGGAATGGTTCCATTACTTTTTACGGGGTATCCTTTTGTGATACTGGAGCTGTAAAATCAGGCTCTTGGATATTTCTGTAGACAGTTCTGGGCCTTTGCTTTTTACTTTTTTTTTTTTTTTTATGAATTTGTTTATTGAATAACTATGAGAGCAGTTACAATTGGGTTTGGGTTTTAATCTCGGTAATACAATGATGAAACACCCGTCCTTTCATGAGTGCACATTTTCTACCACCAAAACTCTCTGTATACCCCTTATCCTACACCCTCCCCCTGCCTGTGGGGCAGATGATTTCCACATTACTCTCTACTTTGATTACATTCACTATTTTGACACCAGACCCACCATTGTTCTTTGGGATTTTAACCCAAAACTCAGATCTGATTATGAATAGCATATAATTGGCTGTGTGAATTTAGAATTCTTAAATCTTAATAATTAAATCTGAAGGGATTTCTGCCAAAAGCTGCTGGATTCTGAGATTTGTTTCTGAGTTTCTGGGATCATGGCTTACGCAGTTTATTGAGTAGCCAGAAGGCCTGTTCGTGGGCGTGGGCGGTGACTGAGTCTCATTGGTGCTGGGGGAGGAAAGGGCTGGCTCCACCCCATGAGGCCCCTACCTGACTGTTGGCCTCTGGAAGATGTTGGACCCTGAGGTGGGGTGGGGGGACGGAGACGGACAGGCGGTGGATCAGCACCTTTTCCCACTTGGGGAGGCCCGGAGCTGGTAACCTAATGCCAAAAGCCCTTGGGTTCTGAGATTTGTTTCTGAGTCTCTGGGATCGTGGCTTAAGCAGCTTGTTGAGTAGCTAGAAGGCCTTTTCGTGGGCAGTGACTCCCTTTGCTTTTTACTCTTCATGGTTGACTTGTCCTTTAGGAAAAGCTAGGAATGAGTGGGGCTCTCAATTTGCAGGGAAGTTAGTTCCTTTTCTAGCCACTCGGTTTGGCATAAATTGTGATTTGTGGGGAGGTACACCGCACACCTGGGATAATCATTTACGTGTTCCCCTGATGCTTTCAATGTTCTCACTACGAGCAGAAAGAGAGTCTTGTCATTTTCAGATGCTCCCAGACTTTTTGGGCCAAATGTCTTTCATATTTCTGGTCTCTGATCCTTTTATTTTAATTATTTTTGTTTGTTCATCCGAATTTTGTTTTTGGGTATTGCCCAGGGCTTACCTGGCTCTGAGCTCAGGGATCATTCCTGGAGGAGCTCAGGGGACCACATGTGTGCAGGGGATTAGACCCAGGTCAGCTTACATGTAAAGCAAGCACCTACTGCTTGTGCTTTAGCTCCAGCCCACTGGAATCTGATACTGTGTTGCAGTATCATCGTGTGCAGTCTTAGTGAGATGACTGTATATTCTTGCCATGTTTTTACACCATATGCATTTGTCTCTTTTCTTTGAAGGGATCTGCTGAATTGGTGTAACAGGATTGCCCATAGCTTTGACCCTGTGTCTTCCTCTGCAGCATTGAACATTTTTCAGGAGGTAAGGTGTCTCTGTGCTCTGCATTAAATGCTGTTCATTTTTCAGTGGTGTCTCTTGTCTTGACAGGGGTGTGCAGAAGAGATATGTCTGTCTGGTTTGTTACTCAGGCTGAGATTGAGTACTGGATGTGAGTACTGGCATTGAGGCCTCTGTCGATCCCTCTGCCCGGTAACAGCCAGGCAGTTCCTGTCCTTTCACTGAGCATCGCTTCCCCATCCACCAGCCCACACTTGGTTGGGCTGTAGTAACTTGTAACTTGTGGTTACTACAAGTGCGCTTTTACCTGGAATTAGGATTCCTTAGTATTCTAGCAAGGATCTCAGTAGTAAAGCCTTCACAATTTTCTGTGTTTTTTTCTCATACTATTTTTGGTTTGTTTTTGGGCCACACCTGGTGATGCTCAAGGGTTACTCCTGGCTCTGCACTCAGGAATTACTACTCCTGATGGTGCTTGGGGACCATAGGGGATGCTGGGAATCGAACCCAGATCATCTGCTTGCAAGGCAAGCACCCTACCAGCTTTACTATCTGTGCAGCCCATATAGTTTCTCTTTTGAGGGCAGGGGGACAGATGTTCCCAAGTGGTATACTTGGGAAGCCCAGGTTTGCCCCACTTGGTGATTCTTGGCCAACTGGTCTCGAGGTTAAGTGCAAGGACCCGCGTTTGCTGCTTAGGACATGGGGTGCCAGGGATATTACCCTGATCATCTTGGTAGTGCTTGAGGGCCTCTGATGTTTCATGGGGACCCACAGGTTGCATCTTGCCTTGCTGGGAATTAAGATGGATGTGTTTTGTTAGTTTTAGTTTTTGGGTCACTCTTGGTGATGCCCAGGGCTTACTCCTGGCTCTGCACTCAGGAATCACTCCTGGTGGTGTTCAGGGGACCGAATGGAATGCCAGGGATCAAACCTGATGGTTCTATGCAAGGCAGGCGCCTTACCCACTGTGTTATCTCTCTGGCCCCAAGCTGTATTATCCCCTCTATTTTCCATCCACTGTCTTATAAAGTGTCTTTTCTTTTTTTAACTTTGGGGCCACACCTGGTAGTGCTCGGAGCTCATTCTTGGCACCCCAAGGATCACTCCTAGTGGAGCTTGTAGAACCATATGGGATGCTGGGGATCGAACCCCAGGTCAGCCTCATGCCAGTCGAACATCCTCCCCTCTGTACTAGTACATTGGCCTCTAATGTAGGGTTGTTAACTTACTTGTTTTCTTAGTTTTCCGAAATGTTCATGCTGAATTTTTTTTCCACCCTCTTGTTGTTTGGATGCTATTGCTCTGTTAAGTTTGTTTGCAAATAAGCTGGCATTTCTCTTGGTTGTTTTAATAGGCTCTGGACTGTTTCACAGCAATGCTTTCTAAACATACCACCAAACTGAATATGGCAGAAGTCATTGGAAGTAAATTGAACATTTCCAAGAAAAAGGTATTTTGTGCATTTTTAATTCCCTATTGAAAAGAAACCTGCTAAAAATAAAAATATTTTGCTTAACTACTGGTCATCCTTACCTAGAATGGCTTTTTAACAAATTTTTGCAGTGTCACAGATCAAGCGCTCTGCCTCTGAGCTCTATCCTTGGCCTTAGAATAGTTTTTGCAGTTGTAGTTCCATTCTTGCTCCATGGATGTAAAAGCCTTTCTGCCTCTATATATTTTTTGTTTGTTTGCCTTAGTTTTGATTTTTGGGGCCTCACCCATCAGTACTCAGGTTGATTCTTCTGACTCTGTGCTCAGGGGTCAGAGCCTGGCATTGCTCGGGGGAATCTTATGTGGTATTGGGGATTGAACCCAGTCTTTTGTGCAAGGAGAGTACCTTAGCCACTGCAGTATCTTCCCGGGCCCCTAAATAATTTGCTAAACTACTCCTACATCCTGATTCCTCAAATGAGTTTCCTTGTGTCCTCTGTCATTCCCCAGTGTTTTTTTTTTTTTTGGGTGGGGGGGTGTGTAGAGGGCTGAGGGAAGTTTGGGCCACACTTGATTGTCCTTAGGTTCTGTGCTTGGGATTTACTCCCAGAGAACCATTCAGTGCTGGGGACCAAACCCAGACCTTCTGTGTGCAAATCATGTGTGCACCCATTTGACCTATTTCTCATACGTATATTATTCATGGAATGAGGACATACCTGGTGGTCCTTGAACCATGTGGCGCCATAGATCGAACCCAGTCTTCCTTTGTTCCAATATTTTCGTGAACACATTATTCTCTAGGTTGTAGAGCCAGGAATTCAGGACTGGAGATATGTCTTGGGATCATTTGTAACTTGCTGCAGATATAGATTCCCCTCACGCCACAACACACCCAGGGTTTTGGGGCCATACTGGTCGTGCTCAGGGACTTCTCTAGGCTCTGTGCCTGGGGCTTACTCACAATGGTGCTCAGGGCACTGTGTGGTGATTTCGGTTGAGTTGGGGTTCGCCACATCCAAGGTAAGCCCTTTAGCCCTGTACACTCTCTCTAGCCATCTTTTCAGTGAAAAACAAAACTTTTCGATGTTGGAAAATTTTTAAGGAATATAACCAGTTTCCATTTTTGTATTCCCTCCTTTGATTCAGTGGACATTTTGCCTTTCTTGTTTTATGTCAAAATTATGTGTTTTTAGAGAAGAGACTCTGAACGGTGATGATATTGCCTGAAGAGATGTTTGTGGCTCATATCTGACAGACTAAGCCTGTCAGCCTGTCTCAGCAGTAGCACATGAATGAAACCTTGTGTCTGAAGCTGATTTCCTTCACATTTCTGAAACTTGGGTTGGGTTTGGTTGCTTGTTCCAGAACCACTTTTTAAAAGGTCTTATAACTTGCTATCATGGAAATAGAAGGTACTTTTTGTAAAATGTGACTTTCGCAGGAAGCCTCTGTGGGTGAGGGAACATCTGAAGTTTTAGCTGAGTATTTTTCTTCCCACAGACTGACTTTTTCTGTCAGCTTTATAAACCAGAAATTGTCATCAATGAGTTAGATGTCCAGGTGGGTCGTGTGCGTCTTCTGAGGAAACAGAGTGAGTCTGTTCAGATACAGAGGTAAGCCTGGTGCGAGATCCTCGAGCTCTGGAGTTGTTGGGGACCTGGCAAAAACTGTAGTCTAGTCCTGGCACTAGTCTATTCCTGAAGGGTGGGGCTATATAATATCCTAAGATCTGGTAATCATTAATTAAGCACTATGTGCCTCACATAGACAGATCTATACTTGATTTTTTGGGGGGGGGGTGTTAAGATAACTGTGTGAAGTAATATTGTAGTGTCAGAAGATAGCCATAAAGGGTTTGGATAAGCCCAATGACTTAAAACAGCATATGTTCCTTCTGTCTCATTTCTGGAGGCTGGAAGTTTGAAACTGGGCTTGGCAGAGCCCTGCCTCGAGAATCTCTTCCTTTCCTGGCCTTGCCACTCTGTCCCTGCAGCTGCTTATCTCCATGGCTCATGACCATCTTCCCTGAATGTCGTTTTTAATTTTTGTTTTGTTTTGGGGCCCCACCCAGTGGTGCTCAGAGGTTACTTCTGGCTCTGTGCTCAGGAATTTCTCCTGGAAGGCTCTGGGGACCATATAGGATGCCGGGTATCAAATTTGAGTTGGCCAAAAGCAAGGCAAATAATGCTCTACCTGCTGTACTATTGCTCCAGCTCAACTTTTTAATTAATCTCTTCTTGTGAGGGGGGCACAGCCAGGGGTGATTGTGGCCTCTCCTGACTTTTTTGTTTTCGCGGATTGCTCCCATTGGTGCTAGGGATTAAACCTAGGCCTCTGGCATGCAGCAGACTCTTAACAGGGAGACGAGTCATGGGTTGTAAGACCTTCCCACCCTAATCTGGATCTGCAAGACGCAATTCAGTATGATTTTATTTGATCTCAGTTATGTCTGTCAAGAATCTCTAAGTTACACTCATGGATTCTGGATGGATAAGGGCTTTTGTCCAGATCATTTGTCCTCTGTAGCACTGAAGCTCCGTTCATTGATTTGCTCGAGTGGGCACCAGTAACGTCTTCATTGTGAGACTTGATATTGTTTTTGGCATACTGAATACGCCATGGGGAGCTTGCCAGGCTCTGCCATGCGGGTAGGATACTCTCGGTAGCTTGCCGGGCTCTCTGAGAGGGACGGAGGAATCGAACCTGGGTCACCTGCATGTAAGGCAAATGCCCTACCCACTTTGCTATTGCTCCAGCACGCTTGCCGTCTAAAGCTAATAATGATCAAGTTTCATAGTCATAGCCTGAGGAAACAGGCTAGGAGACATTACGTGTTTTACTTGAGATGGCATAGCCAAAAGAGATGGCTAATATTGGTATTTGGAATTCCCAGAGCCTAGTCAAAAAAAGGACTGATGTGGAGATACTCTTGTAAGGTGGGTTGCATGTTATAGGCAGCCATGTGTTAGACCACAAGGACACTACCCTGAGTTGTCTTTTTTCTTTTTTTAATTGAATTTTGGGTTTGGAGCCATAGTTGGTGGTGCTCAGGGACAACTCCCTGCAGAGCGTGCAGGGCTTGTGCCAAGGATCAAACTCTGACCTCCTGCAAGCAGAGCATTAACACCCACCCTTGGAGCTCTCTCCCAGTCCTGAGCTGTCTTGTCATTCCTGCTTGTGGAGTGTGGGAAACCCGGTTCATTACAGCACCCCACCGAGGGAAATGTGGAGTCTGTCTCACTGCTTTTCCCTTCATAGGGAAAGGCTCACTTTCGCTGCGACCCGGCCCTCCTCAGTTCTCATTGAGCAGCTCGCCGTGTGTGTCAGCAGAGGGGAGCCGGTGCTGCTGGTGGGGGAGACGGGCACTGGCAAGACATCCACGGTGCAGTATTTGGCTCACGTCACAGGTAATTTCAGCAGGGACTGCGCACAGGTTCAGACAATGAGTGTCTCCCCCCACCCCTCCAACCCCGTCCCCGCTCCCACGTTTGAAAATGAAGTTGTTCCAAGTGCACTGACTCTTTTTTTTTTCTTTTTTTTGGGGGGGGGCGGTCACACCTGGTCATGCTCAGGGATTACTCCTGGCTCTGCATTTGGGACTTAACTTCTGGTGGTGCTCCGGGAACCATATGGGATGCTGGGGATCCAACTGGGTTGGCCACATGCAAGGCAAATGCCCTACCCATTGTACTATTGCTCTGGTCCCTGTGACTCTATTTTCCCTGATTCCAACTCCTGGAGTCTGTGTCCCAGGAAATAATGTAATTAATTTTACTGGGAAAAGAAATAGGGCTAGCAGATTGTTAATGTTTTTCAGTCCGAGTTTGTAAGTGCAAAACCATGTACACTTCGGCTCACACTGGGCTTTCCCATTGGACAGTGCATACCACCCGAGCCTTACGCTTTTTGTAATGATAGACAAGAATGAACTCAATCACTCTGTAATTAGTAGCAAAAATGCAGCAGAGGGCCGGAGAGAGTTCAGCACATAGTGTGCTTGCCTTGCATATGGCCGGCCCAGATTTGAGTCTTGTTTCCCCGAGCACTGCCAGGAGTGATCCATGAGTCCACAATCAGGTGTTGACCCAGAAAACAGCTGTTAAAGCCTAACTCTGCATCCCTTCCCCACCAAAAAAATGTAGCAAAAGAAATGGGTATTATGGACAAAATTTTATCATTTATTATTGTTTTATCTTCTCTTCACTCAGTCAGCTCAGTGCTGACCCAGTAAAACACTGTTGATGAGGCTGCCAGTTGGATAGAAACAAAGTACAGCATCTGCCTGGTTATGTTAAGGATCTCAGTGGGTTTTAGAATTTAGAGTGATCTAGTTGCCATTTCCTTTTCCAAGGCCATCGTTTGAGGGTTGTCAATATGAACCAACAAAGTGACACTGCAGACTTGCTTGGAGGGTAAGTGTGGCTTTGAATTTTCTTTTTTAATTGTGTGTTGGCGGCATTGAAAAAAAAAGTCCAGAGTGTTATAAATCCTGTCTCTTCCAGCAGGGTATGGCTTGAAATATGTTGAATAACTTTTGAATATGTAGATACCATCTCTCCTTTATTTATCTATTCTTATTTTTTTATTGACCCTGCCGAGCCGAGTTCAGTTCCTCCGCTCCTCTTGGAGAGCCCAACAAGCTACCGAGAGTATCTTGCCTGTATGGCAAAGCCTGGCAAGCTACCTGTGATATATTCATTATGCCAAACACAGTAACAAGAAGTTTCACGATGGAGACGTTACTGGTGCCCGCTCGAGCAAATTGATGAACAATGGGAGGACAGTGCTGTAGTGCTTTTTATTTATTTATTTATTTTGGGTCACACCTGGCGATGCACAGGGGCTACTCCTGGCTCTGCGCTCAGGAATTACCCCTGGCGGTGCTCAAGGGACCGTATGGGATGCTGGGAATTGAACCCAGGTTGGCCGCATGCAAGGCAAACACCCTACCCGCTGTGCTATTGCTCCAGCCCCAACAGTGCTATCTTTTTATTTCATAAAGTGGTTCACAGTGTTTGATTACATTTAATATTCAAACCCCTATCCCACCACCATTGCACCTTCCCACTACCATATTTTGGATATTTCCATCCTGAACCCCACCCCTGCCCCAAAGCAGAACCGAAATAATTTATTTTGATTGTTATGAAAAACCAAAAACCGCTGAAATGCTCCAAAAAAGTTTCCTTTGGGGAAAGAGGGTGAAGATTATTGTATTTCGCCCGGGGACCATTAAAGCCTATCTCTAAGAGATCACTAACATGTTGTTAAAGGTGGAGCGTTGTGTGCTTATACACGCGCGCATACACACACACACACACACACACACACACATTGTGTGTAAATGAAGCCTTTAAACGTATCCTGAGAATGCTTTGCAATTTCTCTTACCTTTAGAAGTTTTTGAATTACTTTGACCTTCCATTTCAGTTATAAACCAGTGGACCATAAACTTATCTGGCTACCCCTCCGGGAAGCATTTGAGGAACTCTTTGCCCAAACTTTTTCCAAGAAGCAAAACTTCACCTTCTTGGGGCATATTCAGACCTGTTACAGACAAAAACGGTGGCTTGATCTTCTTAGACTAATGCAACACGTACAAAAGTCGGCCATGAGCAAAGATGGAAAAGAGAGTGAAACTGGTAAGAATGTGATCCAGTGGGGAGTGAGATTGGGATTCAGTTAACAGAATTAGGAGAATAATTTGGGGGGATATAAAGCAACACAGATCAGCTCTATCTAGGCTTTAGGGCAAAGACAAGTGGTTCTGAAGTTGATGCTTCTGTGATTTTTAGATCGGATTTTCATAGACGTATGACATAAATGTAGAAGTAACACTTGGTGACCAGTAAGTCACATTTCCCTAGAAAAAGAGCTTCATGTTAATTCTCAACTAAAAGTGTTCTAGTTTTTTAGAAATTGTGGTTTTAATCAAAATGATGGAAAACAAGGTCTCTTGTGCTCTAAGCAGCCATTTTGTTCCTCATTGGTATTGTACTGAAATAGCATATAGTGTAATTTATTTTATAATACAGTATATCAATATAAATGTCTTAGTATATATATATAAAACATGATTGCATAATAAAATGTTATAATACAACATGTACGCTTACTCCTTGTTGTTTATTTTTTTCCCCTGTAGGATTGCTTCTGAAAGAGAAATGGGAAGCATTTGGTCTTAGACTCAGCCATGCCCATCAGCAGATGAAAATGACTGAAAATGCATTATTGTTTGCATTTGTAGAGGTATTTTTGCTTTGATTATCCTAATGGGAATGCTGCTTGTGTGCAAAATTCATGTTTTTATGTTGATAGTTTTTCAGGCTTTGCTGTTTGTTACCTCCTGACAAGTGAAAGAGTACTTTTGGGAGAAGATTTTGAAAAAATTTATTTAATGGAAATTATAAGATCGTAATACTTATTATTTAAGATGCAGTTGCAGACAGTAGGAGAAATATATTGCTTGTAGCACTCTGCGTGTGATTTATTTAATTGCTTTAAAGTTTGAACTTGCGGGAAAAGTATTAATCTTGAGATAAGGATTTACTTTTCCCCTTTTCTGTTTTGGGGGCTGTACTCTGGTGCTCAGGGAACCATGCAGTGAAACTTAGGCCTTCTGCGTGCAGAGCATGTGCACGAGGTCTTTGAGGAAGACTAGGTCTCCACCACAGGAAGATTCATGTTGTTGCTCCTCAGCAGCTGAGGCCAGTTTTTTTTTTTCCTCTTTGGGTCACACCCAGCGATGCTCAGGGGTTAGTCCTGGCTCATGCACTCAGGAATTACTCCTGGCGATGCTCGGAGGACCATATGGGATGCTGGGAATCGAACCTGGGTCGGCCATATTGGCTGCGTGCAAGGCAAACGCCCTACCCGCTGTGCTACCGCTCCAGCCCCGAGGCCAGTTTTTAACAACTATGCCACACTGATTTATCCTCAATCTGAGCTTAGATCTGAGTTTACTATACTCTGACCCCATATTTATTTTGGGTGCTTTTAACAACTCCGGTTATTGAAGCCAGAATGATAGTACAGCAGGTAGGGTGCTGACCTTGTATGCTGCTGACATGATTTCGATCCCCATATGGTCCCCAGAACCCTGCCAGGAGTTATCCCTGTGAGCAGAGCCAGGGGAAGCCTTGAGCACCTCTGGGTGTGGCCCAAACACCCTCCGCCTTCCACTCCACCCTCTCCCCCCAAAAAATCAACCAACCTGCTGTTGGACAGCTGTACATGTTGTAAGTCATCTTAACTCACCATTCCTATAATGAAGCCACCTCATTCTGAAAGTAAGTCGACTTACTGTCTCCTTTTCAGGAGAAATAACGTCAGTTCCCCATCCCCCACCACTGTCAATATGTCTTCTTTGAGCAGACAGTGTCTCCCCACTGGTTGCTCTAACACTCATTTGGAAGAAACGTATTTCACTGTTGGGTTCACACATACTACCCTCATCCTTTTGGATATTAGAGAAAAACTAGATCTGACTCTGGTAATCAGCTGGTGACAGTTCGGCTGTTTTACTTTGGGCCACACCCAGGAGTCCTCTGGAACCAGTTGGCATTTTAAGCGTATGTACCTTAAAGAGAGGAACTCTGCGCTACCCCTCCTGACTCTACTCTTACTGTGTGTTTGAAAGGGCTCCTTAACATTTCACTTTATCTTCTTCTAGGGTACGTTAGTTCAGGCTGTTAAAAAAGGGGAGTGGATCCTCTTGGATGAGATTAATCTGGCTGCTCCAGAAACGTTAGAATGTCTGAGTGGCTTACTTGAAGGCTCATCGGGCTCCCTGGTACTGCTGGATCGAGGAGACACAGGTAGCACGGGAGCCCCTTGGGGGTTTGAGTTGGAACCAAGGCTTTTATCGTTAGGTCAAGATCCTTTTGGTTAAGAAGATCAGTTGGGCCTCCTAATTGAGTTAATTTGGTTAAGTGGGATGAGTTCATTTCTTAGATAATGATTTTAGCTGAGTTTCTGTAGAGGTTTGCCAGGAAGAGGAAGACTTTTTGTTTTATTGAATCACCATGAGATAGAGCATTACAAAATTGTTCATGGTTGTGTTTCAGTCATACAGTGTTCCAGCACCCATCCCTCCACCTGTGTAATTTCGCAGCACCAGTGCTCCCAGTTTCCCTCCCACCCCTTCAATCCACGCCCCACCCAGCCTTCCTTTATGGCAGGCACCTCTCTTCTCTCTCTCTGGAAGAGGAAGACTTTTCGTCAAGGCATTTGAGTAATGTGTGAGGCACTTGCACACTTAGTGACAAAATGTACATCTGTGAAGAGATGATTAGAAAGTAATTGATGGAAATGCAGAAAATGAAGTTGTAGGTCTGCATGTGAGTTCATGGGGTTTCGGAGCAGGCGCACAGCCAGTGCCCGCCTCGCCCAGCTCGAGGCATGGTTGTTCACTCTGGGTGCCCCACAGTCTGTTCCTCCCTAGAAACCTGAGGCTCTGCCCTTGATAAGACTCACTTTGCTGAGAATTATAATGTTCTCTTATAGAACCACTGTTGCGGCACCCCGACTTCCGTCTATTTGCCTGCATGAATCCAGCAACGGATGTGGGTAAAAGAAATCTCCCTCCAGGAATCAGAAACAGGTGAGAGCAACATTCCTTTCCCAAAGCTTCTCTTTATTGATTGGAACTATTAATACAACCAGACTTTGTAACTTTAAAAGTGTTGGACCTCTTTGATAAAAGAACCTTAGTCTTCTCATCTTGTCTCTTTCAATCTACTTCTTTTTCTTTTTTTCCTAAATTGATTTCTTGATCATGCCTGGCAGTGTTCAGGATTTACTCCTGGCTCCATGATACAGGATCACCCCTAGTAGTGCTCAGGGACCATATGGAATGCCAGGGATCAAACCTGGGCTAGCTGCTTGCAATTCGAGCGCCCTGCGGTGATACCATTCTGCCCCAGATTCATCTACTTTCTGTACGTGGTAGCAATGTGGGAAAATTCAGAACATAAGAAATTTTCCCTTTAGGTTGTTAATGAGATAATTGGTGACACATGGATATTGTATAAAACAAAAAGTTCCCTTGTGGCTAATATGTGTACATTTTAGGGACTGGGCCGGAGCAGTAGCACAAGTGGGTAGGGCATTTTCCTTGCACGCAGCCGACCCGGGTTCGGTTCCTCTGTTCCTCTCGGAGAGCCCGGCAAGTTACCAAGAGTATCCCACCTACACAGCAGAGCCTGGCAAGCTCCCCGTGGCTTATTCGATATGGAAAAACAGTAACAACAAATCTCACAATGGAGACATTACTGGTGCCTGCTTGAGCAAATCGATCAACAGTAGGAAGACTGTGCTACAGTGCTATTAGGGACTAAGTTAATCTTGGATATATATTGTCCCAATACATACATATATATGTGTCTATATATATATATTGAATCACTGGTGGAATAAACCCTTTCAAAGCTGTTCATGATTAGGTTTCAGTCATAACAGTTTTTCCCTCCAACAGTGTCCTGAGTGTCTCCCATCACCCACCGCTCCCACATCCACACACATAATTTGCCTCAGTGGAAGGTGTGTACCTCTCTCCCTCTCCTCTTTTGAACATTAGATTTCTTCTTCTTCTTTTTTTTTTTCCCCCAAATTCCAGGCATTTTGCTTCCTCTCCTTTCTGTCTGTTATTGATGCTGTGTTGTTTTTTTCTTTTTTTTTGGTGGGGGGGTGTCATACCCAGCAATGCTCAGGTTTACTCCTGGCTCTCCACTCAGTAGTTATACTCGGGGACTGTATGGGATGCCAGACATTGAATCTGGGTCAGCCTTGTGCAAGGCAAACACCCTACCCACTAAACTATTTCTCTGGCCCTATTACTGGTGCTTTGATGGCTGGGGGGTTATATGCTTGGTTGCACATGTGGGTGCCTTGCTCAAAGATACAGTGCTCCTCAGGGATCACACTTTTCAGTTGTGTTGTTTGCACACACTTGGTTGTGGTGTGCCAGCATCATATACTGCCTGAATCACACCTGGCATGGACCAATGCCTGGGATAGAGCTTTTACATCACACATTGGAGGTAGGCACTCTGCCACTGAGCTGTATCCCTCTCAGTACCAACAGGTAAGAGCGAGTTACTTAGCTGTTCGTATTTTATGTGTGTGGATTTTGGATAAGATCAATGGTCTCTTTATAGTTGGCAACATTTTGTTGAATTTTTAATTTTCTTTCTTTTTAAATTGAATTTTCAGTTTCCTTTTTGAATTGAATTGATTGGTTAACTTGAGGATTATACAACGTGCTTGCTTTCTATATTTTTGGGGGGTCACACCCGGCGATGCACAGGGGTTACTCCTGGCTCTGCACTCAGGAGTTACTCCTGGCGGTGCTCAGGGGACCATATGGGATGCTGGGAATCGAACCCAGGTCGGCTGCGTGCAAGGCAATCGCCTTACCCACTGTGCTATCTCTCCAACCCCTCGCTTTCTATTATTATGCTCTGGGGGCCTTTCTGTTTGTTTTAGGACCAAACTGGTGATATCCATGCCCTTCTTCTGGCTCTGAGCTCTCGGGAGCTTGGATATATATTGTCATGCACACACTTGGTTTTATTGGTTTGAACTCATGCCTTGTGCAGGCAGAGCATGTACTTAGATTAAAATAAATTTTTTTTGAGTGGGTTGTTGAGTCACACCTGGTGGTGCTTAGGGCTTCCTTCTGGCTCTGCTCGGGGATCACTCCTGGCGGACTTAGGACCATATAAGGTGCCAGGGATCAAACCTGAGTAGGTGGCAGGCAAGACTAGCCTCCTGCTTGCTGTCCTACCACTTTGATCCCTAAAATTATTTCGTTTTAAAAGTGTTAAAGATTGTTGCTTTTCCCTTTCATTATTATAAGAGTAATAAGGGTTTTTGCTTTGTTTTAGGGCCATATCTGGCAATGTGCAGGGTTTGCTCCTGGCTCTGAACTCCAGAATTACTCCTGGGGTTCATATGGGGTACCAGGGATTGAACCGAGGTCAGCTGTATGGATGTCAAGAGTGCTACTTGCTATACTATTGATCTAGCCCCATAACAGTAATAGTGGTATTTTAGAAAATTTTCAGAGACGAGAGCATGCATTTTCTTTTGATGATAAGGGGTTCTTGTTGTTACCTTTTTAAAAAAAAATCACATGCACTTAGCATAAAAAATCAGAAAATGAGGGGCTGGAGAGTTTGTATAGTGGGTAGAATCTTACACACCCAAGTTCATTCTGGCACCCTATACTATACCCCCATACACTGCTAGAAGTGATCCCTGAGTGCAGAGCCAGAAGCAGAGTCCTGAGCATCATCAGCGGGGGCCCAAAAAAACAAAAGAAAAAACATTCTGAAAATGAGTATTAAAGCATGTTTTTAAATTAATTTTACAAAATACTATGCATTGAAGATTGAATTGTATGGAAGTAATAATTGTATAGAAGTAATAATAATTACATGATCTGTTTCATTATGGACAGTTTGCATCTTAAGCTGACAGTTTATATTTCACTTTAATATTTTGGATTTTGGGCTACACCCAGTGGGACTCAGGGCTTACTTCCAGCTCTGTGCTCAGGGATCACTCATGGCAGTGCTTGGGGATACCCTATGTCAGCCATGTGCAAGACAGCCACTGTAAAATCTCCCTGGTACTGAAAGTTTATATTTTATATTATCAGCAGTTGAAATGACTGTGTAATTCCCTTGGTTTTATATTTTTTATTAGAATGGCTATATTTTTTGTTAACATAATAATTGTCTTACAGGTTCACAGAACTTTATGTAGAAGAATTGGAAAGTAAAGAAGACTTACAAATTCTTATTTTGGATTATCTGAGAGGGTTGAATATGAACAAGAACACAGTCCAGGGAATCATAAAGTAGGTTCTTTTTTTGGTGTGTGTTTATGAATTTTTCCACTGAACGTAATTGTGTACTTCATGTCATGCATCTGTATTGTTCCCTTTTTGATTCTGACTATAGAAAACTGATATTTGGGGGGTAGCGCACATCTGGTGACACTCGGGTTACTCCTGGCTCTATACTCAGGAATTACTCCTGTCCACTGCTCGGGGGACCACATGGGATCCCGGGGATCCAAACCGGGTCGGTCGCACACAAAGCTGTGTGCTGTTCTCTGATCTCAGGTTTCTGTTTTCAAGTTGAGTTGGAACCTTTTGAATACATTGGAGTTTTTTTCCAGGAAATCTAGATAGAAAGTTATGAATGGCTACCTAAGGGAATTTATAATTGTTAGGTGATGCTTTGCTAAATACTTCTAAGGTCACAGCTAATCATTTGAATAGCCGAAGAAGATAGTAAGTGGCTTTGATCTGTTTTGATGAAATCATACATTTTGCAATTTACACGGTAGATTTCTTGGATATAGTGGAAGTAGAGGCTGATAAAAATGTATCAGGTTTGTGTGTACCAATTCTGCTGAGGAAAGTAGATCTTTAATTTTAATTTTAGTCATCCCTACATCCCGTACCCCCTCTCAGCACATACACACTAGGGTTTTGTAATGCTATATGGAATGGGTGCATTCTTTTGTATTAGGCAACCTGTATTTTGTAGTATTAGTTTTGTAAGAAACAAATTCATGCATTATAGAAATTTCAGTTAATTTTGTGTCCTCCAGAAAGTAAGGTTTAGAAGTAGAATACAGTTTTACATCGCATTTTGTGGTTTGTTCCCTTTTTTGTGTATTTTGTTTTTTTGGGGGGCCACACCCCATGCCCAGGAATCACTCCTGGCACGCTTGGGGGACAATACAGGGTCCTGGAACTGAACCTGGGTTGGCTGTGTGCAAGGCAAGTGCCCTGCCTGCTGTCTATCGCTCTGTTCCCTTTTAAAAGTTTTTAAATTTGAGGATTACACCTGGCATTGCCATAGTGGTGGGGGTTGCCAACTCAAAAGTGCTTAGGATACTATGTGTATCCCAGATACTGTGTGTAACCCAGAACTCAACTCTCGCATGCAGATGTACTGTAGCTCTGTGAATTCTCTCCCAGCCTGTTCCTTGCTCTTTTTACAAATTGTTATCAAGTGCTCAGGTACTAGATGACATATGGCAGACAGTTTCTATTCTTGTATAGCTTTAGACAGTTCCTGTTATTGAGAACAGCTTTAAGTCATTCCTCCGCCTCTCTCAGAGAGCCCGGCCAGCTACTCAGAGTATCCCGCCCGCACAGCAAAGCCTGGCAAGCTCCCCGTGGCATATTCGATATGCCAAAAACAGTAACAACAAGTTTCACAATTTGTTGGGAGACATTACTGGTGCCTGCTTGAGCAAATCGATAAACAATGGGAGGACAGTGCTGTAGTGCTACAGTGCAGCTTTAAGTTGAGAGGGAAACTAACTTACAAATATGGAAATATGTACTCTTTGTGGTCAGTGAAGAGCCATAATACATAAAGCAGATGGAGGTTCAGTGGCTGGGACCATGTTTTCCGTTTGCGAGTGTCTCTGGGAGCAGGGATGGCACCTGGTATGTCGTTCATACAGGCAGGGCAGGCAGTGCCTCGGAGTCCTAGGCTCAGCCAAGGAATGTACTTAGTGTGCTGTGAATTGACTTACCACAGTGTGTTCTGAGTTGGAACAGGGGATCTCTCCTGGCACTTCATGGTACCCACCTCTGGCCCCTTAGCCCTGCTGGGTATAGTGCTAGTAGCCTGCAGCTCCCTTGGGCACCAGCACTGCCAGACCCTCTATCCCAGGAGTGACTCCCTGGTCCTCAAGCACCATTTGAGAGGTTCCTCCTGAAATCATTGTTGGAGTCCTTTTGTTAGCCAGCAGTGCTTGCACAAAGTTAATGTGCAGTTGAAATGCATGTAGATAGCTAGAGCTCTAGCTCTGTTCTGTGTTGACCAAGCAGTTGGTCTTGGAAAAAAGCGAATAGGACAGGTTCCATGCGTGAAAACAGTTTCTGAACTGCGGATATGTTTCATGAAGGATTGGAGGCAGGAATAGAGGGAGGTAGGGAGGAAAGAAGAAAGGAAAGGAAGAAAAAGAGGGAAGGAAGGAAGGAAGCAAAGAAGGAAAGGCAGGCTACCATACAAGCTGGGTATGTTGCTAATGCCGCTTGGGATTCTGTCCTGGCAAAATCCCTCCCACTCTGACATACCCCTTCTGCATGCCCTGCCCCACGCTCACCCCCCATACACAAATGTGCACACCACACCCTATCCTCTTCCTCACTTGGCCACGTGCACAGGACTACAGTCAATACCATTTGGGCAATTGACTGGATTTCATCTGAAACACATTGATAGGCTGTGATGACAGCTCATGAATGTGATGAATATTTTAATTTCTTGTACTTCATTATTTAGTCTGAAACTTCTTTCACCTTGCCATTTTTGGGAATTCTAAACTACGTGGTGTTAGTAATAATGACCATCACATCTTCATGTCAAATTTTGTTGCTTTATTTTGTTTTGGAGCCATATCTGGTAGTGCTCAGGGTTTACTCTTGGCTTTACGCTCAGGGATCACTCCTGGTGGCGTGCCGGGGATTGAACTCATGTCAGCAGCATGCAAGGCAAGCACCCTACCTGTTATACTATTTCTCTGGCCCCTTCTTTTTTTAATTTTTTACTTAATTTTTTTTTGGAGCCACACCCCGTGGAACTCCTATTTCCACACTCAGGAGTTACTCCTTGTGGGCTTTGGAGACCACAGGGATGCAGGGGATCAAACCTGGGTCTGCCATGTGCAAGGCAAGTGCCTACCTGTTGTTTTATCTCTCTCAATTGCCCTGTTACTCTTTAAATTACACCTATATCCATAAAATTTCAGAACACCACAGACTTTTGTATGCTCTCATTCCTCAACATTGTAGATTACACATGGATTTTTATTGTAAATTACATAGGGATTTAAAAGGGATTTGGCATCTCATCATCTTTTACTTATGAATTGGGAGTTTTTTACCTTTCTCAATCAATACTTTTATTATTTTTTAATTTTGTTTATTAGTGAAACACCCTGAGGTACAGTTATAGACTTATACATTTTTGTGCTTGGGTTTCAATTATATAATGATCAAGTACCCATCCCTCCACCAGCGCCCATCCTCCACCACCACGGGTCTCAGCATCCCTCCCACTCCCCGTCCGCCCATCCCACCCTGCTTCTGTGGCAGGGCATTCCTTTTTTTTTTTTTTTTTTTTGCTTTTTGGGTCACACCTGGCGATGCACAGGGGTTACTCCTGGCTCTGCGCTCAGGAGTTACTCCTGGCGGTGCTCAGGGGACCATATGGGATGCTGGGAATCCAACCCAGGGCTGCTGCGTGCAAGGCAGACGCCCTACCCGCTGTGCTATTGCTCCAGTCCCAGGGCATTCCCTTTTGTTCTCTCTCCTTTTGGGTCCTGTGGTTTGCAAGAGAGGCATTGGGTGGCAATCATGTTTGGCCTATAGTCTACTTTCAGCATGCTTCTCCCACCCTGGGAGGATCCTCCCAACACCCTTTATTTGGTTCTCCCTTCTCTATCTGAGCTTCCTTTTCCCCTAGCACGTGTGGCTGGTCTCCAAGTCAAGGAGCAAAATTCCTGGTACTAATCTCGGCCACTCCTGGGTGTTAGTCTCCCATTTTGTTACTTTATGTTCCCCAGATGAATGCAATCTTTCTGTGTCTATCCCGTTCTTTCTGACTCATTTCGCTTAACATGATACTTTCCATGAAGTACCACTTGTATGTAAATTTCATGACTTCATCTTTTCTAACAGCTACATAATACTTTATTTTTTTTAATCAATACTTTTTTTGCTGGAGGAATTGTATCTTGAATTTCTAATTTTCCAGAATCAACTTATCTTTATTTTCAAAGAAAAATAAAGATTTTTCAAAAGAAGTGTGTATGAAAAAAAGTAGACTCAAAAAAGGTCTGAGGCTGGTGACATAGCTCAGTGGTACCTATGTGAGATCCTCAATTTAATCTCTGGTACTACCTAAAAACATTTTGCAAGGTTTGATCCTTGCTCTAGGACTTTGTGTGTAAGCTGGGCCATCTGGTCTATAAAATTTCTTTTGGACCTTTTGTAGAGAAATGCAAACAACAACAGGTAGATAATGAATACATATTCAGTAATAAACTTGCCTAAACTTAACCCCTGTTGCAGCTTCTACACCTCTGTGCGTAAAGAGTCTGGAACAAAATTGGTGGATGGGACTGGGCATAGACCTCACTACAGCCTTCGGACACTCTGCCGTGCCCTGCGATTTGCAGCCTCTAATCCGTGTGGCAGCATCCAGCGCTCGCTCTATGAGGTCTGTCTGCATTACGGGTGAATAGGAGCCTGCTCGGGGATGCTTGAGTATAAGAGAAAGGAGGGAAGGTGATACTTATGCCTTTCTGTCTACTTTCACAGAGTCATGTACATATGACTCAGTATTTCATTATTTTATACAGTTCTACCCTGTTGGGTTTCTACCCTTGGATCCCACATTTCATAGTTGTTTTGGAAACTGACATCACCCCTAAGTAAAAATAAGTTGGTCTTATTATAGAAGAGTAATCCATGTGATGTGTATTTGTGTTTTTGTGCCTTTTCCCCCCTAGGGCTTTTGTCTGGGTTTCTTAACACAGCTTGACAGGGCATCACACCCAGTGGTTCAGAAGCTCATTTGTCAACACATTCTTTCTGGCAATGTTAAAAGTCTTCTGAAGCAGGTATGTTCCTTTATCTCCTAACTTGTTTAACATAAGTTAAAAAACTAGATTAATCAGATCTCTAGCTTTTTAAAAAGGATTTTTCTTACATGAAATTTCTAATTCTGAAAACGCAATCTGCAAAAAAATTGAGTATTTGTGGCATCTTAGATTGTGAAATTCACCAGTAATATTTTTCTATGGAAATTCATAGCCTATCGATAGCTCCTTTATTAAATTTCTACATGTACTTTATAGTACAGCGTGTAGGGCATTTGCCTTGCATGCAGCTGCCCCAAGTTCCATTCCCAGTATCCTATATGGTCCTTTGAGCCCTGCCAGGAGTTATTCCTGAGTGCAGTGCCAGGAATAACCCTGAGTATCGCTGAGTGCCAGGAATAACCCTGAGTATTGACCCCAAAACAAAATTTTCCACCCAAACTCACCTACTTGAATTTTTTTTTTTTTTATTTTCTTTTGTTTTTTGGAGGCATGGGACCAGACTCAGCATTGCTCAGGACTTACTGGCTCTGTTTTCAGGAATCAGTCCTGGCAGGCACAGGGGACCATATGGGGTACTGGGGATTGAATCTGGGTTGGCCTTTTGTAGGGCAAACTCCCTACCCTGTGTACTATTTCTCTGGCCCCATATGTGAATTTAAAAGCCAATCCATGTCACCATTTTGTGCTTTGTTGTTGTAATTTTCATTACCTTTGAAATCTCTTGAGTTTTATTTATTAATGTTTTGAATTTATTTTTTTAAATTGACAGTGAGATATACTGTTACAAAGTCTTTCATGAATGAGTTTCACTCGTATAATGTTCCAGTACCTATCCCTTTAGCAGTGTACATTTTCCACCTCATTTCCTTCCTGTGCCCCTCCCTCATTCTGCCTTCATGTTAGGCATTTCCTCCCCTCCCCCCCTCTTTTTCTCTCTCTTTCCCTCCCTCTCCCACCCCCTTCCTTTTCCTCTCCCTCCCCTTCTCCCTCCCTCTCCCTGTGTCATCCCCATCCCTCTTTTCCTCTCCAGATACTGAAAGGTTATCATGTATATTCCTTTCTTTGTCCAGAGTGTTCATTTCCAACTATTCTTGTCATAGTGGTCCCTTCTCTGTCCTAACTGCCGTTTGACCCCCCCTGTATCTCAGAGATTTAGTGTTTGAAAGCATCAAAAACAAGGGAACCAGCATTCCTGGTGACAGCTTTTCCAACTTTATCCTTAAAGTTGCCCTGAAACGGATTACGTCTCTAACTTTTGTGTCTTTAGCCTATTCCAGAACCAAAAGGCGGTCGACTTATCCAGGTGGAAGGCTACTGGATTTCAGTGGGAGACAAGGAGCCCACGATAGATGAGGCGTATGTTCTTACATCTTCTGTCAAGCTGAACCTGAGAGATATCGTCCGAGTGGTCTCTGCGAGGTAGGTGGATCCTGACTTTCTCCATACTCTGAAATTTTACCTGTGTAGTCATTGGCTTTCTAGTCTCAAGTTCTTAAGCTTTCAAAGATCTTTTCGTTATTCATTAGCTAAATGAATAATTCCTTTCTAAAGTTGGTACTATAGCTTTTCTTGAGATACCAAGCATTGTTGGTAATTATATGGTGGAAGCAATATGCTCACTGACTGATTTGACCAATATGGAAAGGTATTTGGCTGTGATAACTCACCCATTACTTGGTAAGTGAATAGTACTCCCATTTCCTGGTGTGAAAGAGTTTAGAATTACTTTTCCTCATTTTCTGAGGACCTCTTTTATTCACTCAGAGCGTAAAAAGCTTTCCATTCATTCACAAGTCTATAAAAAATGCTTTCTTTTTGAAGTAATACTCGAATTAGTTCTGGCTTTATTTCTTTTTAAAAATCGCCTTGTTTGGGTGCTCTGAAGAACCTATCCAGTCCTGATTCAGGGAGAGACATCTGTTGGGAAAACAAGCCTGATCCGGTGGCTGGCTGCAGCTACTGGCAACCACTGTGTGCGAATCAACAACCACGAACACACAGATATTCAGGAGTATATTGGTTGTTACTCTTCTGACTCTTCAGGGAAGCTCACATTTAAGGAAGGTAAGAGCATGATTTCATTCCATGGATGTAGGTGTTGTTCTTCTGCGTTTTTTTCCTTCCAATAATTTACCTGCTTTCCAGTCGAAGCACAGCGACTTCTACCTTAATAAAGGCTGTTGATTCCTTTGGGTTCATGAATTCTTTCAGCTCTATTGTATAGGACAGGGACCAAGTTTCTTGCTTGTTTTTATTTTGGTGAGGGAGACAGGTTGGGGTTTGGGCCATCCCCGGTGGTGCTCAGGAGTTATTCCTCTCTCTGCACTCAGGAATTGTACCTGGGAATTACGCCTGGTGGTGTTTGGGGGAGTATATGGGATGCCAGTGATCAAACCCAGGTCAGCCGTATACAAGGCAAATAAATCCCCTACCCACTGGGCTATTGCGCTGGCCCAGGATTGGGGCCAGATTTGTCGGGGGGGGGGGGGGAAGCTATTTCATTTCCTAGGGTGAGCATTCAATGGAGGAAATCTGAGAACAGATATGAGGATATATGATAGAAATAAAATTTTATTTTATATCTACATGGGGAAGGTATGATAAACTGGAAATGTTATGGTTTGTCAGCACTGTACTGCTCCTCAGTAAAAAGTGAAAGGGACTGTTTATATTGAAAACTGGTATTAAGTGTTGCAATTCTGGGGGCAAGACTAGCTGCAAAGGATAATAACAATCAGCAGTTTATTGAATTGTATGTAATTACAAAAATGGAGGGGACTACTTTATGCACTAATTCTCAGTGTTTATTTCCTCCAAGGTGTTCTCATTGATGCCATGAGGAAGGGCTACTGGATTATCTTAGATGAGTTAAATTTGGCCCCTACTGATGTATTGGAGGCACTGAACAGACTATTGGATGATAACCGCGAATTGCTCATAACAGAAACACAAGAAGTTGTTAAAGCGCACCCCCGGTTCATGCTATTTGCCACCCAGAATCCCCCGGGACTTTATGGAGGCAGAAAGGTGTGTGACATTTGCCCCCTTCATTCCGTTTGTTGCCTCACCCAGTCATTAAGCATCCTTAGAATGCGCCCACTGTTTCCATGTACGTCGGAGGCTCTTCCTTCCTGTTAGGAATGGCAGGCAGCCTTCCTTAGCTGAGGTTAGCGGAAGAGGCTGTTGCTAGCAGGGCCTCTCTGTGTGTTTCCTAGGTGCTTTCTCGAGCTTTCCGGAATCGGTTTGTGGAGCTGCACTTTGACGAACTGCCGAGCTCTGAGCTGGAAACTATTTTGCACAAGCGATGTAGTTTGCCACCCTCCTATTGCAGCAAGTTGGTGAAAGTCATGCTGGACCTTCAGGTATCACATCGTACCACTTCATTCCAAGTGAAAAGTGTTGACGTGTTTTATGGATCAAGGTTTCACAGTTGCTTTGGGTAGAAGCCACAGTCTCTCCATTTCCGTGTGCTCCCTCTTCACATTGAGCAGTTAGAGTCTGGATTTTAAAAATTCACCCAGTAGAGTAGCTTTTTTGTGTGATTTTTTTTTTTCTTTTTGGGTCACACCGGTGATGCTCAGGGGTCACTCCTAGCTCTGCACTTGGGAATTACTTCTGGTGGTGCTTGAGGGACCATATGGGATTGATCTGAGTCAGCCAAACACTTTACCCACTTGTACTATTGTTCTTAACCTTGTGTTTTGTTTTTATATTAAATATTTACATTAAATATATTAATGTGATTTTTTGGGGGGGGGTGGTGGTGTTTTATTTTTTTTTGGGAGGGAGTCACACCCAATGATGCTCAGGGGTTACTCCTGGCTCTGAACTCAGGAATTATGCTTGGCAGTGCTTGGAGAACCTGGCTCGGCTGCATGCAAGGCAAATGCTCTACCTGCTGTGCTATCGCTCCGGGCCCTTTTTGTTGGTGTTTTATTATTATTTTTATTTATTCATTTTTTTGCTTTTTGGGTCATACCCAGCTATGCTCAGGGGTTACTCCTGGTGATGCTTGGGGGACCATATGGGATGCTGGGGATTGAACTCGGGTTGGCCACGTGCAAAGCAAATGCCCTACCAACTGTACTATCGCTCTGGTCCCTTGGTGGTGTTTTAAAGGATGAAAGTTTCCAGTTAGTAGATAGTATAACTTTTTGTTTATGCTTGTTCACATTGACAAAATAAGGTTTTTCGCGTATAACTGACGACACCCTGTGTGCCACTTGTCAGCTGCAAAGCTATGACTTTGGGGAGTTTTTTGTTTTGGGGGGGGTCGCACCTTGTAGTACTGGGGGCTATTCCTGTCTCTGTGCTTGAGAGTCACTCTCGGTGTTGCTCAGGGCACCGTGTGGTGCCAGAGAGGGAGCTTGGACTTCCTGCATACAGAGCATGCATGTGGTCCACTGAGCTACTTCTCTGGTCCCTGTACTTGCTTAAGAACTATTCCATAATGGGGTAAAATTATTCTTTATCAGAAATGTGTTCCCAGATTTTTTTTTTTTTGGTATGTTTTATTTTGTTCTGGGGCGGCACCTGGAGTTGCTCAGGGTTTTACTCCTCCCGCTGCTCTTGGGAATTACTCTAGGTCGTCCATGGGGCGTTTGTGTGCAAGGCAAATACCCTACTTGTTGTGCGCTCACTCTGGTTCCTCAAGTTGCTTTCTAAAAAGCCAGTAATAACTCTCTTAGATATGTCAAATCATAGGACTGACTTCCTGTTTATTTGCCACCATTTCTATTGTTTATAATCTCTACATGTTATGTGTAGTATAGAATGTCATTTTACTTTTTTATTCTTTTTTGATTTTGGGGTCACACCCAGCAATGCACAGGGGTTACTCCTGGCTCTGCATTACTCCCGGTGGTGCTCAGGGGACCCTATGGGATGCTGGGTATCAAACCCAGGTCGGCTGTGTGCAAGGCAAACTCCCTGCCCACTATGTTATCGCTCCAGCCCCCATTTTTCATATTTTTATGCATGAACATTTCTTAAGCCATTTATGTTAAATATTCAGTGAAAAAATGTTTCAGTGAGAATTTAAATTTGTTAAGAATTTGCGGTATATGTTGTCATCACCCCCTTTCCTTTGCTCTTGCTACTTTAAATAGTCCTATCGTCGGGGTTCATCAGTGTTTGCTGGAAAGCAGGGCTTCATCACGCTTCGTGATCTGTTTCGATGGGCTGAAAGATACAGACTGACTGAACAGATGGACAAAGAGTATGACTGGTTACAGCATTTAGCCAATGATGGTATGTTTTTAATCAAATGTTCTTAAAGTGAAGTCTTATCAAATACTGATCTTCTCGTTGTAGCTCTTAAAGCGCGTCTTATCCATGTTGTAGTCAGTATCTCTATATAGAGATATAGTCTATATCTATAGTTTGTAACTCTATATTTGTACTATCTCTATCTTTCACTAGGTGTTCCAGAAACAGCCTTTGTCCTTAAAACCCCAGTTGCTTTTTATTTACTTATATTTTGTTTTGTTTCGGGGCCACATCCTGGCTCTGTGCTTGGTCATACGTGATGCCAGGGGCCCCTCAATTCCTTTTGTAAGTGTCCCTGTTTCTGCAGGTCTGTGGACTTGTGTGACCTGGTTGCTAAGAATTTTTCACTCTGCCTTAGGTGTCCACATGAGGGAATCAGGGTATAGGTGCAGCGCCTTTGGGGATCTGGCCAGGTGTTTGTAAGTGTCTCACTAGATCATTTATTTTCAGTGTGGTGACCATAGGTAGATCTTAGAGAGAGAGAAAAAAACAGTTATGTGATTTGAGACTCTCATATGGTCATTTTGGTTTAATTCTTGGGAAGCATTTGCATATTCCTCTAGAAGACAGAAAACATTACAGGTATTTTGTTTGAAAGTTGTTAATTATTTAGTAATGGAGTAATTAGTAGCAATAAGTAAACTAATCCATAATTGGTTAGGAGGAGGTAGATCAGTTTTATTTATTTATTTATTGCTTTTTGGGTCACACCTGGCGATGCACAGGGGTTACTCCTGGCTCTGCACTCAGGAATTACTCCTGGCAGTGCTCAGGGGACCATATGGCATGCTGGGAATAGAACTTGGGTCGGCCGCGTGCAAGGCAAACGCCCTACCTGCTGTGCTATCTACTCCAGCCCGAGTAGATCAGTTTTAGAATGCCTGCTTTATGAGTATCAGTCCTGCAGTTGAATCCCCAGTAAACCAAAAAAAAAATTTTTTTTTTAAGACACTGAAACAAACAAATCTGGTCGTGGGTATAATTTTCTCTTCCTTTTTTTGTTTTTATTATTGGGTAACGTGGAGTTATTCAAGGCTTACTCCTACTTGTACACTCAGGAATCACTCCTGGCCGGTATCCTGAGGTGATAAATATGTGGTGCTCGGGGTTGAACCTGGGTTGGTCACATGCAAGACAAGCACTCTGCCTGCTGTACGATTGCTTTTTCCCATATTCTTTCTTTTTCACAGGTAAAGGATAGAGAATTTCCTTGAAAACATAGAGACAGTCAAACAAAAACCCCAAGTTACTGAGGTCTAGTATAGAGCAATGTGATCGAAGTGTTCTATTCGATGTGCAGCCCAGTGTATTCTTTTAGATATCTGTATGATCTCATATACACCTGCACCTAGGCCAAGATGATGGATATTTCCAGCAGTCCGCGGAGTCAGGCTGGACCCATGTGGACCTGCTGCTGACTTCTGCTCTGACCGTCCTTGTGGGATGATTGCACTGCTCTTGTCCTTTATTTTGCCGTGTCTGTTCTTTGGGTCGAGCTCTTTTTTTTTTTTTTTTCACTTAATCCAGTGTGAACTTCAGGTGCCCTTATGTGAATCTTAGCACGTTCTTTTCCCGTGGCTGCTTAACACGCCTGTGAGGATGCCACAGTTTGTCCTTCCTCATTGATGCACATCCTCATTGATGTCTATGTCTCACCTATGAATAAAACCGCTCCAAATGTTCTCTTAGTGCTTTTGGGCATAGACATGTGCTAGCTTGTGTTTGAATCTACCTAGAAGTCACATTGCTGGGTTCCTGGGATATGCTCAGTGTCATGTGCTCTCCCTGTATTTCAGAGTCGTTCTCCAGGTTTCCATTGGGCTGCAGTATATGATGGCTGCTTATCATTCCATGTTCTCATTATCTGGTGGTACCAGCGCTTGATAACTCTTTTTTTTTTTTTTTAAGGTTTTATGCTTTTGGCAGGCCGAGTCAGGAAGCAGGAGGAGGTTGATGTGATTCAAGGTGTCCTTGAAAAACATTTCAAGAAGAAAGTATGCCCTCAGTCTCTCTTCTCCAAAGAAAATGTCTTAAAATTGCTGAGTGAGTATGCCATACTGTATAGAGTGTATTAATGTGTGCTCCTATTAGAAATTAATTTTTTTTTTTAACTTCTGCTAGGTAAATTTTCTACTCAGATATCCTCATTGGACTCTAAGTTCAGCCACATTGTGTGGACCAAGAGCATGCAAAGGCTGGCAATGCTGGTGGGAAGGGCTTTGGAGTTCGGTGAAGCGGTGCTGCTGGTTGGAGACACTGGGTAAAGTTCAGGGACAGGAGCTCTATGAGAGTTCGCTTTTATCATAGGCTTACTTGCGTCATGGCAGAAAAACTCAAGAAAAGTCTCTCTCTCTCTCTCTCTCTCTCTCTCTCTCTCTCTCTCTCTCTGCTGTCCTCCTTTTTAATTATTTTCAGAGAAAGAAGACAATCTCTCATTATGTTCTATCTTGAATTCAGGGCCTCATGCCTGTTAGGCGTTTTGCTGATCTACAATCCAGAGGCCCTATTAAATTGTCTTAAACAACAACATCGTTTTCTTTTTCTTTTTTTTTTTCATCGTTTTCTTTAGTGTTAGAGGATAGTAGTAGATGAGTTAGTTTCTCTTTACAGTCAATAAGGATCAAATCCTTTCTCCCTCCTTAGTGGTTGTGGATAGAAATGGGAAGGCCTGGAATTTGTCTAGTTTCTGCCATCCTGGGTAAGGACGACAGGAGGTGCTTGTGCTTTGGAGACGGGTATCCTGAGCCTGGGGTCTGGAGGTCCTGCATTGTTCAGCACTGTCCACTCTGCAGTGTTGACTTTGGGGTGTTCTGTGGCTCTGCATTTGGAACTTATGCTCCTTGTCAAGCCAGTGTCTCTCTTTGACAGGTGTGGAAAAACTACTATTTGTCAAATGTTTGCAGCCTTGGCAAATCAGAAGTTGTATTCCGTTAACTGCCACCTGCACATGGAGACATCAGACTTCTTGGGGGGGCTGCGACCAGTGAGACAGAGACCCAAAGACAAGGTTTGTCCGTCAGTGAACAGTGGTGTGTTTATTCATTGAAAGAGCTCAGGTTGACTGTGTATGAATTTGGTGCGGATTGTTTTAATGGCCATTGTTTGACAGCCACATGTTTTTTTTTTGTTCGCTTTTGGGTCATACCCAGCAGTGGTCAGGTCTTATTCTTGGCTCTTCACTCATGGGTCATTCCTGGTGAAGCTCGAGGAACCACACGGGCTGCCAGGGATTGAACCCTGGTCAGCTACGTGCCAGGCAAGAGCCTTACTTGCTGGATTATTTCTCAGGCCCTGCTGGCTGTGTGTTTGGTCTTCAGGTTTTCACTATTTCCTGAGGGTCTTTATGAGTAACCCTGCAGAGCCTTGCCATGTTGTCAGACCATTTCTGATTACTTCACCCTGATGGGCGCACCAGCTTGCTATCAGAACGTTGACTTGTGAGCTGTTACCTTTGAGGTTGAAGTTTGACACCCTCTTCTCTTCCCCCAACAACTTTCCAAATTGTAGGAAGAAGCGGACACATCCAGACTATTTGAGTGGCATGATGGGCCCCTGGTTCTTGCCATGAAGGAAGACGGCTTCTTCCTCATGGATGAGATTTCACTGGCTGATGACTCTGTCCTGGAAAGACTCAACAGGTACAAGGAGCAGACCTGAGAGATTGGCCAATGTTTGATGTGATCTTGGTTATGTTCTCCTAGGTGCATGGTAGCAGCTTGACTCATTTACTTCTTCCTGTGTTTGTCTGGGAGCTGCCTCAGACTCAGGCCCAGGGGATTGTGTGGTGCTGGGAGTCAAACCCAGCTCTCCAAGCAGGCACTCGGCTTGTTGAGCTCTCTTTCCGGTTGTTTTTTCTTTCTTTTGTAATTGCATTCATTTATTTTTGTTTTTATTTGGGGGTCAGACTTGGCAGTGCTTGGGGTAATTCCTGACTGTGCTGATGCATCACTTTTTTTTTAAATTTTTTGTAAATCACTGTGAGCTACAGATACAAAGCTTTCATGTTTGAGTTTTAATCATACAAATGATCGAATACCCATTCCTCCACCAGCATACATTTTCCATCACCAGTGTCCCCAGTATCCCTCCCTGCCTCCCATCCCTTCACTTTCCCTGCCTCTGTGGTAGACAATTTCCCTCTTATTCTCTCTATTTTGGGGCATTAATGGTTTACAATCCAGATCCATCTTGTTTGGTCCTTTATCTACTTTCAGCACACATCTCCCATCCTGAGCGATTTTCTCCAACCGTCATTGAGTTAGTGATCCTTTCTCTATCCCAGCTGACTGAAGCATCACTCTTGACAGGCTTGGGGGACCATATGGGGTACTGGGATTAAAACTGGGTTGGCATGCAAGGCAGTCAACCCCTGCCTGCTCTACTATCTCCAATCACTCTCTTTTTAAAATTTTTTTAAACTTTAATAGGTTCATCATTTTATTTTATTTATTTTTGGTTTTTTTGGGGGGGTCACACCTGGTGATACTCGGGGGTTACTCCTGGTTCTGCACTCAGGAGTTACTCCTGACCAATGCTCAGGGGGCCATATGGAATTCTGGGGGTTGAACTCGGGTTGCCATGTACAAGGCAAATACCCTACCTGCTGTACTATTGCTCTGGTCCCCGCTCTCTCTTTTTAAAAAGGTTTAAAAATGATAAGGAGTCATAGTTATTTTTTTTTTCTTTTGCATCACACCCGGTGATGCACAGGGGTTACTCCTGGCTTTGCACTCAGGAATTACTCCTGGTGGCGGTGCTCGTGGGATCATATGGGATGCTGAGAGTCGAACTCGGGTCGGCTGCGTGCAAGGCAAACGCCTTATCATTTTTGAGGAGGGGACCACACCCAGCTGTGTGCAGAGTTCATTCCTGGTTTTAAGGGATTTTTACTCCCGCTGGGGGGCTCTGGCGACCATAAGAGGTACTGGAGTTGGAACCCAGTTTGGCCACTCATAGGACTTAACTTGCTGTACTATCTCTCCTGCCTAACTAATTTTTTTTTTTTTTTTTTTTTGATACTGGGGATACCTGACTGGTGATATGCAGCCACGCAGGCTGGTTGAGGCACTGCTGCTTAGACCGGGCAGCGCCGGGTGGCCCAGTGTTCTCCTGGCTGTGCCTGCACCTGTGGTGGCAGGGGTCAAACGGGACTGTGGACATGCTAGGCACGTACCACTCAGATCCAGCTTCCCTGGTACACTCTCCATCTGAAAGCCAAGTCGGACTGAGGGATGCTGAAACAGTTTGTGTTCTTTTGTATTTGTATATTTATATCCATGAAATTTATTCATTTTAAATGTGTAGGTCCGGAAATGTGAGTAAATTTAGGGCTTGCAGCAACCACATTACAGTTTTCCATCGGTGGTTTCTTCTCACTTTGTTTTAATATTCATTCTGTTCTTTCCTTTGTTTTCTGTTTCTTTTTGAGCCACACCTGGCAGTGCTCAGAGTTTACTCTTAACCTGTGCTCAGGATCATTCCTGACAGGGCATGGGGGGACCATATAGGTTGCTGGGGACTGAACCTGGGTTGGCCATGTGCAAGGCAAATGCTCTACTTACTGCTGTACCATAGCTTTGGCACTGCTTTAATAGCCTGAGGTTTATTCATAATGCAGCCTTTATCAGTTGCTTGTTCTGTTCTACTTCTAGTATTGTGTTGTATAGATCTACCATATTTAAAAAAAATTCTTTTCTTATTTAATGTCATTTGGATTGTTTCTGTTTCTATAGCTAATGCTACCATGGACATTTGTATGCAAGATAGATGCACGAGTGTTTTTTTTTTTTTTTTAAACGGGCGGGTCCCAGTCACACCCAGCGGTGCTTCTGGCTCTGCGCTCAGGAATCACTCCTGATGATGCATGGGGGACCATATGGGATGCTAGGGAGTGAATTGGCATGTGAGGCAAGTGCACTACCCACCGTACTAAGATGCAGGTTTTAAAACAAATTCTGTCATAGGGGCATAAGTAGAAAGAGAAGTCAGTCATTTTAAAATTTGTGGTAGAAAACTAAAATGAAAGCTCAGCAGAGATCAGTGAAACCACAAAACAGAATAAACCTCTAATCTTCAGTTTTCTTTTTTTTTTAGTGTCCTTGAAGTGGAGAAATCCTTGGTATTAGCTGAAAAGGGCAGCCTGGAAGATAAGGATAATGAGGTAGAGCTGTTGACTGCTGGAAAAAAATTCCGTGTCTTAGCAACCATGAATCCTGGGGGTGACTTTGGAAAAAAAGAGGTAAAGTAAAATGGAGCATATGGTTCGGGTGATTTTGAGCCCCAGAATTAACCCATGCATTGAATCAGGAGTAGCCTCCAAGCACCACTGGCTATGACCCCCAAATATAAAAGAAGACTTTGCAATTTTATAGCAAGTCTGTAAAGACTGTGAGGGCGGTGCTTGGGACGGTGTGATAGAGATCAGTGAAAAGACATGGGAGAAGCCAGAATAAAGTTGGGTCTCATAAAATGTTTCCAGTGAAAAAGCAGCTAGTACTTGCCAGAATTTTAGTTAACTTTCCCCCAAATGTTTGGTTTGTTTTTACTTTCCTCCTTGTTCTTAAATCCACATTGGAATTTGTGTTCCTTGTAGTTGTCTCCTGCCTTGAGAAACCGGTTTACGGAAATATGGTGCCCTCAGAGCTCGAGCCGGGAAGACTTAATTCAGATCATCAGTCGTAATCTTCAGTCTGGATTGTCTTTTGGCAGAACAGATCATAAAGGTGAGAATGTTTAGCTGATGGTGATGGTAACAAGGTACAGGTATGGTACGGGAGGACATTATCAGCGTGTGGTTTATAGTCTATAGGGAGAGGAGGGAAAAAATGGGAAAATTTACCCAAGTCACTAAGGAAAACATGAGGATAGGCAGATGCCTTCTTTCAGGGTAACCCTTCTTTGTACTATCCCCTTCACTGTACTTGTTAAATTCTAGTTCCTATTTGTTTCATGTTTTGGACTGGGGGGTAGGGTGGGTAGATGTTGGGGACACAGTGCTCAGACGTCACTCTTGGCAGTGCTCAGATGATGGTGCCGTTGTGGGAAATAGACCTGGGATTCTGATGCAGGGCATATGCTCTGGTCCTTTGGATAATTATTTCACTGGCTTTGGTCAACATTTCTTTTTGTTTTTGGGCAGTACCATATGGGATGCCCGAGATTGAACCCAGGTTGGCCGTGTGCAAGGCAAGCAGTGTACCCACTATACTATCTCTCCAGCCTCTTATTTTTATTTTTTGATATCTAGAAATGCAGTTTAAAAAAATAACGCACAGGAGATATTGCTGTATCACCATCTACCTCTTCACCTTTTACTTCTATTGTTGATTTGGGGGCTAGAGGTATAGTGCAGTAAGTAAGGTCTGTTCCCTGCATGTGGCTGTTCCTCGTTGAAGTCTTGCCATCACATAATGGTCTCTCAAGCACCTCTGGGAGTCGGCACTGAGCACTGCTAGGTGTGGTCCTCAGTGCCCAAACAGTGTACATTACTTTTTTTTTTTTTTTAAACTTTTTGAGTTATACCCGCCAGTGCTCAGGGATCATTCCTGGCTCTGCACTCAGAAATTATTCCTGGTGGTGGTGCTAAGGGATCCTATGAGATACCAAGAATCAACCTGGGTCAGCCACAGTCAAGGTCACTCTGGCCTCCATTGTATACATTATTCTCTTTATTTTGTTTTGGGACCATTGGTAGTGCTTGGGGGACCCTATGGGATGCTGGGAATTGATCCCGGGTTGGTCTCTTGCAGTGCAGTCGCCCTGCCTTCTGTAGAATCACTTTGGTCCCAGTGTTCATTAGAGCTTAAACCTGATGCAATGTTCAGTGTTCCATCTGTGGACTTTACTGAAAGCTGCATGTTCTTGAAGCCATCTGTAGAAGAACAGGTGGCCCTTGTGTTCCATTTCCTACTTAAGATTTTTACCTTCACTGGTAAAAAGGTTGCAGGTAGTTGCCACTGATTGAACTGTTTACATGTCTGTGTTTCCCCTCAGGAGTGGAGTAACTGGTGTAGCCCCCAAGACACTGAATTTTTTTTATTTAAAAAAATATTTTTTTATTAAATCACCATGAGATAAACAGTTACAAAGTTGTCCATGTTGAGTTTCATTCATACCATGTTGACACCGGATTTTAAGGATATTCTCAAGCACAGCTTTAAAACATAGTGGGGTTGCTGTGGCAAGACCCTTCTATGCTGCGTTAGGACTTGGTCTTTTTCAGTCACCTGGTCTTTAAAAAGGGCCTGTGCTTAACATTCTCAGGTGTACCCAGTGCTGCCTGACCAGCTGTGTTCCCAGGCCTCACCTGTGTTGCTCTTACAGATCTCACTTAAGCCTGTGGTTCTCAAATTGACAGTGATGTTTATTTGTTGAAATGCAGCTTGTTGGGTGCCCTACCCAGCTTTTCTGATATTACTCTTTCTGGGTTGAGACATGAGAAAAAAGCATCTGCCTTTTTTTTTTCTTTTTTTTAATTAGTGAAGCACCATGAGGTACAGTTGTAGATTTACAAATCCTTGTGCCTGAGTTTCGGTCATACAATGATCAAATACCCATCCCTCCACCAGTGCCCATTCCCCCCCTCCCCCCCCCCTCCCCCCCGCCTCTGTGGCAGGGCATTCCCCTTTGTTCTCTCTCTCCTTTTGGGTGTTGTGGTCCGCAAAAGAGGCATTGAGTGGCAATCATGTTCAGTCCATAGTCTACTTTCAACATGCATTTCCCCTCCTGGGAGGATCCTCCAAACACCTTTCATTTGGTGTTCCCTTCTCTATCTGAACTGCCCTTTCCCCTAGAATATTCGGCTGGCCTCTTAAGTTATGGAGTAATCCTCCTGGTGTTGATCTCAGCTATTCTTAGGTATTGATCTCATATTTTGTTGCTTTATATCCCCCAGATGAATGCACTTTTTCTATAGCATCTGCCTTTTTAGCCAATTCCCAACCGATACGATAATATTAGTTCATAGTCCAGGACACAGAATCTATTTCGCCACACTTGTGAGCTGTCTGCAGTGGCGCTTTTACTGTTCTTGAAGGGGAAATTGTGATAACAAAGGGAAAAGATAGAAACTGCAGGCTCCATATAGCCTGTCTTTTGACTTTGTGTTGGGGCAGATGCCTTCAAGGGCATGCCTGAATCACTCTTTGGTCACTTCCTCCTCTGATCATCAAATGAATGGTAATGGGGACTGCTGCCATTTTAATTTTTATGGTTTGATGAACTCCTTGGGACTACGATCAAAGCTATGGACACGCTCTCTTTAGAAGAACAGTTGATGTCCATTGGCAAAAACCTGCATGATTTCATGGAGCACAGAGTCTTTCTGGCCACCCATGGGCCCCCAGTCACATAGCCCTATTGAGGAGCCCACTGCTGTAATTTTTTTTTTTTTTTTTTTTTTTTTTTTTTTTGCTCTTTGGGTCACACCCAGTGATGCACAGGGGTTACTCCTGGCTCATGCACTCAGAAATTACTCCTGGCAAAATTACTTGGGGGACCATATGGGATGCTGGGAATCGAACCTGGGTCAAACTTGTGTAAGGCAAATGCCTTACCTGCTGTGCTATGGCTCCAGTCCAGCCCACTACCATATATGGCAGATCCATGCACATCTTTGTGTTGTAGGGCTTGACATTGCCGAGGTGATGCTGGATTTCATCGACTGGCTGACCCACCAGGAGTTTGGGCGAAGGTGTGTCATCAGCATCAGAGATATTCTGTCCTGGGTTCACTTCATGAACACAATGTGGGAGGAAGCTGCTTCGAAAAGGCCTGACTCCATCTCCACTGTGATGTCCTTTGTTCACGCTGCGTGCTTGGTGTACATCGATGGAATAGGTTCAGGTATGGTGTCTGTTAGTTGTTGGGGACCAGTGTACCAGGGTCAAGGGGGTGAATGAAACAGCAAGTTCAGATGGTTGGTTGGAACTCTTTTGAAACTCATAATCTAGGGTGGGTTTTTTTTTTACCCTTTTCATCCTGGGGTTTTGGGCCATACCTGGCAAGGTTCAGGAGTTACTTCAGGCTCTACACTTTGGACTCACTCCTGGCGGTGCTTAGGGGACCGTATGCGATGCTGGGGAGCAAACCTGGGTCGGCCACGTGCAAGGCAAGTAAGTGCCTTACTCAGTTATAGCAGCTCTCTTACCCCGTCCCTTACTCTAGTATTTGTAAGACTCAGAAGCGCTATCCTTTTATTTTTATTCCTTTTTCGAGATGTGATTTACTGAAACTTGTCGTAATTTATAGACGAGGCACTTAGTAAATGTGAAGGGCAATGAAGAGAAAAAAGACTGTTAGAAATGTCTTTCATTCTGAAGGAGTGGATGAAATTCCTTCTTGTCAGAAATTGTCATTTATGCATACTGGCCTGAGTCATTTATTTAAGCTTACTATAATTACATCGGGCTGGAGCGATAGCACAGCAGTAGGGTGTTTGCCTTGCACGCAGCCAACATGGCCGACCCAAGTTCGATTCCTCCGCCCCTCTCGGAGAGCCCGGCAAGCTACCGAAAGTATCTCACCTGCACGGCAGAGCCTGGCAAGCTCCCTGTGACGTACTCGATATGCCAAACACAGTAACAACAAGTCTCATGATGGAGACGTTACTGGGCCCGCTCGAGCAAATCGATGATCAACGGGAGGGCCTTTACCTTTACCTTTTATAATTACATCTGGTTTAGTATTTCAAGAGTCAGAAGAGATAGTACTGGAAGTAAGGGGCTTGCCTTGTCTGCAGCTACAGCGGTTGCAACCATGGTTCGAATCTCTATGGTTGGTAGTGTCCAGACCACATATGGTCCCCTGAGCACCACGAGGGTTCACTTCTGAGCACAAAGTTGGGAACAGACCCCAAACACCATCAGATGTAGGCCCCCTCATATTCCCATCCCCTCCCGAAGAAGTTTAGTTAGTGTCAGTATTTAAGTTCTGCTTTTTTCTGTCATAGGATTAGAAATAGAAACCAGGGTGACCAGTAATTTTTTTTACTTTTTAATTTGGACCACATCTGATGTTACTTAGGGGCTACTCCCAGCTCAGTGCTTGGGAATCATTCCTGTTGGTGCTCAAGAGACCATGAGGTATCAAGACATGATCCCAGGCCTTGTGCGTGTAAAACATGTGCTTAGCCCATTGAGGTCACTCTCCAGGCTTTGTTTATAATTTGTTACTAACTTGTTCTTTGTTTATTTCCAGGCTAGTATAATGTGACTACGTTGCTGTTGAATTGATGATGATATTTAATTGTGGGGAGATGGGGACAGATTTTCATCTTAAGACTGCTTTCCTCTAATGATTAGGCGGACTCTCTTTGTGCATGTTTTCCTAGGAACCTACTCCCTAGTGTTTCTGCTAAGTGATTGTGAGGCTTAGGCCATACTTGAACTGACTTTGCTCACCAGTTTGGGCTTTTGTATTTCAGGAGCAACTTCCTCTGGATTTGGTACTGCCCTGTTGGCTCGCAAAGAATGCCTGAAATTCCTGATGAAGAAACTTTCCAAGATTGTTAGACTTACAGACTGTCAGAAAAGTGAATTGAAGATCTATGACAGACTTAAGACCAAAGAATTCACGGAACTAGATAATCTTTGGGGAATTCATCCATTTTTTATACCAAAGGGTAAGAATGACTTTATATAAATGATTATTGTCTTGTGAGTCATAGATATGACCTTTTCATCGTGAGTTTTTAGTTTATCATTTTTTTTAACTGAGTTATAATCTGACAAGGCCTAACTATGGGAATGTTTTAAATATGTAACTGACATACAGATATGGAGAAATATATTCTTTTTTTTGTAGTCATAAAGAGAAATATATAAGACATTTATTCTTGGTGCTCACAAGAACATTTCTTCAGTGATAATTCATCTCACAGTGTATAAGCTAGATCACCTTTTACAAAGGGCTTCACGAGCCCTCTAGGACAGATATCATGTCATTCATTTTCCTCCTGTTCCTTGTCTGTCGTGTGTCGTGGCAGACCTTTAGAAAATATCTGTTAAAAGAATGATTCAGGGTGAAATGTGGGCTGGTTGGGTTTCAGTCCTGGTTGTCATTCTTATTGGCAGCCCCTCTCTCCCCAATATTTAATGAGATAATTGGATTACATGTCTTTTGAGTATTTTTTGTGTGTGTGTGTCTGTGCTGGGATTTGAACCCAGGACCTAACAGAAGCAAGACAAATGTTCTCACTGAGCCACTTCCCAGGTTAGATTAGATCTCTTTTAAGGTACTCGGAGCTTTTCAGATTGTTGTTTTCCTAGCGTGGGCATTTTTTTTTCTTTCTTCCTTCCTGCACATGTAGTTTTGTGTATGAAATGGTAGGCACAGTAGACAGTTACTAGTTAGTGATAAACGAAACCTGTGAAGGTTTAGCCTGGACTTTGTTTGCTGGACATTGGCTGTAGCATTGCCAGTGGCCCGCTGTCCCTTTACCTCTCCCTCTTCGACAGTATTGCCAGCCTGATCTAACGGCTAGGTGCCTATGCTGGGCCCCCCGCACAGTGCGTAGTATTCAGTGTGGGACTCTTGGTTGGCCCGCCTCAGAGCTTCTGCTTCTTGTGCCCTCTACTCCGCCAAGCTTCCAGGAGACCTGGTGGCAGGAGCATTAAGTCCTGAGCCTGCCGTTATTCCTTTACTTCTGTAACAGTGTGGGGGAAAGGGTGTGTCTTGAATTTTCCTGGTGGCCTAAAACCCTTAGATGACTTTTTTTATATGGAGGTTGGAGGAGGAATGATTCAATTGGCTGAATTCATGCTTTGCCTGTGGAAGGCCGACTTGGTACTGTATAGTCCCTAGTTATTGCTGGGAGTGACTCTTAAGCACCGCCAGGTGTCCCCAAAATAAAAACCATGTATGTATGTATGTATATATGTGTTTTAATATAACATACATAAGATAAGTATATAGTTTTGTTTGGGAGTGTCATTTGTGGCAGTGCTCCAGGATCCATATGAGGTGCAGGTCTGCCATGTGCAAGGCAAGTGCCTTTCCCGCTGTACCATCTCTTCAGAACATACAAATTTTAAAATATGGAACCGGGTGTCCCTTATCGCCTAACTTCTTAGGATTGCTGTATAGGAAAACACAAATATGAAGGAGGTAAACTTGCTCTAGTGATTCTTGTATTACATTGGGAAAGCAATCTCGCTGTTTGACTTCTCGGTCAGGAATAGGGCCTTGGGAGCTCTGGGTATTGGGAACAGGTGAAAAGAGTTGGCTGCTGGCTTTTCAGGTAAAACATTTTAGGGGCTCGCGAGTGGGTTGAAATGTCACCAATGCATTTTCACTGCAGATCAGAAATCCACTGTCTACTTGGTGAGTGTCACTTCACATTAACAGATAGTGTGGTGATGCCCGACTTACGTGTGACTTTGCTTTTCTCCCTTTGAGGACCTGTCCTGAATAGGACCAGTGCTGCAAAGGACTATACGCTCAGTGCAGGCACCACGGCTATGAACGCACAGAGGCTCTTAAGAGCTACAAAACTGAATAAACCCATTCTCCTGGAAGGTTCCCCCGGTGTGGGCAAGACGAGCTTGGTGGATGCATTAGCAAAAGCTTCCGGCAATACCCTTGTTCGAATCAACTTGTCAGAGCAGACGGTAAGTTTAGTGATTCGGTCACTGATGGGAATAGGTTTGAGGAGTTATGTTTGTGTCTCTGAATGTCCTGATCAAAAGTAGTTATGGCATTGTAAGCACCACAGTATTTTCTGGTGGTAAGACTACAATCAAACCTTCCAAAAGGAGTCACCTCTGAATCCTATAATAATCTCTCTGGGTACTTTATTCTAATTTTTGTGTATGGGCCACACCTGTCTGTGCTCAGGGTATACTCCTGTCTCTATGCTCATGGATCACTCCTGGTGGCTCCGGGGATTATTGGTGCTGCTGGAATCAAACCTGGGTCAGCCATGTGCAAGGCAAATGCCCTGCCCACTGTATTATCACTTTGGGCCTCAATTCACTTTTAAAAAATTTTTTTACTTTTTTTAATGATTTTTTTTTTTTTTTTAGTGAAACACCCTGAGGTACAATTGTAGACTTATAAACTTTTGTGCCTTGGGTTTCAGTTATACAATGATAAAGTACCTATCCAGTAGAGCCAGTTCTCCACCACCAATGAACCCAGTAGCCGCCCCCCCCTCTCTCTCTCTCTCTCTCTCTCACACACACACACACACACACACACACACACACCCCTACCCTACCCCCCCTCTGTGGCAGGGCATTTCCTTTTGCTGTCTCTTTCCTCTAGGGTGTTGTGGTTTGCAATAGAAGTATTGAGTGGTTATCGTGTTCAGTCTGTAGTCTACTTTCAACACGCATCTCATATCCCAAGCGAGTCCTCCAAACACCCTTTACTTGGTGTTCCCTTCTCTATCTAAGCTGCCTTTTCCCCCAGCATGTGCTGCTGGCTTCCAAGCTGTGAAGTGGACCTCCTGGTACTTATCTCAACTATTCTTGAGTATTCGTCTCCCCTTCTGTTACTTTATATTCCCCAGATGAGTGCAGTCTTTCTATGTCTGTCCCTGTCTTTCTCACTCATTTCACTTAGCATGATACTTTCCATGTAGAACCATTTGTTTGTCTCTAATTCACTTTTAAGATTGTATTACCAGGTCCTGGAGAGCCTTGGTGTGGGCGGGGCATTTGCCCTTGCACGTGGCTGACCGGGATTCAATACCTACCACTCTCTATGGTCTCCTGAGCACTGCCAGGGTGATCTTTGAGCACAGAACCAGGAGTAATCCCTGAGCACCACTGGGTGCCCCCCACCTCCAAATGTTGCCTGTTTTAATATATATTGTAATGTGTCTCTAGTTTTGTTCTTTCTGAAAGCCAGATATGTGGCTCAGTGTTAGAATGCCTGCCTTGCACGTGTTAGAATACCTGCCTTGCACGTGTGAGGCCCTGGGTTTTATCCCCGCCATGTAAAAGTGATAAAATGATTACTGCAACACTCTCATGCAAGAGACAGATGACAGTTTAGGTGAGAATGTCTTCAAATCAGCTCTGCAAACAAGGTTTGGTGCTTATGTTGATTTTTATTTTGAAGTTCAGTTTATTTGCAAGCACAGTCAAAATTGAAAACTGTAGATCTTCTGCTTGAGTTTTAGTTGGAGTAGATTGGTATTTGTAGCATTGTGATAAGAATTTGCTCGGACCTCCCTGATCTCCAGGTCAGAAGTGCTGGGATTGATCTGTTCTCTGTTGAATGTAAGAAGAAAAACTGGTTCATTTTAGATGCAGGGTCTTGGGCGCTAGTTCATCTGTTATACAATTTTAGCATTTGTCTGTTCCTTCCCCTTCCGTAGGACATCACAGACCTGTTTGGAGCTGATTTGCCTGTTGAAGGTGGCAAAGGAGGAGAGTTTGCATGGCGTGATGGGCCCTTGCTGGCAGCTTTAAAGGCAGGCCATTGGGTTGTGTTGGATGAGGTGAGATGACTGCGTCTTGCTAAGATGGGGTCACAATGTGAACTGGGACACTCTGAGTAGATGCTTATACTGTTGACTAGAAAGGCAGATTCTCTGGTGAAGAGAACCCTTTCATGTATAAAAAAGATAACCCCTACCGCCCCCCCAAAAAGTAGAAAGAAAAGTCACCTGGCTATTGTTTGAAAAGAAGTTTAAATAGTCCCCTGTCTGAAAGCACACTTAGAAGTCTTCATGAATACCTCTAAGTGCTCCTACCGTTTCAGTCTAGACCAGAACAAAGCTGCCTCCTCAGTGTTTGAATCCAATTTCTGCCTGGCTCTCTCTATTTATTTTAGAAATACTTTACAACAGCACTAACAGACTAGAGAAAGTTGCAGTTAAAAGACATATGCAAAACTTTGCATTTGCATTTGCTTTCTTTATGTTTCACATGGATCAATTATGACTTTTTCACTTAGCATAATACCCTTAAAGTCTAATCATGTTATGGCAAATGGTGAGATTTAATTGACTGAGTTGTATTGCCTTGCCTTATACCACCTCTTTAGTTATTCATCCATGAATGAATAATTTGTTTCTGGATTTTTTTTTAACATTTCCGGTCACACTTGGTGATGCACAGGGGTTACTCCTGGCTCTGCACTCAGGAGTTACTCCTGGCACTGTTCAGGGGACCATAGGGGATGCTGGGGACCAAACCCCAGTCGGCTGCGTGCAAGGCAAATGCCCTACCTGCTGTACTATAGCTCAGGCCCGTTTCCTTATTCTTGACCCTTGTAAATGATGTTGCAAGAAAATATATAAGCTTGTATATTTTCAAATATGCTTAAAAAATGTCTATCTTAGTATAAATCGCTAGAAGCAGAGTAACAGGATCATATAGTATTTATATTAATTTTTCAGCAGTTTTTTATGTGTTTTATATGTAATGGATAGTTTCGTTTTAGACCCTTATCAGTTATTAAAAACTAATTTAGTTTATTTAAAAATTATTGCTACTTTATACATCCCAAATATTTCTAATGTATGTGTATGAAGTAATAAGATGAATATATACTAGCCATCCACTCAGGTTAAAAAATAGAATCTTACCAGTGTTGTTTGAACTGTAGCTTCCTGACACACCTTCATATTGCTTCATCACTGTTAAAATTGTTAAAATATGCATGTGTTGTGTGTGTAAATGTGTGATTTCTTTTTTTTTTTTCCTCCCCAAATAGCTTAACCTGGCTTCCCAGTCTGTTTTGGAAGGCCTTAATGCTTGTTTTGACCATCGAGGAGAAATCTATATTCCTGAGTTAGGAATGAACTTCCAAGTACAGCACGAAAAGACGAAGATTTTTGGGTGTCAGAATCCTTTTAGACAAGGAGGAGGGAGGAAGGGCTTGCCCCGGTCTTTCCTGAACAGATTCACGCAGGTAAGATTTACTGTTGCCACAGAGAAAATGAAGGCGGATTGATGGGTTGGGGATGCTTGCTATGGCGTGAGCACTGTTAGTGATCTGCTTCTTCGTTTCATCTCTGTATGTGATGAGTATGAGTGTGGCTGATTGTAGTCTTCACTTGTCTCCTTTGTCTGATGTCCTGGAAAGTCCACTATGTTATCAACTTGAGTACAGTGACAGTGATTAGGATTCTGTCAACACAGGCATTTAAATAGGCATTTAAAGCGGATTTACATATATATGCCTAGATTTATATACAGCCCTTCCTTCTCCTCTTGTTTGCCTTTGTCATAGTTATTGCTGTTGGGTGCTGGCGCACACACCTGGCTGAAGTGCTCGTGCACACTGGGTTGCAGAGCTCATCAGAGTTTGCACCCTTCTAGTTGTGGGCGAGCACCCTTTGTTGAGCACACGCGTATGGTGGCACAGTGCTCACTGTGGGTCTCGGGTGCTTTCACATGTGTTTGCCAGAAGTGGAAATTCCTGGCTATGGTGCTTTGTACATCTTTTCCAGTCCAGTGCTCACACACTCGTGCGGGTTTAGGGTGCTAGAGTTCACAAACAGCAGAGCTGCCTGGCTCAAACTGTGGAGTCGTTAGGATCACGGTGGTACGTGTGGGACACTGGGGGTTTGGACTCTTCACCATACACTTAGAAGGCCAGTGCTCTGAGCCTCCTGAGCTAAAGGACAGTCTTTGAACTTTTTGTGTGGTTGTACAGGAAGTTTTTTTTTTTTTTTTTTTTTGCTGGGAGTAGGGGGAATGTATCTTCAGTAGAGTTCAGGCTTTGCAGGTGGAAAACTAAACTGTTTCATTTTGGATTTCAGGCCTCATTCTTAGTTAAAACTATTTTTTAAATAATTTGAATAATTTGTAAGTCTCAGGCCAGAGAACTAGTAAAGTGAGTAGGGCCCTTGCCATGCAGATGGCTGACTATGGTTTAATCCCCAGCACCACCTAATAGTCCTTCGAGCCCACCAGGAGTAAGACCTGATAACTGCTGGGTGTCACCCCAAACAAAAATACATATTAATATAACAGTAATAATTTGAACTAAAGAAAAGTGAGCAAGAACAGAAAATTATTATGAAGAGCAAGATAAATATTATCCTCCTTTCCAGTTAATCATTATTGATGTATGTTTGTTATTCTTACTGTAGAGCTTGTGTGTGTGTGTATGTGTGTACATCTCTGACCCCAGTAATTTGTTTTATTTTGTGGGGGGCCAGGGATGGGATAGGCAGGGATTAAACTGACCACATATTTGTTGCTGAACATTTTTTTTTTTTTTATATAATTTATTTATTTATTGAATCACTGTGGGAAAAGTTACAGAGCTTTCGGGTTTAGGTCTCAGTCATGTAGATACCGAACACATTTCCCATGTTGCTGAACATTTTTAAAGAACATTTCTTTTTTTCTTTTTTTTTCTTTTTTTGTAGGAGTACTGCTATTTATTCAGCCACTGATTAGCTGATTGAATTGTGCATGAACTCCACCTTACTTTTTTTTTCTTTTTCCATTTTTTATAATTTTATTTATTGAATCACCGTGAGAGCAGTTACAAAGCTTTTGGGTCTAAGTCTCAGTCATACAATGAAACACCCGTACCTTCACCAGTGCCCATTCTCCACCACCAAAAATCCCAGTATACCCCCATCCCGCACCCTCCCCCTGCCTGTGGGGCAGATGATTTCCACATTACTCTCTCTCTACTTTGATCACATTCACTATTTCGACACCAGACCCACCATTATTTAAGATTTTACCCCAACACTCAGATCTGCTGAAAAGGCAACAATAAACAATTTGTGTTCTATTGCTGGTTATGAATAACATATGATGTCGTGTGGCTGCAGTAGGGCCATGTGGTACTGAAATTCTGAAATTTTAACACTTAAATCTGGAGGGATTTCTGCCAGAAGCCACTGGGTTTAGAGATCTGCTCCTGAGTCTCTGGGATCATGGCCGTTGAGCAGCTTGATGAGGAGCCAAAGAGGCCATTCGTGGGCAATGACTTGGGGTCTCGTTGGGGTGGGGAAGACAGGCCCGGCTCCACCTCCCCCCTCATCCCGTGAGACCCAACAAGTTTCGTCACTGTGGGCCCAAGCCTGACAGTCCAATGGCCTCTGGAGGATGACAGCCACCACGTCGCCAAGAGGGAGCAGGTGGAGGGACAGCACCCATTCCCCCCTGGGGTGGCCCGGCGTCAGTATACTACTGTGGGGTCCGGACACATTTCTGACAAAAGCTGCTGGGTTTCGAGATTTATTTCTGAGTCTCTGGGATCAAGGCCGTTGAGCAGCGTGATGAGGAGCCAGAGAGGCCGTTTGTGGGCGATGACTTGGGGTCTAGTTAGGGTGGGGAGGACAGGCCCGGCTCTACCTTCCCCCTCCCATCCCGTGAAACCTAACAAGTTTCGTCACTGCGGGCCCAAGTCTGACCGTCCAATGGCCACTGGAGGATGACAGCCACCAAGTCGCCAAGAGGGAGCAGGTGGAGGGACAACACCCTTTCCTCCCTGGGGTGGCCCGGCAACAGTAACGTACTGTGGAGTCCGGATGCATTTCTGCCAAACGCCACTGGGTTTTGAGATTTGTTTCTGAGTCTCTGGGATCATGGCCGTTAAGCAGCTTGATCAGGAGCCAGAGAGGCCATTCGTGGACGGTGACTTGGGGTCTCGTTGGGGTGGGGAGGACAAACCTGGCTCCACCCTCATCCCGTGAGGCCCTGTGTGTCTCGTCACTGGGGGCCCAAATGTGACTATCCAGTGGCCTCAGACGGATGGCAGCCACTGGGCCGCCAGGGGGAATAGGCCAAGGCACGAAACCTATTCCCACCTGGGTTGGCCCAGCACCGGTAGCCTACTGCAGAGACCAGACGCATTTCTACCTAAAGCCACTGGGTTCTGAGATTCGTTTCTGAGTCTCTGGGATCATGTCCATTAAGCAGTTCAATCAGGAATCAAAGAGGTCTTGCCTCCAGTTATATAGCTGAGCCGGAGGTGGTTTGTGGGTGTGTTTCCCACATACCTAACTTTTGGCCGTTTACTTTCTTGGTAAACTTTGCCCCAAGTTTTTGGGGTCTGGCCAAAGGCACAGCAGCAATTTTGGGGTATCTGGAAGTCTGAAGGCGCCATGAGGCTGCTGATGCATTCACCTCACAGGTACAGATTGACCTGCTGGCGGCACCATACCCCCAGAAGAACATTTATTAAGAAATAATTCAAGTTGAACAGATTTTAGAGTGAATATTAATATATTTAATATTCAGAACGTAAAGAGCCTTTTTAATAATGTAGATACATAGGAAATTAAATATACTTGAATTACCTGCATGTTTTTTCTTTAATCTACTAGAATTAAACTAAAGAACGTCTGTTGTTTTAAATTTCAAAGATATATCATTCTGTACCCTAAAATGTAAGAAAAGTAATTTCTATAACCGAAAATTACATAACTAGGGCATTTCAGTTTTAGAATTAAACATAAATTCTACATTCTAAGACATGGCAGTCATTTTCGGTGGCAGAGAAATGATGGCATCTCTTTGTGTTGTTTTGGACATTTTTGTTTGTTTTGGTTTTGTTTTTGGGCTACACCCAATGGTGCTCAGGGATTACTCCTGACTGTGCTCAGGGATCATACCTGGTGGGACTTGGCAATTTTAATGTGGTATCAGGGATCAGATTAGACCTGGAGGCTGCATAGGAGATAGGCTCCTTCCCTCTGTTCAGTAGCTCTTTGTGTTTCGGATATTACAGGTCTTTGTGGATCCCCTTACAGTAATTGACATGGAGTTCATCGCTAGTACTTTGTTCCCTGCTATTGACAAAAACACTGTTAAGAAAATGGTCGCTTTCAATAACCAAGTAAGTACCTATTTTCATTCATTGTTATTTTCCTGGCTGCATTTTGGTATGGGATCCCCATCCCTCATTTTAATGAGATCAAATCATCGGGCTCTCCCTAAAACTATATCACTTAAAATTCCAAATTTTTTAAAGATAAATTATTCACTTGGGAGTTACAGTATTGCACATTTGTTGTGCATGTGGATATTAATGCTTACTGGGTATTCCTGGCACTTAGTGGTCTTGGTTTGGAGGAGGGAGACGCCTGACTCAAGCCTATTGATTTCCGTTTCGGATTACATAATGCATCTGTAGTCCACTAATGGAACTTATGGTAAGTGTATCCTGTTAGATCATGTTTCCTAATATGGATATTTTAATTTTAGATTGATCACGAAGTAACTGTTGAGAAGAAATGGGGGCAAAAAGGAGGTCCCTGGGAATTCAACCTCCGGGACCTCTTCCGGTGGTGTCAGTTGATGCTGGTTGACCAGTCCCGGGGTAGTTATAACCCTGCTCAGCATGTGTTTTTGGTCTATGGAGAAAGAATGAGAACCAAGGAAGACAGAGAAAAGGTCAGTTTCGTAGTTTCCGTTTCTGTTCCTGTCCCTCTGAACGTTGGTTTCTTCCTAAGGAAGAGAACAAAAACCAAATCGTACCAAACCCAGTAAAACTACTTAAAAATTCAGAAATTAAGGGATGAGACTAAGCTTATAGCATATAATTTGCTTTGGGGGGGTACAATTAGTTTTATTATCACCCTAACTGTAGTAGTTAATGACAGGACTTCATGCAGACAGTGTTCCAGCACCAAACCCCCCACAAGGGTGTCTGTTTCTCTCCTTCATTGTGTGGGGGAAGGACAACATTTGCTTATCCATCCAGACCCCGTTGATTACAAATCATCTCAAAAACGGTACTGCCTTCAGTAAGAAAGACCCAGGCCTTCATTAGTTTTCCTGGCACAACTGGGGAGAAGCAAGAGTGTGATACAAGAAGATGAATAATTTTTTTTGATCATTAAACAAATGTCAGATTACAAAAATTACAAAGGATTTTACGTATTATGTAAATATGCAGAGGATATTCTATTCATAAATGGAAATGAAAATATCCCTTCATAAGTTGAAGTTAACACTGGAGTTCCCAGCTTATGAAACTATGATAGTCTCTGCATTTTGGGTTCCCCCCTTGAGGAATGGAAAGGACCCACACTCAGCTGTGCTCAGGGCTTATTCCTGACTCTGTTCTCAGGGATCATTCCTGACAGGGCTCAGGGGACCACATGGGATTCCGGAGATGAAAGGCAAGCATCCCTCCCCCTTTCCCTCTTCTCCCCTGCCCCCTGCCTATATGATGCTTGTGAATGGCACACTAAGTCCATTCTCATTAAAGGCTCCCAACAGACGAGAGGGTAAGGCCAGGTGTGTAGTCTCAGAAGGAGCCACAGAGCCAGATCCCTTGCTCAGATGGTTCAGCCTTCTCTGCGCTTTGTCCTGCTCCATGACAGCTATTGAAAACCTTATTGATTGGGACTGAAGAGAGAGCTCAAGTGCTGAATTAGGCACCTAGCATGGGGGGAGGCCAGAGTTGAATCCCTGGCACCGCATTCCTCTGCACTCCTGATCCCAGCTCACCACTGGATGTGGTTCTGGTGGCCCCCAGCAGCACTGCATTCCTGGTTTGGCCAAAGCACCAAACTGTCAGGCCTGTAGCACTGAACTGATCATTGCCAGGAGTGGCCCTAGGGGGTCTTCCAACCCCCAGTTCCATTGGGGTTTACTCCTCTAAAAGTAAAACTTGTTTTAAATTAACAGGGGCCATAGCGATAGTACAGCAGGTAGGGCATTTGCCTTGCATGCAGCCAACCTGGTTTTAATCCCCAGCATCCCATATGTTCCCCCAAGCACTGCTAGGAATAATTCCTTAGTGCAGAGCCAGGAGTAAGCCCAGAGCATCACTGGGTATGGCCCCATCTCCCTAAAATAATTCCTTGACATATTAATGCATTAGAAAGAAGGGTCTGCATTTTCTTGTTGAAATGGAAATGGTTATTGGTAGTCTTCGAACCTTGACTTGAGTCACTATGCATGTTTTCTGGACGTGGTCATTTTACAAGGACAGGTTCTTGAGGAAGGGGGTTATGTTTTGACTCACTCTGTCATATTCCTTTAGGTCATTGCTGTGTTCAAGGATGTGTTTGGTTCAGATTCTGATCCCTACACAGGAAGCAGACTATTTCATATTACTCCCTACAATGTCCAGGTGAGGGGACTGCAATATTCTGTTTCCTGTGGGTTCTTGGTGCCCTTGCCAGGCAGACTTTCGAAATGTCCACGGTCTGTCTCTTTGCAGGTGGGCTACTCAGTCCTGTCCCGGGGCAGCTATGTCCCTCCACCATCTCGCCGCCCTCTGTTGATTCTGCACCAGTCCTTACAGTCTCTGGAGTCGCTTATGAAGTGTGTGCAGATGAGCTGGATGGTCATCCTTGTGGGTCCGGCTTCTGTGGGCAAGACCAGCTTGGTCCAGCTGCTGGCACACCTGACAGGTCACATGTTAAAGATCATGGCTATGAATAGCGCCATGGACACTACAGAGCTTTTGGGTGGATTTGAGCAGGTAACTGGTCCACTTTGGGTTTTTTTTTTTTTTTTTTTTTTTTTTTTTTTTTTTAGGAAGACTTGTTGCTATCATTCTGTTCTGAGTCTGTGGTAGCTGCTGATGGCATTGTGCCTCTGGCCCTGTGGCCGTGACACTCTCCTGCTCTCTGGAAATTGCAGGTCGACCTTGTTCGTCCATGGAGGCAGCTGGTGGAGAAAGTGGCATGCATGGTGCGGGCACTTGTCAGAGACAGCCTCCTTGTCAGTGCCGAGGATGGGGAAGTGGTGCTTCGAGCATGGAGTCATTTCCTGCTGACCTATAAGCCCAAGTGTCTCGGAGAAGGTGGGAGAAGTGTCACAGTGGAGATTGTCAACAAGCTGGAAGCAGTATTGCTGCTTATGCAGCGTCTCAACAATAAAATCAACTCATGCTCGAAGGCCGGTATGTGAGTTTGCATATATCTACGAGACACTCACCATTGCCCACGTAGTTTCCATCTGCAGGGCATATGTTTGTAAATTTCCATACTTGTTAATTAATTTAAACATTATTAGCAGCCAGAACCCTGAAATCTTTGTCTTAGAAAGTAAAATGAAGTGTAAAAGTATTCAGAATGGATGATCCTAAACAAATCACAGTGGAAAGAAATTGGTTACTGCTCCACCCCGACCCCTTTGTTTTCTTGCTCTGGTTTGAAGTTAAGTGCTATGACTGTGACATTACAGAGTTTGCCAAACTTGTGGAAGAGTTCCGAAGCTTTGGGGTGAAGCTATCTCAGTCAGCCAGTGGCCACAGTCATGGCACGTTTGAATGGGTTGACAGCATGTTGGTTCATGCCCTGAAGTCTGGAGATTGGCTTCTGATGGACAATGTTAACTTCTGCAAGTAAGGACCTTACGCCCAATCACACGTGGACTGGATTGAAATTTGGGATGTGCTTATCAAAGTAGAAACCCAGGTGGAAGCCGTGGTGTTTTTATTCCACTGGTTTTTGTTTTCTCGTGCCAGGGATTAAACCCAAGACTGCCTCAGACAATTGAGATGTGTTCTATCATTGAGCTCATTCATACTTGGTCTTCCCTCCTTTCTCCCTCCCTCTCTCTCTCTCTCTCTCTCTTCCCCCCTCCCTCCCTCCCTCTCCTTCTTTCCCTCCCTCTCTCTCTCTCTCTCTCATTGAAATATCATGGCTTATAACAGTGTTAATGTGTATGCTTTTGGTATACGAATTTACCGTGCCTCTACTACCGCCACCAGACTACTCCAAGCCCTGCTGTGATGTCATTCTAGTCTGCCCCATGCGCAAACCTCATCCCCTGGTGTCTGCTTAACTAGAGTGCATCTTCAGACATACTCTGGAGAGCCCTCACGTGGTGGAAGTGGTAGTTGGTCATTAGGTAACTGCAGAATTTCCCTCCTCTGTAATAGTTTTGCGCTGAACTGAAGGCAGCCACCAAACTTGGATTACTTTCCTAACCCATATCCTTTGAGTGGGCTGGAGTGATAGCACAGCGGTAAGGCGTTCGCCTTACAAGCGGCCAACATGGCCGACCCGAGTTCGATTCCTCCGCCCCTCTCGGAGAGCCCGGCAAGCTACCGAGAGTATTCGATATGCCAGACACAGTAACAACAAAGTCTCCAATGGAGACGTTACTGGGCCCGCTCGAGCAAATCGACGATCAACGGGAGGGCCTTTACCTTTACCTTTACCTTATCCTTTGAGTTAGACCTTTTTCAGAAAGGCTTGTTTGGTTAGGGTCGTTCTCGAGTGCAGATTACTGAAATGGGGGATCTGGCACAGGACAGACGTGACTAACTGTGCATGTGTATGGGTCGGTCATTTGATCCAAAATTCAAAAGGAGAGGGGCAAATGTCAAATTGGTGCATTAGAAGGACTGCACAATGAACACTTGTGGGTCAGGCAAGTTTTGCTACCTGGAGCATTGTCTCGTTTGGGGGCTGCTCCCGACTTTGTGCTTAGCAGTTCGTCCTGGTGGTGCTCGCAGGACCATCTGGGATGCCAGAATTGAACCTGGGTCAGTGAGCTCCCTCCCCACCCTACTCTCTCTCTCCCACCCCCTGGAGCATTTTTTGAAGAGTACTTCGAATTGAGATACACATTTATTTTTAAGTGGGTTTGGTGGTGTTGGAAAGTGAGAATAGAGTGAATGAGATAAATAGCTAAGAATATTTGGATCATTTTCCTTAATTTCAAGTACTCTGTGCATTTACCCTGGGCTGTGTGCCTTGGGAGTTCAAAAGGAGATGAAGGGGGTGGGGGGACGACTCTAGTGAAGATTCCCCACTTGGGTGGGGGGGGGGCGGGTGTGGTGGCTATGTGGAAAGGAGGAATGAGCTCAGGAGCAGAGGGAGGCCTGTGTCAGGCGAGGGGAGCCCGGCCAGCGTGTCCCTCACCTGGACTCTCTCTGTAGCCCCTCGGTGCTGGATCGCTTGAATGCCTTGCTTGAACCTGGAGGTGTCCTTACTCTCAGTGAGAGAGGAATGATCGACGGGTCCACTCCCACCATTACCCCCAACCCCAATTTCAGGTATGTATGTGTACACTTCCTCAGTGTCGGCCTAAGAACCTGACAGGCTCCCTACCAAGGCAGCAGCCCCGTAGCCGGAGTTCACCACAGATAACGCCTGGCAGGACGAGGGGCTGGCAGGAAAGGGAGGGTCCGCGGAATCTAGTTGGATGGTCAGCTGAGAGCTTCGGAGTCGCCACGACCGAATGTGGGGGAGGTAGCTGTGGTACCAGCTTGGTGGGGATTTCCTGGGCGCTGAGTGTGTGAGGCAGTTGCTTCCTTCTGTTCCTGTAGGGGAGCTGGGATGAAGGCTTATTTGCCTGCTGTGGGGATGGAATGAGTTCTGGAATTCTCAGCTAGCACGGGTGTGTGTGTGTGTGTGCGTGTGTGTGTGTGTGTGTGTGTGTACACGTGCGCCTTCTTAAGGAAGCAGCTTTCAGGCAGGTAGAGACCTCGCTTCCTATTTGCCTGCTGTGGGGATGGAATGAGTTCTGGAATTTGTGTGTGTGTATACGTATGCCTTCTTAAGGAAGCAGCTTTCAGGCAGGTAGAGACCTCGAAGCTTATTCTGAGCTGCTTCATTCCAGGGAGAGGGGGTGTGTGTGTGTGTATGTGTATGTGTGTATATACGTACGCCTTCTTAAGGAAGCAGCTTTCAGGCAGGTAGAGACCTCGAAGCTTATTCTGAGCTGCTTCATCCCAGGTGAGAAGGTGCCGTGTAGGATTTGTTCTTACCAGTTTTTTCTGGGCTGCACCTAACTGGGACTTTTAATTCTTTTTCATTTCTTCTTCCTGAATGGTGTCATTTCTAGACTTTTCCTCTCGATGGATCCTGTTCATGGAGAAATATCTCGAGCTATGAGGAACCGTGGCCTTGAAATCTTTGTCCCCGGAGAAGCGGATGGGAGATGTGCAGATGAATTGGACCTTCAAGTTCTGCTGCATAACCTGGGCGTGGTGGGGGCCAGCGTGTGTGATGCCCTCTTGGCTCTGCACACAGAGACCCAAAGTGTTCTTGTAGGTAAGAAGTGGGGCTTTTAGACCACTTGGCAGAGCTGTAGTCCTGTTGAAAAAAGAAAGACAACTCGTGTTAGTCCAGGAGTTCTCATATTTCATGCACACAGAAGTGAGCAGGAAAACCTGTTGGAATTGTACCCTGCTGCCTGAGTTACGAGAATCAGTATTCCCCACTCCCCTTCTTTGGGAACCACATCTGGCAGATGTGGCAGATCTTCCTTAACCAGATCTTACTCCTTGCTCTGTGCTCAGATGTCACTCTTGGTGATTTCAGGATACCATATGCAGTGCCAGGGATCAAATGGGTCAGCTTGCAAGGCAAGCACCTTAACACCCTGTTATTTATCTCTCCTACTCAGAAAATGTTTTTTTTTCCCCCCTTTTATTTTTGGGCCAGTACCAGCAGTGTTTGGGCATATGCCTGACTCTGCACTTAGGGATCACTTTTGGAGGTGCTCAGGGGACCATATTGAGTTCCAGGGATCGAATCCCAGTCAGCTACAGGCAAGGCAAATGCCCTACCCACTGGCTCCAGAAACCAGTATTTTAAAGATGCAATCAGAGACTCAATTTTGAGGAATATGCTCCATTTAGTGCTGTGATATGAGAAATTGACTCAATGGTGACATTAATCTTAATAGTGACATTAATCTTAATGTCACTGTCGAGTCATCTGAGGTTGAATGAAAGGAAACTTTGACCTGAGACATGACTCAGTGGTAGTTTGTGCAGCCCTTGTCTTGATCCTTGGTGTCACAAAAAACCCATGAGAGGAAACTAAAACCCATGAGAGGAAACTAAAAATCAGATCTTCCATCTAATAAATGTCCCAATATATAAGGAAGAAGAAGAATGATAATGGTAATGGAAGCTTGCCATTTATAGAGTAACTACTGTGGTAAATACAACGTTGGCTGCTTATTTTATTGCACATTAGTTCTGCAAAGCATGCATTTCCAAATAAGAGTTAGAAGCCAAATAACTTGACTGAGCCAGACAGCTGGGATTTAATTTAATGTTGACAGCTGAGATTTGAAAGTAGGTCAGCTGGATTTCAAAGTCTCTGGTTTTCCGTGAGGCCATGTTCATTTTGCCACCTTTAGTGTGTGTCAACTTTAGATTAAGGATTAAGTGACCAGATCTTATCACACTTGTTAATGAGTCATCTGATCGTTTTTCTACATATGCTGTTGACAACTGGAGCGTGGGGGTATGGTGGAGGTGTTGGGGTGGAAGGTGTGCAGGGAGAGATGGGATAGGAGAGAAAGAATATGAATATTCTCATGTAAGTTCATTGTTTGCTAGCAAGACCCCATAATCTATTTCAAAGACTTTCAAAGTAAGGGGGGTGGATTTGGGCGAAAGAAAGGTTGAAGTGGAAGTTAGTCATTTCCATCTGAGATCGTACAGCGTTACAGAAGGCAGTATTTTTTCCTTACAGGTTCTCCAACGTCTTGTGTCTCGACCCTGATTCAGGCAGCTGTTCTCATTGCCCAGTACTTGCAGCGAGGACTGAGTTTAGCCAGAGCCTTTTTTGAGGCATGTTGGGAAGTCTATGTCTGTTCCCAGCATTCACCAGCAAACCAGAAGGTACTGTGATGTGTTCTAAACAGCTTTCTAACAGTGTGTTGCCGACATTAGGAAAGTCTCTTTATTGGTGGTTCCTTTAATAACTAAGAGTACTGACAGCTGCGATTATCCTGTGTCTAAGATGAGATGTCCTTTGAGAAGATAGCTAATATCTAGAATTTCTGCCAAGTAGCTAAAAGATACATATTATTTCTGAAACTTAGCAGAGGATGGCAGATTTAGCTTGCTCATTGAAGCATGTGTGAGAATTATGAGCCGATCACATGGAGTCTGGGGTACTTCTATTCTGGGAGGTTGTTTGTAATGGCTCTGATACGTTGTGTGTTGCACATCTGATATTGTTGTCTCCTAGCTTGCACAGGCTGTACTGGAGAAACATATTTCTTCTCTGCAAGCACGTGAAACCTGGGGTAGCTCTATTCTTGCTATGGGGCTTTGGCCGGATTCTCTGCCTTCTGCTGTCTTTGCCACGGAAGACTCTCACCTGTCTACAGTCCGAAGTGATGGACAGATCTTAGCATATTGCCTCAACAGGATGAGCATGAAAACGAGCAGCTGGACAAGGTTAGTGGCGGGGCTTTGTCCCTTTGAGATCTTGCCCGGGATTTTTGAAATTTTAATTCTTGGGATCATACTGCTCCTGATCTAGTGTATTCGGTCAGAGCCTTCATTATCCAGCTGTTGTAGTGTGATTGTTCTTTGGGATACTGCTCCGTGTCATTGTTTTGGTTTGTTTTATCCTCCTTGGAGCAGGGTCATCTCTTTCGCATGACCGCTGATTATTTACTGCTGTTTTCCTGATTCTTGGAATTGTGAAAGTTTCTTCCAGCACTGATGTTTTCTATGATAATGAATTTTTAGGATTCAGCCTCTTACTTTATCAGACTTGGAGAAAATTATGCAGTCTTCCAACCCTGAGAACTTGAAGTTCAGTTCAGTTGAAATGGATACCTACTGGATCGATGAACCAGATGTTCTGGCCATGGCGGTTAAATTGCTCATTGAAAGAGCAACCAATCAAGATTGGATGCTTAGAGTTAAATGGCTTTATCATTTAGCCAAAAATATACCACAGGGGCTTGGTAAGTAGAAAAGCTTAATTTGTATAATGAGGGAATTTATGTACACTTACTCTGTTTTAGTGCCTCAGCAGCTGTGTTATTCTGTGATTACCCTGTTAAAATTACATCTGGGAGATCTAGCAAAAAATTTATAACTTAGAGTTACTATTTGTACAGCTGTTAAAGAATTAAGGATGTGGAGATTGAGAATGGGGGGTGATAAAGGAGGTTTGTCCTTTATGAATCCCAAGAGAAACTTTCCCCCCATGTAATCCTTAATATTTGAGAAACTGCTTACCTCTTTAATTTCAAAAGGCAAATATTTTATGTTAATAATTACTTTAAACTTGTGAAGACAGTCTGCTTCCTACCCCTACCCCATCCCCCGTGCTGTAATCGTTCTATGTGGGTGAATCTTACTTTTGGTAAATCATATTTCTCTTAATTAAAACTACATACAAAAGATTCTAATCTTAGGGCCGGAGAGACAGTACAGTGGGTAAGATGTTTGCCTTGGATGCAGTTTTTCCAGCTTGATTCAGTCTCCAGCACCCCATATGGTCCCTCGAGCTAGCCAGGAGTGATCGCAGAGCACAGAGCCAGGAGTAAGACCTGAGCAGTGCTGGGTGTGACCCTCCGGAAAATGGTGCTCTAAAATGTCATGCTGAATTTCTTTCGACTTTTTTCATTCCATGAGTGGAGAAAAACAGTTAACAACATCAATGTGTTATAAATACAGGCCATGAAGTTTATTGATAGAACTTGTTGGATTATGTATTTTGGCCTTTATTCATCTTTCTGCTGTGTGGGAACATGTAGAGAGGCCAGAGAATGTACGTTACCATATTACATATTATTTGTCTACACATGTATGGTGACAGTTTCTAAATTAAAATTAAAATCAGTTCCTAAGGTGCAGTGGTCACGTTTCAAGTCAGTAGGCCTATGACTGATTCCTGTTCCCACGTTATCACTGCAGGAAGTGTAGTTGAACAGCATTGCTTTCAGTACTAACATTCGCTCTGCTTCCTTCACAGAGTCCATGCAGGTTCATTTGGAAGCCAGTGCTGCATCTCTTAGAAATTTTTACGCAAAGTCTCTCTCATCGGGGATCAGTAATGTGATCAAAATAGTGCAACCAAATATAACAGGTATGGTGCCTAGTTTATTTCTGAGTCTTAGAACTGCATTGATACTTACCCAATGGCTTCATGGGATTATTCCTCTTAGAAATTCCAATAGAGTAGAAATTTCACTGCAACAATTAGCATGTCCAGAATCAGTCAAATTCTGTGGGTTTTTGTTTGTTTGTTTGTTTGTTTTTGAAGCTCTTGTTTTTTTTTTTTAATCAGTGTTTAGAAAGGACGATGACATACCATGGAATGTTGAGCACTTGCGTTGGTAGACTGCCTTTGAGCCCAACTCAGCCACAAACTAGCTTGTTGATTATGTTCTTCATTCATACTCTACATGTATTTGAAAATTATGGAAATTAAATGTCTTAGATGTTAATATTAATACTGGTTTTTAAAAGTCATTTATTTAGGGTTTGGAGCCATACCCATTTATGCTCAAGGGCTTACTCCTGGCTCTGTGCTCAGAAATTAACTCCTGACGGGCTCAGAGGACCATACGAGGTGCAGGGGATTGAACCTGGCTTGACCCTGTGCTACCTTGCCGAACAGCTTTGGCCCCTGTATTAATAATTTGTAATAGGAAGTTATTTATTTAATTTATTGAATCCTTATGAGAGGATTCAGTGAATTGAGTTAGTTGCTCCTGATTGTGTTTTAGTCATAAAAAGCACCCATTCCTTCACCAATGTTCACTTCCTCCCACCAATGTCCCCGTTTTCCTGCCTACCCTCCAGTATGCCTCTGTGGCAGAGAGATATTTTTCTTTTTTCTTTCAGGCACTGTGTTTTACAATATTGTTACTGGAAGGGTATCATGTGTATCACTTTATCTCCTTTCAGCACTTAGATCTTGTCCAGAGTGATTGCTTTCTCCTGTCATTGACATAGTGGTTTCTTCTCTGACCTAACTGCCCTCCCTGCTTTGTGGCAAGGTATTCTCAAAGAATCAGTCCTCCTGGCCTTGGTTTCATTTGTCTGTATTCTCCTACTGTGTTTCTTTATACCATGCAAAATGAATCTGATCATTCTATGTCTGCCCCTCTCTCACTGACTCATTTCACTCAGAATGATATGCTCCACGTCCATCCTTGTATCAGCAAATTGCATGACTTCATTTTTTTCCTACTGGGCACATTGTGTAGTTGTAACATAGCTTCAGGAAGAGTTAAGTTTTATTTATTTATTTTTGGCTTGGGGACTACACCTGACTGTGCTCCGGGCTCACTTTTTTAGCTCTGTGCTAAGGGATCATTCCTGGCAGGCTTGGCAAACCCGGGATCAGACCCAGCTCAGCCACATGCAAGGCAAGCACCCTACCCGCTGTACTGTAACTTCTGCCCCTTTAGGAAGTTTTAAACTGAGCTATTTGACTTGAAGGGAAGTGAATGCCATATTAAATTTATTGGAGAAAATCTCAGTGACAAAGGATAGTTAGCTAAAGACTAACTTAAAAAATCATAATGAGAAGATAACCATCTAGATTATCTAATCAGTCAAATAAGATATTCAGTTATTCATTTTATTTATTTGGCTTTTGGGGTCATACCTGGTGATGCTCAGGGGTTACTTCTGGCTCTGTGCTCAGAATTACTTCTGGTAGACCATATGGGATGCCAGGGAATGAACCTGGGTTGACTGGGGGCAAGGCAAATGCCCTACCCACTGTACTATAGCTCCGGCTCCCCAGTTTTTTTTTTAATGAAAGAGTGAGGTTATAAACTTTATTAGAATAGGACAGTAAGTGTGTTTAGATGATGCTGTCTGAATGTAAGAATTATAGGGGCATTTTCTTAAGAACCAGGTATTCAATTCCCCAACCTCATCTTCATTTGATGTTGATCCAAACATGCCTGCAGCCATCGCTAAGAAAAAAAGATGTGTGATATACCTGTGCTACCCCAGTTATGTTAAACTAAACAGAATGGCATACATGGTTGGGAAGAAAGCAGAGAAAACGCCCTTGGTAGACTCAGTTTATGACGGAACAAATCCTGGCTTTCCAATTGTGGGAAAGATGCTGGCCTTTTTTGAACACAGTTCTCAGTAGCAGAGCAGTTTCCTTTTGAGTGGACATGACTTGCCCACTTCCGAGACAGATTAGTTTCACCTTCATCCTTCTTTTCAGTTGTGTTCACAGTCCTCCCCTGGATCTTGTCTTACTGAGCACAATTCCCTGTGAACCTTGCTGTTCTCAGTGTGTATTCATTAATCTACAGCTCGTTGGATGCTCTCAACAGCTTTAGGGGCCTGAAGTGCCCACTGACTCATCCTATCCAGCCACTGTCTCGTTCCAGTTACCCTTGGTTTGTCTTACTTTTCTCTCTCAGCTTCTCAACAACACCCCACCAAAGCATCTCAGAGAGTTTCATCTCTGCTGCTTTGTAGAGTGTAGCAAGTCTGAGCCCGAAGAACTTGTACTGGCGGTAGTGATCACTTCTGTGGTTATAAAAGACTTCATTCATAGTCCTTTGGTGACTCGGTGACATAACCTCGAACGTCTTTCTCTTTTCCCTTTCTCTCCTTTTCTCTCTTTCCCTTTATCCCTGGCCACTTGAGTTACTCTTCTAATGGAAAGCAGTAAGGAGATGCATTTCTTCATTCTCTTCATCTAGATATATTTGTAGTTCATGATGAAAGAATGGGTAACTGAATCCGTGAATTCTTTTCTAGCTGACTTTGAAAGAGACCTGAGCAGGTAATTCATTAGTTGGAATGTTTTTGTTGTAGCAGAGATTATTTTTATACCTCACAATGAAGCATTTTGCAAGCATACATATTTTATATTTGGAAACAGAATAGCACGGAGCCTATTAAAGCTGTCCTTTCTTGTGTCACTGGCTGAAGCTAATGTTTTTACTTTTTTCCATTAGTACTGAATATGATCAAATTAAGTAATAAAATTGTTCAGTTGAAATGTTCCAGACAAGAGCTTACACTTGAAATTCTTTTGTGTTTTATTTATTTATTTGAAATTCTTTTGTGTTTTAAACTAGACGAATTTGTGATCCCTGTGGACCCCCGATGGAATATGCAGACTTTGGACATCATTAAAAGTTCAGTGGATTTGGATCCACAGACAGACCAGCTGCAGCAGTTTTTTGCCCTTTTAGAGTCTGTTGCAAACAAGTAGGTGACGCCTGATACTGAGCAGTGTTTGCCTCACAGCTTGCTGTGATTTCATCGCCCCTACCCTTTGTAAGATTCTGTCCTGTCTAGTTTCACATGTATTTGATTCTGTGACCCAGAGAAGTAGCAGGTCTGAGATATGATTTCCTCCCCCGTTTCACCTTCCTGATCTCTGCCTAAGAGAAGTGATTCTGACTGATGTCCAAAAGCTATATATAGTTGACAAGTTAGTCAATATGTAAAGCCTTGGAATTTATGACGATGATGAGGATGGTTAAAGAGATACAGTGACCCTCAGCATCAGTACTGGGCCTTGTTTTTGTGGTAACCCTTTATTGGCACAGAGTGGTTATGTTATTGCTGTTTTCTTTTTGTGATGCCTGGTGGCTCCTTTAATTTGTCTGACGGTTCTGTCCCTTGTCCTTTGCTTTGCAACCTATCTCTTCATCCTCAGATGCTGGTTGGAGAAGTATAGCACCTGCGTTCTTCAGCATGCACTTAGATAAATGCTGATCTCATTCTTACATAAGTTTTTCCCTCGCTCCCTCCCCCCACCCCCCCATTTTCGGAGCCATACTTGGTAGTACTCAGGGACTATTCCTGACTTAGTGCTTTGGGGATCCCTCCATGGGGTGCTCTGGGGACCCTGCAGTGCAGGACATTTAGCCTGGGCTTCCTACATTCAAAGCATGTGCTCAGCCCATGAATCTATTTTCCTTTCTTCACTTTCTTCACTTTGACTAACAGTATAATAGTACTTTTTTTTTCTAACATCTGGGATCAAAAGCAGGGCTTCACAAATACCAGGCATATATTCTTCCAACGAGCCACATTACCTACTCCAGTATAATACTTTTAAAAATAGCTTTTAATTTTGTAATTGAACTGTGAAGTACAAATACTTATTAATGGAACTTAGAGTAATATGTCTGGTTTTGATGCATTTTGACAGTGATTACATGTGTGTGACTGTGTACCAGTAACTCAGAAGCCAGGGCCCCTTTTAACTACTCCCAATATCTTGCCCTCTCACTGCCCCAGGTGACTTTCAGGAGTCTCTGTGCCATTTATGTGCTTATAACAGCAGCAGCAGGTGGCCTGGAAGTGCTCCTTCACAGAGCTCCTCCTTGCCCTGCTTTGTCTTCCTCACTCTCCACTCCATCCCGTAGTCCAGAATTAGCGGGGGCAGGGACAGACAGCAGGGTGGAGGAGTTCCAAGGCGACTCAGGATCTGGCCGCTAGAGGAAATGACAGAAAGGTGTTGTTCCCCAGGAACTGTTTCTTAGCGTTACCATATCTCATTTCAGGACAATTGTATATCTTGATCGGGAAAAGCGGATTTTTACCGAAGCAAACTTGATTTCTCTTTGTGGCAAGAAGTTAAGAAATAGTGTTTTGAGAATGTCCTTTGAATTCCACAAAGGTAGGTGCATGGTTGCTTATTCTCACTAATTATCAGTCTGCTTGCATAGTTTAGCTGCAGGTAGAAAGAATTCAGCACCTGCTTCCCTTCGGCTGATCCCTTCTGGTTTGCTGACCAGATTTTAAACATACTCCTGTGCCATCATAACTAATAAGTGCTTTCCATGTGTCCTTGATGGCCTGTCCTTTTTAGAGTGATCAGAGCAGGCCACTCAGGTGCCAGATGAGCAAAGGACAGTACCCTGTGCTCAGTCACACACTGCAAGCAAGGACAAGTTACAGCGGCGAGCCCTTAAGTCCATTGGCTGAAAAAGCCAACTCATAACCATTTGCTCATAGGTTCTGTTCTATTCTTAGTTAACGAACTGTTTTTTGTTCTGTTGTTGGTGTGTACCCAGCAGTGTTCAGGGGCTACTCCCTGGGGCTTGGGAGTCCATGTAGTGCTGGGGATTAAACCTCTAGCATGCAGCACTGGGCACTGCCCCTCCTGATTCCTAATGTTTCACTAAATTTAATACCGTTAAATTGCAAAGTTCACCTCACTTGAAAAATAATTTTAAGCTTATAGAAGTATAAACCTTGAAAATAACCTGTCCTCTGCCCCCACGGCCGCATTTGTTAATAGTAGGTTTATTTATATCTTCTAATATCTTTATTACCTTTCCATTTAAACATATGTTTGTTTGTTATTGATTTTATATCTAAAGAGATTCTTCTTTTTTTTTATTAAGACATTGTGAACTTGTCTGCCTGTACTTTCCTGATTCTCTTAAGATGGGGCACAGATAGGCAGAAATTTTGCTGGTGGTTATGAGCTTTTGAAATTGGCTGGGGGTATTTCTGTTGGGATTGACATTAAGCTCCAGATTATGGCTAGCTGTTTTTTCAAAAAAAAAAAAAGTCCAGAGATTAACATAATTCTTATGTGATGTTCTTATTTATGGCAACACAAGATCCAGACAGCTATCAGAGTCTGCCCCATGAGGTCGTGGTCAATCTTGCTGCTTTTTTTGAGCTTTGTGATGCCCTCATACTTCTCTGGGCACAGTCTCCCCAGGGGATGGTGTCAGATGCCAGTCTTCACGAGGTGAGAAATACCAGCTTGAAACTACTGTGTGTGTGTGCGCGCGCGCGTGCACACATACCTTTACATTCAGAGAGGTGGGTAGGAGGAGGGAGAGAAAAGGGGGTCAATTTTATTAACACAATAAACTACATATATTTAAACTTCGTATTTTTGACCCACAGTGTTTTTCAACCTTTTTCTGATTTCAGTCCTCATACACTCTGGGGCCCAAGAGAGCTGAGTGTATGCTTTGCCTGTGGGAACCCCAGGTCCAAATCCCAGCATTGCTTGATCTCCAGCTGTGGCCTACAAAACAAGAAATACAGGGAGGCTGAAGAGATAGTGCATTGGGTAGGGCAGCCTGGGTTTGATTTCTGGCAGCCCAGCTGGTCACCAGCAGTGGGGAATTCTGAGCTGAGTGCAGAGCTGCACCACAGGGAGTTGCCTGAAACACCAGCTTAGGGAAAAATACAGAAGCAAATCCATTTCGTGTTTGTTTATAAACATTTTTGTGAAATCCTCTTCCAGAATAAAAATTAAAGAGAAGAGGAAATATTAAATTTCTGCAAGTCTTTTTATTTTCCACCTTAACAGGTGAAATTTAAATTCTGATGTTCTCATCTGTATTCTGCATTTTGCAGTAGTTGTTGTGCTGAAATGTTTGAAGGGGGCTGGAGAGATAGTCCAGCAGGTTAGGCGCCTGCCCTGCACATGACTGAGTTCTGATCTCTGGATTGCATATGGTCCTGCCAGGAGTGATCCCTGAACGCAGCTAGGAGTAAGCCCTTAGTATAGCTAGGTGTGGCCCCAAAGTAAAGAAATGTTTGAAGAAATGACCTCAAAATTATGAGTTAGAAAAATAATCATTTTAATACTCCTTTCATAGTATATTGAAATTCTTCTGTGATTAAGAACCTGACCTAAGGTAACTGTGAAGGACTGCTTGCATAACTTGGGGTGCATGACTTATCAAACACAAAAATGCACCTAACCTTGCAATTTGTGTGATTTTTTTTTTTTTTCATTTATTTAATGTATTTGTTTTAGAGCCACACTTGGCAGTACTCAGTGTTTACTCCTGTCTCTGTGCTCAGGGGTCCTTCCGGGCAGGGCTCAGGGAACCACAGGCAGTGTCAGAGACTGAATCTAGGTTGGCCATATGCAAGGCAAGTTCCTTGCCTGCTGTACTGTCTCTCTAGTCCCCAATAATTTGTCTGACTGTCAAAATGTTCTAAAAAAATCAGCAAAAGTTAGGTTTCTCATCAAAGGGCATTGAGTATGGATTAGAAGTTGGGTGTTGTGTGTCTTACTGGGAGATATTTTTGACAATTTCAGTTTACTTTGTTCATAGATCTTACGTTCTGTGCGGTGGCGGGACCGGTTTTGGATTGTGGCTGACTCAGTAAAAGTGGATGTCCAGGGCCTAGGCTTACTTGCCCTTCACTGGCACTGGGTTTTAAAGTACTTAGTCCGCCAAATCCCCCAACTCCTGATGAACTACGAAGACAAGTAAGACTGATACTTAGAGTAATATTAATAATGGCAATATTGGTGATGCTCCAAGAACTGGGTGTAATATTGAAGCTTGTTTATTTTGTTTTACTTTATTCTTTTAACCTAATGATGAACATAAAATGCAGTCAGTGTTATTATACATCTTCATCTCCTTTCCTTAATGCTTCCTGTCTCTTTCTCCTTTAAAGGTACTATAATGAGGTTCAGGTTGTCTCAGAACATATTCAGAATTGCCTGGGGACCCCAACAGGTGGTTTCACTGGCATAAAGAAGTTGCAGAAGTTCCTGGGACGACCATTTCCCTTTAAGGTACATCTTGGAAGCACATATTAAATCTCAAAAATCACTTGATGTTCTTCTGGAATATTTCACCTTTATTCTAACTCATCCTTTCCCTGAAACGTTTATTTTCTAAGTATCCAGTAGTGGTACTAACTTGTTACATGTTAGCTGTCTACTTATTCTTGAGACTATGAAGACTGGGTAAAGTTTGAATTTGATGGGGGTAAATAACCTTCTCAGTTCCCTGGTAGCATTAAGGGAACCCTCTGGGTGTGATCTTGGATGGTCGTAGGAGTGGGGACAGTATCACTCTTCTCTGCAGTGGGTCTGCTGGGCTTCTGTTTCAGGACAAGCTGGTGGTGGACTGCTTTTCCCAACTGAAAGCTCTTACCAACGCCCTGGTGGTCAGGGAGCGATCTCATGCCCGTGGGGACAGTGGATGGCAGAATGACATTAGTCGTCTCCAAATGGTCGCTACTGAGTGGACTTTCAAGAAAAGTCTTCTACGGGCCTGGGGGTTGGTGCTCAGAGCTAATGTTATGGAAGATGTCAACCCAGGTAACATATTCTGGCATTTGAGAAGCTGTCAAAGACGCTCTCATATTTAAAGTTAATTGGGTTTTGGGGTTGTTTGGGGGGCTGGCAGGGGAAGGGTGGTGGGGAATAGGGAGGGATGGGACATTCAGTAAGTGTTAGGCATGGGGCTAACAGACGTGTGGTGGTGAATATTTTCATTAGTACCATGCAGGTGTCAGCATCACCCTCAGCACTGGAGAAACTCGAACTTGGGTTGAGCTGAGCTCACACGCACGGCCTCGTGAACTAGGTGTTTGCAGTCGCAAGCCAGTTCAGTTGACGGCAGTGTTATAATACCATCATGTCTTTCTGTCTAGATGAATTGAAGAATCTTGTGCATGCCCAGTGTTTAGAGTTAAAAGCCAGAGGGATTTCTCTTGGTTCTCTGGAGCAGTCTGGGGAGGCCTCCTCCCTGTCCCAGCCGGATTATACCTCCTTGATCCAGCTCACCAGGAGCGTTCAGCTGTGGCCCGCGATGGAGTACCTGGCAATGCTCTGGCAGTACAGAGTGACCGCTGATTTCATGGATCAGGCTTGTCGGAGAGGGTAGGCTGCCCACTGGGTGCTTTTCCCTGGGGTCATGTTGTGTGTCCCGCATGTGAAACATTGCCTTGTGTTACAGGTACTTGATCATAGGTGACCAATCAAATCAGTTGCCACTTTCAGAAGCCAACCCTTCTTGAACCTCTTCCTCTGCCATGCAGTCCTATCCATGCAGGGTTTACTAATTGCTTTTTTGGCAGAATTGTCTGCTCATATTAAAAAACTCTATATTCCTTTACAAAGAAGTTTCTTGATGCTTCAGGGAAATGGGGCAGAAGGGGATGGGGGGTAGGCCACACCGGGTGGTACTTGTGGGCTCTTCTTGATTCTGTTCTTAGGAGTGACCTCCTAACTACGTTTGGGGGCGGGGGGGCGTTATTTGTGGTGCTAGGCACCGATTCAGGGTTGGTAGATCCAAAATAAGGTATCTACCATCTTGTTGGCCCCCTGCAGGGACTTTTTGGCAGTTTTTTTCATCAGCCTCACTGTGCACCTTCTCTCTGTCTTTCATTTTGGGGTAGGTTGAGTCCAAACCAAGAACTCCAGATCAGTGAAGAGATAAATCATTACATCACATTTTGTCTTAAACACACGCCATTTGCATCTCAAGAACTTCGAGTACTTTGGGCCTTACAACATCACCAGAAGGTAAACAGAAAGGAAAGTAAACCTCTTCACGTTATGATCTGATTACAGAGTGTTCTATTGTTGTTGGGGTATTTTGGCGGTGGTGGGGAATCATACTGGGCGATGCTCAGGGAATACTCCTGGCTTTGCACTCAGGAGTGACTCCTGGAATAGCTCTTGGGAGGGGGGGAGGGGGGGGGGACCATATATGGTGGCTGGGGAATCCAACCTGGTGTGCAAAGCAAGTGCGCTACGTTGTACTGTGGCTGCAGCCCCTCATAGTTCTATACGACATAAATGGGCTAATGGGCTTGATGAAGGTATTGAGGATGGTGCATGGAAATCCAGGAATATCAGATCCATGTTAGTTTCAGAAGGGTCTTCAAAGACAGAAACTCATGGTTCTATGTATGGAATGTGTTCCTCCAACATACTCTCACTCAGTGTTCTTGTATTTCTAGCTGCCTCCGGAGGCAACTGTCTCTTTGTGGTCCGAGCTGTTCAGTGCCACGTTTGGATCTTTCTGGAGCAGCATTGTCACCACAGACCCAGAGTACTGGCTCACGTGGAGCCCTCTGGCTGACTCGCAGCAATGGGAGGTGCCCAGGTCTTCTTTAGACTCGACTTTGAAGGTACGTTGGTCTAATTCAGCAAAGTATTAGTGGTGATGGGAAAATTGTCTCAAGAACCTAACTATAAACATTGTTTCCTAGGCTGCAGCAGTGACAAGTGATTAAAATACTTGATCTGCTGGAGAATGTTACGTGCACCTTCAAAAAAAAATACCCTCTGTTAATGAGACAGGAAATGCATACCGTGTAAAAAGTTTTTCTTTGGGGGCTGGAGCAATAGTACAGCAAGTAGGGCATTTGCCTTGCATGTGGCTCACCTAGGTTTGATCGCTGGCATTCCATGTGGTCCCCCGAGCACTGCCAAGACTAATTCCTGAGTACAGAGCCAGGAGTAACCCATGAGCCTTGCCAAGTATAACCCAAAAAGTCCAAAAAAAAAAAAAGAAGTTTTTCTGTAGCAAGTCTTTAAATTTCCTTTCTAGTTGAACTATTTTGTGAGACCAGAAATGTGACACAGTGAGTTGTAGAGTACTTGTCTCATAACTGAGGTCCTGGGTTTCATCTCTGGCACCACCACCAAATTTCTCTAATATAAAAGACTTTTACCCTATGGAAATGTGTTTATGATGTAGAATTCACCAGAAATAACAACTTTTAAGCCTTTATGTACATACGTGTACATATGTACATACATAAGCATTTATGTACGTACGTGTTAAGCATATAAGTAAAGTGAGGAAATTTGTTAATATAATGTGTCAAAGGAATCTGCAACTTGAAGGTATACTTTTATTGTGTTGGCAGAAGTAAATTCAGAACTCTGCTAAAATTTATTCCAGTTACTTTCTTACTAGTACATGCAGATGTTTCTTGCCTGTCTTCTTCCAGTTTGGATTAACTGCCTTTGTATGTCTTTGTCTGTCTGATATTTCTGGTCTCCACCACTGCATTCACAGATCACTCCTCACAGGCTTAGGGACCCATATAGAATCCTCAGGATTGAGCCTGGGTTAACCGTATGCAAGACAAATGCCCTCCCTACATGCTGTACTTTTGCTCTGGCCCACATATGTCTGTTTTCACGTTGAAACTAATTTCCTCAGTAAGGTGGTGCTTAGGGGTCACTCCTGGCTTTGCACTCAAAAATCACTGCTAGCAGTGGTCTGGGGACCATATGGCATATGGGATGCCCAGAATCCAACCTGAGTTGGCCATGTGCAAGACAAATGCCCTACCTACTGTACTATTGCTCCAGCCCCTAAACTTAGAATTTTTCATCAGTTGTATATCTCAAAGCAGTATCGTTTTAGACTTGTTCATTCTTTCCATTCAGATTTCAAATACTAATATCAAAACAACCCTGTTGCTAACATGGATTTGCTCTGTCAATGTGGAGCGTCTCTCACAGGCTTTAGTTAAGCCTCCTGCATTCCCAAGCTTCACGTAGTCAGTGTTTCCCATCACGTAAGTGACCACCCCACTCTCCTGAGAGCAGGTGTGACTGTAGCCCAGTGAAGAGCCCGAGCCCAGGTCTGGCAGGCAGCATCCCCGGCTTCTCGTTCTTTCCCTGCCTCCATGTCTCCCCTTCCTCCCTGCAGCTCTTCTCGCTCTGCTGCCAGCACTATCCCCTGGTGCTCAGGCGTGCGGGCTTTTCTCCCGCACAGCTATAGCCTCTGCTCTGACGTCGGCTCTGGGCTCTTGCTGCTTTGCTCATTTCTAGATTCTCTTTCTCCTGAGGTGCTCACTGGTGTTTGTTGTGACACTTGGCATCCCTTTCCCGAAGTCACTGGCTCTCTCTCTGCTAGGGCCCCGGCAGCCTCGGGAGAGCCGTGTTTTCCAAGTGCTGCTTTGAACTCCTGACCAGCAGTGGCAGAGAAGGTGCCTGGGATGTGAGTGGCCTCCCCATCTTGTCTTCCTCACATGTCACCCTGGGAGAGTGGGTTGAACGGACGCAGCAACTTCGGGATATCAACTCAGTGCTTTGGACCAACATGGCAGTGCCCTCCATGGCTGAGTTTAGGTACGTCCCCCGCCCGGGTCAGGAATGCCTTTTGGCCAGTCACCAGGACCGGCTGCCGGGGATGAGATGCTTAGTTCTGCTGTCAAGACTTGAAACATCTTGTCATCAAGAGGGTGGTGCTGGGGCTGGAGTGCGTAGGGTGTTGGCCTTACATGCTGCTGATCTGGGTTTGATTCCCAGCATCCCATTTGGTCCCCCGAGCACCGCCAGGTGTGACCCAAAAAGCAAAAAAAAAAAAAAAAAGGTGGTACTTAGCGAACTGTGTTAGGTCCCTCGTGCCCAGGGGGGTAAGACACGGACATGGCTTGTGACTGGTTCCCTCTCTGCGCAGGTGCACAGACTCCCGGCTGCAGGGCCTGGTGCTGTGCCGGCACCTGGTGGGCCTGTCGGGGCTCCTCCCCGGGCCCCAGCAGCCCGAGTATGTGCGGGCCTGCCAACAGCTGCTACTCCGGGACAGCCACGCTGTCCAGCAAGTGGGCCAGACGCTCGGGGGCCTAGCCGGCCGGGACGCACTGCCCCAGGACCTGCTGTGCCTGCTGCTCACCTGCCTGCGCCACCTGTGCGGCGAAGCAGACAGTGAGCGTGACCTGCCGGAGCCGGCCCGGCGGGGGAGCCTCTGGGTGAGCCTCGGCCTGCTCCAGATTCAGACGTGGCTTCCCCAGGCTCGCTTTGACCCCGCCGTGAAGAGGGAGTACAAGCTCAAGTACACCCAGGAAGAGGTATGCGGGCGAGCCGGGGCCAGGCTCCTCTGACTTGCTGGGGGAGCTGGGGTGTCACTCGTCCATCTTCCCCCCACCCCCCTGCATACACACAGTTTACTCCCGGCAGACACAGACACGGGGAGGGCGGAGCCGTCCGGGCACTGGCACCGGCAGGGGCAGAGGCGTCTCTTGGCTGTTCACACTTCTGCAGAAAGTGGGCTTGGGGTGTTTGGGGGAGTGGGTATCTTCTTAGAAAGGGTGTGTGCTGTTCCCCCAGTTTCCTCTCTTTGGTATTACTTGGAGCTCAAGAGTCAAGTAGATTGAGAGGATGTGGCCTCCTTTGTCACCACGTTGCAGTTTCCATCCAGACGCAGGAAGGCAATACACTGAGATAGCAGTTTAATGTTTGTGCCCTGGTTTGAGGGAGGACAGTTAAATGGGAATAGGTTTAGCGGCCATAGTCTTAGACGGTTGGAAATTAAGAGCTTTTTCACTGAACACTTTTGAGTAGTCTGGGGTCAGGGATCGGGGCTGCTCTGGCCCCTTCAGGAACCCCGTTTCTTCTACCTGGTGGTTCTGCCCTTCGTGGGGCCCTGGGGTTGGAGGCAGGAGCGTCCTCACTGGCCACACCCGACCAGCTGCTTCTCCCTTTGCCAATAGTTGTATCAGCTGCAGTGCGAGTGGAAGACCCGAAACCTGTCATCACAGCTACGGACAGGCCGAGACCTGGATGACGAGAACATTATCCGACACGCTCATCCTCACGTCAGGTAACTTCGGAGTATTGGTAGCGAGATACAATAGGCCGTTTGGAGTCCATCTTCGCAGTACCACTGCAGCGTTAGGAGAACTGAGGGGCTTCGTCAGTGGAACCGCATCAGACATTGGACTCTGTTAACAAGGCCACTGTTAAAATCAGAAAAACTCTTTTTTTTTTTTTTTTTTTTTTTTTTTTTTTTGCTTTTTGGGTCACACCCCTGGCTCATGCACTTAGTAATTACCCTTGGCGGTGCTCGGGGGTCCATATGGGATGCTGGGAATCGAACCCGGTCTCGACCGTGTGTAAGACAAACACCCTACCTGCTGTGCTATTGCTCCAGCCCAAAATCAGGAAAACTCATAGGTGAGAGGGAGGAATCACGAGGCCCAAGAGGGTGCTAAGTGAGAATTCAGTTTTACCATTGGAGAAGCTGGAGGTGGTGATCTTCGCGGTGTCCGTCTGTCACTGTAGGAAATTCTGGACAGTCTAGTGAGTTCTGAGCATCAGTCTTGGCCCTGTCCTTTGACTGTAGGCTTCGGGTGGGCCCTGTCCTGCCTCTGAACCTTCATGTCTGTGTCTATAAAGAAGGATGCTATATGTTCATTACAGCACTGTTCACAATAGGCAGAATCTGGAAACAACCCGAGTGCCCGAGAACAGACAACTTGTTATAGAAACTTTGGTACATCTACCTCATGGAATACTTTGCAGCTGTTAGGGAAGATGAAGTCGTGAAATTTACATCTAAGTGGATGGACATGGAGAGTATCGTGTTAAGTGAAATGAATCAGAGAGGGACAGACACAGAATGACTGCTCTCATTTGTGGACTATAAAATACCATAATACGAGACTTAACACCCAAGGACAGTAGAGACAAAGGCCAGGAATATTGATTCGCAGTTAGAAACCTGCCTTATGATCTGGGAGAGAAGGCAGCTGGGATTAAAAAGGGACCATTAAGTCAATGATGGTTGGAGAAGTCGCTTGGGATGGGAGATGTCTGCTGAAAGTAGTAGATAAAGGACCAAATGTGATAGCCTCTCAGTATCTATATCGCAAACCATAATGCCCAGAGGTAGAGAGAGAGTATGGGAGAAATTGCCTGCCATAGAAGCAGGGGGACGGTTAGGATGGGGGGTGGGGTGGGATACTGGGGACATTGGTGGTGGGAAATGTGCACTGGTAGAGGGGTCCATCATTGTATGACTGAAACTCAAACATGAAAGCTTTATCTCATGGTGATTTAACCTAGGGGGGAAAAAGGAGGATGATAGGGGCCTGAGAAGTATTGCACAGTGGGAAGGGCATTTGCCTTGCATGTAGCTGATTTGGGTTCAAGCCCTGGCATCCTATATGGTTCCCAGAGCACTGGCCAGAAGTAACCCCTGAGGTTCTCCAAGTGTGACCCCCCCAAAAGCCAAAAAATTTTTTTAAAAATGAAAGGAGAATGATAATACTGCTTTAGAGGCCTGACGAAGCACGACTTTCCATCTGGATCAACATACTGTGCTGGGTCCCTAGGTCCCGTGGGTGTGCTCTCAGCTCTGGAGGGCACAGCTTAGATGTGGGAGTGGGCGGGCCCAGACATTGTGTTTCAATTGCCTCCAGGTCACTTCGCCAGAGGATGGAGCAGCTGGAGAAGGCCGTGTCCGACCTGTCCAAGAAGCAGGCCTGCCGCCCACCGCTGCCCACCTACGAGTCCCTGGTCCAGGAGCTCCACCACTACATCAGCAGCATCGCCCAGCCTGCGGCCGTGCGGGACCTGCTGGCCCGGCTCCTGCAGCAGCTGCGGGCGGAGGGGCCGCGCTCAGCGCTGGCGGCCCAGACCCTGCTGAGAGAAGAAGCCTCTTGGCAGCAGTCACAGCAGCAGTTCCGGAAGCGGCTGGCTGAGGACTACGCTCAGTTTCCCGACGCCGTGGCCCCACTGCAGGCTTCCATCCTGCAGCTGCAGCACGGCCTGCGGCTTGTGGCGTCTGCCGTCCATGCCGCACTGCATGGTAGCGTGGTCTCAGCAGGCAGCCTGGGCGACCTGGCCACGTCCCTGCTGGCCTTCCCTTCGGTCGGCCCTGCCTTCCCCACCTACTATGCGCACGCCGATGCGCTGTGTGCCGTGGAGTCGGAGGAGGTGCTGCGTGGCCTGGGCAAGCTCCTCCCCAAGCGTTCTGGCGGCGGCAAGGAGCTGGAAAGGGGCGGGAGCCACTGCCCGACCCGCGAGCAGCTGCTGCTCAATGCGCTGCTCTACCTGCGCTCCCACGTGCTGTGCAAAGGCGAACTGGACCCACGGGCCCTGCAGCTCTTCAGACACGTGTGTCAGGTGCGCCCTAACTGGAGCCGGCCTAGCAGGGCCCCAGAGGGCAGTCGCAGGGGTCAGGGAGGGGGGAATCTAGTTAGTGGCTGCTTTTCCCCAGCTGTTTAATTTTCACGCTTGGGATCTTTTACCCCTCAAGGTTTAGGAAATTTGAAAAACTGGGTTCAGTGAGCGAGAGGACAGTGGGAAGGGCACTTACCTCGCATACAGCCAATCTGGGTTTGCTTTCCGTGTTCCAAATGGGGCCCCTGAGCATGCCAGGAGTGATTCCACAACTGCTGACTTTGGCCCAATTGCCCCTCCTCTCCAATAAAATAAGCGAAAGAAGAAATCACATAAAATGTTCAGAGATTGCAGAGGGTTAGGGTGTGATGTCTGGGAAGGCATAATTCAGTTTTGCCTGGTTGGTATCTTTTGATCCTCTTAGCTTTCCTGTATCAAGTCTGTACACCTGGGAAATTTTAGGAGAAAATGCAGTGAGAGGGTATTTAGGAAACTTGTCTTTGCATAGATAAACAGCTCAGAAACAGCCTGTTCGTTCTCTGTTAAATGGAATTTCATTTCTGGATATTGGCATTGTTTTGTGTCTGACCCGTGTCCCTTTTGTTCGTCACGAGTTACTCAGCAGCAACGAGTAAGCTTTTTTTCAAATGTGGCTTTTCAGGAAGTCATCAATGAGTGGGATGAGCAGGAACGTGTGGCCCAGGAGAAGGCCGAGCAGGAAAACAGCTTATACAGATCCAAGAGCAAGAGCTCCAGAGCAGTCCTGAGTGAGGAGGAGGAGGAGGAAAGGGAATTCAGAAAACAGTTTCCACTGCATGACAAGGTTGGTGGGCAGACACATTCCCTTCGAATGATTTTGTTATCATTTCAGTCTTTGCTAATGTGCGTAAATTGATTATTTATATTAGCCCCCTGTTCATACTCTCTCATCTTTCCTCCTACCTACTCTGATGACTGGAACTGGAGTTTGATTTTAAGAAATCTGTCCACACTCTTCTTTGCAGGACTTTGCAGATATTTTGATAGAACCAACACTGGAGCAGGAGAAAGGAATACCAGATGGGCAAGAGGAAGAAGGAGAAGGAGCCCCGGACCCTCCCCTCCTTTCCCAGAGTTCCATGCAGGCTGTGATGCTCATCCACCAGCAGCTGTGCATCCACTTCGCTAGGTCCCTGTGGTACCAGCAAACTGTGCCGCCCCATGAGGCCAGGCATTACCTCAGCCTGTTTCTGTCCTGCTATCAGACCGGGGCCTCACTCGTCACGCACTTTTACCCCCTGATGGGTATGGCACTTTTCTGCTCTTACACTTGTAGGAAACCAAACCTATGTATATATGAGGGGGCACAAGAAGTAAGCCGGCAGGTAGGGCACTTGGCTTACTTGGCAACCCAGGTTCCATCGTGACCCCCAAGCAACAACAAATAGATAAATGCAATGGCTACTTTAGGAACAATCAGAACCATCACTACACTGTGTTCCTTAAATTCTTTATTGATAGAGTTAAAAAGAAAACTCCAAAAAGAGGTCTTAAAATACTGCAGTGTCAAAGATGGTGTCTTCACTGTTAGAATGCTTTAGGGTAAAGGGCCTAAGAAAAGAACAATATGGGGGCCGGAGCGATAGTACAGCAGGTAGGGCATAGCCAACGCGGGATTTGATCCCTGCACCCCATATATTCCCTTGAGCACCGCGAGTGCAGAGTGCAGAGGCAGGAGTAACCCTGGAGCATCACCAGGTGTGACCCAAAAAGGGAAAAAAGAAGCAAAAGAAAAAGAGAAAGGATAGGAACTTGGTTTTGGGTTTGTTTTTTGTTGTTCTTTTGAGGGTGCCACACTAGTGGTGCTCAGGGCTTACTCCTGGCTCTGTGTGCAGGGATCACTCCCGGCAGGGCTCAGGGCACCATGTGGTGTGCCCAGAATTGAACTGGATTGTCCAAGTGCACGTCATGTGCCTTACCCTCTGAACTGTTGCTCCAGCCCTTTTTTTTTTCTTTTTGGGTCACACCCGGCAATGCACAGGGGTTACTCCTGGATCATGCACTCAGGAATTGCTCCTGGTGGTGATAAGGGGACCATATGGGATGCTGGGAATAGAACCCAGGTCGGCCATGTGCAAGGCAAACACCATACCCGCTGTGCTATCGCTCCAGCCTCTGAGCTTGGTTTTATTTAAATGCTTTTGTTTTCCAGCAGTTTTTCCGGTTTCCTTCTAGTAGCTTTTCAAATGAAATCTACTTTTGGAATTCAGAAATGGTGGAGGATACAGTTTCCTATATGACCTCCTTATTCGTGTAATTAGGCAGGGAGCCTTAAATTTCACCCTACTTTGAACAACCATTAAGAAATGGACCCTCGGGGCTAGAGCAATAGCACAGCAGGTAGGGCGTTTGCCTTGCATGTGGCCGACCTGGGTTCGATTCCCAGCATCCCATATGGTCCCCCAAGCACCACCAGGAGTGATTCCTGAGTGCAAAGCCAGGAATAACCCCTGAGCATCACTGGGTGTGGCCCGAAAAGCAAAAAAAGAAAAAATGGACCCTCGAATCTTTTGAACTAAATTCTGTGCCCTCCTGATTAAATTGTGGCTGCAGTGACCAGGTTCCTTTGCAGATCCAGCACTTTGGCCAAACTTGATGCCATTGTGGTGTTAGAGCTACAGTCTCTAGACCAGTGTTGCCGTGGGTCCGGGTGACTTCTAACTGTATGCTTTCTCCGGGCTGGTAGCCCACGAATTCTGCGCGGGTTCCCAACATCTTGGTAACTCAGTCGATCAGCATTCTGACTTCACTTCTTTTCTGCTTTCCCTTTGTAGATGTTGAACTAAACGGTCAGCTCTTGGGCAGCCAGCTTCTGGCCTGCACGCTTTCCCATAACACTCTTTTTGGGGAGACGGCCTCAGAACTGATGGTGAGGCCCGATGGGCCCTACGACTTCTACCAGCACCCCAATGTCCCCGAGGCGCGTCTCTGCCAGCCTGTGCTTCACGGTTTCTACGAGGCGGTACGGCAGCTGCTGCAGGAGTGGCCGGAGCACCCAGCTCTCGAGCAGGTAGGGAGGAGGGGGGCTGAGGAACCGGCCTCTCGCCATCCCGGGGAGAGGGGGGTTTCCTTAAATCACACAGATTAGGGGTTTGGGACCCTGGTTCAGTAGGACATGCTGCTGTCCGCACGGGGGCAGGGCCTCTGCTCACTGTGCCTGCTGGTCGGGGCACGCTGCCTGCTCCTGTTCCTGTTCTGCGAGTATGAGAAGGCCCGGCCTTTTTGGGACTGACAGCCTGAACTCTGAACTTGTCCTTCCACCAGTCCTATAGTAATAGCTCCAGGGGTGTAAGAGAGGAGTGAGAGTGACCTTTCCTGTTAGCCTAAGTTACATTCAGGGTGACACATCCAATGACATGTTTATCTCGGTCAGGACCCATGGGGCTGGGAATGTCACCTGCGGCTTCCTTCAGAGGGGCTTGGTGAAGCAGAGCCTTCCGATGAGACATCCACTGAGGCTGCTTTGGGGACCCTGTGACTTGGGGGGCTGCTCCTCCTCCAGACATACCTGAATCGGATTTCCCTTGCAGCTGCTGGTTGTGATGGACAGAATCCGTAGTTTCCCCCTCTCCTGCCCCATCTCAAAGTTCCTGAATGGCTTAGAGATCCTTCTGGCCAAGGCTCAGGTAAGGCGCGCGCTCTTCATCATTTCAGAGATGGCAGCTCTGTTCTTGGAGGAGCAGAAAGTGTGGGTTGGACAGAGGAGCGCCTCCTGTCTGCTCTGGCTGGGCCTGGTGAATTCAGGTGAAGCTGCTGTCTCTGGAACACCTGGAGTGGGGGGTTTGCTATCAGGATAGGGATGCAGTGCTCACGCTCCTAGGGCCACCTTCGGGCACAGTGACTTCCTGCACTTCCCTCAATTCTCCCCTGTGTATCAGATGAGGGTCTGTGAGGCTTCTTGGCCCTGGGGCAAGGGTAATGGGCGATGGTCATGTGACTGTAGGAATGTAGACCATGTTCTCCAGACCCTGTGCTTTCTACCTGCCTATAAGCTTGGCTTTGCTGGACTTCTGTCAAGTGACCAGAAACAACGTTTAAGCTCATAGGGTGGATTTGAACTTGTTTCTATCAGGCTGAAGAGATTGTTATACTGTCAGGGGTCTCTCCTGAGCACAGAACCAGGAGTATGTCCTGAACACCACCTCATGTGGCCCCAAAGCAAGAATTGCACTGCACTGCACTGTCCTCTCGTTGTTCATCGATTTGCTCAAGCGGGCCCAGTAACATCTTCATCATTAGACTTGTTGTTACTGTGTTTGGCACATTGAATATGTCACTGGTAGCTTCCTAGGCTTTGCCGTGCGGGCGAGATACTCTTGGTAGCTTGCCAGTCTCTCCGAGAGGGGTGGAGGAATTGAACTCAGGTCGGCGAAGATTGGCAGCATGCAAGGCAAATGCCCTACCCTCTGTGCAATCGCTCCAGCCCAAAGCAAGAATAAACCAAAGTGGCTGGAGTGATAGTACAGCGGGTAGGGAGCTTGCCTTGCACACGATGGATCCCTGGTTCGATCCCCCAGCACCCTATATGGTCCTCCAAACCCGCCAGTAGTAAACCCTGAGTGCCTCTGGGTAGAGTGCCCCTCTCCTTCTTCAAAAAAAAAAAGAGAGAACTTCATTTCTTTCATAGGTAAATCAGCATAAAGTATGTTTGTTTATTTTGGGGTTTTTGAGCCACACTTGGTGATGCTGAGGGGCTACTAGGTCTGTGCTCAGGGCCAACAGCAGTCACTCCTGGCAGGGCTCAGGACATTATATGCAGTACCTTGAATGGGCTGGGCTTGCCATTGCCATGCTCTCTGAGAGGGGTGGAGGAAGCTACATGCAAGGCAAGTGCTTTAATCTTGCTCTTTCTCTGGCCCCATAAAGCATGTTTAAAAGGTCACTAGTGATAGTGAAAAATCCAAGAGATCCTGAGGGAAGAGGTGGTGAGAGGTAGGGTTTGAGTCGTGGCTGTAGAATTTTCACTTCGTTTCTTTTGAGGATTGGGAGGAGAATGCGAGTCGAGCTCTGTCTTTGCGAAAACATCTCGATTTGGTCAGTCAGACGATAATTCGGTGGAGAAAACTGGAACTAAAGTAAGTGATGCTCTTACCACTTCCTCCTCTCCTGAATGTAGGTTGTGGGAGACTTTTTTTCTGTCTCTTGATAGTTTGTTTCTTCAGTATTTATGTAGTATGACAGTAAAAAAAATTTCCTCATTAATCAGAGTTAGATGACCTTAATAAAGGCCAGAGCTCTCATTATCTGTATTGCAAATCATAATGCTCATAGGTAGAGAGAGAGAAAGAGGGAAATTGTCTACCATAGAGGCCGGGGGGAGGGGTGGGACAGGACGGGATACTGGGGGCACTGGTGGTGTGAAATGTACACTGGTAGAGGGATGAGTGTTTGATCATCATATAACTGAAACTCAAACATGAAAGCTTTGTAAGTACTGCTAATGGTGATTCAATAAAAAAAGAAAAAAATTAAAAATAAAGGCTGGAGCAATAGCACAGTGGGTAGGGCGTTTGCCTTGCACACGGCTGACCCGGTTTTGATTCCCAGCGTCCCATATGGTCCCCCGAGCACCTCCAGGAGTAATTCCTGAGTGCACGAGCCAGGAGTAACCTCTGTGCATCACTGGGTATGACACAAAAAGCAAAAAAAATAATAATAATAATAAAGTTTAAAAAAATTTTTTAAATACAGGCCAAAAAGCATGCACCTTTCTTTGTGGTGCTGGGGATTGAACCTAGGTCAGCTCCATGCAAGGCACCTGATTTGCTGGAGTATCTCTCCAACCCCAGAAGCATACATTTCTGAGGCAGCAGACTGGGTGGTTTCTCTGTGTCCATCTGGAAGGAGAGAATAAGGAGTGTATTTAGCTTCTGTGCTTCTCGTGTATTGTAAGTGGGTTTCCTTCAGTGCTTCCTTGGTCCTTTCTCCTGTGTTTCAGCTGCTGGTCTATGAGTTTGGATAATACCATGAAGCGCCACACTGAGAAATCCACCAAGCACTGGTTCTCCATCTATCAGATGCTTGAGAAGCACATGCAGGAACAAACAGAAGAGCGGGAAGGTAATGCTTGTCCACGAGTCCCTGGCTTCTTCAGAGGTTCTGCACTCAGCATGCGAGGTGTGGGCGCTTTGCCTTGCCTTCAGCCCTTGCCTTCGTATGGGTCAGGTCATTCCACCACCTGCTGTTGGTGGAGGGCAGTCAGGAAACTGTCTAGTTATTTTCCTAATGAGGGAGAGAGAAATGAAAATCAGATTGATTCAGGCGACTCATCGAAAGTCTAGAAAACTAGTCATAGAAAGTTTTCCCTGTTGGCTATGACCATGAGACAGCCCTTGAAGAAGGTGACCATCTTGGTAAGTACTAGATCACACACTTGAGTTTGGGGCTAGAGAGAGAGTACAAAGGTGAGGCAACTGCCCTGCGGGTGACAGGACCCCAGGAGCAACCCCAGAGCACCCTGGGTGTGGCACAGAAAATGAAGACAGAAGCCATTCAAAGTATTTAAACACTTTTTGAGGTAAAGGTGCCTTTTTTCTTACTTAAACCGAACACATCATAGTTCACTCTCATGCTTTGCTGTGGGTACATTTAGCAACGCCCTGGACTGCTGCTGTTGCCTCTGAACCAACCAGCTTAGGATTTCAGCTTTGCTTTGATTGTGTCCTCTGCTTGACAGCCGTCCCTCAGAGAAAGAGGGATGGTGGCAGGCACATGTGTGTTTTCCCTTTTGAATCTCCAAAGATGACAGACAGATGACCCTGATGTTGCTGGTCAACACATTGCAAGCGTTTATTGAAGGCTCCTCACTGGGAGAATTCCACATCCGACTGCAGATGTTACTAGTTTTCCACTGTCACGTTCTGTTGATGCCGCAAGTGGAAGGAAAGGGTAAGGCTGCATGCGTATTTTTCCCCCTCTGCTTCTGTATTGCGCTGGTAAAATGGGTTGGGCTGAAGTTTCCACCTGAGTCAGGTGTCTTGAGTACCTAGTGTTAAACAAGACCGTTCTGGTTATTTTCAACTTGACTGCGACTTGCATCAGGTTGGTAGAAGAATATTAAAGCCAAGCCCAGACTGAGGCCTGACTAGTGAACTGGGCGAAAATAAACTGCTAGGCAGGGGTGTCAGGAAACGGGGGGAGGGGCGGGCTAAAGCAGCACGTCTTTCTGTCTAGACAGTGCACGCGTCCTGCCAAGCTTCTGCCTGAGCCAGGCCTTTACAGGTTCTTTGATCTAGTAAGACACTGCCACAGATCAAGTAACGGCATGTGACACTCCCTAGTCACTGTTACCATAGCAACTTGGAAAGACCCATCTCTGGGAAATGACTGTCGGCTGTATCCTCTGCAGTCAGGGCCAGCCAGGCTTCTTCTCTGTCTTTTAAAGCAGGCTTAGCTTCTCTTGGTATTATAGTCCGATTCAGAGAAGGGGTTTCAAGGTGTGATTTTAGCTGAAAGCCTGGGTCCATTAATTTGATGAATCAGAAGTACAAGCAAAAAATTCCCTGTAAGGCGACATGAGAGTGGTCGGGGTATGGGCAGCCCATTTCTCTGGGACTCTTGAATGCGGGGGCTCTGCATCACCTGTGAGCTCCTCTGCCTGTGAGCAGCAAGTGGTGCTCCCAGGTCCTGAAGGGGAGCAAGGAGGGATTGTGGTGGTTCTGTGAGGGCCACCGATGGAGCCCATGGCACATGTAGCAGCTATGGTGTTTGCTTTCCTTCTCTTTTCTTCCAGATTCACTTTGCAGCGTACTGTGGAATTTGTACCATTATTACAAGCAATTCTTTGACCGGGTCCAGGCCAAAATTGCGGAACTTCGTTCGCCCTTAGAAAAAGAGCTTAAAGTAAGATGAATAGCTATCATGCTCACTCTTGGGAGAGTAAAAGAGATTCTTTCCAGCTAGTTAGTTCTTTTATCCACTTCACGGTGAGACGGGGGGTTCTGGGGGGCGGAGAGAGCATGGCAGTTGCCAAGTAGAAGGGCGAGACTCACGTTCCGTGGCGTTGCCTCCAAGGGTGACCTGGATTGCAGAGTCAGCAACACCTGTCAAAGACTCCACCTGGGCTGGGCGATGATGGCTGGCAAGCTTGCTTCCCACAGTGGGGCCCTGGGTCTGATCCTTGGCACCACTGGCTGTGATGGTCAGTGCTCCACTGCCCTGGCCTTGCCCAGGCTCACTGGCTCCCTCAGAGGAGGGTCGTCGAGTGTTGGCTCCTTTGGGATTGGTTAACCATGAGGACAAAAGGACCTTTCCCTCAATACCCAGCCTGGTTAAGGACCAAAATGATTTATGATTTCTGAGCTAGGGTACGGGTCAGTTGATCCGCTGATGGATTATAGCAGCTCTCTCCATTACTGCTTTGAGACAGACACCTGGTTCCTTTTCTATATTTGCTGTTCCTTGGTGGGCTCTGGTCTTTGGGAAACAGATGATCTCGAGAGAAAGAGAATGTCTCTGGCTTTACAGTCTTCCTTTGAGCTTCGTTTCTCTTACAGGAATTTGTGAAGATATCCAAGTGGAATGATGTCAGCTTCTGGGCCATTAAGCAGTCTGTGGAAAAGACACACAGGTAGTTTATCTCTAAAACTCAGGGGCAAGCAAAGCTTCAAATTCTCCTAATGTGAGCAGCAAAAAACCGACATTGTATGTAGCAAAAAGATAACATAAACACTGCTATGCTGTCTTATATGTTTTGTTTTTTTGGGGGGTGGGCGGGGGGTGGGAGGTGGGGCTCCTAGCTCAGGGGTCAGTTCCAGCAGTGCTTAAGGGATCAAGGGTTACCAGTGATGAATTCTGGGCCTCCCATATGCAGAGCATGTGTGCAGCCTGGTGTGAGGTTGTCTTGGTGTGGCTCCCCCGGGGCATCCCTAACTCCCAGGGAGAAGTCTACCTTCAGGTCCACCTGGTGCCCCAGACACAGAGCAGGCTAGGTGCTGTGAAGGCGCCACATCCTCCACTACCTTCTCGTCTGTCCTGGCCTCGGTGTTTGCATTTACGAAAGGGAGACGCACACAATATTGACCTTATCTTTTCTTTGAACATAATGGAAAGGGCTCTCTAAGGTGCTGATTGCCTGCAGAGGGTACAGGCTAAGTTCATCTGCGTCTGTCGTTTATCTGTTTCCTCTCACCGTCTCCTTTTCTCTCTTCACTGCCATTACGTGGGGTCAGGACCCTCTTCAAATTCATGAAGAAATTTGAAGCTGTGCTGAGTGAGCCCTGCCGGCCATGCCTGGTGGAGAGTGACAAGGAGGAGCAGCTGGACTTCCTGTCGAGTTCAGCTGACGCTGCCGTCCCAAGTGAGGGCTCCCCGATTCAGAGCCTGAACCAAGCACTGAGGGAGACCCTGTTAGCCCAACCAACAGCTGCACAGGTATTCCTGCGTGTGAGCTCGTTCCCGCTGCCTCCCCACCTCCCTTCCTGAGCTAGCCGGTGAAACCTGTGTTAAATGAAAACTTTTCCCTTTTGGAGTATCTGATTCTCGGGAATTGAGGGTTGGGAGGAGATAGTAAGAAGGAGACTAGGTTCCAGCAGGCCTGGTGTGCCTGAGAAACGGCGCAGCACAACCTGTTAAGGGTGGCAGCTGCGTTACCCACCGATCAGTCCTGCCATCTCCCCGTAGCTCACACCGAGCATTGCCCTGCAGCAGTGACCCTGCGTGGAGCAGTTCTCTCTCCAAATAGCCACGGCACGTGTCTGTTTGCGTGCTGGTGGTACTGCACTTGTTTGTGTGAGACCATCGGAGCTAGTGTGAGAACACAGTGTTTGCCGCACCAGGGGTTGGCGTGTGTGCATGCATTGGTGTGTGCTTGCGTGTGTGTGTGTGTGCGCGCGCGCGTGTGTGTGTGTTCAGCATTGACATTCAGAGCCCATGCAGGTTCTAAAGTGTGCTCTTGTCTCCTAGACTCCTGTGACGGGACAGAGTACCGCTCTCCCCGTGGAGGGGGTGCTTCTGCGCCGCTTGCCAGCACTCCTGAAGCGAATGAGGAAGGTGTGCCTGACGCTGATGAAGGAGAGCCGCCTGCCTCAGCTTGTCGAGCGCCTTGATGAGTTCACTGGTGAGTGCCAGCAGCATGGGCAACGGCAGGCTTTATGCGTTTCCCAGGGGCCAGGGAAGACTGTCAGTGTCTGCTGGGTCCTTTTCTGCTGTCTGGATTGCTGACATAGATTATTTTCATTTGTTTTTATATTCGGTCTTTGGACCACACCCGCAGGTGCTCGGGCCTTACTTGTAACTCCGTGCTCAGGGCTCACTTGTGGCGGGCTGTGGGGTGCTGAGGATTGAACCTGGGTTGACCGTGTGCAAGGCCAACACCCTACCCGCTGTACTATCGCTTTGGCCCAGATTATTTTTCTTTGGCTAATTTATTGTCAAGACGAAATGCAGTTATGTCTCTGTGGTCCCAGATCATTTCAATTATTGAGCATTTACCAGATATCCGGGACTGTGGCTAGTTAGCTGGGACACAATCTGATCCGGGGCCTGAGGAGGTATCCGGGGTACGTTGGGTGATTTTGATTGAGACACCCTTTGGACTTGGTTTGCCCGAAGGTGATGTGATCTCCTCTGCGAGGGAGCTGCAGGACTTAAAGGTGGAGCCCAGTGCAGAGAAGGAGAAGCAGCGGTCAGAAGCCAAGCACATCCTGATGCAGAAGCAGCGGGCTCTGGCCGACCTCTTTAAACACCTGGCAAAAACCGGTGAGATTCTTAACTTCAGATTCTGTTGCTGGCGTTTGGGGAGGGAAAAGGCCTGGGTGCGGTTGAGGGAGAATTTCCCTTTTTTCCTTCCCTTTTTTAAAAAAATTTTTTTATTGAATCACCATGAGATAGTTACAAAGCTTTCATGTTTGAGTTTCAGTCATACAATGACCGTACACCCATCCCTCCACCAGTGCACATTTTCCACCATCAGTGTCTGTCCCCGGTATCCTCCCTCCTCATCGCTTCCCTCCCCCTGCCTCTGTGGCAGACAGTTTCCCCCATACACTCTCCTGCTTTTGGATATTATGGTTTGCAATATAGAGAGGCTGTCATGTTTGGTCCTTTATCTACTTTCAGCACACATCTGCCATCCCGAACGATCCCTCCAACCATCATTGACTTAGGGGGAAGAATTTCTAGCGACAGTTGCAATGGTGGGACACGGGAGGTGGCAGCCCTGCTGACTGTGAGCCTCTGTGCTGTGAGCCATTCACTATTTCTTTCCTTCACTTATTTTGGTTTGAGGGTCACATCCTGCAATGCTCAGGGGTTACTCCAGGCTCCACACTCGGGAATTGCTCCTGGTGGTGCTCAGGAGGAGCCTATGGGAAGCCGGGGATCTAACCTGCTTTGGCTATGTGCGAGACAAGTACTTACTTGCTGTATTATTGTTCTGGTTTGCGATTCATGATTTATTTAATTTGCTTTGGGCTTGGGGCCATGCCTGGTAGTGTTGAGGAGTTACTCCTAGCACTGCACTCAGGAATTACTCTCCTGGCTGTGCTCATGGGACCATATGGGAACCCAGGGATTGAACCCAGGCTGGCTGCATAGAACCTAGCATCCTACTCGCTGTACTACCTCTCCAGCAGATCCATGATTTCTGGTGGCACCACAGCCACATGCGTTAGTGCCACAAAACTGAGGCAACCCCAGGCGGGCATCACTACTGAATACATGGGCTGGAGAGATTGTACAGAGTAAGGAACTTGCCACATCAGCATGTGGCTGATGATGGCTTGATTCCCCTGGTATCCCATATAGTTCCCCAGCACTGCCAGGAGTAGTTTCCCACGCACAGAGCCAGGAAGAACTCCTGAGTACTGTTGGGTGGCCCCAAAACATAAATTTGTGAGCATCAGGACCAGGAGGAGCAATCTCTGGCACAATCATGACTTGTGCCTCAGCCAAGCGGGTGAGCCCTGGCTAGCTTGTGTAGGAGTCCCGCAACTGAGGATAGCACCACAGACCTCCCTGGGCGCCATGCCCTGAGGTAAGGCCATGGCAAACACCGTGGCTGATAACCACTGCAGCAGCAAAGGGAAGGAGAGACTCTTAACCAGAAAGAAAGGAAAGAAAGTGGCAGGCAAAGGTTTGCAAGGCCAGTCCAGAAGTTGCAGCTATTCACTTTGTGAAGATTCTGAAATGGACCGTTGCAGTTCTTGAATATTTTCAGTTTTGTCACAAGAATTTCCAGGAACCTTATTTTTATTTTCATCACCGCATGTTGTCTAGCACCCACCCTTATTCCAGCGTGGCATAGAGTGGCTCCTGTGACCCTCAGGGTCCTGCCGAGGTCCTGTGTTGGCAGGTGTCAGCAGAGCCGAGCTCTGCTTTCTCACTGTGCTTTCTCTGCATTCTCCCTTGGAACGTTTGTGACAGCTGCAGACGGGCAACGGTACATCCGGTTCCTTCATTCAGCGCTTGTCCCTCTTTCCTAGGTTTGTCGTATCGCAAGGGCCTTACCTGGGCTCGTTCGAAGAACCCTCAGGAGATGCTGCATCTTCACCCTCTTGATCTCCGGAGTGCATTGTCTATCGTCAGCAGCACTCAGCAGGCCGAGTCTCGGTGGGTTTGCTTATTGTCTCAGCCGTGACCGTTGAAGCCTCCTTGTCCTTATTTGCCAAAACGGGGGCAGCAGTACCTCTCGAAGCATCATGGGAAAGACAGCGTGACAACAGGGCCTGTCTCGGACTGGTGCTTGGTGAACTTTCAGTCACTGGTCATTTTCTTGCTCCCTCCCTCCCCTCCCCCCTTCTTCCCCTTGTTAACTGCTTTTATTAAAGTTCCTGAAGGAGTTCTCCTTCATTTGAATTTACATTTGAAAATTTGTGAGAGAATGGCGGTATTTTTAAAAGCTCTTTGGAGTCTTAGCCTGCATTACCTCCTGGAGCTCTCAGGACATGAGACCTTTGACCTCCTTGGTCAAGGGCATCAAGGAGAGCCTGTTCTCCTGCTGTTTCCCCACCCATTTTCCAATGCTGATCATGGGAAACCTCCTTAGTCTCAAGGACCAGCAAGTGTCTGGCTGAGCGTGTGCCTGGCTCACAGGAATAACTGCTCCGACTCGTGGCTTTGTGTTGTGGCTGAACAGAGTTGTCTCTGAGTCTCAAGGCTCTAGAGATGGAGAGGGCAATTTTAAAGGACTAACGTAGGCTGATTTCTTTTCCAGGCTGCTTGCAGAAATCTCGTCTTCGTGGGATGGGTGCCAGAAGTATTTTTACCGTGCTCTTGCCCGGCATGCCAGACTGAGTGCTGCCCTGGCAGCTCCCAGCAAGGTAGAGAACCAAGCGCGGGGCTGGGGATGGGTCACACTTGGAAGTTTCTTTAACACATCGTTGTTCTCACGCTCGGAATTGTTACACAGAGAGTATCATACATCATACATCAAATTCTGTTTGTCAAATGAATACCCACATTTGTTATAATTTCCCTTTTTCATTTGGGCATGAGCCTCAAAGCAGTACTCAGGGGCCCTTGAGGTGCTCGTCCCGCTGAGCACGGGCACCTCCAGGGCTGTATCCAGCAGTGCTCAGGGCTGAGTGGGGCCTCGAAGCAAACCTGGTTCAGGCTCATGGTAGTTATAAGTCCTAGCTGCTGGCTAGGACCAGCATCCACTAGCCCCTTCATTTTCCTTTTTGTTAGTATATTTTGGGTCACACCCAGCTGTGCTCAGGGCTTACTCCTGGCTCTGCGCTCAGGGGACCATATGGGATGCCAGGGATGAGCCCAGGCAAACACCCTACCCAATGTACAATTGCTCCGACCCCCTAGTTTTCCATCTAAAAGAGGGAAAAAACTTTTTTTTCTCTTTAAAAAAGTATGTGGGGCTGGAGGGATAGCACAGTGGGTAGGGCATTTACCTTGCATGCGGCCGACCCAGGTTCAATTCCCAGTGTCCCATATGGTGCCCTGACCACCGCTATGGGTGATTCCCGAGTGCAGAGCCAGGAATAATAACCCCTATGAATCACCGGGTTTGACCCAAAAAGCAAAAAAATAAAAAATAATGTGTGTGTGGATGTAAATATTTTAAAAATGTAATTAGAGCACCGTGATTGACAGAGTTATTCATAGCTGGGTTATATGCAGTGTTCCAGCACCGGTCCCACTGCCAGAGTCAGCTTCCCCCACCAGTGTTCCCAGCTTCCCCCTCCCACTCCCCACCCCCACCCGCCATCTTGATGGTACCTTTTTAAGTTTGGTTGTTACCGATTGGGTCTCATGGTATCAATGCTGTTGACCCTGGATTGGATATTTAGCTCTTATTATTCCTCAACACCACTGATGTACTTGAATCCCCGTGACCCACAGCCTCAAGTTGAGGATGCCTTGGTTAGGTCTTTGCCCCCTCGGAGACGGGGGAAGGAGAGACCACTTAAGGCAGTGTTGGTGTTCCGTCGTTCCTGTTCTCGACATACCAGTGATTCGTGGCAGCGTGACCTGAGCTGAACCGAAAACCAAGACTGTGTGCACCTCTAGCACGTTCCGAACTTGTCTGAGCGAGAGACTGAGCACTAAGCCCCCTCACTTATTGGGCGGAACAGAACTGCTCTGTGGGGGTGCCCCAACAAGCTCTCCTTCCCCCTCTCCAGGAGATGGGTCTGGGCAGCATCGAGCGCTGCAGAGGCTTCTCCGCCCATTTGATGAAGGTGCTCATCCGCCAGCGGCGCTCCCTGACCACGCTGACCGAGCAGTGGATCCTCCTCAGGTACCCACCCTTCCGGACCCTGGTCTGCGGCAGCACTGAGGCAGAGTTGGGAGTTGGTTCCGAGCTGCTGCAGAGGAGGATTCTGAATATCGAAAGGGTGTTCAAAGCCCAGGGAGGCTGGCAGGGATCCTTTTGGCTTTGCCCTTTGCTTGTGGCGATGCAGCTGCTGGCTCTGGGTTCTGACACCCGCTCTGGAGGGTTTGGGGGGGGGGGGGTGAGTTCAGAACAGGTGCCACTTCTTGTTGCGTGCGGCTGACTTAACCCTGGGTCTGGACTAAGGCCGTCTCAGCCCCGGGATAATTCAGGTTGATTTTAGATTTCAAAGAACAAAATAAATCAAAACCCAGAAATTTGCTGAGCCATATTTGGATACTGCTCAACAGAAGTCGGTATATGAAGTACGAAGCTGGTGGGGAAGGCTGCCAGCGTCTGTGGGGTGTGTTTTTGACTGGGAGGGAAGGTTTCTAGACTAGAATTTGTTTGGCTTCATCTCCATTCTACTCACTGAGGTTTATCCAGCGTGGTCCGCCACATTTTCCTGGCATCTTGCAGAAGGCTATGCTTTCGGTGATGTGTGAACAGACTTTTCTTTTGCTAATGGGGATTGTGCAGGCCACGTGTGGCAGTGCTGGGGGGATGAGATCCCTCCAGGTGTCCAGGTGGAGCCAGGGGGTCGCCGGGGACATACCCAGGGCAGGCAGTGCTGGGAAATAACTCCCGAGTCTCGTGTGGGCCGCTTCGCTCTCCCTGCACAGCTTTCTGACCTGGAGGCACCTGTCCTTGGCTCAGAGATGTTCACTGACTTTCCCATGAGAAGCACCAAGCTGGGGACGAGAAGTGGCTTTAGAGCTGGCCTGTGGCTTTGGAACTCTTGCCTCTAAGTCGTCCCACCTCTCAGAGCCTTGTTCCTGAGGTGCAAGGGTGCTGTGGGACGGGGAGGTGGCACAAAGGAGTGGCAGCACACACTTTTACCGGAGGGAGCCCCAGGTTTGATTGCTGGCACTGCACGGTCTATTCCGCCACCCCGCCCATCCTTCCTGTTAACCCCTATTGAGGAGCAGCCCCTGAGCTCTGTCTTATGTGCCCGAAAACCAGACTGGAATCGCTCGAGCATATTTTAGCTGCCGTTGTGTTTTCGTTTATCTGCCCAGGAACCTCCTCGGCTGCGTGCAGGAGATTCAGGAGCGGTTGACAGGGCCACAGAGCTACCCTACGGCCTTCCCGCCACAGGATGGGGTGCAGCAGTGGACGGAGAGGCTGCAGCAGTTGTCCATGCAGAGCCAGGTCCTGCTCGAGCAGCTCTCCTGGTTCCTGCAGTGCTGCCCCGGCGCCTGCGATGCCCCGGCAGGCCAGCGGTCTTCTGCCCCCTGCCCGGAAGGCGCAGTGCCAGACTCCATCCTGGGGGAGTCGAGCTACCCCTCCCCGGTCCCTGAAAGCCAGCTGCCCACAGCATGCCGGATGCGGAAGCAGGACCAGCTTTGGCAGCAGTCCAACGCGAGAGTCACAGAGATGCGGAACAGCCTGGCAAAGGTGAAGGCGGACATCGACAGGATCAGGCAGCAGTCCGGCGAGACCCTCTTCCACTCTTGGTGAGACCCTCTTCTCCTCTTGACGCCCCCTTTGTGGACACTGGAGCGTGCGTTCAGCTTCGTCAGGGGATCAGATGATAAGAGGAGTCACGCCCCAGCTCTGTTCCGAAGTGCATCTGCAGAGTGCTGGGTGGCATAGGTCTAGCTGTAAATCTCTTACGTTAATGGATTTCAGCTTAAGACTTTAACTTATAAAACTTACAGTCCTGGGGCTGGAGTAATAGCACAGCAGTAGGGCATTTGCCTTGCACACGGTTGACTCGGTTTCGATTCCCAGCATCCCATTTGGTCCCCTGAGCACCGCCAGGGGTAATTCCTGAGTGCAGAGAACAGGAGTAACCCCTGTGCATCTCTAGGTGTGACCCCCCCCCCAAAAAAAAGTAAAAATAAAACTTACAGTCCTGCTCCCATTTGTAGTTGCAAGGAGGTGCATGTCATTGCGGGCAAGGGGGAGGGGGAGGAGGAGGTGTGTTGTAATATTGGTCCCTTTTTTTTAACAGTGCCATTTCTGTTGTTGCAGGAAAGATTTTGAAGTTTGCGCTTCTGGGCTGAGCTGCCTGTCCCAGGTGTCAGCTCATTTGCAAGGCCTCGCGTCCTTGTTTATTCTTCCAGGGATGGAGGTTGAGCAAACAGACTCACAAATGCCCTTAGTTCAGAGCCTGGACTATGTAAGACGAGAGATCAATAAAGCTGCTGATGACTTTGCTGCCTGGAAGGCCCATCTGCTGGGCCCAGGCAGTCAAGGAGGTATGGGCTGGAGGGTGGAGGGAATGGGGAATGGAACCAGGATGCTCTTGTGTGCTTTTTCAGACCAGCTGTCCTAAAGACAGTTTGGTTCCAAAGACCTTTGCCAGAGCTGTTAAGCATGCTTCTCCTTTTCCAGTGCTGGGGGAAGGGGGAAGGAAGGTGGGGAGTGTGTGTGGGGGGCCCTGCCTTAATCAAACTTGACCACCGCCATCACTACTTCTCAGATTGTCCCAACCCCACACAGCGGCAATTTTTACCCTCTTCTTGGGGAGAAACACTTCTGGACATTCCTGACCAGGTTCTTGGGCAGGCTGGAGTGGTTGGCATCCATGACTCTTGCTGATTTAGCCTCATTTGTTTGCATTCTTTTTCTTTTGCTTTTTGGGTCACACCCAGCAGTGCTCAGGGCTTAATCCTGGCTCTGCACTCAGGAGATACTCCTGGCGGTACTTGGGGACCATATAGGATGCCGGGAATTGAACCTGGGTCGGCCGCATGCAAGGCAAACACCCTACCCACTGTACTATTGCTCCAGCCCCTGCATTCTTTCTCTTCGGTGGTGTATGCACGCTTTTGGCTATAGCATGTATCAAGGGAGCCAGCACAAACTGAGAAAGTTCTCTCTCATACCAGAAGGTGCTGCTGATACCCACCATTTAAGCTGTTCTTATTTACTTACTTTTAGTTATTTGTTTAGTCAAGTTGTTTTCATTATTCTAAGACATAAGCTTGTGGATCTGTCTGGGCAAGGGCCGGGTCTTGTTCATCTGGGCTCACCACCCACAGCAGGTGGGCATCGGTGGCTGTTAGCTCAGATGAGGACTGTCCAGAAGCACTGAAGAAACAGTTGATGGCTTGTTCTGTTTGTTTTGGACCATATCACTAGGAAACCAAACGTCAGATGAAAGGTTTATAGAGGAATTTTCGGAGCGAATGGAAGCTGCCATCTGGACCATCCTCTGTGCCATCCAGAACTTAGTAGAAAGAAGCCATACAAGAGCAGAGGCAAGCGCTGATCAGATGCAAGAAGAAGAAGGTATGTTGGAAATAAGGCAACCGCTCAGGTGACACTTGAGTGAACTTGACCTGGTGGTTGTACGGCTACTTACGGGTAGCTGTTTGCAGGAAGGACTGTGGGTGAACGGACGTGAAAATGTTAATCGTGTTAATCATGTCGTTCTTTCCCATGGACACAGAGGCGGCAGGCTTAGAGAGACTGCAGTCCGGACATCTGACCAAACTCTTAGAGGATGACTTCTGGGCCGATGTGAGCACACTGCATGTGCAGAAAATCATTTCTGCTCTTTCTGAGCTGTTGGAGAGGCTGAAGTCCTGTGGTGAGGATGGCACAGCAGCAAAGCAGACGGTACGCAGTGTTTTTTTTTTTTTTTCTTGGGATTCTTTCCTGTCCAAACATATAACTCTTGTCTGTGCTGTGAAGGCCATCGCAGAGGGACACATCACTCTCCCAGTCACATTCTCTTCAAGAAACTCACAGAGGGAGAGGTCTTGTTTCCAAGTATGTCCCACGGAACAGTTCAGATAGGATGTGCTGGTCATTCTGTAGCATCTCCCCTAGAGGCAGTTTGGAGCCCCCCATAGAATTTGTTTATAGTTGATTTAGTGGGAGGGAACAAAACACCAACCGACCTTGCTCTCTGCTTTCCCAACCTGGTTAAGTCCCTATTAGCTGTGTAAGCAGGCCTTCTGATTCCTTCTGCCCGCAGTTCTTCAGCCAGTCCTGCGGCCTGTTGGTGTGCCTGCTGCCCATGCTCGCCAGGTACTCGGACCTTGTCCTCTTCTTCCTGACCATGTCCCTGGCCTCCCACCGCAGCTCTGCGAAGCTGCTCACCGTGCTTACCCAGATCTTCGCCGAGCTTGCCCAGAAGGTAAGAAGTGTTGATAGGGCTGCTGGTGACACAGGTAGTCTGTCCCCAAGTGCTTTGGGTTCCATCACCCCACCAGTGCTCAGGGTAAGGGATGTGGCATGCCAGAGATGGGACTGACCTCATTGGCAGCAGGACGTGCACTCTGCCACCCGCACCATCGCCTGGCCCCTCTGCGTGTGACTCCTGAACCTGTTTCCAGCTGCAGGCCCGCACTAACGACTTCCGAGACTTCAGAGGCCGTGGAAATGGTGCAGCTTCCTCTTCAGATCTTGATTTTCGTGCCTAATCTGGGATCATTTTCCAGTAACTGAGTTAGACTGCTAGGAGGAGATAAATTGATACAGCTGTTGAATTTTAAGCCTTTTTATGTTTAATTAGGATGAAATGGTAGTGGGGCACTGATTCTCAGGGAGGAGACTGGCATCTGTAATAGGGAAGCATCCAGCCATGCACACAGTACTGTGTAATGTGAAACTGAGGAGCAGGAGTAAGGCAAACCTTACACACTTGGGACCAGAGCGCTAGTACAGTGGCTAGGGCATCTGCCTTGCATGCTGCTGACTTGGGTTCGATCCCTGGCATCCCAGATAGTCCCCCAGCACTGCCAGGAGTAATTCCTAAGTGCAGAACCGGGAGTAGCCCCTGAGCATCACTGGGTGTGGCTTCTCCATCTGCTTCATGGATGATTCTTTCCTCATGCTCCTTGGCCTGTCTGTACTCAAGCATATATATTGGTGGCAGGTGGTAGTGGCTTACTCCTGACTCTGTACTCGGGGGTCACTCCTGGGTATCCACCACACACAAAGGGTAAAATAAGAGTTAGAAAAAGTCACACATTGTCATCATCATTGAGGCAGCCTGCATTTTCTTATAAACTGCTTCTTCTTCTCTCTTATTTTTAAGGGATTTTGCCTACCCAAAGAATTTATGGAAGATTCAGCAGGAGAGGGAGCAACTGAGTTCCATGACTACGAGGGAGGTGGACTTGGAGAAGGCGAGGGCGTGAAGGATGTGAGTGACCAGATAGAAAATGAGGAACAGGTACGTTTTCCTATGCAGAAAATATGGAGACCCTCTGCAGAAACTTCCAGAAAGCTCCCTTTCTAACGAGAAAGGGGAATTGCATCTTTTCATTATTTAACCTACCACCCCCCACCCCTCCAGTAGTTTAATGGTTTTCAAACCACAGTGTTCTGTGGAGCCCTGAGGGTACTGGAGGAACACGGAGAGGATTGGTTAGGGCTAAGTCGGAAGAAAACAGTAGGGCCCTTTGTTTTCATTAAGCATATGAGAATAGATATTATAGCCAGTCTTAGCCAAAACAGTGAAATTTTTAGTGATTTTAAATGAGATTTCTGCTTTTTTTTTCTCCCCAGCAATTGTTTTGGTGTTGGTTAACTTAGCGATCATTGGATTAACAATGCAAGTGTAGGTTTTTATTTATGCATGTTGAAGTTTTTTTATGATACATAACTGGAATGAAAAATGGTCTTGAAATATTTCAGGTGCTTTGAATTAAGTGTTTTGTTTGATTTTTCAGATGTCTTACTGAAGAGTTCTTTTTTTTCGGGGGGGGGCGTTAGGGGCACACCTTCTGGAGCTCAGGGCCTACTCCTGGGTCTGACTCAGGACCAAATGGGGTGCCAGGGATTGAACACGGGTCAGCCACATGCAAGGCAGACTTTTTACCCATTGTACTTTTTTTCTAGTCCCAGGAAGGTGTTTTTTGTTCGTTTGTTTTTAATTTTAATCATTTAAATCACTAAGCTGAACTAAGAGGAAATGGAATTTTTTAAACATCTGTATTCCAGTGCTGGAGTTATAGTACAGTGGGTAGGGCGCTTGCCCTTGCACCTCGTGCACTTGGGGACCATCTGGGATGCCCAGGATTGAACTGTCCGTGTACTCGAGACAAGCACATTCCTTGTATTCTCTTCAGCACCCTCATCTGTGCTTTGAGAACCATATGGCGCTATAGGACAAGCCAGGATCAGCCATATGCAGGGAAAACACTTTAGTCCCCCAATTATCTCTCCAGTCTCATTTTTCTTTTATTGTTATTTTTATTTTTTAATTTTATTTTTTGCTTTTTTGGGTCACTCCTGGCGTTGCTGAGGGGATCATATGGGATGCTGGGAATCAAACCCAGGTCGGCCGCGTGCAAGGCAAATGCCCTACCCGCTGTACTATTGCTCCAGCCCCTATTTTTAATTTTTTTTTATTGTAATCTCTTTCTCTTGTATTGTTATTTTGACTTTTCTTCCCCCCAGATTTCCTGTACTCAACACATAGTACTGTTCTAACAGAATTACTGGGCAGTTTCTTTTGTTGATTCTGTGTTTTTACTTAGGAGTTGGATATATATATATATATATATATATATATATATATATATATATGTATATATATACACACACATATATATATATATTTTAATAGTAATGCTAATGAAGAAATGGAGTGACAGTAGAGTGATAGTAGTGTGGGTAAGGGCTTGCCTTGTAGTTGGCCAACCCAGGTTCACCCCTGACACTCAGATGGTCCCCTGAACCTGCCAGGAGTGATTCCTGAGTGCAGAGCCAGAGTAAGCCCTGAATTGTCAGATTGGCCACCAAAACCAAAACAGTGAAAAAGGACTTTTTAAATTTAACTGTAATGGAGAACAATTAGAATCTTGCTGTGAACTTCACAGTTATATATTAAAAAGTGAATAGAATTATATTCACAGTGATATGTCAGTAAGACATCAGTCATGGGGCTGGAGAGATAGTACAGCGGGTAGAGCCTTGTATACGCCGAACCGGGTTCGATTCCCAGCATCCCATATGGTCCCCTGAAGACTGCCAGGAGTAATTCCTGAGTGCAGAGCCAGGAGTAACCCCTGTGCATCACCAGGTGTGACCCCCCCCCCCCCAAAAAAAAGAGAGATCAGTCACACAAAAGGATATTATTTTTCCATAGAATATATTTTTTCCAGAATGTCTTTACTAAAAACAACATAAAACTAATAAAATTATTTATTCGCTAATCGCAAATGCACTAATACTGGATACTAACCAATGTTAAAACAAACCAGAAATTATGTGGGTTCTCTGTTGCCCTTTAAGTTTCTACCCAGAGAAAATGATGCTTCATTAATCCCAGCATTTTATGTATTTATATGCTACCTAGAGCTGACTCGGCGTTATCAAACTAGTGTTGTTTTTTTATAATACTCTTTTGAGCTATATAATGCTTCTTGATACAGGCAGAAGATACATTTCAGAAGGGTCAAGAGAGGGATAAAAAAGATCCTGACTCAAAACCAGATATTAAGGGAGAAGATAATGCTATTGAAATGTCTGAAGACTTTGATGGGAAAATGCATGATGGCGAACTTGAAGAAAAAGGTTTGAGATTATCTGTTCTTGATTTTGGAAAATACTGGAAAATTGGGGGCTGGAGCGATAGCACAGCGGTAGGGCATTTGCCTTGCACGCAGCCAATATGGCCGACCCGAGTTCGATTGCTCTGCCCCTCTCGGAGAGCCCGGCAAGCTACCGAGAGTATCTCGCCCGCACGGCAGAGCCTGGCAAGGTGCCCGTGATGTATTCGATATGCCAAACAGAGTAACAACAAAGTCTCCAATGGAGATGTTACTGGGCCCGCTTGAGAAAATCGATGAACAACGGGGGGACAGTGACAGTGACTGGAAAATTACATATTCTAATAGTGAGTCTGTTACAACCTTTAAAACAAGTTGGTTACTCTACATATCTGCCAATGGAAATACAAGCATGTACATCTGTCATTACTATCTCTTCTAAGTAGAATCCAGAGGTAACCTGGACTTGGAAAATTGTCTAAATGAGCTGTTGAGTGATGTTCTGATGAGCTAGATGCAGTGAGGTGGCCCCTTTCCAGGAAGCTGAAAGCAAGGGAATGTTCCCAAGACAAGCTTGTCTTTTAAATCCAAAGTCTGTAGTGTGTACTGGGTTTTTTGTTTGTTTGTTTTTTAATTACTTTTCCTCCCCCTAAAAAATTGAATGAGATATTTGCTGTAGATGATTTGGGAAAAATACAGGCCTTAAATTTGCTGCTTTTGCTTAATATTCTATATAGCCTCTTGTCATCAGACATTAAGAATATGATTTCTTGGGGCTGGAGAAATAGCGCAGTGGATAGGGCGTTTGCCTTGCATGCAGCCAACCTGGGTTCAATTCTCAGCATCCCATATGGTCCCCTGAGCACCGCCAGGAGTAACTCCTGAGTGCAGAGCCAGGAGTAACCCCTGTGCATTGCCAGGTGTGACCCAAAACGCAAAAAAAAAAATATATATATATATATATATGATTTCTCATAGGTAATATCTTAATCTCATCTTTGTACCACAACTCAGTTCTTTTCCTAAATTTCTTTGCAAATTTTAATTTGAGATAGTGTTTTATAAGCCAAGATCTTTGTAGGAAAAAAAATTTTTTTTTTTTTTTGAGTTACATTCTGCAGGGCTCAGGGGACATATGGTGTGCTGGGGATTGAGTCCAGATCAGCTGTACGCAAAGAGCAAAGCACCTTGCCTGTTTTAGCCCCTGAAAACTAACCTTAGAGTATGCATAAAGTACAGTTGCATATGGATATAATCTTTGGCAAAGTGGAATAAAATAAAGAGAAAGGCAAGAAAATTCTAAGCTAACACATGGTTTTAGATGTCAGATAAGATCATAGAAGTATGTTAAAGATGGTGAACAAGACCAGCTCTGTCACCCCGTGGATCAGAAAACAAAAACCAAAACCCAGTGAGGTTGAAGAGTCCCATGATGACTAGTCATGCCCCCAGAGCTAGACTTTTTTTCTTTTTTTGCTTTTTGGGGTCACTCTCGTCGATGCACAGGGGATACTCCTGGCGGTGCTCAGGGGACCATTTGAGATGCTGGGAATGGAACCCCAGTTGGCCGAATGCAAGGCAAATGCCCTACCTGCTATACTATCGCTCCAGCCCCCAAATTAGACTTTCTGGCAACTGTCTCAACACCCTCTTGACCTCAGCTTAGTACGGATTCCTTATTCCTCCAGTTTGAAAAACAAGTAGGGCAGCTTCCAAATGTGAAAAGTCATCTGCTCAGAGAATGTTCGGAAATACACTGAATCCCAGGGAGATGGTCCCTGCGTCACTCTGCACACAGGCCCTGTTATTTTGGGATCTGCCTAACCAAGCCCTCACTTTGCCTTTCAGAGGAGGATGATGAGAAATCAGACAGTGAGGAGAGAGACCTGGATAAACAAATGGGTGATCTGAATGGTGAGGAAGCCAACAAATTAGATGAGAGGCTTTGGGGGGATGACGACGATGACGAGGAGGAGGAAGAGGATGAAGACAGTAAACCTGAAGAAACGGGACCAGGAATGGATGAGGTAACTAATGCCCCCACCCCCCACCCCTTGCTCCCTGGGTTCAGAGGAGACAGTCTTCCTGCCAGCCACCGTGCACTGTCACCACCTCCTGTTTCTGTCTTTGCTCATTTTTCTTTTCTCATATTTGACTCACTGTTTAAGAGCGAAAGGAGTTGCCAGGCCTCAGCCTTGTGTTGACTAACATGAGGGAAGTTAAGATGGGAGTGCAAGGCTCCGGGAGAAAATGCTTTTTACAGATGTTCTTTTTGTTTTTGCTTTGGGACCACCCTCTGTTGTGCTCAGGACTTATTCCTGGCTCTGTTCTCAGAGATCGCTCTTGGCAGGCACGAGGGACCGTGTGGGAGCCAGGGATCGACCCTGGATCAACCACATGTAAGACAGGCACCCTGCTATACTATTACTCCAGTCCTTTACAGATGTTCTGATTCTGCTGTTAGCTGCCAGTCTTGTCTCACCCCCAGATCTGGGACTTTACAGGACACCTACCTGGCACTTCCACCTCACACCACTGCTGAGTGGGTCCTGGACCTCCTTGTTGGGACACTGCTTCCATGCAGCTCCCAGCAGACCCAGCCTACGAACATGCTTGATTGAGTCTGCCTGGGCATAAGCACACTGCTTAGTTGGTGATGATGTTTGTCTTTTTCCTCCCTTTGATACTTAGGAAGATTGTGGACTTGCTGCTAAAGACAGCAGCTTGGATGCTGGGAAGTCGAACAAAGATAAAAAGCAGCAAGATAAGGAAGAAAAGGAAGAAACTGCTGATGATGAACAAGGCCAGGACAAAATCAATGAGCAAATAGATGAGGTAATGAGGATTTAAAATGGGTCCACTATGGATTCGAGGTTAGAGCACTGCATGGCACGGCCATCATTTGGATGGGAAAGTATTTATGCTGTATTTTGAAAGCTGAAATCTTGGGTCCTTTTCTGCATTCTCACAGACTTCACAATTTCCTGGAGATACAGAAACATAGTACCTCTCATCAGCAGAGAACCTGCACAAAAAGTGGAGCTTGGAATGCCAATGTGAAAATTCAAAAAGTATTAGTAAATTCTAATGTGTGCTTTTTGGTTTTTCAGGAAGAGACATATCCTTCAGTCTAACAATGTAAAGCTAATTTATGATATGCAAATGTTGCCTTTTATAAGAGTATGTTTTTAAAAGAATTTTTTTCCCATTGTCTTAAGAGAGAATATGATGAGAATGAGGTGGATCCTTACCATGGCAATCAGGAAGAACTGCCAGAACCGGAAGCCTTGGACCTTCCAGACGACTTAAAACTAGATAGTGAGGATAAGAATGGAGCTGAGGGCACAGACAGTGAAGACGAGGGAGGTACGTCTTTTGAAATCTAGAGGGGTGACCTGGGACGCTGTGAATGAGCAGTGTTCGCTTTCTTTTGAGGCTACTTGTGATGGCCAGCTCTGAAGTCTGGTCTGTGTGATTGCAGTTTGGGAAGGCGGGTCCTGTTCTCTCGCTCATGTTTCTCATCTGAGCAGACCTAACGCTGTAACTGCTCACTTCCTGTCCAGTCTACCTTGGGTCTGCTCGGGCCTTGCATACAGTCCTTTGTCATGCTTCTCAGTGAAGCCACTGTTTCTTTCTGGCTCCCGGGGCACAGTGTGAAGCAGGGAGCCTCATGGTAGGAAATGAGATGGGGCAGGCCCGGGGGCATCACATGGCAGTGAGTGCTCCAGGGGCTGCCAGGCTGCCCTTGCACACCACTTGGGGTTTTATGCCCAAGAATAAAACCAGTAAAATTAAAATCCACTACGAACGTGAAAGCAGTTTGCTTGAAGCTCACTTTAAGATTTTGTGTATCTAAGTATAGTACTGTCTGTACCACTGTCCTCCCGTTGTTCATTGATTTGCTCTAGTGGGCGCACCAGTAACCTCTCCATTGTGAGACTTGTTACTTTTTTTGGCATATCAAATATGCCACAGGGAGCTTGCCAGGCTCTTCCGTGTGGGCAGGATACTCTCGGTAGCTTGCTGGGCTCTCCAAGAGGGACGGAGGAATTGACTCGGGTTGGCCTGGTCGGCCGCGTCCAAGGCAAAAGCCCTACCCGCTATGCTATTGCTCCAGCCCATTCTATAGGAATAATTATTCTAAAATATTATTTGCTAACAAAGTATGACTTCTGAAGTGCTAGAGAATGAAATCCACCAAATAGTTTCAGTAGTTATTGAAAATTAGGTCTTCATGTACTATCCTGGGTCTAAAGTATTATTGTGGCTTGAGGGCACTTTATTTTTTTTTTTAATTTTTACTTATTTATTTATTTTGAATATCCATCCCTCCACCAGTGACCATTTCCCACCACCACGGATCCCAGTATCCCTCCCACCCCCTAACCCCCCATCCCATCCTACCTCTGTGGCAGGGCATTCCCTTTTGTTCTCCCTCTCCTATTGGGTGTTGTGGTTTGTAAAAGAGTTAAGCCTGATTTTCAAGGAGAAACGTTGGATGATTTACTTTCCATTGATCACTTTGTACATAAGGAGATGTTGCGTGGCCGCATAAACAGCTGCGTGGTTTGGAGTAAAAGTCCTAGTTTCCACATGCTCGAGCTATGCTTATAGAGGCTCATGGTCACCGGGATTCCATCTGGAGGAGGCGGGATCCGGCACCTACCCCATCTGGGACTTCCCGGTGATCTCGGCTCTGTTTGGGACCTGGTGCATTCTCCAGGAGCTGTGGAGCCTCTCAGCAGCCTTTCTTCTCTGTGGCTGTGTGCTCTTGAGGGCACTTTAGTGGACTGATTTTTTATAATGAAATGCACCTTTTTTTTTTTTTAAACATTGTTGGGCAACACCCAGCAATGCTCAGGGGTTATTCATGGCTCTGCACTCAGGAACTACTCCTGGCGATGCTTAGGGGACCATATGGGATGCTGGGAATCGAACCCAGGTTGGCCATGTCCAAGACAAACGCTCTACCTCCTGCTGTGCTATCACTCCGGCCGCTTAAATGCTTTTTTTTTTTTTTTTTTTTTTTTTTTTTGCTTTTTGGGTCACATTCGGTGCCTTTTAGGGGTTACTCCTGGTTTATGCACTCCTTTTAGGGGTTACTCCTGGTTTATGCACTCAGGAATTACTCCTGGCGATGCTCGGGGGATCATATGGGATGCCGGGAATCAAACTCGGGTCGGTCGCGTGCAAGGCAAATGCCCTACCTGCTGTACTATCGCTCCAACCCCTTAAATGCATCTTTAAAAAAATAATACTAAGCATGGTCTAGAACAGGGAAAAAGGAAGCTTTTTCCATAAAGGACTAATATGTCAGGATTTCAGGATTTAAGCTGTGAGAAAGTTTACAAATCCTCAGGTTTGCTATTACAGTGTGAAAGCGGCCATAAGACAGAATGGATGGACACAAAGGTGGGTGAACAAATGACTCCAGCTTCATGTAGCGAAACCATGTTTACACAAACATAAAGGTGGCCAGATGGACTGGTCATCTGGAGCATGGTTTGCCGTGACAGGTTTGAGAGTATCAGCAACCATAGCGTACTCTGGGCTTTTAATAGTAATCCCCTCCCCGCTTCTTGTGCTTTTGGTGTTTGCATCCAGAAGAGAATCCATTGGAAATCGAAGAAAAACCTGTGGATACTGAAGGAGCAGGTGGCGAGGCTGAGGAAGCCAGCGAGGCGCCCGATGCGGACCCGAGTGAAGCTGAGGCCCCGGAGGAGCCCGAGGAAGGCCCCAGGGAGGAGGACGGGGTCAATGGGGAGGAGCAGATGGACGTGGAGGCTGATGACCAAGACAAAGACAGCACTGAGCATCCTGAGGAGGGCTCCGAGGAGCAGGACCAGAAGGACGGGGACAAGGAAGCCAGCGAGGAAAACGCAGAGAATGGTGTCCCTGTTGACCAAGGCCTCCAGCCTCAGGTATGTCGACTCTCAGAGAGTACAGAGGAGAGAGATTGATCTCTGTCGCTGGCGTCTCCCTCCCGGGGGGTGCTGCAGGCAGCACTGGGTCTAGGTCCTCTCAGACACCATCTGGATGCAGTGCTTGCTGCAGTTCTCCCTGGCCCCCAGTATTCTCCCAGCACCACTGAGTGCTGTGCCGGCCTTCCCTCTAGAAGCAGGAGGACGAAGAAGAGCAGAGCTCGGAACCCGAGGAACCCGTGCCGGAGGCCACGGAGAGGAAGGAGCATGAGAGCTGCGGGCAGACAGGGCTGGAGGCGGTGCAGAGTGAGCAGGCTATGGAGCTGGCGGGGGCCGCCACCGAGAAGGAACAGGGCAAGGAGGTAGGATGCGCCCGACCTCAGCCGCACTCCCAGGAGGTCCCGGGCTGCGGTCACCTTCTCTTTACCTGGCAGTGGTTGTCTTGTGGGTGTGACTTTAGTTTTTGTTGCTGTTCTGTTTTTTTGTCTTTTTTGGGTCACACACTGGGTGATACTCAGGGGTTACTTCTGGCTCTGCACTCAGGAATTAACTCTGGTAGAGCTAGGAGGACCATAATGGGATGCAGAGGATCAAACCTGGGTTGGCTGCATGGACGGCAAATTACAACCACTCTGGCCCCATGTGTGTAGCTTTGTTGTCGGTACCTAGAGACACCTCCCATTCTTTGAAAAACCTGCCACCTTCCTCACATTTACTGGGTCCTTGCGAGGGCCTTGCAGCATGGCCTGTTTTAGCTTGTCCATCGTGTATATTAGGGTTATGGAAGCCTCTGTTCAGTTAAGTGCCTGACCTCCGGTATGGCGGATGGGGGCTGAGGCCTGGGTTCTGCCCAACGTCTGTCCTGCCCTCAGAGTGAACTGAGGAGCCTCCTCAGCCTTACCAGGCCCAGGAGGGTGACTGGTGTGGGTGTAGCTCTGGCCCGGGTGGGGTCCTGAGGGGTGTGGCATGTGGAGAGGCAGCCTTATTGGTAGGGTGTGAGGATGGACATGGGGGGGGGGGGGCGTGGTGCTGTGCCCAGCACTTCAGCGCTTCCTCCATTCTCACATGGGTTTCGGATTTCCTAGGAACACGGAAGTGGAGCTGCAGACGCAAACCAGGCAGAAGGCCAGGAATCCAACTTCATCGCTCGGTTGGCTTCTCAGAAGCACACCAGGAAAAACACACAGGTCTCTGGCATCCCCCCTGAAGCTGGGCAGAAATTGCATGTGGCACGAGGCCCTCTGCGAATCTGAATGCAAGCCCCAGTCCCCAGCTTGCCTGTCCCAGGCTGGGGCTTCATTACCCTTGTGTGGGGGGGCACAAACGCTCTCTTCTTTCCTTTGCATGGCTGGAGATTGGTGTTGGGTTTGGGCTTAGCAGCTTCTGGCTCTGAAGGGTTGCAGCCGTCTCTTTGCTTACAGATCCCGCGAGCCGCAAGCTGCTACCCAACACCAGCTACTTACGCTCTTCTCATTCGCCATGTTGTGTTTCAAAAATTTGGCTTATAAAATTGTGTACGTAGTATATGAAAGCAGTATTCTAATTCTATTCTCTGTGAGGGGACTCTTCCTACAATAGTGTTAATTTCAGCACTAACTTGATCTAATTTCAGTTGTTTTGTGCATATGTGTATGTCTGCATGCGTGTGTGTTTGTGTGCATGAGTGCTTTAATATTTCCTTCGTCCCCTTTATTCCAGGTATAAATATGTATGAAGTACAAGGTGGGGAGGGGGGAGAGAAAGGGAGGGCAAGAGGGAGAGCAAGAGCGAGTGCACGTATGTGATGTATCCTTCCTCCCCTTTGTTCTAGGTATAAAAATATATTCTAGAGATCATTCTGTGTTCAGGCAGGTGTGCCCATTCACAGATACTTCGAGTCCCATTCTAACGTGGCTCTGCCTGTGCCCTCACATGGAAAGCCACTCACTCTGGTTAGTTTTTGTCTTTTGACCAGGGCTGGGCAGACCTGAATGATCTGTATGTCTCCCGCAGAGTTTTAAGAGAAAGCCTGGCCAGGCTGACAATGAGCGCTCCATGGGGGACCACAGCGAGCTGGTACACAAGAGATTGAGGACCGTGGAGCCCAGCGGCCACCCCGAGGAGGGCCCAGCACAGCCCGAGGCCCGGGTGGAGGACGCAGAGGCGTTCGAGCATATTAAACAAGGCAGTGAACCTTACGACGCACAGACTTACGGTACGTGTAAAGAAGGCTCTTTGGGAGGACCTCACCTCTGATGGGACCTACTGTGGGTATCCTGATTGCTCTCCGGAGCGGGAGAGACGACTTTCGGAATGTTTCCTCTCTCATAAGAATTGTGGACTATGGGCCAGAGCGATAGTACAGTGGGTAGGGTGCTTGCCTTGAAAACAGGTTCAGTCCCTGGCACCACACAGTTTCCCCAGGAGTCATCCCTGACTGCAGAGCGAGGAGCCTTGAGCACCACGGGGCGTGGGCCCTCCCCTCCCCCCCACACACAGACACAAAACCATCAAAAACAATGTGACCCAGGCACATCTCTCATACTAGTAGTTCAGGCTAAGAGTAAATGCTTAGGGTTTCTTGAGTAACACATTCAAATCCAGTTCCGGTCTTAAGGTTTTTTAGCTCTGAACATTTCTTCATAGTTACCTTTCCTAATGGCAGTAGCTATGAACTAGAAATAGTGTGTTTTCTCCACTGGGAAAAGGGAAAGGGAAACTCTCCTAGTATAAGGAGAGGATTGTTTGTCATTAGTCAGCTCCCCTGTGGATGACTCTCATTTGTGCTTCTGATATGTAAGCTGGTGTTGATGCTTTACCCATGAGCATGGTATAAAGATGATTGCTCTGTTATGGGGTCCTTTTTCCTCTTCTTCACCCTTTTTTTTTTTTTTTTTTTTTGAGAAAGCGATGGTAATGCTACTAATAGGTGCCAAGCGGTGGCCTTTTGCTCTTTCATCAGAACTGTTTTGAGTCTTTGCTGCCTGATCATGGAATTCCATCAGTACTGATGAGCACACTAAGCCAAAGAAGATTTGAGAATTGTTCCCTATCATTATACTGCAATTCTTGCAGTTGTCTTTCTGCCCAAGTTTTTACTCTCACTCCAGTTGATCCCTATACAACTTGGTTCTGGGGGATGTTTCCCGAGCAGCTCGGTGCCATCTTCCAGCCTGTTTGTGCTGCTTCAGTGTCTGGTCGTAGCCGGGGTGGGGAGGAGCACAGTTGAGAGCATACAAGGCAGTACTTATTGGGACTCCTCTCAGCTCTTTGCACAGAGGTTGCTGATGGTGGTGGTGGAGGTCTTGTGTACTGGGTATCAAACTGGGGTCATCCGCATGCATGGCAAGTACCTTTACTCCATTGCTATCTCTCTACCACCTAAACTTATTGGGGAGGCACACTTGTCAATGCTCAGGGCTTACTCCTGGCTCTGTGCTCAGGGATCACTCCTGGTAAGAGGGCTCAGGGGACTATATGTGGTTGCCAGGGATTGAACCTGGTTCAGCCACATGCAAGGAAAGCATCCTATCTGATGTACTAACTCTCCAGCCTGTAAGCAACCTATTTTTGAGTCATATGTAGGTCAAATATGGTCACATGGGATAGAGAGTAGGCAGTTAACATCTGCAAGACAGCAGGTGTCCAGGCCACTTAGCTGGTCAGTATAGAACTGGCCTTAGTTGAATATTGGAAGCCAGAAATGACGGAAATCATACTTGGTTCTGCAGAGACCTGTGCCCTCAATGTGTGTGTTTTTGTGTGTGTGCAGATGTGGCCAGTGCGGAGCAACAGCAGCTAATAAACGACTTCCAGAAGGGTCCAGAAGAGGAGCCCGAGGAGACGCTCATGGATACAGAGAAAGAAGAGGATCTCAGAGCAGTGAACGCAGAGCAGCTGAAGCCAGAAGAGTTGAAGTCGGGGACTACCGCACCCTCTGGTGAGCCCCACAGGGAACCTCCCTGAGCTCCGGCTTAGGGGAGGCACATCTCTCACACTCTAGTGTAGTCTCTTTTCCCCACCTACTAATGCAAGGCTCAAACGTTCTCTTTTAATACTTGTGCCATCTTCCACCTGAGTGTAGTGAGGTGGAAGAGAGGTGTTCGCCGGCCGCTGCCCTTTAAGGAAACCCGAAAATCCAGATTGTCTTTGTAAAATGTAGAAGAAAAGAGAATGGTTTATTTGTGACAAGCATGCATAGTCTTGATTTGGAGAAGTGATTTCAACGATATTAAAGAGCACAGTATCTTTCAGTATAAAATGGGGTGAGCGAGAGGGAAATTCATGTAAAATTCCATTTCATGGTTGCTGAAGTGCTATACCTTTTAAGTGGTTGTACAGATCTCCAAGACTTGCCAGGAAAACCGTAGTCTCCACTGTTCTTCACATGAGGGTATGCGAAGGGAGGAGTAGGAGTTGGCATTAGCCATTTTAGAGAGAAAGGGCATGTGGAATCCCAGATAGCTGAGTGCTGGTAACCTGGGAGGTATGAGAGGTGGCTGGCGCCGATGGGCAGTGCATGGTCTGTATGTTATATGATGTCCTCGTACGAAACTACAGGCTCGGATGAGCTGGAAATGGAGACTCAAACTGCTAACGTAGAGAACGATCAAGAAGACCCCACGACAGAGAAATCCCACAAGGAGGCAGAAAGTGAAAGGCCAGAGCGAAGCCACGAGTCCACCATTCATACGGCCCATCAGCTCTTCATGGATACTCTTTTCCAGGTATCTAGACTTTATCAAATCACTTTTGTCAGCAGGTGGACAGAATGTAATTGTAGAATGCTTCGAAACTGTTGCCTCTGAACTGTTGGGGGACATCCATTTGGGGATTCTGTTGGTGCGATTGTTGTTCTCTAAGACATGTCTTATATGTTTTACATGTAACATGTCTTACATGTCTTAGCAGGGAGTCTTGGGGGTCGCAGGGTATGCGCCCATCCAGCCATGCTGGTGGGTGGTCTCAGCCTCTCACTTCCACTCACTACTCTTACCAGCCCTGAGTGAGGAGTCCACTGCTCACCACGTCGATGATTCTGGAAGAACTGATCAAATTATTTTTCCTAATCATATGGCTTAATAGTTATCAGAATTCAGCAAAGAACATTATCAGTATTGATATTTTCATGGCTGTAGTACTTTTTTTTTTTTTTGCCCCCTGGGATGACTTTAGGAACATTGAAGTTTCTTTATCCATCTTGCCTACAAAATAGGAAACAGAAGAAAAATGGCCATCTATCTTCTAAGGAGGCCATTTAGTCTTCTTCAGTTTTATGAAGTACTTGGCATTCGTACTGCACAGGAGGCTGCCAGCAGTTGGGAGTTGGGAGCTCTTATCTGGGACATTTTTTCTCTTATTAGCCCTTTGCTAAAGATGTCATTGAGCTGAGACAGGAGCTGGAGAAGCAGCTGGAAATGTGGCAGTCACATGAGACCGGAAGCCCAGAAGAAGTAAGTCAGCTTTTTCTGTAAAATAGCTCGACTTGACGTTTCAAGTGATTATTTTATTATGTATCTCCCTTCCCATTCTTTGCTGTTGTTGCTGGTGATCACACTTTCTGGTGATGCTAAGAATCACATTCAGGTATTTAGGGTGATGCAGAGGACTGAATCTTGCAACCTCAGTATTGCAAGACAGGAGCTTTTCCACTGAGATACAGCGCCCTGGGCCCAGAGAGGTAGTATAGGGATTAAGGCACTTGCTTTGCATATGGCTGACACAGATTTGATCCTCTGCACTGCCAGGTATAACCCTAAAACCACCCCCCAAAAAGATGCAGCAAACTTTGTAAATGGAACCGAGTATGTGGAGATAATATCCAGAATGAAAATCCAGAAGCCTGAGCCTTTCCGTTGCTTCCGGCTACTTTGTCATATCTGTCACTGAATCAAAACAGAAACTGATGTGCTTTGTTTCTTTTGCTTCTGTTCCTTCCTGTGAAGGAAAATTGAAAACTGGGCAAAAGTCGAAGCTCTCATCCTTTGAACTGACCACCCAGGACATTATAGGGTTGACCTAATATATACAGTGTAGATGGATCAGAAGTTTCACTCTCAATGGCATTATTAATCAGTAAATTCTATGTTTACTGCATATATTGTTTTGTTTTACATCTATTCATTCTCCCCCTCATCAGTGTTTGAATATCCTGCCATAGTTGGCAGAAAAGTCATGGTGCTCTGTGGCTAGAAAACCATCACTCTGTGAATGTATTAAGAGGTTTGCACTCATTTTTCTGGCGCTCAAGAGGAAAGTGGCTGGATATTCTGGCACTAGAATGACCCATTCACATCACTTCTTGACCTTTGGCTACAATCAGGTGCAGAATTACCCATTCACAGTTCTTGCCCCACATAGGTTATACTCTTCATAGGTGCTGTGAATTAGCACTGATTGGTTATGCCTTGTTGCCTTTTGGCTTTATTCTTATTTGTGTGTTTGTTTTGGGGGGCCACATCCAGCAATGCTCAGGGGTTACTCCTGGCAGTGCTCGAGGGACCATATGGGGTACCAGGGACCGAACCCAGGTTGGCTGCGTAGGTAAGGGGAGCACCTTGCCTGCTGTACTATCTTTGTCTCCTGTTGCTTTATTTTTTTCTAATTTAGATAGGTGGGTTGTGGTTTCAGTGCAAAGGGAAACACTCATTTTCAATTGGTCATTGGTTTACAATGCTACAGAATTCCTGAGTACAGTAGCTAGTATACCACACTGTGGATACAAGAAAAACTGTGTGTGTAAGAACTGCCTGACTTCCCACATGTAAATATGTACTCCAGTCCTTTGAGCCACCACCCTGGCCCCAGGATACTTTTTTTTAAATTCTGGGACCATACCTGGTCCTGGTGCTCAGGACCATGCAGTGCCTGAGATGGAGGCTCGCACTCCTTCATGAGAAGCAAGTACATTGAGTTCACCCCAGACCTTTTTAGTTGAGTGAACCCCATTGCAATTATCTGAGAAGTGTTGTCTTGTTGTTGTTTGGTTGTGGTTTGGGGCTTACAGCCAATGGTGCTCAGAGCTTACTCCTGGCTCTGGTCTCAGGGATCACTCCTGGCGGTGCTTAGGGGACCATTTCGGGTGCAGGGGAGATTGAAAACAGGTCGGCAGCATGCACGGCACTCTGACTCCGGCCCAGTGCTGAGGGAAGTTCAAATGTGCTGCTGTTCGGCCCGTGCCTTTCTGTTGCGGTGCCTCTTGCTGTTCTGTCTCTGATGATGTTCCCATGCATGTTGTCACTGCTGTCACAGGAGAAGACTGCCGCCGAGATGTGGCAGCGTTACTTGTTCATAACTGCACCCCTGTCACAGCAGCTGTGTGAACAGCTTCGCCTCATATTAGAGCCCAGCCAGGCGGCAAAACTGAGGTGAGTCTTTCCCAGTGGGCTCACTCATGGTGCCCTCAGACGGCAGTGCTACCTTTACTCTTGACCCTCCACGGAGATGCACGTGGTGCTGGGTTCTAGGCTTCCATCTCTGCTGGCCGGCTCCAGTATGCTGGTCTCCCATTATGCCTCTGCACACACAGTTTCTGTGTAGCTTTGTGTGAACGCAGTCTGTTTCCTTGATAACTGGTGGGAAAACTGGATGAGTCTTTGGGTGGCTGGGTGCCACTCAGCCTTCCTACATGCTGTGTTCTTTGTTGTAGTACTTTCCAGAGAAATGTTCCTAAAGTAATAATTTAAGAGTAGAAAAGAGAATCCAAGACTTCACTGCAAATATTTTCTCTTTAGAACTGGTGGGGGGGAGGGTCGCTTGCTTTTTTGGAGGACCTATAAAGTACCACATCCATGTCTAGTTCTTCTGGGTTGCAGAAGACCCTATTCTATAATTCTCAGTTGACAGTAACAACCTCACCACGCTTGGGTACTGTGAATGATCTTAGTGGGCAAAGGATGTTCCCAGTGCCATGGCTGTTGAGTAATCTTGCTGTGTTTGGGTGAATGGAACAGAGGAGATTACCGCACCGGGAAACGACTGAACATGAGGAAGGTCATCCCATACATCGCCAGTCAGTTTCGCAAAGACAAGATTTGGCTTCGGCGGACCAAGCCCAGTAAACGCCAGTACCAGATCTGCTTGGCTATTGATGACTCTTCAAGCATGGTAGACAACCACACCAAACAGGTAAGGAAGAGAAGCTCACAACAGGCTGATGAGAAATGAACACTGAACCATGGGCTGGGGGCTGCCTGGATATAGTCAGTGCAGACTGGCAAAAAAAAAAAAAAAAAACCACTTTAGACAAGTTACTCCATTCTGAGAATGAAACATTTTTGAGAAGGTCTAAAACTTTAAAAGAGGTTCAAAAGGGCAATTCCAGAACGTCCAATTATTTTAATTCCTTACTGTTGTCAATTGGGGCGGGGGAGGGGGGGTGGCGCTGGGAAGATAATACAGGAGCTAAGTCATGCAACCAACCCACAAGTGATTCCTGAGCACAAAGCCAGGAGAGCCCTGAGCTGCCACTGGTATGGCCCAAAACAACAATTTTTTTTTTCTTAGCCCTCCTATTCCTTTGGCTGCATAATAATTGACAACTTTTGCCTTCCACAAAATTCACTCTACTATTCTTAAGGCTGTGTGCAGCCACATACCCAAATATCTTTTTGTTGTTGTTAGTTTGGGGGCCACACCTGGCACATGCTCAGGGATCACTCCTGGCAGTGCACAGGGGATCCTATGTGGTCTGGGGATCAGACTTGGGTTGGCTGCCTATAAAACAAGTGCCCTACCCACTGTATTCTCCAGCTCTTCTTGGATTTTTTTAAAAAAAATTTTGGGGGTTGGGGGGAGTAAGTTGAGAGAGTCTGCTGTACTATATATTCTGATTCCTTCAGGCCTTCTCTTTCTATTTCACAGCTTGCATTTGAATCTTTGGCAGTGATTGGAAGTGCTCTGACACTCTTGGAAGTAGGTCAGATTTCCGTGTGCAGGTAAAGTCCCTTCTAACCCTGCTCAGAAGCAGTACTGACTGTCCCTTCCTGATGGTGACCACATAACAGAAACTAAATTTCAGTGTGTTTGGTTTCCTCTTCCAGTTTTGGAGAGTCCGTGAAACTCCTACACCCATTTCATGAGCAGTTCAGTGATTCCTCAGGGTCCCGGATTCTGCGCCTCTGCAGATTCCAACAAAAGAAAACCAAGATTGCTCAGGTATGCTCAAAACATCAGTGTCTTTACTGCTTGTCAGGACACGTTTAGAGCCCTTTCTCCCATACATGGCATCTCGACAAATAATACAGAATAATCTTAAATTTTAATCTTTGCAAGAGTCTGTTTTCTGGGAAACCTTTATTAAATTAAGATGTGCCCACTTATTCTCAGTTCCTCAAAAAGTCTTTGTTCTGAGAGATTGGGAACATTTTGCAAAAATAAATCTTCTCCCGTACTCCCTTATCAGGTGGGTCAGAGCCAATTTCCCTTCCCCATTTAGTGCAGGGAAGATAAATAAAGCCAGGTATGAGCTAAATCCAAAACACAAGTTCCTGCCCTCACATAGTTTCCTTTCTCTAAGTCAAACTGTGTTTTCTCTGTTCTTCTGTTTTGCTTAGTTACTTTCATGATAAAAGATGGCTGCTTCATTTGGGGGGTTGGGAAGTATTTCTTTTCCTCTGGGGTGTCTTGCAGTCAGCTGTATGCAGGACACATATCTAGTAAAAATGCCAAGAATCAGCTTGGCCTTTACGTGTGTCTGGAAGAGCAGTTGAGTTGGCCCTGAGATGGTTGTCTGATGCTCAGTGTCAAGAGTGATCACGTATCTTTTTCTTGATTGTGTGTTTCCCGTCTAGTTTCTAGAGTCTGTGGCCAGTATGTTTGCAGCCGCTCAGCAGCTCTCACAGAACGTTAACCCAGGTGAGCTGTACTCTTCCTAATAATATGGATTCTGTGTTTATTAAACCTATTCCCGTGAGGCTCTAATCAGTAAAGGAGACAAAACTAACATGCTTGTGATTAACTAGTGTGTACTGGGTCTGTTGAGCTCAAGAGATGTGGAAGGAGGGAGGTGTATGAAGGATAGACTGTTCTCTCATGCATTAGTAACAGCAGAAAGCAGAGGAGGATATAAATCACAGTACAAATCCATCCATGGCTGATATGGGGAGCAAGGGTAGGGAATTGACAGGTAAAGGCAGTATGCCAAAAGTACATATGGATCGTACTTCAGTTTTAGTCACTATTTTATTATATAGTCACTATTTTAATGACCCTTTCTCTTTAAGATTTGGTTTACTTTTCTCCTTAAATTATCTAAACAACTTAGGTACAAAAAGGTACAGAAACCTGAAGTTGTTCACAGTGGAATTTGGAGACCAGTCTCTTGATTTGGAACTGTCTAATGGTCTAGTCAATTTCATAAAATGACTGTTATTGCTTCTATGCTGCTCCCTATGAATTTGACCTTTAGCCTTATCAGTTTAACCTTATCACTGATTCGGGCTTCCCAGGTTCTAGTTCTAGTAAGAAAGAGGCATTTTTCTTGTTAATTCATCTGTTAAAGAAATCCTACACTGGGGCTGGAGCAATGGCACAGCGGGTAGGGCATTTGCCTTGCACGCAGCCAGCCCGGGTTCACTTCCCAGCATCCCATATGGTCCCCTGAGCACCGCCAGGAGTAATTCCTGAGTGCAGAGCCAGGAGTAACCCCTGTGGATCGGCAGGTGCAACCCAAAAAGGAAAAAAAAAAGAAATCCTACACTGACCTTTAATTTTGAGCTGTTAAAAAATGGATGTTTATTCTATTCCCTTCTCTTCCTCTTGCTCTGTGACAGAAACTGCCCAACTCCTCCTGGTGGTCTCCGATGGACGTGGCCTTTTCCTGGAGGGCAAAGACCGAGTCTTGGCAGCAGTTCAAGCTGCCCAGATGGCTAAAATCTTTGTCATTTTCGTTGTGTTGGACAACCCCAATTCCAGGGTGAGTGACTAAATACTACTTTCCTGGGGGTTGAGTCAGGATTCCCTGCAGCCTGCTTGAAGTGCTCTGTTAGTGAGTGCCTGGCACAGTATCTAAGTATTGTTTTATTTTGTTGGGGGCCCCACCCAGCAGTGCGGGGATCAAACCAGGGACAGCCCATGAACAATCTCTGAGCATTGCCAGGTCTAACCTAGATTGCTTGCCCTCCCCAAATAAAATTATTTCATTAAAAATGTCTTCTGTTCACAGGATTCTATCTTGGATATTAAAGTACCTATATTTAAAGGATCTGGAGAAATGCCTGAAATCCGATCCTACATGGAAGAGTTCCCGTTCCCGTTCTACATAATTCTTCGCGATGTGAATGCACTTCCTGAGACACTCAGTGATGCTCTCAGGCAGTGGTTTGAATTGGTGACAGCCTCAGACCACTCATAATCAGAGACTTGAAACTGCGTTCCCCACATGCTCCACTTAGACAATTTTCTGGACTCACAGATCTAATATAAGTTGGATCTGATCTTAAGACATTTTACCCAACAGCTATTTAAAGACATGCTTGGGTTCTCTACCTTGCTTGCCTGTGCCCTAGTTCATTGGGTGGCATAGGAGCAGTAGGTATCTGGTCTCATTGCTGAAGGAAGCTGCCTCTCTGTGCAGTCCAGCTGCACCCCTGTCCTGGAATGCACAGCAGCCGGGCACTGTACAGTCCTTGGCACAAGACTGAGTAGGGCTGTTTTGGGTTCAGCTCAGCCAGTACGTAGTCTGTGCTCAAAAGATGTCAGCAGCTAACGGCTGCAGTTTTCTGGGCACTTAATCACAGCGCTTCCTGTAAGTGGAGTAAGGAGGCTTGTGTGTGCTTACAAAACCAGCAGTCCATCCCTGGGGCTGTGTACAAATGAAGTGGCTTTTCTCTGTCCTCCATATTTTGCTGCTTCGTGAGACTATGCAATGGTGGAAAGAGGATTTTCTGTTTATTCTCTCAGTGCCATAGTACATGTAGTAATTTATTTCTTTAGTTCATTTTTTACGCTTTATCGGTTAGGGAGAAGAAGAATCATTCCTCACATTGCTTTCGAGCTGGACCGAGCCCATCTCATTGTAGAAAAGAAATACTATGTCCAAAAGATTTGATAGTAGTGGTGATCAATTTATATTTATATCTATGTGTGTCCGTTCCCCTAATTCTGCCCAGTCAAAATACAACAGTGCTTTTTAAGGCTGTTTTTAATATGGTCAGAAAGCAGTGCTCGAATACTTGAAACTGTGTGTGCTGTGTTTTATTTAAGTGCTGTCAGAATGTTCTTTTATAGATAAATGCCTTGATGTAAACTCTCTCCACATGTTACCCAGTTACACTGTGACGTCTGCCAGGATTTTCAGGTGGTCATCAAAAACACTTTGCTTGTTTTACCAAGTGTCCTACGCATGGATCTGAGGTTATATCATCATTTTTTTATCCTAAAAAAAGATGCAGCTTATATTCTGAATGATATTAAAAACTATATCACTGTTGGTGTAATTTGTGCGCATTCTTAATGGAGCAGAAGAGAGGCGTGTGAATGGTACATCAGGGAAATGGTGTGTCTGCTGGTATAGGTTGGCTTGTTGGAATCAGTGCTCTGCTAACGTGATCCCACATATCCTGGTAACTTCCTGCTTAGCCGTGTTCCCACCCAAGGTGGGTGGGCTGCAGCATGCTGGCCTCAGGACAGGGAAACAGACAATCTGTGTTCCATCAGAAACACAGCAGCTCATAAAGAATGTGCTCCAAAAATAATACATTTCTTCTACTCACATTCATGGCCAAAGCCCTTTATGAGAGCAAAAAGTGGGCTAAAGAGACAGTTCAAAGGTCTGCTTGCTTTGCACACAAGAGCCCTGAGTTCAGTCCCAAGGTATGGTCCACCTACCCCCACCCCAAGTGTTCCATCTTCCTGCAGGGTTGGATCTGGTAGGAAAAAGCATCACCATAAGACAGTGATGCAGTGTTTACCTGTGACAGGGCCATAAAAAGAGCTTTCCCACTGCATCACTGTCTCAACCATGATCTTGTCTCATCTTACCTTGGGACACGGACCTCCTCCTCTGTTCTGCACTGACAGTGGGACAGCTGGAGTTGTCTATAGCCTGCATTCCGGAATCTTCAGTGCTACCTCCGACTAGCCACTTTGCTCCTTTCGCCCTGCTCCCAACACAGGAGATGTGTACACAATTCCTTCAGAGGTCACTTTGGATCCTCCTACGTGTAATCTGGCATCTGTTCCTTCTTTCCCAGCATCCCTACTACATTGTTAAATCTGGCACACCAATGCACCAACACCTGGAAGCTTCCAGTGTTCTGTGCCTTCTTTGGGATTCTTTGCTAACTTGCCTCGCATAAACCCTTCAGGAATTTTGGGAATAATGCACTCCTGTGGCCTGAACGTTGACTGCATACATGTCTTCCTGCCCAGAGTGTGAGTGCGCACAGGGAACATAAAATGGCACATGACAGTATTGCCAATGTCTAGCATGACAGTATGTCACAGACGTTGCTAGATGGGAAGACTTTGTTCTCATTCAACGCTCCAGATCCCAAAGTGCTTCAGAGGGAGTGATTCAAAAACACTTCTAAAGCTCACACAAAACCTTACTAGTACAAATGCTCTGCCACAGAGGCAGGGTGGGATGGGGGGTGGGAGGGATACTGGGATCCATGGTGGTGGGAAATGGGCACTGGTGGAGGGATTTGATCATTGTATAATTGAAACTAAAAAAAAAAATTTTTTTTAAAAAAACCTTACTAGTACATGATTCTTGTAAGGAACTAGAAGAGAATAGTCTTGTCAAACAATGAGAATTGAAAATTGCATAGGGATTGGGAGAAGGCTCATAGCACCGGAGACTGCTTTGCAGTGGGAGGCCCAGGTTCTATCCCTGACACCACCAGCTGTGGCCCAAATAACCACCCCCCCCAAAAAAAAAAAGACAAATCTACAAGGCCAATATGGAAACAGTTCTGGATGGTAAAATCCTGAACAAATAACTCAGACCCTAAAAGACCAGTTGGGGCTGAAGAAAGAGTACAGAGCGTGAGGCTCCTACTTTGCATACAGTCGAAACAACTCCAGTTGGGTCCCCAGCATTGCATCTGGTGTCACACAAGCACTGCAGAGAGCAGCCCCTGGGCACTGCCAAGTGTGGGACCCAGTGCCCCCTACCCGCAGAGGAATTCACAAAAAAGGCATCATAAAGCCCCAGAAAGAGAAAATTAGCTTTATTTTTTTCTTTTTTGGGTCACACCTGGTGCTGCACAGGGGTTACTCCTGGCTCATACACTCAGGAATTAGCCCTGGCAGTGCTCAGGGGACCATATGGGATGTTGGTAATCCAACCCGGGTTGGCCGCGTGCAAGGCAAACGCCCTACCCGCTGTGCTATTGCTCCAACCCTGAAAATGAGCCTTTTAATATATTATGTTGACAATTTTTAGTCACTGGAGTGAAAGGAACCTACTCATGCCCACTGCACCCTATAAACCCAAATATTCTGGGTGAAGAAAAAAAAATTTTTCCTAGTTGAACCATGTCTCGTGGCACTTAGAGAACTACTTAGGGCCAGGGATCAAACCTGAGTCTCCCACATGCAAAGAATGCATTTAGCCCTATGGGGATAGGGGGAGAGACTTTCATTCATTTTCAGTTGTTTTGGACCACATCCAGCAGTGCTCAGGTCCCACTCCTGGCTCTGCTCTCAGGCGTCTCTCCTGGAGGGGCTCAGAGACCTGTATGGAATAACAGAGATTGAGCTGGTTGGCTGAGAGCAAGGCAAGCACCCTATCTGCTATGGTATTACTCCAGCCCTGGGGAAAGGTTTTCAATGGAAAAAAATGCAAAGCTTAGGACAGGTGAGAATGAAATGGAACTGCACTTGAGACAAAAGCATATATAACCAACCAGATAAGTATCCACAATTAAAGAAAATGAGTAAAACAAAATCAGTGAAATCATTATCTCCACTAATAATCTCCACAAAATCATTATCTCCACTAATGGAAAGTAAAAAACAGGCCATTCAAATAAGTATAACTAGAACTGGCAAGTGATAGCTGACTAGAACTGGCAAGTGATAGCTGACTAGCACACGAGGGCCCTAGCTATAGTACGGGGCTCTTGCCTTGCACATGGCCGACCCGGGTTTATTCCCAGGTACCCTTTATGTTCCCCTGAGCCTGCTAGAAAATGATCCCTGAGTACAGTCAGGAGTAAACCCTGAGCACTGCCAGATGTACGTGCCCCTCTCCACCCCCCCCCCCCCAAGGAAAAAACAACCAATAACTTGACTAGCACTTAGAAAAAAAAAATCAGTAATGAGTGGTTATTATGGAGAAAACAAGTGGTTAGGGTATTTGTGTGACTCATAGGACAGCAAAGAAAATGCTCATCATTGGTGAGCTCTGGTGTCATTCCGGGCCTCAGATGAAAGACAGCTGGGGCTGAAGGCAGGGTGGTGGTGATGCCTTACATTTAAGAAACAGCATGGAAGAGAGTCCACCAAGGATCCTAACATAGGAAATGCTCAGTAAATAGAACTGGACTGACATTAGAATTGACCCAAGGCCCCGGGTGTGTTGGGAGCATTAAACAATTCAAGGCGATTCAGGTTCCAGAGGAAGGGATGGTCATTTCCTTATAAGTGGCACCAAGTTCTTATACCAAAATCCCGGAGCTACTTAAAGCCAAGTGATGCAGCTGACCCTTGAACAGGGGGTTGGGTTACCAACTTCTAGTCAAGTGTAACTTAACACACCCCAAACCTAATTGCAGAATGTGCTGCTGTCTGGAAGCCTCAGCAGAGAGTCAACTAATACATACTTTGTAAGTGATATGGGTTATATATTCTTAGAGTACAGCTAGAGAAAAGATTAAGCAAAGAGAAAAGACACTTGTAGTACTGTACTGTCTTTATCAACAGAAAACCCTCATGTAAGTGGCCCAGAGGAATTCAAACCTGTGTTTCCCATTTCAAACCGAGGTACTCAGGGGCCAACAGTAATGATATGAAAGTCACCATATTGGGGAAAAGCTTACCCTAAAAATGCCAGGGAGAAAAAGTGCAGGAGGTAGACACTAGAAGATAACAGTATTTTATTTTTATTCTTTTGGTTTGGGGGCCACGCTCAATGGTGCTTAGCGCTTACTCCTGGCTCTGTGCTCAGGGATCACTCTTGGGGGGCCCATAGGGTACTGGAGATCAAATCTGGGTCTGTCTCATGTAAGGCTAGTGCCCAACTAGAAAAGTTTTTTTGAGTTTGGTATTTTTAACTGTACACTAAAAAAGTGAATGGAAGCATCCTGAGGCAGGCAGGGGAATAGGGCCTATCTCCCTATCTCCCAGGGCAATGAGTTCTTGGGAGGAAATAAAACCAACTAGCCCTCAGCCTGCCAGGACCTACCTTGCACAGGAGCTAAGGCTTGATAAGACCTTTAACTGACTGAAGCACAGACCTGGAGAATTTTCTAGGTCTTCTTGGGGGTGGGGGGAGAATGAACCCCCACCCCCTTCCAAGAGAAGCTTCAGCAAGTAAAAAGTCCAGGAAAGAAATTTCAAAGACCATCAACCTCCAAAGCTTCCACTGGCAACCACCCTAGCAATGGACTCTTACCTAGGTAGAAAGCCCTGTAAAAGTCAATCTGGACAAAGGAATGGTCATGGGCTGCCTGGTTACATAGCGCCCATATCTCTCTTGAGATGTGTGCTTTCATACTTTAATACCTGGGATGTGTATGGGGCTCTCTCTCCAATCTGCGGAATCCCACAAGATTCTCTTAAGTCTGTTACTATCTCTTCCTCTCCCCTTCCTGAGAACATCCAATAAAACCTGTTTTGACTTCACTGCTCATCTCCTGAAATTCTTTTCTGGGAAAGATTGAGGACCTGAAAGGTGTAGGACTCACATTCCTTTCCTGCAAAGAGTACATCTCACAGGTGACTCTTTTCAATCCTAGATTTCCTCAGCTATTGTGGGGGAGGCGGTGTGGGTGGTGGTGAGGGCCTTATCGAGGCCTCCTCCCATTCCACATAAGTCACCCAGGGATCCCCACCAACATCAGTCCCAAAGTGTACCCTTCATCCTTGCACACAAAGCTGTGCTCAGTCCTTAAGCTGGACTCCCATTTATTGACACTGACCAGGACTGTGCAAAATCCCTTACCTGCCCATTTCATTACCACAACATCTGTCTCACAGGGAGGAGTCACTGGCTGGTTTACCAGAAAAAAAATCTTCTCTGGGTACCTATTGCACTTCCAAAGAAGCACACCACATTGGATGGGGTGTAAAGTAGAAGGCGACCGATCTGGAGATATATAGATATAGATATAGATATATGCTAATACATATATTTTAGCACACAAGGCTCAATCTGTAATAATGTTACTAACAATGTTAGTAACCTCTTATACAAGGGCTAAACAACTCCAAGGTGAGATATGACAATATTCTTACACTTTCTGCTAAAGAAAACTTTTTGGATCATTTCTCAGTGGAATACTCTTTTAAAAATATTTATTTTATCTTTATAAAGTTGTTCACAATATTTGATTACAATAGTCAAATACCAATCCCACCACCATCGCACCTTTCCACCACCTACCTTACTTCCATCCCAAACCCCAACCCTGTCCCCAAAGCAGAACCGAAATAATTTATTTGTAATGCTTGTTATTAATAATCTAGAGGATTACTTTTTAACAAGCAATACAAAATAAATTATTTAGAATCTGCCTTTGGAGGAGGCTTGGATGGGGTAATGGGAAAATTCGAAATAGTGTAATGGTGGTGGGTTTGGTGTTAGAATATTGAATGTAATAAATTATTGTGACCATCCTTATAAATCCGAGTAGGCTCGGAGATCTCGGCCCCGGAACCCACGTGGCTTTGTCCCTACTCGGATTGGAGTCGAGCATCCTCCACCCAGATCCTCCAAATTCCAGTAGGCGGGGGTCACACCCATCAACTGGCCCCCTGGCGCCGTGTAATCCCATCAGCGGCCAAGACTCTGAGACTATAAAAACCAGCTCCCGGAACCGGGAATGCGGCCGCGGGACATCTTATTATGACATCTCATTCCTACTTTGACAAACTGGCAGGCTACCGAATATAGCCTGCCCACACGGCAGAGTCTGGCAAACTCCCCGTGGCGTACCCAATATGCCAAATACCAGTAACAATGATGGGTCTCATTCTCCAAAGAGCCTTGAATATAACCTCAGGGCCAGGATGAAGGAGACGTTACTGGGGCCTGCTCGAGGCAATCGACGAATAACAGGATGATTTGTGATCCTTATAAAAATAAAAAATTTAAAAATAACAATTAAAAATAATAGTAATAAAAGAAAGCAAGCCTGGACCACAGCTACCGTAAGACTAGGACCCAAGACAGAGCCCAACTTCCAGCCCTCTCCCAGGTAACCGGCTTAGGCCCGCCTCCCAGCTGCTGTCCACTTCCGTTCCTGCGCACTGCGGCGCCAGAAGCCGGTGGAGCTTGGAAGACATGGCTGCCTCTCGTTTGCCCCCCGCGACGCTAACGCTAAAACAGGTACCGGCTCTCCCCCGAGGTCTTCTCGGGCAGCTTTCCGACGGGCTCTTCCCAGTCCTCCACGCCGACCTCCATCCAGTCTATAGAACGAGGCCTGGAGGCCCCCCGCGCGCGCTCCTCCCGTGATTGGTCCGGGCTTGGGGGCGGGACTTCCGAGGGGGCGGGGCGCGCGGTGTGGGAGGTGCATTCCCGTTCTTGGATTCTGGGCCACGGTGGAGGCTGCAGCTGTGCTGCCGTGTGCCAAGCAGTGAAGGTCGCTCCAATAACTGCGTTAATTGAGTAGTTGTCAGCCAACTCCTGATTTTAATCAGTAAATTAGGTTGGACGGAGGACCGCTAGGAAATTAGGGTTGACAGAGCACTAAGTAAAAAGCAGCCCAAAGAAACACATTGCCGTTTTCTTAGATGAGTTAAAACGTGATTTTTTTTTTCTTTGCTCATTTCAAAAAGGAAGTCCACAGAATGGAGTCCTAGTTACTTTTCGGTTGCTAAAGTGCCCTTTAGATCCGTTGGTCGTCCATGTATAAGGATCGTTTCTCCTTTCCCCGCACAGTTTATGAGAAGGCAGCAAGTTCTCCTCCTCTACAGACGGATTTTGCAAGCAATTCGGCAAGTTCCAAATGATTCTGATCGCAAATACTTGAAGGAATGGGCAAGGGAAGAATTCAAAAGAAACAAAAATGCCACTGAGGAGGTGAGAACCATCAGGGTACAGACAGGCCTAACCCATTTGTATTGGTGCGTTGGAGGCGGGGGGAAGGGGGGGAGGACCAGAGGGATATCCGTTCAGTGGGTTGGATGTTTGACTTGCACTTGGCCGACCTGGGTTCCATCACAAGTATCCCATTTGGTTCCCCCTAGCTCATCAGGAGTAATTCCAGAGAACCTCTGGGTGTGGCCCCAAAGGGAAAAAAAAGTTTAGTAGACATATTGGAACATAAGGTGTCATTGAGATGCTCCAGTATCTTTTTTGTTGTTGTTTGGTTTTTGGACCACACCTGACTGTGCTCAGGGTTTACACCTAGCTCTGCTCTCAGGGATCACTCCTGACAAGCTTGAGGTCAGGGAACCATATGGGATGTTGGATACAACTCGGACAGGCCTTGTGCAAGGCAGGCGCCCTACCCTCTGTACCCCAGGATGCTGGCATATCTTGATCACTGCAATGTTTACAGACTTTTCAATCATTTAAATGATATTTTAAGCATGCCATCTTTGGGGCTAGAGAGAAAGTTACAGTGTTTGCCTTGGGGTTGGATCTGCAGCATGCCATATATCCTCTCCCCCCAGTCCTGCCAGGAGTGAATCCTGAGGGGCCAAAAAACAAAAGTATGCCAGATATAGTGTACCCCTCTTACCAGATCTTTAATTTTTCCAATATGCAATTCTTATTCTCACTTTTTTTTCTTGATTTTAAAATTGTTTAAGCAGATAAAAAATAGTAACTAAATTTCACTTTGTTTTCTAGGATACCATCCGGATGATGATAACTCAAGGCAATATGCAGCTCAAGGAGTTAGAGAAAACACTTGCTTTAGCAAATTCCTAGCTATAGCAGCACTATTCTCCATGTGGGATCAGCCCAAAGTCAAGTCAGACTGTTTGTGTGCATATAACACTTGGCAGAGTATCAGAAGATGGAGCATGTCAGACCAGACAGAGCAAAGAAAAGTGCAGCAGGATATTTGCATTCTCACTGAAAAATATACTCTGTACTTTGAAAGTGTTTTTGGATGTGGTCAGCAGTTTTTGTAAGAAGCAAAAACCAGCACAGCAGATGGTTAATTCGCACATAAAATGATGGTCTACAACATTAACTATCAGGAAAATGCAAATTAGAACCACAGTGATATCCAACTACACATCTACTGGAATGGCTATAATTTAAAAAAGGGAGAGAGTAACAAATGTTGATTAAAATGTGGAGAAATGGAACCCTCAGATGTTGCTGGTGAGAATATAAAATGGGTAGCCACTTTGAATAACAGACTGTCATGTGCTCAAAAGTTTAAACACTGTTACCATATGATTCAGCAGTTCTGCCCTTGGGTTTATAACCAAGAGAACTAAGCATGTCTACAAAAAATGTGTCCACAAATGTTCATAAGCAGCATTAGTCATAATAGTCAAAAAGCCAAAACTATGAAAATTCCCAGCAACGGTTAAGTGAAATAAAAATGTTGTCTATGCATAACAATATTAGTAATAAAATACTAGCAATAAAAAAGAATGAAGTACTGATAGTTGCTAAATGGTGATCAAATCTCGAAAATTTTAGTGAAAGAGGCTAGTTAAAACATCTACAAGTCCATTTCTAGTAAATTCCTTGAGTAGGCAGAAACAGTGGTTGTGAAGGGCATGAGGGTAACTGCTAATGGATATGTGCTTTCCTTTTGGGATGATGAAAATATTCTAAATTTAGGGCCCAGTGCGATGGTACAGCAGGTAGGCACATGCCCATATGGTCCTATGAACACTGCCTGGAGTGATGGCGCAGAGCCAGGAATAAACATTGAGTGCCGCCAAGTGTGGCCCTCAAAACAAAAAGAAAATACTCTAAATTCAGATGAATGTTGGTTGATTTTGTGAATATACTAGAATCCACAACTACAACATATTTTATACATATGGTATATAAGTCAGATCAATAAATCTGTTATTTTTTCAATGTCCTGATTTCTAAAAGAGATATAAAAATGTGCATATCAACAAATCTGTTTTTTAAAACTACCCTTGGTAGAAGTATGTTGATAAATAGATACCTGAAATTTTCTTTTAGAAATCCATCTGGGGCCAGAAAGCTAGTTCAGGGGTTAAGACGCTTGCTTGTAGCTCACCCCTGTTCGATCCCCAGCACTGCATACCCAGAGCCTCATTGGGTATGAGCCCTAAACAAAAATCGTGGTTTATTGCTCAAAGCCCTGGAGGCATCTTTTAATGTGTCACAGACTAGTATTTAGAGCAATGTTTCTCAACTACCCTGTAGGTCTCCAGAATATTCCAGAAGGGGCCAGAGCTGACAATCACATCAGGGTGGAGTATTTGGGGTCATGGTAATGAAAGTCAGAAGAGGGCTGATTTATAAGACTCCAAAATGAAAATCTCAGAAAATACAGATCTGGGCTGGGAAAAGGAGAAAAAAAGGAAGCTAGGATGCTGAAGTTGTTTATGAAAAAAGGGACAGAAGCAATTTCTGGATGAAGCCAATACAATTACCTTGACATCCACATGAAAAGAAATAAAATCCACCATTAGGGAAGATGCGCACTACACTGAGTTATCCAGGGACAGGGAGTGAAGGGTTTGAAGACGACATTTGAGATAGAAGTAGGCTTCCAGCACTTGAATTGGGGGGCACACCCAGCAGTGCTCAGAGGCTGTTCTTGCTCAAGACCACTGGTAGTGCTTGGGGGCCATGCCAGGGATTTGATTGGGTCATGACTGTTGCAGTGCAAAGCAAGTCTAGACTCTCAAGCCTGAGTCCAAAATTCTAAGTTAATGTACTAAAAGTAAAAGCAGGAAGGAAACTGGAGACATTGTGGTGGGAAATGTACATTGGGAAATGTCTACTGGTTAAGGGACAAATGTTGGAACATATGACTAAAATCTAATCATGAACAACTTTGTAACTGTGTATGTTATTGTGATTCAATTAAAAAGAAAAAAAAAGTAAAAGCGAGTGGAGGCTTTGGCATTGGTAGTCTGGCAGACTGAAGTCTGCTGTTTGTCCACAAGTTTATTTATTTATTTATTTATTTTTATGTAGGAGTACTGCTATTTATTCAGCCACTGATTATTTATCAGCCACTACTATTTATTCAGCCACTGATTGAATTGGGCATGAACTCCACTGTCCACAAATTTAAACAGTTAATCCAAGAACAATATCAGCACCTGAAAGAGGAAACAAGCTGCAAAATGATAGACCGCCAAGGCCCACACTAGAAGTGGCAGATGCCAGTGATCCATTGCCAGGTCTTCCCACAGCCTCCAAGCCCACAGACAAAATTCTAGTACTCTTCCACACTGTAAACTTGTTCAAAATGTTTGCATGAGCCAGTTTTCAGACTTCAACGTATGTAGTAGTCAGTCTCCTGCAAAGTCATTTGATGAAGTGAAGTCTTTTTGTTTGTTTGTTTTTTGCTTTTTGGGGTCACACTCAGTGATGCTCAGGGCTGCATGCAAGGCAAACACCCTACCACTGTAATATTGCTCCGCCTAGAAGTGAAGCCTTTTGAAAAGCTTCTGAAGGAAGGACACAAAGTATCTTTGTAACAAAACTGACATATACACTCAGAACACAGACTTTCTCTAGTAAATCCAAAATATTAAAGTTAAAAATCATTTTAGGGAGTCAAAGAGGTAGGAACGTGGTTAAGGCATTTGCTGACCTTAAACAGCCAAACTCTGTTTCTATCCTGGCAACCCATATAGTCCCCTGAGCCCCACCAGGAGTGACTCCTGAGCACAGAACCAGGAGTGTGCCTTAAGCACAGCTGGGTGTGGCCCCCAAACATCCACGCTCCAAAAAAGAAACAAAACCAGTAATGAAAACCAAGGAGTTGGGGCTGGAGCAATAGCACAGCGGGTAGGTCGTTTGCCTTGCACGCGGCCGACCCGGGTTTGATTCCCAGGCATCCCATATGGTCCTCTGAGCACCACCAGGAGTGATTCCTGAGTGAAGAGTCAGGAATAACCCCTGTGCATCGCTGGGTGTGACCCCCCCAAAAAAAAAATAAAACCAAAGAGTTGGTGAACCTTTCCCTAGCAGAGGTTTGAAGAAGTGTATGGAGAATTGGTGTTTTTAATTTGTATGGCACAAGTATTCCAAGAAAAACCTAAAGTGGGATTTTTCTGGTTTTGATTTTTTTTAATGGATAAAACACTGATAATTGAATTATCTTCCAGAGTTAAAATTATTACAATAACATAATAAACATCTTTTTTTTTTGTTTGATTTTTGGGTCACTCCTGGCTTTGCACTCAGGAATTATCATCCCTGGCGGTGCTCAGGGGACCATATAGAATGCTGGGAATCGAACCCGGGTCAGCCGCATGTACAAGGCAAATGCCCTACCCACTGTGCTATCACTCCTGCCCCAATATAATAAACATCTTTTACCTTCAACTCTAAGTAACAATTTGATTCACTTACATGCTTTATCTCCTCTGAATTCTAGGCCAAATCTTGCGTAGCCCAAAATTTTTCTTTGGTGGAGCATCCTTACCTGTCAGTGCACTGCTCTGTTAGGGATTAAACCAGAGGTTTCCATTTTCAAAGAGAACCCTGGTTCTTAGAGCTACCTCACCCAAGAGAAGATTTTTAGCAGTTTCGTCTCAGGTATAGAATGACAGGCATTAGCTCAACCAGTGTTCAGTTTATATACTTGAACTACAGTGAATTTTTTGTTTTGTTTTTAGGTCACACTCGGCAATACTCAGGGGTTACTCCTAGCTCTGCACTCCAGAATTACTCCTGGCAGTGCTCAGGGGACCACATGGGATGCTGGGGATAGAATATGGTCCCTGAGCAGCTCCAGGAGTCACTCCTGATCATAGAGCCAGGAATAACTCTGGAACACCTCAGGAACTAGCTCTACCCCCCCCCCCCCCCAGGTAAAGCATGAACATCAACGTACTGAGCTATTTGTCTGGCCCCATAGCTGTTATTTAAGTAGTGGTCACACCTGTATCATTAAGTGTGACGTTGGATTAGAAATTTTGAGCCCATTTACTGGGCACTGCTGATGTTGTCTGACTCAGATGTACTCATTAACTTTAAAGGAAGCAGAACGTTTCCTGGTATTTGTATTATTCTGGTCAACCAGCATATACGTAGGAGAAGCCAAGAGGGAAAGGCCAATCCCTACCTACGTTGTCTTTTATGCTAGGGAAATACTAGTGAACAAGAAAAAGGGTCCCTGGGGTTGCTCGAAAAGTGTACTTGCTTTGCACGTTGGAGCCCTGGATTCCATCACAGCTCTGCATGATTCCCTGCAGACGAGGTGTTACCCAAAAAGAAAACAAAATTAGGAAGCAACTCACATCTTCCTGGAAGAAAAACAGAATAAAACCCAAATAGTATGAGAAAGCAAACTGTCACTCTGCTGTGGAAATCACCCCAGGTCATTTCCACCCTTCCTTAATGTGCTATTTTAATTTACACAGGAGAGGATTCATTATTTTGTTGCTGTTGTTGTTAGGGGTACTCCCAAGTAGTGGTCACAAAAGACAGCACAGGGAGCTTCTCCCCAGTAATTGTCACCAACCCAGCCAGAGGTTCAGTGTTCAGAACTTGTGGTGGCAGGGGTTACCCAGAAACCTCAGGGGCGGCACCTAATGCTTGGGAGACACTGTGGTACCTGGGATCCAGGCCCTTATCCATCAATCTAAACACATTTTATCTTTCTAAGTCTTGATTAGCTTTGCTTTAAAAAAATCATATTAGGGCTGGAGCAATAGTACAGTGGTAAGGCGCTTGCCTTGCATGCAGCTGACCCTGGTTCGATTTCTGGTGTATCATATGGTCCCCTGAGCATGCCAGGAGTGATTCCTGAATGCAGAGCCAGGAGTAACTCTTGAGCACTGCCAAGTATGGACCCCAAACAAATAAAAACCAAGCAAATAAAAGGTCAGAGGTACAAAGCATTTAAGCTCACACTGAATAAATTTCCCATGTCATATACAAGGTTTATTTTTTTTCATGCAGTGCACTTGATTTTTATTTTTAAGCAAATGGAATTATACTTTTCCAGAAATAAGCTGAAATGTGGCTAGATGAAGGCACTTTTTTTAACAACCATAAAATTTGGCTAACCAAACAAAAATATAGGCTAAATAAAGTATTCACACTTTCATCTTTTAAGAAATTTAATACCAAAGTACTGTCATGTATAATGCTTGAAAGGGGCACAAATTCAAGGTAATAAAATACTAACTAGAAGACAACACAGCTCTCAAGTATTAACACCTGACTGAGACAAAGGAGGTGTAAATATGAAAACAATTCGGGGCTCCCAAAGTAAAAACCAAGAATACCACTAAGATCTGATCTATCACAGATATCTATACTAACGCACTAACAAATTCTTCTTAGAAAAATATTGCAATATGGTACAATACAACTTTTCTGTGTTTTACATTGCCCACCCCCCTGCCTGACCCCTCAGCAGCTATTTAAAGTTCCAGCCTCACTTTGAAACACAAGGTACACAACAGGCAAAACTTCTGCCTCTTAGGGGAAGTACAGTGGAAGCCTCGACTCATTCTAGCAGAGAGCACAGCGGGAAAACAAGGGGAAACACGGGTTGGACTGTGGTTGAGTTTTTGAGAGAGGTAAAGAACAAACACAAACTTTCTTCCCACACGGAGAATTGGCTAAGGCGAACCAATGATAAACGGCCCTTTACTGCTTAGTTAGGCATTAGTCAAAATATTTCCCATCAAAGCACTCTATGGTGAGGTTAATATCTTGTTCTCAGAATTTCTAACAAGCGTTTTCCTTGAGGAAGAGGCAATATTTCAGTTCATTAAAATACCCCAGCCTCAGGGCCTGAGCAATAGTATAGTGGTTTGGGTCTTATATGCAACTGACCCAAGTTCGAACCCCGGGACCCCAAAAAGTCCACACAGCCGCACTAGGAGTGATCCCTGAGTGCAAAGCCAGGAGTAAGCCCTGAGAACTTCTGGGTGTGGCCCCAAACAAATCAAAACATCAACAAAAAATACCTCCCCCTTGGAACATGACTTACTGAATATCTCAAGATTTCATCTCTTCATCTGGAAGCTCTCAGTAAGTGCCAAGGCACAGAGGGAGGAGTGCTTCCAAAGAGAGTAGTGATGCTTTGCTGGGATGGACTCAGAAAACTGAGAGGTGCATCTCGGCAATTCTGTGATCTTGCCTTAGGAGCAAATAAGGAAATGAGAAAAGGAAGGTGCCTGTATAGGTAGCGATTCATTGAGAATCTCACGAGAAACCTTCTACATACATAGTGGTTGAGGAACAACCTTGCAAAAATAAAATAAACAGAATATAAAATTAGTTCTCTCTTCAGGTTTTCTAACACAATATGTCTTCATCTACATTTATCAGGAATGTTTGCATCTGCAAATTGTCACTTAAACACATTTGTTTGATAAGCAAAACACCCAGGGACTAAGAATATGCTTTGTCTGCATTTTCTCATGTCAAGAAGTCATTTTCCCTCAGGCTCAATGAGCAGCATTTTATTAAAATTTAGAGATTTATAGGGGCTGGAGTGATAGCACAGCGGATAGGGCGTTTGCCTTGCACGCAGCCAACATGGCCGACCCAGGTTCGATTCCCAGCATCCCATATGGTCTCCCGAGCACTGCCAGGAGTAATTCCTGAGTGCATGAGCCAGGAGTAACCCCTAAGCATCGCCGGGTGTGACCCAAAAAGCAAAAAAAAAAAAAATTTAGAGATTTATAGAAAACAACCTGTGTTTAAAAATGGAAGTTTCTGTGCATACATGGACTTTAGAAGAAATAAAAATAATTTAACCTTCTAAGGGATAAGAAATTTGGAAGATAATGCAGTCCTAAATTTCAGCATTTCCAAGCTACAGCTTTGTATGAACCTCAGAGCCGAGTCAAACAAGACTCCATGAAGCATGGAATAATGGAATAATGAGATACAAATCTAGTTATTAAACTATTATGATGCTGGGTTTTTTTTTTGTTTTGGGGCCACATGCAGTGGTGCTAGAGGCTTATATCTGGCTCTGCAACCAGAGATCATCCCAGGTGAGGCTCAAGGGATCATCTGGAGTGCTGGGAATTGAACCCAGGTCAGTCACATGCAAGGCAAACTCCTTACCTGCTGCACTATCTTGCCTGTCCCAAGTTACTGAATGATTTACCTTGATATAATCACTGCAAAGCAAAGGACCTTTGAGGTTCTTCAATAATAAAAATTCAAAATTAATTACTTTCAAGAAAATAATGATTTCTTTATAAAATATAGACCAGTAATATCAAATTCAAAAGGTATTCCTAAGATTATTGGATTTGATTATACTAGATTACAGAAGTCTCAGGAAATTGTTATGTGAATATTTGCCCACTCATCTGCTTTAAGAATCATTACAATTAGTCATTTTTGTATTTGGGCTGAAGAGAAATAGAAGTCATGATTAAATGGTTGGATTCTTTCTCACCTGAGAACATGATTAAACATTCCCAGTGCTATTAGCTAATTACTCAGTATTTAAATACATTGACTTTTCAAAATACTTTAAGATAGATTGGGTCTTGCGATATTGTAAAAATCATACCCCGCGAAAGTCTTTCCTAAGGATTAACCTTGTTAAAATGTCAGCCTTTTGAAAATAACAAACTGAGAGAAAGAGAAGGGGTTGACTAGTGCATCTCAGTTACAGCTCTCTCAACAGAAAAACGCTTGTCTGGGCCCAGCAGGTGTGTTAAGAGTGATTACTTGATCTGAATTCATGAGGGGCTCATTTCTTTCTTGCTTTTGATCTACATTATTTCATAGGTTCTGAATTTAGGGATTAGGCTTACACACCATTCGGCTCTTAGTGTGAGTGGCTCGCTTCATCTGAGCTTTTGAACTTCAAATGAACCTGGACTGAGGTTGGGCCCTTGTAATAAAACCTGAAACCGAGCAAGCTCTCCAGGCTTCAATTGTCCAAGTCTTCATCCCAGGAGGGCATGGGAAGCATGTGTCTGGCACATTCTAGAAAGGAGTCCTTATCTATTCTTTTTTTTATTTTTAAAATTTTTAGCGCAGGGCTATCAGGTGCACAGTATATGAAACTTTGGGCAAAGTTATTCTGCAGTGGCAAAATAACTGCAAATCCTCAAGATGTCTTTTTCCCAGGGTCCTAATTTTCCTTCTGCACCTTGGTCCTTAATTTTGCAAGTTCCTCTTCTAAACTTTTAACGTGTTCCTTCAGGGTCGCCTTCTCCTGTTGGGCTTTCTGACTGGCTTGGCTGCGTGCTTCCTCAATCTTCCTTTCGTACCACTTCTCCATCTGGGTGGAAACAGCTTCAAAAAAGTACTGTGTAAGCTCCAGGGCTTGCGAGGTATCACGGATGTGATGGGCTCCCTGTTCATTGCCCACTGCTGGCTGCCCACTGTGGGGGCAGGGGGCCAGGGGTTGGACTCGATGTCTAGCCTGCCCACTTTTCCCAGACTTCTTGGTTTGGGTGCCTCTGTGTACACAGGGGCCCTGTGTCCTGTGGTCCCTCCTGTCTGCGTCTTTCTGGGTCTGTACCCGTGCATTCCTGGGCTGAGAGCCCGTGCAGTCTGAGGAAGACAGCTCTGGCTGGAGCCTGTGGGCCGCAGTGGGGTTGGTGGCTTTTTCTTTGGGTCTCACCACCTGAGGGGAACTGTCAGAAGCTGCCAGGGCTCCTGCGGTCTCCACCAATGGATCCACACCTGCTTTCAAAAGGAAAACAAAAGTCAGAGCAAGTCGAGTTCAGGGGTAGAAGCTGGTGTGAGAGAGTCCAGGGATCTCTGTGACTCACCAGTCTTCTCATTGCCACCCAGCAGGTGTAACGATCCCCCATGACCATCCCCATCCTCCCCTTCCATGTTGCCCTTCTGCCTTTCTCACCTGTCATGGCTGCTGCTAGTTACAGCTGTTATAGCTGCTAGTCCCTACAATTTAGTTACAGCTGCTGGTAGTTACAGATATTAGTTACAGCTGCTGTAAGTTACAGATGTTAATTGCAACTGCTGTTAGTTATGGATGTTAGTCACAGTTGTTGTAAGTTACAGCTAAGGTAGTTACAGACCTTACAAGTGATACAGATTTGTCATAGCAAGGTTGGTTACAGCAATGTTACAGTGATGCTCTCTAACCCCCAGAAGGGTCTCTCCATCTGCCCCAGAACGCTCTGGGTCCCATTTACCCAGCCTAAGGATGACATAGCTCCCAGCTATCTCAAGAAGGTGGGGTTTCTGGGTCCAGAGCTCCATTTGTTGAGTACTGGCCCGGCAGCTGTGAGGCTGAGAACTGGATCCTGGTACTGTTGCCAGGCATAGCTCAGAGCGAGCCAGCAGCGCTGCTACTGGAATCCCCAGGGGTGCACCAGGTGCAACTGAGCTCCACAGTGGAGTGTGTGACCCCTGCAGTCACCATAATGTAAGTGAGTGCACAACCAAGTGTGTGCAATGGACATTGTGACCACCACAAAGGTATGGGAAATCCAAGACTGGACATGCATCGGTGGGAAGGAATATCCCCATTCTTTACTTCCCGGATCCTTTACCATACATAGCCCTAGAGGTGCTAATTCAGGCTCCCACTGGGAGAGGTATTCCTCGTCCTCATACTAGAATCCCCTTACCCCAACCATGACAGTCCCTTTAAGAACAATTTCTCTCCAAAGTTACGGGCACGAAGAAGGGGAAAAAACACAGCTCTAAAGATGATCTTTGGGAACCCCTGAACCCTTCTACCTGTTACCCCTCACTGAGTTTTAACTCCCGGCTCTGAATGATCATCACTGGCACCTGGAGCAGCTTTGCTATATATATGGACTGCTGCTTTCTTTTGGTTTTGGGAGTCACACCCTAGCGATGCTCAGGACTTACTCCTGGCTCTGTGCTCATGAATCACTTCTGGTGGGGCTCAGGGGACCATAGGCGGTGTTGGGGAGACTGGACTAGGGTCAGCTGAATGGAAGGCAAGACTTACCCCCATCATATGTTTCCAGCACCTAAACTTTTCCACGTGTTTTTTTCCACAAAGTTTTACATGATCGGTTAAAGAGAAAAAGGCTGATCCGAGAGGAGGTGAGGGGGAGGCAGGTGTCTGCTCCTCCTCCCTCATCCTCATCTCTGCAGTCAACTCTCACACCAGTAGCACCCGAGGCTCTCACAGGACAACAGTGCTTGGGGGCTAGAACAATACCACAGTGGGTAGGGCGTTTGCCTTGCACGCGGCCAACCCGGGTTCGATTCCCAACATCCCGTATGGTCCCCTGAGCACCACCAGGGGTAATTCCTGAGTGCAGAGCCAGGAGTAACCCCTGTGCATCGCCAGGTGTGACCCAAAAAGCCAAAAAAAAAAGAAAGAACAGTGCTCTCAGTCCTTCATGCAGACCACTCTGAGCACTTTTCTGGAAGTGCACTGTCACAGGGTAGGGGCGGCGTGTGCAGCAGGGAACAGATGTGGCCATGCCCTTCCAGAGCTGACATTACCATCATTTTCCACAGCACTATCCTTTGGATGGTTCTGGATACAGGAGAGAGTAAGGTTGGGGATAGGGATGGGAGGATGTTCATCGCTTTGGGAACGCACAAAGGGCTCTCTCTGCCTAGTGGTGGTTACCTGTTGAGGACTCACAAGTAGACGGGATAGACTTGGTCCTAGAGGCCCTAGAATCTCCAGAAAGCTTCAGTTCCAAATTCTGAATCTTTAACATGCACCATGTTTTTAACTCATCCACCAAGGACATCTAAAAACAAAACCAAAATCCAGATGGTGAGGACACAGAATCATCAGGTGAATCTGATAGAAGCTTTGCGAATTAAAACATCAAGAATTGGACTTTTTGTTTGGTTGCTTGTTCGGGGGCCACAGCCAGCTGTGCTCAGAGCTAACCCCTGGATTTATGTTCTGGGATCACCCCTGGAATTGCTCAGAACCATACGTGGTGTCGGGAATTGAACCTGGCTGGCTGCATGTAAGGTAAGGGCCTTACCTGCTCTGCTAGCTCTCTGGCCCACAGGTTTTTCTTCTGAAGGAACTTGACAAGTTGAAATGCACAGACCACCCATCCTCCAGCCTCATTTTCTGCTTTCCCTTGTTAAGCCAGGGTTCACCAGTCCCTAAGCTAAGAAGCCAGCAACCCTTTTCATTAAGCAGGGGAGGCACCTTCAACTCAAATACCCAGAGTTTTCCAAGAGTTTCAAACCAAGCATTTCTGACTACTTAAGAGTACTAATGCATTCTCACCCACTCAACTCATGTAAGTTTCCCTGAACAGACCTTAACAGCCATGAGGACAAGGCCCAAATTTTGTTGAACAAGAATCATGACCTCATAAATACAAAAACAGAATTCATTCTGAAGAGATCGCTTTTTTGAAAATGTTCTAACAGATGATCTATCTTCAATCCATTGTGAGCAAAACATATGAGCCAAGTAGGTTCTTTTTTCTTCCTTCACTTCAGCTATAAAAATGATATGGTGTGGGGCTGGAACAATAGCACAGCGGGTAGGGCATTTGCCTTGCACGCAGCCAACATGGCCGATACAGGTTCGATTCCCAGCATCCCATTCGGTCCCCTGAGCACCGCCAGGGGTGATTCCTGAGCGCAGGGCCAGGAGGAACCCCTGTGCATTGCCGGGTGTGACCCAAAAAGCAAAAAAAAAAATTGATATGGTGCATCATTCATATACCTTATTTTTTTGCTTTTGTCTATTTTTTCTTTTATTTTTATATATTTTTAATTTTAATTTTTTAATTGAATCACTGTGAGATGTAGTTACAAAATTTTCATGTTTGAGTTTCAGTCATACAATGATCAAACGCTCATCTCTCCAGCATACACATTTTCTACCACCAATGTTCCCAGTATCCCTCCCAACACCCCCCACACCCCCTGCTTCTATGGCAGACAATTTCCCCCATACTTTCTCTCTACTTTTGGGCATTATGGTTTGCAATATAAGTACTGAGAGGTTATGACGATTGATCCTTTATCTACTTTCAGCACACATCTCCCATCCCGAACGATCCCTCCAACCATCATTGACTTAGTGATCCCTTCTCTATTCCAGCTGCCTTCTCCCCCAGCTCGTGAGACAGGCTTCCAACCATGGAGCAGTCTTCCTGGCCCTTGAGTCTACTACTGGCCTTGGTTGTCATTCTCAAGTCATTCTCATATTATGTTATTTTATATTTCACAAATGAGTCATGCATATACTTTTGGTGCCTGTCAGCTCTGAGTTTTCAGTTGAGAGAGTCTGCATCTACTTTTATTTATTTATTTATTTATTTATTTTGGCTTTTTGGGTCACACCCGGCAATGCTCAGGGGTTACTCCTGGCTCTGCACTCAGGAATTACTGCTAGTGATGCTCAGGGACCACATGGTACAATGGGCATTGAACCCAGGTTGGCCACGTGCAAGCAAACACCCTGCCCGTTGTGCTATCACTCCAGCCCTAAAAGAGGTCTGCATCTTTTAACTCAGAAGGCAGCACACCCTGAGCAGTGCTAAGTCCTGGTTTTACCTGTCGTTTCTCTTCCTCATGCTTCTCCATGTCTGAGTGGTGCTGTAGGCGATTCAAACACTCCGTTCTCTCTGCTGAGAGACGCTCAACCATCAGCTTGTCCAGAACACGCATCTAGGAGCCAACAGGGAAACAGCATGTGATGGTGAGGGTCTCGGGTGACAGCCTGGCTGTCTGAGTCCTGTGGGGCTCAAGGGCAGGGGTCAGACCCAGGACATGCAACCCAATCTCAACTCCCTGTTCTAGACTTTCACAGAGTGGAACTTGAGTTTTTCGGATTTCTCGATTATGTTTCAGTGTAGGCAATGTCTTTCCTTATTTCCTAAAGTCCTCAGGGACTTAAGAGACTATGCCTGTGCAGTGGGAATAAAGCTTGAGCCAATGCAGACCTTGGCAGAGTAGGTGTGCCAAGATCATATTCTGCAGAGTCAAATATAACAGCTATATAAAGATGAAATCTTACCACTTCAAACAAGTGGATACATGAAAAAGATTTTATGTTAGGTAAAGCAGTTAGAGATGAAGAAAGGCAAATTATCATATGATTTTATATGTGGTAAAGGACAAAAGAATGAACAAAGCAAACCAAAAAAGAAAAAAAGAAAAACCCAAAATCAGACTATAAGAAAATAGTATTACCAGGAGGGAGGAATTTCTGCTTTATTAGATTAAAGGAGTCAACTGTACTATGGACAGAAACTAGAGTTTTGATGGTGAAAATAATTTAATATCTACAGATGTTGATATATGAGTCTGTGTACCTAAAATCTATTTAAGAGCATAAATAAATGCTAAAATAATATTTGATAAAAAACTGGGGTTCAGAGAGATTACCTTGCTGCTGGCTGGAGAACAGTCTCTGGGAATCTGAGAATAGTCTCAGGTGTGACCTCAAGACCCCAAACTCCCTCACCAAAAAAATCAAAAGAAAAAATACCAAAACCCAGAAAATCCCCACACTTCAGAAAAACTCATAATATGAACCAGATACTATGCAACTGTTATTACATTCTCCAGATATGGTAATGATATGTTTGAAGAAAAACTGTCCCTATTCTTAGTCATGTAATCTGAGATATTTAGAGGGAAGTGTGAATTTGCCATTAAAGTTCCAAAAGTTCAGTTAAAAAAAAAAAGTGAGTATGTGAGAGACATAATCCAACGTGGTGACATAGTAACAAATAGGTTGAATCCAGGGTGGAGGGTGCCAAAGCATTCATTACACCATTGTTAACAATTTTCAAACTGAAAAGTTGGCAAAAGAATGAAATACTATAGACATGATTATTTTAATTTTGTATTAGAAAGGAACACACACATACATATATATAAACATTTAGACATTTTATATAAAATAGGGACTGGAGCAATAGAATAGCAGGTAGGATGCTTGCCTTGCACATGGTCTACCCATGTTAGATCCCCTGCATCCCATATGGTCCTTGAGCACTACCAGGAGTAATTCCTGAGTGCAGAGACAGGAGTAAGCCCTGAGCATTGGCAGATGACCCAAAAACAAAACAAAAAATCCTCAGAAACTAGAAAAGAGGCCAAGGAGATTAAATCCTGGGTTCAATCTCTGGAAGCATATAGTCCCTGAGCTCTGCCAAGGGTAGCCCCAAGCATCACTGAGCATGACCCCCATACCAAACCACAAAAAAAACCAAACCAAAGACTGGAAGAATATAAGCCCAAATATTAATACTGCTTTTTCATCATAGGGGGCGTATAGGTGACTTTTTTCTTTCTAATTTTAATATTTAAAAACACATCTGTGATTGGTATATACTACTATTATAATAAAAGACAATTTAATCATGTGAAAAGAAAAAGCTCATACTTCACACCCAACAGTGCCCAAGGCTTACTCCTAGCTGTGTGCTGAGGGGACCATATGGTGAGTGGGGTTGAACCAGGGCCAGCCATGTGCAAGACAATCTCCTTAACCTGAACTAATATCTCTGGACTCAAAATATGAAAAATTAAACACCCATGACTCCAAAAACCCCACAGCAGGCTCCTGCAGAGAGCCCACTATAGGCAAGCAGTCTGTAAACTGTGCAGGGCCAGCTGAATCTCCCCTCTTGTGCGTGCCCCAGGCCAGGCCACGAGAAGGTGGGCCACTCACTCACTTGGTGCTGGGTCTTACTGTCCATGTGGCCCAGCTTGGTGTTCATTTTATCCTGAACGGACCCCAGCTCGGCTTTGATCTCTTCCACTGTGGCCTCCAACTGGTTCTCCAGCTTGTGGATTAGGGGTTCGCATCGACAGCCATTTATTGGTGCCTAAGAGGGAAACCAAAAGGTTATCAATCCCACACCTCCCTTCCTTCCACAATGGGTGTGAGGACATGGCAGGCACTGGGGAGCACAGATAATGGAGCAGACAGACTCCTCTGAGGTTACTGTGGGACCTCCCATAGGCCAAACTTCCTATTGTCTGCCTATTGTAGACAAGAGGAAGGCTCAGAGAACATCACAGAGCAGCTACATCATCAAACCTCTTTTTGTTTTGTTTTGGAGCAGTACCCTCCAGTGCTTAGAACTTACTCCTGGCTCTGTGCTCAGGGATCACTCCTGGCAGGGCTCAGGGAACCATATAGGGTGCTGGAATCAAACCTGGGTCAGCTTTGTGCAAGGCAAGGGCCTGACCCGATGTACTATCTCTCCAGCTTTGCTTTTTTTGGGGGTTGCTGTTGTTGTTTTGGGGCTGCACCTAGCAGTGCTCAAGGCTTACTCTTGGTTCTGTGCTCAGGAATCACTCCTCGAGAGGCTTGGGGAACCATATATGGTGCCAGGAATCATGTTGGGGTTGGCCGCATGCACAGCAAGTGCTTTATCCTTGTACTGTCTCTCTGTCCCTAAACTGCTTTTACCATAATGGATGGAGATACCTCTTTGAGAGGTAGGGACAGAACTTCCCCTTCGTGTACTGGTGGAACCATGGCAGGGCATCTGCATGGGTTTAGCATGAAGGACCATGGGTTCGAGGAGAAGCTTTTCAGTGAGCGGAGGTCTAGCTCCAGGATGCCACATGAGGTCTAGCTCCAGGGTGCCACAGGAAGTCCCTAAAGCTGCTCTGTGACCGCAGTGGGGCAGTACCTGCATTACTTTTCCATCCTTGCCCCGGTACAGAGTGTAAAGCTGGTAGGCTCTGAACTCATGGGGAGGGGGTGGCGAGGAACGATGCCTGGGCCGCTTCTTCTGGCGACTGTGAGTGTGCGAGGTCTTCTGGGCCCCTGGCTGTTGGTCTGCCGGTGGTGTGGGATCAGAAAGCGCGGACACCTGTGGGAGTGGAAGAGGTCATCCCGCCTGAGCACTACTGACCTCTGCCAGACCCACATCGACCCTGGCTCCCACTCATGCTGCTCTATTCCAGGCATCACACAAAGAAATATGTCGTGTACCGGTGGAACCATAGCAGGGCATCTGCATGGGTTTAGCATGAAGGACCATGGGAACGAGGAGAAGCTTTTCAGTGAGCGGAAGCTAACCCAGTGCGGAAGTTAGATTCATCATTATTATTTTAGTTGGGGGGCCATCCCAGCAAAAATCAGGGGTGATTTGTGGCTCTCGAACATGGTGTGCCGGGTGTTGAACCCGAGCCTTCATACAAAGCATGTGCTCCACCTGCTGAGCTCTCCTAGAAGTTAGCCAGGATTGATTTCTCCTCTGACTTGAGCCCAATCAGCAGGCTCCAGAGAAGTGATTTTGCAGCCACTGGACAGGATGACAGGATGCTTTCCCAGGGCCCGCCCACCTGCCTCTCAGGCCCCGCCCACTTACCCTCCAAGTACCGCCCACCTGCCTCCTGCAACCCGCCCATCTCCCTTCAAGGCTCCGCCCACTTGCCTCCGGCCCCGCCCACCTGTCCCTCAAGCCTGCAACTGCGCTCACGTGCCTCCTGACCTTGGGCCTGGGCTTTTTCCGCCTGTTCTCCTTGGCTCGGGGTTCGGGGGATGCAGACAGGATATCTTCTCGAGCCTCTTCTTTTCTGGGAGCAGCCTGCTCACTGCTAGGGGTGTCTCCCGCAGAGACACTTCCCTACAGAGGAAGAAAGTCCAGAAACCTATTCTACTGGCTCCCTCTTTTTCAGTAACTAGGCATCAAGGTTTTTTTGCAGGTCTCCATCCTCTACGGAACCTTCTAGAGAGAAGGAGCTGCACGGGGGTGTCGACTTGGCATGAATGTTTTCCCTGGAACTTTCATATTGCTTAGTTGGTGCCAAACTAAACTAGCTTTGAGTTTTTAATCTCCTAGAGCTTCAGGAACCTTCCTTCCCTAAATACAGTGAGGGGTGTTTGGTCTCCTGCATTTCAGCAAAACAAAAAACAAAAAACAAAAAACAAGAACCCTACTCACTCTTTATATCTGGACCCTCACATTTCATAGTAGAGGAAGAGAAACCTCTGAAATTTAAAAAAAAAAAATCTCATTTCTCTGTCCTTGCAAGATCGTATACAAATTATTATGTACAATTCACGTATAGAAACTTAATAAAAGTTTAGAATAGCAAATAGTGCTGCAATTTAGTCTTTGGGCCATACCCAACACCTGGGAGTGCTTAGAGCTCGCTCATTCCTGGCTCTGTGCTCAGAAATTACTCCTGGTGGTGCTGGGGATTGAACTACAGGTTGGCTACATGCAAGGCAAGTGCCTGAACCCCTGTTCTATCTCTCTGGCCCTGAGTGCAAGGTTGATTTGCCAAGGTTGTCTTTATAGCCTACCATCCTGAAGAGGGGGCTGGAGGGCACAGAGCACCAAGCTGTTCACAGTGCAAGACCACAGAGCCTGGGAAAGGGGGAGTGGGCAGAGGAGCTACGGTACAGCTAGTTGGTGCTCATTCAGCCTCTGTGCCCAGTGTGTGGCTGCTGTGCCCACGGGCCTTGCTTCTCATCTGCACAGAGTCCCCTGTGTCCTGGCACTACCTCTAGCCACTCCCAAAGCAACCTATGTCCATGTTTCACCAAGTGATGTCCCTCCCATTCAGCCTGTCCAAACCCAGACTGCTAGGTCCTCGCCCAGGGTGTATGAACCAGTGCATCTCAGGCGAGCCCCAGGAATCTGCATTTCCGCAGAGGCCCAGGGCCACTGGAGACTTTATAAGGCCACCACACTTTATAAGTCACTGCTCTGCACAAACCACGGTGTGGTGTCAGGAGACACAGTGTTGTCCCCACGCAGAGGCAAAGCTGCATGGCAAAGGAGCTGGCAAGCACCCCACCGCCACCCGTACCATCACAGGGTGCTGGCAAAGCAGCACCACATGCCCGCATGCCACATGCACATGAGTGGGCACACACACACACTCACACACACACACACGGATACAGACCCAAAATACGGGTGGAATGAAGAAGAGGAAGCCAAAGGTGGAAAGACTGAGAGGAGTTGAAGAGCCCAGTGGGAAAGAGAGGCAGAGGAGGTGCGGGGCCACCAGAGAGCCCACAGGAAGCAGGAAGCAGGGTCCCACCCTCAGTGGGTACAGTTGGGGAGGGGTGGGAAGGCTCCCCCCGACCTTGCTTTGGGCCACCTCATCTCTTGGCACCGACTGAGCTCTCCTCTCTTCCTTCAGCCTTTCTCTCTTTTTCCTCAGGCTTCGCCCACGACTGAAGCGCAAGACCTGAGGGAGGCAAGAGGCAGCGTTACGAGCACAGTGAGGGTGTAGGAAAGCTCCTGGGCTTCCAACGATCACATTGGTTGGTGCCTGGGGGACTGTGCAGGGCCAGAGATGGAACGTGGGTCTGAGTGGCGGGAACTGAGCATGCTCATTCCACAGAGGCACCACCTGCTGGGAGCCCTGTGGACCCAGAGATGAGCAGGACATGGGGCCAGACCAATGCAGGGATCAGACCTCAGCAGTGGTGATAAACAAGCAACAATGTGCTGAACCAGGATCTCCACGGAGGTGTGGCCATCTGCATGCTACCTAACAACCAAGAGCAGCACCACACGCAAGGGGATAGCCACGGCATCTTGCGTGTGTGTGTATGTGTGTAAGTCAGAGAGAGAGAGAGAGAGAGAGAGAGAGAGAGAGAGAGAAGAGAGAAGAGAGACACAGAGACAGAGACGTGATATCCAGGAACACTGAACTCAAGACATGTATGTGTGTATAAGACAGAGAGAAAAAGAAGAGACAGAGATAGAACAGAGAGAGAGATACACACACAGAGAGACAGAGACAGAGAGAGAGAGAGAGAGAGAGAGAGAGAGAGAGAGAGAGAAAGAACTGATATCCTAATACATTGGACTCAAGGTGTGTGTGTTTGTGTGTGTGTGTGTGTGTGTGTGTGTGTGTGTGTGTGTGTGTGTCCTGGTCAAACTATATCCAGGTCATATTCCAGTTTGATTCCAACATTACTGAGGTGCATCTGTGAGCCATGATACCAGCCATGGGGCAGGAGCTTCTTCCCCTAAAGGCAGTTGTTCTGCCCTGCAGAGTGCAGAGAGGTAGAATGGACACAGGGACGAACATGTTGGGTCAGACGGACCCAGAGGGGCCTCAGCGGCTGCGTAGAGGAGCTCAGGCAAGCTGCTGCTTGTCTCCGGCCCTCTCCTCTCTAACGTAAAATGGGAGGGGTTGGGATGAACTACTAGAACGATGACCCTTGTCACTGCCAGGTGCCTCAGGGTTGCCTGGTGGCAGAGGCTGCTTGGCTAGAGCACAGTTGTCTGAGTTGGCTCTCACACACCCACACCCATCTCCCACCACACCCATCACTCCTCGGAACACTTTAACCAAGGACATCTGGAAGGTAGAGATGCTTTTTCAAGGGTATACTTTTCCCTCCACAATTAAACATTCATTAAGCATTTTATGGTCTCATATAAATAAAGGTTCCCTGGAGTTCAACATAGGGGTTTTCATTTCAATGTCAGCCTACTTTATAATCAGTTCTTTATAATCAATGTCAGTTTATAATCAATGTCAGTTCTTTATAATCAAGTGATACCATATTATACAAAGAGAACTTCTCTGTGGACAATAGGCACCACCGGTGGAAGATCACTGATAATATCTGTTTGTGGCAAAACTTTTTCTCTTTCCTTTGTATGTTTGCTTCGTTGTTGTTATGGTTGTTGTTTTGGGGATTACATTGGTTGGTACTTGGGGGACTGTGCAGGACCTGAGATGGAACACGGGTCTTCTACAATAAAACAGGCTCCCTAGCCCTTTGAGTCATCTCCCTAGCCCGAACCTGATTTTTTTTTAGGTGAGGGTGCAGGGTGAGAGTGGGGGACGCACACCCAGCTGTGCTTGCTCAGGGTAGAGCCCAAGAGACCTTACAGGGTGATGGGGATGAATCTGGAGCCAGCTGAGTGTAAGGCAAGTACACTGGGCCCTGTACTATCTCTCCAGCCCACAAATCTAATTTTGTGTGTGTGTGTGGGGGGGGAGGGGTTTGAGCCATACCCAATGGTGCTCAGAGGCTATTCCTGGCTCTGTGTTCAGGAGTGACCCATGGTAGTTCTCGGGAATCATATCCTGTGTCAGGGACTGAACCAAAGTCGGTTATATGCAAGGCAAGTGCCTAGACCCTGTATTATATTTCCAGCCCTGAACTGGATTTTAAAATCATATTATCATTCCTTATGTCAGCGGCTCTAAAAGCATACAGAGATCCCTGGATCCAGGGGTTAAAGTTATTTATTTATTTATTTATTTATTTATTTATTTATGGAGGGGGGCAGTGCCATGCAATGCCATACCTAGCGATGCCAGGTTACTCCTTGCTCTGCACTCAAGAATTACTCCTGGCAGTTCTTAGGGAAGTATACAGGAAACCGGGGATCGAGTCCAGTTCAGCGACATGCCTGTGCAGGCAAGTACCTTAGCAGCTGTATTATTTTTCTAACCCCATGTTATAAAATGTTGTTTTCATAACAATATAACAATGTTGGCCTTCTCCACTCTGATTCTGAGTATATGGTGGTATTAACCACAGGCAGCACATGTGATATTACAGTAGATTGCAAGCAGAAATCGAAGAGATGCTTGCTATCTTCTCTGAAGTAAGATAGTAAGATGTGCCAAATTGTAGAACAATGTTACTGTTTTTTGGTTTTTGTTTTTTTTTTTTTGAGAATCGTTTTCATGGGACTGGAACAATAGTACAGTGGGTAGGGTGCTTGTCTTGCATGCGGCTAACCCGAGTTCAATCCCCAGCATCCTATATGGTGCCCTAAGCACCGCCAGGAGCAATTCCTGAGTGCATGAACCAGGAGTAACCCCTATGCATCATCGGGTGTGACCCAAAAACACAAAAAACAAACAAAAACTTTTCAGAGAGGAGGAAAAGTGCAAAGAGCTGGAGCACATGGCTGGAGGCATTGCCTGGCCCCCCAGACCTCAAGGCAGGCCCCTGAGTGCAGAACCATCAGGCTCAACTCTTAACTATCTCTAGGAGTCCATCACCCCAGCCCCCCTCCACCCTGAATAAACACAGACAGGCCTCTGTCTGCAGGAAGACAAGAAGCAGATTTCAGAAAACATCAATATTCATGTTAACACAAAATGGATTTTCTTCTTCTATAGGAGCCTCCTTAACCAGTGCTCAGGAGCCACTCTTGGGGACACTCAGCCCAATAACGCAAGTCTGACAGCTTGGGGACTTAAGGTGGGGAGTGGTACTGAGAGTGGGGAGCAAGCCGTATTAGGGGTTGAACTCAAGACCTCAGCCTTATGAGCTACTTCCGCATCCCTTGGGCTTGTTATCTTTAAGTGAATAAACATTTTTCAATTTTGATTACAAGTATGGTAATTACTTACAGCTATCACATGAAACTAGGTTCTTTGTGGATCTAATCTCTTTCTTTCTTTCTTTCTTTCTTTCTTTTTTTTTGCTTTTTTTTTGGGGTCACACCTGATGATACACAGAGGTTACTCCTGGCTGTGCACTCAGGAATTACTCCTGGCGGTGCTTGGTTGACCATATGGGATGCTGGGAATCAAACCCAGGGCAGCCTCATGCAAGGCAAATGCCCCATTGCTGTGCTATCACTCCAGCCCCTACATAATTTCTAAGAATGGCAAAATTTTCCTTAAACCAGGCTAGAGAGATAATACAAAGGTTAAGACAACTTGCCTAGCATTTGGCTGGTTTAAATCCTAGTATGATAGGATCCCTGAGCACTACCAGGTGTGGCCCCAAAACAAAACAAGTAAAGGTAAAAGGTAAAGGCCCTCCCGTTGATCGTCGATTTGCTCGAGCGGGCCCAGTAACGTCTCCATTGGAGACTTTGTTGTTACTGTGTCTGGCATATCGAATACTCTCGGTAGCTTGCCGGGCTCTCCGAGAGGGGCGGAGGAATCGAACTCGGGTCGGCCATGTTGGCCGCTTGTAAGGCGAACGCCCTACCCGCTGTGCTATCGCTCCAGCCCGAAAACAAAACAAAACAAAACAGAACAAAAAGAGAAAGAGATTTTTTATTTTTTTCTTTTTGAGTCACACGGGCGATGCACAGGGGTTAGTCCTGGCTCTGCACTCAGGAATTACTCCTGGTGATGCTCAGGGGATCATATGAGATGCTGGGATTTGAACCCGGGTTGGCTGTGTGCAAGGCAAACATCTACCCACTGTGCTATCGCTCCAGCTCAAGAAAAAGATGTTTTAAAAAGAGGGAACAGGGGGCTGGAGCGATAGCACAGCGGGTAGGGCATTTGCCTTGCACGCAGCCAACATGGCCAACACGGGTTCGATTCCCAGCATCCCATATGGTCCCCCAAGCACCGCCAGGAGTAATTCCTGAGTGCATGATCCAGGAGTAACCCCTGAGCATCGCCGGGTGTGACCCCCCAAAAAAGAGGGAACAGTGATAGTACGACTGGTAGGGAGTTTGCCTTGCACGTGGCTGACCTGGATTTGATCTCTAGCACCTCATATGGTCTCCTGAGCCAAAAAAAAAAAAAAAATCCTTAAACCAGCAAATCATTTCCAAAGCTAAATATATAGTATCATTGGAAAGTTGAGATGTTGAGAGAGAAATGACTTATCCAAAACACTTATCCAATTATCTGGACTTTTAGAATAGGACCAGAAGCCAGAAGCAGTCAGATGCTTGCCTTCAGAAGCATTTGCGAACCAAGTCTATCAAGAAAGGCAAGTGACAAGCAAGTGATCCAACCCTCAAATAATCATCAGGAAGATCCCTCCCACCCCACTAACAGTGTTCCTAGCCTGTGAGAGTAACTTCGCATGGCTGACCTCTTCCCAGGGGGCCATTCTATCTGCCAAATGGATCATCATCAATGTCTTATCACTAACCTTGGGCCTCAGAAAGAAGTATCCTCTTAGAACCATGGGGACTCACTGAGATCCAAAGACAACTAAGATGCAAGAGGAAAGGGGTTTCCTGTTTCAGACAAAATGCTATTTGGGGACTGGAGATAGAGAGGAGAGAGAGAGAGAGAGAGAGAGAGAGAGAGAGAGAGAGAGAGAGAGAGAGAGAGAGAGAAAGAGAGAAAGAGCTTAATGGGTCATTCCTTTAAGATTTGCCTGATTCTCTTCAATGATGCACTGCTTGGAGCATTTCAGTGCCAGGAGTAACCCTTGAGCACAGCTGGGGTATGACCAAAAACCTTAAAAACAAGCTACTGAAAAATCAAAAAACTACAGATCAGTAGAAAGACACACATAATTTTTTATGCATATTCTAAATTTTATGCATGTTTCATATTGAAGGAATTCAATATGAATAGTTTTATAAACTACACTTCCATAAAATTTTACCCACTTATTATCTATCCCAGCACTGGCATAAAAATGTGTTGTAGATTACTTTTCTTTCTTTTATTTACTTATGGAGGAGGGAATCACCCACTCTCAGAGGTGCTCAGATCTTTTCAAGTGACCCCTATATAGATCACTTTTTTGTTTTTGGGTCACACCCAGTAGCAGTCAGGGTTTATTCCTGGTTCTGTGTTCAGGGGTCATTCCTGGAGGTGCTCAGGAATTTGGGGATCAAACCCAGGTCAGGTCAGCCATGGGCAAGGCAAGTGTTCTACCCTCTGTACAACTGCTCAAGGCTCTGTATAGATCACATTTATTTTTGTTTTTGGACCAGGGCTTACTCCTGACTCTGAACTCAGGGTTCACTCCTAGCTGCGCTTGGGGGACTACATGGGATGCTGGGAATTGAACCAGGTTTCCTGTGTGAAAGGCAAGCACCTCACCTGCTGTTCTATCTCTCTGATCCATGGTAACTTACACTTACCCTGCCCAGACTATGCTCACATGATGAGTAACTATGAAGATGGCAAAACATTTCCCTATTATTGTGAGGATAAAGAGTAGACTAGGAAAGGTTATGTCACTGCAAGCACAATTATATAAAATGATCTATTTGTGGTATATGAAGAAACAATTATTTCAAGGTGCTAAGATCGTTGGGCTGGAGCAATAGCACAGCGGGTAGGATGTTTGCCTTGCACGCGGTCAACCTGGCCTACCCTGGTTCGATTCCTCTGCCCCTCTTGGAGAGCCAGGCAAGCTACCAACTATCTCGCCTGCACGGCAAAGCATGGCAAGCAACCTGTGACATATTCGATATGCCAAACACAGTAACAACAAGTCTCACAATGAAGACGTTACTGGGCCCGCTCGAGCAAATCGATGAACAATGGGAGGACAGTGCTACAGTGCTAAGATCACTGTTTATAGATTATCATTCTTTGATGGGAAGTTTTGGGTGATACCCCTATGGTGCTTAGGGTGTACTCCTGGCTCTGTGCTCAACTGTCACTCCTGGAGGTGCCAGAGATTTTTTTTTTGGGGTCACATCCAGCATTGCACAGGGGTTACTCCTGGCTCATGCACTCAGAGATTACTCCTGGCAGTGCTCAGGGGACAGGGATGCTGGGAATCAACCCCGGTCAGCCGCATGCAAGACAAACACCGTACCCTCTGTGCTATCACTCCAGCCCCAGGTGCCAGAGATTGAATGGGGTCACTGGCCTTTAAACTTCTTTGTTATTTAGATAATTTTTAAATTCAACCTGAATAAAATAATAATTTTTAAAAGTTTAGTGAAGGATAAAATATTTCCATGGTGTGTATATTTGTGTGTATATATAGAATTTGTGTATATGTATATTTAATGGAATATTATTTGGCCTTGATAAAGAAACAATGCCATTTGTGACAACATAATGAATCTGAAGGACATTAAAATAAATAAATAAATAAATAAATAAATAAAAGTTGAGCGATGGCCAAAAAACAATAAAAAGTAAAAGCTCTATAAAAGCAGAACTACCTGAGAGTAAGTGAACATGCAAAGAAAAGCAAGAACTGATCCAAGGTAGCTGTATGAGTGACCCTGCCTGGATGAAGTCCACTGGCCTTCCTGACCACACACCTCTGCAGTATGGAGTACATCCAGTTCACTGAATTGTGCCAGCCACCTTCTGCCCTGCATGCCTAGCTTCTAGCACTACCCCTTTCCCTGTGGACAGGCTCGTGTTGGAAGCTCGCCTTAGACAGACCATCTTTCAAATCACCCCTTCGATCCTCTCCCTCCTGCCTTTACTGCTAATTGAACTGTGGGCATGTGATGTGAACCCCCAGGTCCAATGTTAAAACCAAACCTAATCTGGCTATGAACTGGAGCCCTAAGGGAACCCCCCCTTTTTTTTTTTAACTTTTTGGATCACACCTGGCGGTGCTCAGGGTTTACTCCTGGCTCTGCATTCAGGAATTACTCCTGGCAGTGTTGGGGGGGGGACCATATAGGATGCTGGGGATCAAACCCAGGTTGGAAGCATGCAAGGCAAATGCCCTACCCGCTATACTATCGCTCCAGCCCCAAACCCTTCTGCTTCCAGTACAAAGGAGCACAGTAAGGAGGTGGCTTGCCTTGTGCCATCCTCTCAAAGGCCCTGTCCTCATCCTCCAGACTCAGCCTCTTGGGCAGTGTTTATGCTGAGATGTCATGATGGCAAGTGGGTGGGCGGGTATTCAGCCCCCGGGAGGAGAGGATGCGTGAAGGCAGAGCAGCAGGTTCTGGTTCCAGTCCTCGAAGAGGCCCACGTGGGTGTACCCCTTTCCACACCTCGCTCAGTAAATCCACTGGTTCCCTATTTCAGCCTGCAATTATGGCCTGGAATCCCAATTGAAGCCTCCCACAAGCCCTAGAGCCAGAAACCCGGAGAGTCCTACCTGGGGAGCCTTGGTGAGGAGAAGAGCGACTTCGGGGTTGTCGTGGTAGCGCGCAGTCTCCAGTGGGGTCTGGCCTGCCTGAGGAGAGGCACAGGAGGAGAGTGAGGAGTGGCACCAACCCTCCACCCTTGGCCTCGCCACCAGCACCTCGCGTTCCCTGTAACACAATCATGGGCAGGACGTGGCCATGCTCATCCCACCCCAGGAGGGGGCCCAGCCAGCGAGAGGTACTGGAGAGATCCAGTGCTGACCACCAGACAGCCAAGGAGTGTAAGTGCTGACCTCGGAGCAGCCTTGCTCACTTGCAAGCCAAGTCTGGGGCACTGCAGCAGGAAGTTTCCAGAAGGAGACAGGGAAAGTAAAACCAGACAAGGTCCTTGGGGGCCAGAGAGATAGTGCAGTGAGTAAGGCATTTGCCTTGCATGAGACGAACCCAGGTTCAATCCTCAGCACCCCAAATGGTCCCCCAAACATTCCAGGAGTGATTTCTGAGTGCAGAGTCAGTAGTAAGCCCAGAGCACCCCTGAGCATGACACCTCCCCACCCCCAAAACAAAAACAAACAAAACCAGACAAGGTCCAGGAGGAAGATCTCAGTTGAGGAAATAGTACAAGGGATGGCGCAGGAGAGAGAGTATAGTAGGCTAAGGCTCTTGTCTTGCATGCAGCCAGCCCGGATCTGATCCTCTGACCTCCTGTGGTCCCTTGAGCACAGAGCCAGGAGTGATCCCTGAGCACAGCTAAGAGTGACCTGAAACCAAAAAGCTGAAGGATCATGAAATCCAACCACTCATGAATCATCACTGGAAAACACAGGGAAAATGGTGTGAAGGGCAGATGAGGGTCTAGCCACAGAGCCTCAGGAACTGGGCTATGAAAAACCATCAGGAAGCTCAAGGCACGATAAGAGTTTAGGGGAAAGAAAACCCTAAACCAGAGGTGAAAACAAGGCATCCTGGGAAAGGTATTGTGACATAGAGCAGGCAAGTCTTGAGCTTGAAGATGAGGACCTGGGAACAAGACACAGTGGCATTTACCTGCCTCAACATCCCAACCCTCAGACATCTCATGAATGGTTTTAGACCCAGAGAAGGGGAGAGCAGAGGGGAGGGGGAACCGGATAGGAAGGAAGGGAGAGAGAGAGAGAGAGAGAGAAGAGAGGAGAGAAAAATGAAAAGGAATCAGAGGGTGAAGGAAAGAAGAGGAGAGAGAAGAAAAAGAGAGAGGAAGGAATGGTGAGGAGAAAAGGGAAGGAGCAAATAGAGAAACGACAATTTGAGAGAAAGATATTTTCTTTTTTTTCTTTTTTGGTTTTGGGTCACACCCAGTTGTGCTCAGGGCTTACTCCTGGCTCTGCCCTCAGGGGTCACTCCTGGTTGTGCATTTGCAAGTCAAGCATCTTACCTACCGTAGTATCACTTTGGTCCCAAGACAGGAGTTTTCTGAGGAAACTTAATGGCCTGACCACATGACCATTTTTCTAAGCACCACCTCAGTTAGCAGGCCCAGAACTCATTTGACTGCTTCCTCCACCAACCCTGCCCACTCTTTTTGTGCCAGGATGAGCTCATCAGATGAGTCTAAAGAAGGGTCTTGGGGCTTCCCTTTCAGGGGTTGAGAGCAAGAGTCCCCGAGGCCTGAAGTGTTGAGGCGGCTCTGATGCCTGAGAGCCCAGCAGGTGAGAAGGGGCCAGAACCAGTCCACTTACATGATTGACAATGGTCTCATCTGCTCCAGCTTCCAGGAGAATTTTCACCACCTTCTTGTGATTGAGGGCCGCAGCAATATGAAGGGCTGTGTCTCCAGCCTGAAAGGAACCAGAAGAAAGGCCACTTGACTCCATTCGATCTGTTTCTAATCCCATCTTCTGGCTGTGGCTTTCCAAAGCCAAGCCATGACTGACATTTGCTGAGGAGGATGGAGGGTTTTTTGCTCAAGCATATACTTTTTTTTTTGCTTTTTGGGTCACACGCAGCAATGCTCAGGGGTTACTCCTGGTTCTGCACTCACAAATTACTCCTGCTGGTGCTTGAGGGCCGATTTGGGATGCTGGGAAATGCCCTGCCTAATGTGCTATTGCTCCAGCCCCTCAAGCATATACTTTTGTTGCTGTTGTGTTTTGTTTTGGGGCCTCACCTGGCAGTGCTTAGGGATTATCCCTGGTTCTATGCTCAGGGATCACTCCTGGGGGTGTTCAGGGACCACATGGGGTCGGCCACAGGCAAGGCAAGTGCCTTATGTGCTGTATTAGCCCCCATGTGCTTCTTTTAAAAGAGATCGTGGAAAGAAATGAGCTGTACGTCAATATGGCATTCCGTTTTGACTGGGGAACCAGAAATCACAGAATTAAATGTGGGTGGAGACAGTTATGTTGGGCTAACAATGGTGCACCTGAAGCTTTTTCCCCAAGACCTGAAGGCCAGGTGATGGGGAAAGGGGCCAGAGAAGGCAACTGGACTGCCTGGAGCTCTGCATGCTCCCCTCACAGCTGGCAGCTGCCTTCCAGGCTGCCCAGAGGCTGGCCCGTAGACCACAGCGGGGATGGGAGGGGCCCTGGGAACCTTGTTCCAGCCTTAGGATGTTCCCCAAACAGCCTATTTGAGAAATTTTCACGTTTTCTTTATACAGAGCCCTTTTGATCCTGCAAAAACAAAACCCAAAAGTTCTTCAATCAACTATGAAAGAAAAGTACAAATAAATTTGTTTAATCCTAAATGTTGGGTCAACCCGCCCCCCCCCCCACACACACATACACATACTGCCTCCCTATACACATATTACCAGGACTTCCAATCAAAATAAATGAGATAAATATAGGGGAAGTAAAACAACACATTCTTGGGGGCCAGAGAGATACTACAGCAGATAAGGCTCTTGCTCTTGCACATGAACAGCCAAGGGTTGATCCCCAACACCACACAGGGGCCCCGACCCCACCAGGAGTGATCTCTGAGCACAGAATCAGGAGTAAGCCCTGATCACAGACAGGCAATAGATATCCCCGCCCCCAGGCCCTTAAAATCAAAAAACCTATCCAACCCTGCTGATCAGGTAAAGTGCCCTGATACGTTTTCCCCGGGAGCACGGACAGCCAGGCCCATGTGTGGCACCCAGAGGCACTGACTCTGGGATTGAGCACTGGAGAAGCCCCAGAACAGAGTCTTCCTGGCCTGGCTTCACATCAGACTTGGCCAGAGAACTCAAGAAACTCCCAAGGCCTAAGTCCCACCCCCCACATTCAACTTTAATCCATATGGAGTGTCGTGACTGTGACGTGCCACCAGGGCTGAGACACATTGGTTCAATGTGAAGGCTACAGAATGTCAGAAATAAGCTGTTTTATTTGTTTATTTCTTTATTTGTTTATTTCTTTATATTTATTTATATATATTTATTATATATTTATTTGTATTTATTTATTTATATATATTTATTTGTTTATTTATTTATTGCTTTTTGGGTCACACTCGGCGATGCACAGGGGTTACTCCTGGCTTTGCATTCAGGAACTACTCCTGGCGGTGCTTGGGGGACCATATGGGATGCTGGGAATTGAACCCAGGTCAATTGCATGCAAGGCAAACACCCTACCCACTGTACTATCGCTCCAGCCCCGATCTGTTTTATTTTTATTTTATTTTATCTTTTGGTTTGGCGGATATATCTGGCAGTGCTCAGGATTTTTACTTCCGGCTCTGTGATCAAGGATCATTTCTAGCAGGGCTCAGGGGACCAAGAGGGCTCAGGGTTGGCCAAGAGCAAGGAAAATGGCTACCTGCTTTAATATCTCTCTGGTCCTGGAAGTGAAAGCTATTCTAATAGGTCAGTGAGTTTCAATCCTTTATGTACATTCAGACCAGGAACCTTTGAAAACTCCCATTACCTGGATATTCTGGGCATCACTATTTAAACTGGATTTAGATACAGGAATATATACTTTTCTGTTTTGTTTGGGGGCTACACATTGCAGAGCCTGGAGGACCATGCAAGTAAAAATAATTGAACCTAGGCCTTCTTCATGCAAAGCATGCCCTCGGCTCGGTGAGCTTTCTCTTTGGCCCAGGAATGCTATTTTCTTTCCTTTGTTTGGGGGCTGTACCTGGTGGTGCTCAGAGCTTACTTCTGGTTCTGTACTCAGGGATGACACCTGGAGGTGCTCAGGGACCTTATGTGGATATGGAACTTGGGCTGGCCACATGCAAGGCAAGCCCCTTGATCCCTGCACTATCTCTCCAGCCTTCATATTCTAATTTTTAAACTACAGACATAAATAGTGTAAACTCCAAAAGGCCAAACAATTCATTATTGAAAACATGAGGATTTTCATGTTCTTTAATCCAAAGAACTAAAAGTCATACCTAAATCCATATCCTGGGAGAAACAGCTTGATTTCAAAACCCCGGCACACACAGCACAGATAAAGATCATGTGCCCATTTTTACAGAAACCAGAGGTTCCTTTGGCACCAATATGGTGGTAGTGCCAGGAACAAAACTCAGAGTCACAAGACACCAGACTTCCTGGTTTAACCGATTGTGCCACACACTTCCATGTGTGTGTGTGTGCGCTCGCGAGCGTGCCTGATTTGTGGTGCTGGAATCAAACCCAAGGCCTTAGACATGAGAGGCACATGCTCCCTCTCCTGCTGAGTCACCTCCTCCATACGCCGCCTGTTTTTAAAATACTTAAAATCACTAGAAGCAGAACACATGCCAAGACACCCAGGAAATGTTTGCCTTGCTTGACGGAGGAGCAACGGCACACTTCCCCGGGATATAGGATCAGCTGTGAGCTCTCTGAAGAGTGTGCCCACCTCCAGCAGCCTGGGCCCTGCCCGTGGGAGAGCCCATGCACTGACCTGGTTCTTCTCGTGAACAGAACAGAAAGCGCTGAGCAGGAGCTTAATGATGGACACATGATTATAGCGTGCTGCTACGTGCAAACAGGTGTCACCTGCCTGCCAAGAGAAATGAAAGTTAAGCACAGTAGGACTGGTGACAGCACCGATCAGGGAAGCCAAGAGGAGCTGTTTAGGGGCTATACTCCTGGCTCTGCACTCAGGAATTACTCCTGGCAGTGTTCAGGGGATTACATAGGGTGCCAAAGTTTGAACTTGGGTTGGCTGTGAGCGAGGCAAACACCTACCCACTGTACTGTGGCTCTGACCCCTCAAAAGGAGTTATTTAAAAAGTAAGAAAGGGGCTGGAGCCATAGCACAGTGGGTAGGACATTTGCTTTGCACGTGGCTGACCCGGGTTCAATTCTTAGCATCCCATATGGTCCCCCGAGCACCACCAGGAATAATTCCTGAGTGCATGAGCCAGGAGTAACCCTGTGCATTGTCGGGCGTGACCCAAAAAGAAGAAAAAAATAGCAAGCAAACTGGTGTAGGTAGAAATACTCTTTAGGGGTGTCTGTCTGCCTCTCCTTTAACCACAGATGCTCCACTTCCAGGCTCAGAACCACGTGACCGTCTGCTGCCCACGCCCTTGGACCCCCGACTCTGGATCTCCTGTGCTGGAGACCTGCTCCCAGAGAAGCTTTTGCAAGTTGCAGCAGGCCCTACTGTCCCCTCACTGGGTAGCAGTCCTCTGACCCCACGCCTCTCCTACCACCCAAGGATTCCTGGTAGACACTGAAGGAAGACCCGGGTACTGCTTTGGAAATGAGTACTTGCCTTCACAGCCATCCTGGTGAAGGACAGGGCAGCGGGGCCAGCTCTAGGCTGTTAAGATCACACATGTTTTGGGTGGGAGGGATAGTACAGAGGTAACCCCATCACCACCACCACATACGGTTCCCTGAGCCCCCCAAGGAATGATCTCTGAGCGCAGAGTCAGGAGACAATCCTTAGCACTGCCAAGTATGGCACAAAAAGACAAAAAAAAAAATAAGAACTGCGGAGTGAATCTGAGGTGTTCTTGGCAGAGCATGTCTGCGCTGTATTTCTTTGGCAAAGAGCATGCTGAGTGGAAACCACTGCACCCGCCCTGAGCGAGTCAGACGCTGAGTGTGAGAATTATGAAGGAAACGCTGCTTTCCACAGGGAGGGAGGGGGTGTCCCTGGGTGCTGGTTAAAGGGGCAACAGGGAAACAGGCAGGCGAGATTAAGGAAACTGGCCCTAAGAAAAGGAATTACTGATACAGAATATCTCACGGGTGCTGTGTAATCTGGATGACGGAGACTGTACTAAAGACCAGAGTGATGAAGTATCAGGAGATAATCATCTCACCCTTTTCTTTTCTTTCTTTAAGCTTTCTGGGTCACACACTCAGAGCTTACTCCTGACTCTGCACTTACTCAGAAATTACTCCTGGTGTTGCTCAGGGGACCATATGAGATGCCAGGGACTGAACCTAGGTTGGCTGCTTGCAAGGCATGCGCTCTACCTGCTGTACTATCGATCTCAACCCTGTTTTAATGGCCCACAGTCTTGGAACACAATAATAAAAGAAATGCTGGCCTGCCTCCCCAATCCTTTGGTTAAAAAGGTTTATGCTAAAGGGGAAAGGGTTCTCTCGTAAATCCTTTCGTGTATTGTGTGTCACACCCAGTGATGCTCAGGGGTTACTCCTGGCTCTTCTCTCAGGAATTACTCCTAGCCATGCTTGAGGGACTATATGGGACGCCAGGGATTGAACCTGGGTCAGCCTCATGCAAGGCAAACACCCTAACTGCTGTACTATCATCTGGCCCTCTGAAATTCTTCTTTAGGCGACCCCCTCCCATAATCTAGAAGCTTCCATGCCTTCCCTTCAGTAAGTAAAATCTTTTTTATTTTTAAGTTTTTTTCTCTTTTTGGGGGGGGGGAAACGTCAGGAAGGTGGCACACCCAGTGATGCTCAGGTGTGTGACTCCTGGCTCTGTGCTCAGGAATCATTGCTTGTGATGCTCAGGGGACCATATGAGATGCCAGGGATCGAACTCGGGGCAAATGCTCTACCTTCTGAACCGTCTCTCCCACCCCCTGAAATAAAGTAATTTTAGATTCCGGCCGGAAAGGTGGTCTCTGGTCCTTTGCTTTCAGTCTCCACTGCCGGAGCATCCCTGAGACCCTGAGCATCCCACTATCGCATTTCCACTTCAACGGCCTCTAACTGGTGAGCTCGGGGCCAAGGGAACAGAAAAGCCCTGGTGAGCTCGTGCAAACGCGTCTAGGCTAATAAATACGCCAGCAGGGCGATTTCGAGGCTACTCCCCAGGAGACAGGGAGCGGCTGCGTCCACCCACGTTGTTCTTGAGGTCGGCGCGGGAGCCGCCCAGCAGGAGGACGCGGGTGCTCTGGGCGTGGCTGTTCTGGCAGGCCAGGTGCAGCGCTGTGTTCCCGGCCTAGGAGAGAGGCGAGAGAGAGCAGGGGCCACGTTAGCATTCTGGTTCACAGGTGGCACTGGCAAGGGAGGCTTGTGTGGAATCCCGGCACAGAGGCAGAGGCTCCCCTCCATCAGAAAACCCCTCTTTAGCGGGGGTCCTGGCAGCCTCAGCCTTGGACTCCAGACGATAAAGCAAAGCCCGGCGCGGTCAGCCCTGCCAGCCGCCCCAGGCTGCAGGCACTGACGCAGGCGCCTAAGCAAGGGGTCCCCAAACTTCCTTGGGCTCCTGGGAATCTGCTTTAAAACTAAACAGGAAGCCCCTCTTCTCACCAGTGCTCCAGCTACTCTGTCCCTCCACCATTCCAGTGCCCCCTACCTCCAGGGGTGGTATCTCCCTGGAGAACATTCTCTTTTTTCTTTCTTTATTATTGTTAATTTTTATTTTGGTTTGGGGGCTACACTCAGTCGTGTTCAGGGCTTACGCCTGGCACAGGCTCAGAAATCAGTCCTAGGGGTGCTTAGTGGACTCTGTGGGGTGCCAGGAGGAGAATCTGGATTGGTCACCTGTTAGGCAAGTGCCCAGCCCACTTACTATCTCTCCAACCTTTTCCTTCCTTCCTTCCTTCCTTCCTTCCTTCCTTCCTTCCTTCCTTCCTTCCTTCCTTCCTTCCTTCCTTCCTTCCTTCCTTCCTTCCCTTGCTTGCTTTCACTAAACATTTCCTGAAGGTGACGTTAAGTTCCTCCAGGAGCTTATGCGTCCTTCCCGCCCACCACAGAGAGACCCGGGCTGAAGAGATAATGCAGGGGTGAGACGCTTAGCTGTGAGTAGGGCTGGAGTATAGGCTAACTGATCTCAATTTGAAGGTTTTTTCTTTCTTCTCTGGTTTTGGGGTCACACCCTGCAATGCCCAGGGCTTACTCCTGGCTCTTCTTTCAGGGATTACTCCTGGTGGTCTTGAGGGGACCATATGGGACCTGGGGAATCGAACCTGGTCAACTGAATGCAAGGCAAGTACCCTACCTTCTGCACTGTCTCTACCGCTCTGCTTTGTTTTGGGTCTCCTGTGAGGGAGAAACTGATGCCATGACAAGCTGCAGCAAAGATTAAGTCTCAACTAGGCCTCAGTTTCTGTTTCCCCAAAACAGGACTTGCAGTTTCTGGTAAACTCACAGTTGAGTAATTTGCCTAGATAAGGAATTGGGCAGTTGGGTCACTGTACCCTCCTTAGAAACTGTTATTAACTGTTACTGAGGAAACTATTGTCTAATTGCTGACCACTGTTGTAATAGGACCAATGCTGAAAAAAAAAAAACAGTATATAAACTGCTTCTTAACTCTGAACCCTATACAAACTGCTTGTGATTTGGAATCCGGGTCCTTGTCAAGACTCCACGGATTGGATGAGGCTTGGGCCCTAGCTCGAGCTAGCGCTGGCTCGGGCTAGTAATAAAGTTCCTTTGCTTTTGCATTATTGTGTGTGGACATGGTCTCTCCCCAACTGGGGGATCTGAAAGTCGGGCACAACATCCCAAGAAGTGCTCAGAAGGACGAGGGCTCCTCGTGGAGTTACTCAGGCACACTGCCTGCGGGTCACTGCAAGCACACACAGATGAGGTGCTTACATGGGGCTCCCCTCACAGTGCTGGGATCCAAGTGGGACCAGACACTTGGCACGTGCCCCTCCCCCCTCTCTGCTATCTCATTGCCCCACGAAGAGAACCCTTTGAGATTGTGGGATTAGGGTCTGCAAGGCTTCAGATAACTGCTTTAAAAGTAGTAAGAAGGACCAGAGTGATCAAACAGCAGGTGGGGCATTGGTTTGCCTTGCATGCAGCTGATCTGGGTTCAATCCTTGGTACCCCACATGGTTCTCCAAGCACTGCTATAGGAGGGATTTCTGAGAGCAGAAATCCCTCCTATAGCAGTGCTTGGAGAACCAGAAGTAAGTTCTGAGCACTGCCAGATGCGGTCCCCAAGCAAAACAAAATGTAGTTAAGAAAACCAGCAGCACGAGAGGTTGATGGGGACCCAGCCTAAACAATGCACCAAGCACCCAGGTTAAATACATGAGCTCAGAGGTATGCTTCAAAAGCTGTTTAGAGGAATATTGCTCTCGAGTCCGGGGAGGGACAGATCCAAGATGAAGGGAGTGGCCGAAACAGGGCTGGTTTCCTTATTCACATTGAACCACTGGGAAAGCGCTGTGAGAGGTGGGTCTTTAAAGGAAGCCTCCCTGGGAAGTAGCTTCTTCTGCCACGGAGACCTGTGTTTCCCATGTGGACAGTACAGTTCACCAGTGGGGGCATGAGACCATCTGCAACTGGTAGGGGAGTGGGGTGCTTTCTGTTTATTCCCTTAAAGAAGGGAAACTTCCAGAGAGCTGCTGAAGAATTTTTTTTCTTTTTGTTCTGAGAAGCCACATAAGATAGGGAGTCTCTGATGTATGTTATGCTCACTAAGGAGCATAACATTTGGAGCATTCATTTGGAGCATTCATTTCTCCTGCCAAGGATTCCTTCAGCCACAAGAGAGGTCCCCCAGGTCAGGAAAGCTTCAGAATCTTGCCAGTGATGGGGAGTCCCAGCACCTGTCTGGCCTCACCTTGTTCTTGGCAAGCACATTGGCTCCGGCTTTAACGAGCAGCTTGGCTGACTGGCTGAAGCCATGCCAGGAGGCTTCGTGCAGAGCTGTATTCCCATCCTGCAGAATACACGTGGAGAGAGAACACACATCACCCACCCTCGTCTCCTGATCACCCAGCAGCAGAGAGCCTACATGTACTTTGCAGGGGTGGAGTTGCCTGGACTCAAAGGGACTGCAGGTCACTAAGGCCACACCAAGCCATATTCAGGGCTGCTGTGTGTGTGTATGTGTGTGTGTGAGTGTGTGTGTGTGTGGGGGGGGGTGCAGTACCAGGATTAAATTCAGAGCTGAGTTCAATGCAAAGCATACACTCTAACCCTGGAAGCTATCTCCCCGGTCTCTCCTAGTACATACTTTTAGGGCATACCCACAGGGTCTTTCTCATCTCAAACACAGCCAGAAATATCAGTTGAGAATTGAGTTTCTTGGGGCTTTCCCAGAAAAGGCATCTATAAGCACTGTCAGGAACTGGTTATGTTCAAGCTGTGCTTTAGTCCTGTGATGGACCATGGCTGGATGGCATGAGCACTTGCTTCTAGCTGAAAAGCCAGTTCTAAGACCTGTCCACAGCTCACATTTAATAGGAAGTGACATTAAAGTGGTTTGATGGAGGAGAGCCAGAGAGAAAGTCTTGCATGTGGCTGACTCTGGTTCAAGCACTGCATGTGATCCCCCAGCACTGCCAGGAGTGATCTCTGAGCACTGCTGGGTATGATCCAATAACTGGGGGGTGGGGGGAGTCCAAACAGAATCTGGACTGATTTGATCATGAATAGATAACTAAAGATAAACTGTGACTGGTGAACAGCAGGCAGAAATGATACTATCAAGAACACTCAGAACTAGGCTGGAGTGATAGTATAGAGGGGAGGATGCCTACTTGCATGTAACCAACCCACGTTCAATCTCCAGCATCCCAGATGGTCCCAAAAGCACCACCAGGAATGATCCCTGAGCACAGAGCCAGGAGTCAGCCCTGAGTGTATCTGGGCATACCTGCCCAAACAAACGAGAAATTTACAAGTTCTTAAAGAAGAAAAAGTGACCCAAGGTGACTGGCTGGGGCCACAGTTCTGTCTGCAGGGGGCTCAGGCTGTGTCAGGCATGCTCCCTGGGTACCTGGGGAGTACGTGCACTAGGAGTTTGCCCCAGAGCACAGGAGGGTGTGGCCCCCACCCAGCAAACAAACCAAAAGGGAAGTTCAGAAGGTGGCTGTCCAGCTGCCACACCCCATGTCACCTTGTCTTGGCGGTCCAGCGCACAGCCGTCCTGGATGAGTGCAGCGACCACATCTGTATGTCCCACCACTGCAGCCCGGTGCAAGGCTGTCTGATCCCCCTGCAGCCGACACAGAGGCAAAGAGAGTGCTGAGACACCCGCACCACTCGCCGCCCTCTGCCAGGGGCTCTGTCACCGCCCACCCCCCCACCCCATGCTCAGCAGGCCACTCAGTCTGAGAGGGGAGAGCTTGGGGTGCATCTAGGAAGAGCACGCAGAGGACCCTGGCCAGCCCACCACACCCGCACTGCAGAGCTGGCCTTGAGGGACCTGTGACCTTGCTTCACCTCAGAGCCAGCGGTGCCATCTGGTCACATCTGGGAACAGCAGGACCAAGAGCCGCCCTGGAGACAGCTGGACCAGCAGGACCTGGAACTTCCCTCCAGCCCTCTGCTCTCCAGAACTCACCATTCCTGAGTTGCCTGATTAGTCCTGGTCAAGAGTCATGGACTAGCCACCAAGCAGCCCCAGAACCACTTGGCAGAGCCAAAAGAAAGCCCTGAGCACTGCAGGGTGTGGCTCCGAGACCTCTTAGCTCTGCCAGCATCTGTACCGTTTCCCGCTACCCAGGAGCCATTCTTCTGGGCACAGGCTCCTGGGCTCACAGGTCTTCTCTGCCCAGTGGGACACCAGCTCACCCTGTTTGCTGCTGCCCAGAGAGCACTAAACACTCGCAGCAGGCGGTTGGAGCTCTGAGGTCATCTCAGAGATGGACACAGGGAGCTAAGTGAACACAAACAAGGCTCCCCTAGGGAGTGGGGCAGAGTGCAGCGAGGAGTATGCCCAGGATGTGGGGCTGGGGAAGTGAGCCCTGAGAGGCCCTGACAGAAGAGATGCCCAGGGCCCAGCTGAGTTTCTGGGTTCTCACCTAAACGAGGGTAGGGGTGGGGTGGGGTGTTTCCCTTCCTGCCTTGGGTCTCTGTAATTTGATTGGTTGAAGTTGAAGTTGAGCATAAACAAGGTTTCCTGGTGAAACACCAGAGGGACAGGGAAAATAGTGCCGTCAAGAGATGATCTGAGAAAGGAAAGCAGGAGAGTTTTGGGGTTTTGTTTTTTATTTTTGACCTGGAGTTGTTTTTTTTTTTTAACTTCCATGTGCAGGTTTATTATCTAAAATCAGCAAAGTGCTGCAAAGACTGAACATAATAAAACATTTTATGAATAACTTTAATTCAATAGTTCCAAATGTAATTGAGCTTATGTAGAATATTTAGCAGAATATTCTAAAAACTAGTAAAGAACCAGACTATTTGCTTGACCCTCCATTTGAGAAATGTCCAAAACACTCAAGAAAATGGTTTCACAGTATCATTAAAATTAAAGAGTTAGATCTAGCCATACTATTTTAACGTTTAACATTCTTGGCTACTAGACACATTAATCTAAGCAGCCATATTTAAAAGACAAATCCCTGGGGTCTATAGCCATATTTACAACTGTATGTGCTTCAAAGAGAATTTGATCCATAGTAAAATTCAACAAAAAAATCATCTGAATAGGTAAAGTCAATAATTTATATTTTATTTTTGATGGTTATAGTTGAAAGCAATTATTTAGAAAGAAATGTTTTATATTTAGTTCTATCTAGTGGAAATTTTCTTGAAAAGTCAGGTTTTTTTTTATAATTTATTTATTTATTGAATCACTGTGGGAAAAGTTACAGAGCTTTCGGGTTTAGGTCTCAGTCATGTAAATATCAAACACATTTCCCTTTACCAATACTTATTTTTAACCCCGAACCCCAATAGACCCCCACCTCCCACCCCTCCCAATTCTTGTGAGGCAGATGAGTTCTAGTTAATACTCTATCTAGTTTGACTAGATAGATTGTTTCGATAGAAGATGCACAATTATTGTTTAGAGTTTACGACCCACCCCCCACAATCAGATATGCTGAAACAGCGTTGTGAAATGATTTGCTTTCTACAACTTGGTTTAAGAATAAAATGATGTCGCGGCCGCGCGGTTTTGAATTTCTGCTATTTTACTTATTGACCCTGGAAGAATTTCTATTAAAAGTTAGATAGTTAAGAGATTGGTTTCTGTGCCCTGGAGTCGTGGCCGTGCCGGAGAGCCGCTCGTGGGGGGCAGCTGGCGACCTCGGTGGGGCGTGGGGGACGGCCCACAAAGCCCCCCTTCCCATGAGGTCCCTGCCGCTCCCGCCGAGCCCGGCTCAAACCTGCTGTCCACAAGGCTCCCGTGCGGCCGCCATCTTTCTTTCCAGAGAGGAGCGGGCGGGCCGGTCAACACCCTTTCCCCTCCGTGACCTGGAGTTTTTGAATGGGATAAGCACCACCAATAAATAATCTTAATGTACATGACACACACACACATACACACACACACCAGATACAAAACACAGAAAAAAGTGGTTGAAACAATAGTGCAGCAGCTAAGGTGCTTGATGTGCACACGATTTGACCCTGGTTAAATCCCCGGTACCTCATATGGTCCCCTAGAATTGCAGGAGTGATCCCTGAGTGCAGAGCCAAAAGAAAGCCCTGAGCACTGCAGGGTGTGGCTCCAAGACCAAAAAAACAGTCAACCGAAGAAACAACCTTTATAAAATGCTGTTTCTACTCACAAAATCTCCCTGGAATTGTGAAAACAACATACATGAAAAGCACTTAATTTGAAGAACAGTGGAATGGAAGAGCTGGTTCTAGAATGTAAATGTATTCAATGCCTTCAAATGATACTTTAAAATGTCAAGATTGGGGCTGGAGAGAGTACAGTGGGTAGAGCACTTGCCTTGCACTCAGCCAGCCTCGATTAGATTTCCAGTATCCCATCTTGGGACCCCAAGCACCACTAGGAGTAATGCCTAAGTGTAGAGCCAGGAGTAATCCCTGAGCATTGATGGGTATGATGCCAGCTAAAACAACCCCCCCTTCCACAATGATCAAGATAGTCAATTTTATACTATTTTAAAAATCACAATAAAAAGCACTGCATCTTTTTTTTGTAGACTTACAAATTTTGTGCTAGGGTTTCAATTATACAATGATCAAATACCCATCTGTCCACCAGTGCCCATTTCCCACTGCCACGGATCCCAGTATCCCTCCCACCCCCCATCCCCCCCAGCCCACCCTGCCTCTGTGGCAGGGCATTTGCTTTTGTTCTCTCTCTCCTCTTGGGAAAAGCACTGCATCTTAAATATCAAATTTACATTCATAAAATATTCTTAAATCTCGCTTTAAAAATCTAGGAACAGGCTGGAGCTATAGTACTGCAAGTAGGGCACGTGCCTTGCACGTGGCCCACCTGGGTTTGACGCCTGGTATCCCTTATAGTTCCTTGAGACTACCAGGAGTGATTCCTGAGTGCAGAGCCCGGAGTAAGCTCTACGCACAGCTGTATGTGCCCCCCCCCCCACAAAAAAATTAGAGGTGGAGCAAGAGCAATAGCACAGCAGGTAGGGTGCTTGCCTGACATAACCATCCCAGGTTCAATCTACATGGTACTCTGAGCCCACCTGGAGTAATTCCTGAGAACAGAGCCAGAAGTAAGTCCTTCTTGGCACTCATTTTCCTAGTTCCTTCCAATCTGTAAGGTCAATTAACCTTATGACAGATCTTAAGAGAGATCAGGTGTTGGCGCTACCTCCTGATGACACATCAAGCCGAGGACTCAGCACACTGCCAGTTCTATTACCCAAGAAGCATTTGTTGAATGATGGACCAGGAAGCAGTAGATGGAAGAAGGCTGCAGTTAAAAAGTTAAACTGCCAGCGACCTTGCGGCTTGACACTTTCATTTGGAACCTGCTGGCCTGTTAGCATCAGTGCCAGCTCTCAGTTCTTCTAAGACATCAGTATTGCTCACTTTGAGCTTTTAAAAGGTTTGGCACATTTGCGGTCTAAATAACTGCAGTGAAATACATTTAGCTTCCTCTCCTACATAGTGAGAAGAGTGGCCCCAGAGTGGGAAGCTGCCAAAGCTGAGCTCAGGGAAGAAACAGCAGCATACAAGGTGGGATATACACCCTGCGGGGACAAAAGAGTGAGGGGGGGTAAGGGTTCCCCAGGTGCACAGATGCTTAAGACAGCTTAAGTAGGATAGGTGTGTAAAACAGATTGCTCACTCTTTCTCTCTCTCTGATCTTCTAGGATTCTCTCCTGCCTTTCTTTTCTGTTTTCTCTTATTTTTTTCCTTCTTTCATGCTTTCTACTGTGACCCCAGAGTCCAGGACTACATTTGAGGTAGAGGCCATGTGACTGCTCATTAACCAGTCAGAAATGGCATTAAATCTCCAATGGGAGTTGACAGAATTGATGGGAAGCAAGAAGGAATTTACTTCGAGAGTTGCTTGTTCTAAAGACCCCATTTCCACAGGTGGAAGTACACTGGAGGTCATTCTTCAACTAATTCTCATGTTGTCCTTATCATGATAGAACAATATCTGTGGAAAAGGAAGCTAGCGATATCATCTTCATAAAATTAACATTCTTAATTTCTAACTTGTCACCCAAGTAAGGTAACTTCGAAAAGGATGTTTTCAATAATCTCCCAACTTCCTTAAATAACACCCTTAAAGAGTTTCCATCCTTGAAATCTTGCAAAAATTTCAAGGCTGGTCATCAGCACATGGTAAATATATAGATGACCGCCAGGAGCCATATTCTGAGGGATGTATTACTTCACAAGACATGCAAATTTAACTGTACCTTCTCCATTCCCAATTGTTTTTACTCTTGGTGTGTTTTGTTTTGAGTCATTTGGGAGAAGCAATGTATGCAATTCTTTATCCCAGGCAATCAAGAGATGCAAGTCAACAGTTGTGATAGATGAAAGGGGTGTTTCAGTCTAAAAATAAGAGCTGGCTTTCCTTCTGCTGACAAATCTGCCCTTATGTCCATGGTGAGCGCTCAGGCCTGCTTTACTTCCTCTTTCCTGATACAAATAGCAGAAGTTCGAGGCAGTTAGCATGGCCCTTGCTGCATGAGAACTCAGAGTTCAAGACCTGAGGCAAGAATGCTGAGTTGGGATATCTTCCTGGAATTGCCATCTTGCCTGTGTGGTGAAAAGGACTTAAAATATTCAAAGAGAAGACAAGACACATCCTGACAAGTCTGTGCCAGCAAATGGTGCCCCGCCTTTTCTGGGTCAGAGTCTCTGTGTCAGAGTCCCCGTACCTGCACTCCTGTCGTCTAAGGGTACTATTATACCGTATAGTCAAGGATGTTTGGCTTTTGTTTTGTTTTGTTTGCCACACTCAGTGATGCTCGGGGCTTGCTCCTGGTTCTACACTCAGGGATCACTCCTTGTGGGTTTAGTGGAATCATATGGATGCTAGGGATTGAAGCCGGGTCACTCACGTGCAAGGTACGAGCCCTACCTGCTGTTTTATCTCTCTGGTTCTGTGGGATGCTCAGTTTTAAATGTTATAAATGTTATGGCCACAGGGCAGGAAAACAAAAGCATCATGACCCAAGGTAGACATCAACAGCTTGGTGCTAACTCAGCAGCTTTTGAAAATAATATCCCTGATGACCCAATAGGTTCCAAATATAACTAGAGATGTCTGAAGGACATGGGACAATCTTCCGCCTGTGGAGAAATCAATGACATAGTTATTCATGGCAAATGCTTTACTTTTTCTGTTGTATGTGACACATTTTAGGACCAAGAAAATGACATTTACTTTAGGACCAAGAAAATGACATTTATGTTTCCTGTTGTATGTGACACATTTAGAGAACCAAGAAAAATGGCAGCTCTGTGATAACCTGCACCATAGCACAAGTGAGGGTGTCATGTTTGGAAATAGCATATAATTAATTATCAAAGAAGAATCTGAAGGGGGGTAGGATCAGATGCATCATGACTCTGTGTTCCTCACAAAAGTCCTTATTTCCTAGATTCCTACAATGTAAATTAGGGCTAGAAACAAACTTTCAGAAGATAATATTGATCACATTTTCATGGGACTTTATCTTTTTTTTTTCTTTTTGGGTCACACTCGGTGATGCTCAGGGGTTACTCCTGGCTCTGCACTCAGAAATTACCCCAGGCAGTGCTCAGGGAACTATATGGGATGCTGGGAATTGAACCCGGGTCAGCCACATGCAAGGCAAATGCTCTACCCAATGTGCTCCAGCCCCAGGACTTTATCATTATAGCTCATTGGAGGAATATTTATAATTTGTCTACATCTACTTATTTTTGTTGTGGGGGTGTTTGGGGGGCCATATCTAGCAGTGCTCAGAGGCTATCCTGCTGTTTTGATGGGAAACTATCCCCACACACTACATGTACACGTGCCCTTTGGGCTCTCACCTGAGTCCCTACATCTACTTCTTAAAGTTATCAACCTTCCTCAGAGACCCATCAGGGCAATCAAGCTTCTTACAGGACCCCATGCCAGTCACTGTGGTTTGGCTTAGAGATAGATACTTGATCTCAAAGGAACAGATCAGAAACATTCTATAGAAATTCTGAATGAAGAGATTCAGAGGCTGAGTGTGAATAACAGCACTTCTCCAGCGTGAGCCCTGCTCAGAGGCTCCTTTCCTTGGGTCCATGTCTGCTATATTTTGGAGTAGGTTCTTTTTAACAGAGTGGAGGTTAAGAGAATTCAAGGTGAAAAGAGGGAAAAAAGCAAGATTTTCAGCCCCATCTTTTTTTTTCTTTTTCATTTTAGGTTTTTGGGCCACACCGTGGGGTGCTTAGGGGTTACTCCTGGCTCTGCACTTAGGAATTACTCCTGGTGAGTTCAGGGGACCATATGGGATGCTGAGGATCAAATCTGGGTTGGCTGCATGCAAGGCAAGTGCCTTCTCTGTTGTACTTTCTCCAACCCATCAGCCCCTTCTCTCCTCCAGGGACTATCCTAGTGAGCAACACACATCGTCAGCAGGAGTGGCCCACACGTGTGTGTGTGTGTGTGTGTGTGTGTGTGTGTGTGTGTATGTGAGAGAGAGAGAGAAAGAGAGAGAAAGAGAGAAAGAGAGAGAGAGAGAGTATGCATGCACATGGATATGTGCCTCCAAGCAGAAAGGACACAGGCAAAAATCCTACTGAGGCTCAGTCCTGTAGTGACACTAGAGAGAAAATGAACCATGATGGTATTATGATGGAAATTTATTATATGTATCTTTGATTTTACAATTGGTTTATGAAATATACTGTTAGAGATAATTTTGCTTGTTGGTGAAAAAATTTAAAGATGCCCACCCTGTCTGCACTTGGGATGAACTTCCCCATTTCAAGCTAAGAAAATTCCGATTGTAGGAAACTTCCTGTAGCCATACTGATAAGGTGCCATGATGTGCGTGCGCCCCCACAATTCTGGAGCATGAAGCAAAGAAATGATGAGTTTGTATGAATGTCTTTAAAAAATAGGCTTTTCTTCAATTAAAAAAATAAAAATAAAAGGCTCTGAGCTTTGTCTAAGGTTTCGGGTGCTTGCCTACCATCGACCCACTGATCTCATGAGCCGGTGAAAATAAAAACCTCCTTATACTCCATCCACAGCCTGTCTTGGCATGCTTGATTAAGAAAACTCCCTTCATAACAATGGGAAATCCATGCCTCACGCCCACACTCTGACTTAATACTGAGAATGGGTTGCAGGGCCCACAACTGATGTGAAAGACACTGGACAGTTCCTACTGACCTCCAGCCTCCCGCTGACCACATTCTGTTCTGTGGGTTTCTAGGCAAACACGCTCCCCAGTTGCCCTCAATCCTTTTACTCACATCATCCTGGACATCGAGGTCACAGCCAGCTTTCAGCAAGATCTGGACCACAGAGAGATGGCCCTTGTTGGCAGCAAGATGCAGGGGGGTCCGGCCATGCTGTCAAGACAAAACAAACCCCAATTTCAGAAGAAAATATCTAGACCATCCTGGGGTCAGGTCTGCATATGGCACTCCATCCTGGGATATTGACAAGGCATCAATAAACAAACCCGGTCAACACTGACTGTCTCATTAGCACTCCACGCTCACCAGACTAATATGGAGGGTATTGAATGAGAAAGGGCTTTTCCTTTCCCACAGGTGCTAATGTTCAGGGCTGTCAAAGCAGTTACAGTGAATCTGATTGGGCAAGAGATGGCAGAGCACCAAAAAGGGAGGGAGAGAGAGAGAGAGACAGAGACAGAGACAGACAGACAGACAGACAGAGACAGAGAGACAGAGGGGGGAAGGCAAGTGCCTGCCACAGAGGCAGGCAGGGGGTGGGGGGTGATGGGAGAGAACCTGGGGACACGGTGCTGGGAAATGTACATTGGTGGAGGAATGAGTGTTGGAATAGTGTATAACTGAAACCCAATTACGAACAGTTTTGTAAGGGTCTCAACCGTGATTCATAAAAAGAAAAGAAAAAAAAGGAAAAGATGGCAGAGCAGCAAAAGATCAGGTTATCAGTCTCAGAAAAATCTAGTGAATAATTATTCAAAAGAGGCTCTATTTTGTAGAGTTGTAGGGTGTTGTCTTGCATGTGGCAGACTCCAGTTTGATCTCCTGCACCACATACGGTTCCTCCAAATTCCACCAGAGACAGGAGTAAGCCCTGAGCAGAGCTGGGGGTGGCCAAAACACTACCACCCCTGCTGCCACCAAGGTTTAGTTCCTGGCATCCCATATGGTCCCCTCTGTCCCCACTATGAATGGTTCCTGAGCACTGCTGGGAGTAGTTCCCCAATAACCAAAAAATCAACAAAAACAAAACCCAAGAAAGCAAGATAATTATTCAAAATTGAAACCGCTGACTAAAGTGATTAGAATTGATTCTGTCTCTATTTTGTTTGCTGTTTGGGCCAGACCCAGCAGTGCTCAAGGGCTATTCCTGACTTAAGACTGGGGGTTACCCTTGGCAGTGCTTAGGAGATCATGCAGTAACTGGAGAGGGGCAGTCAAACCTGAGCCAACTGCAAAGTATGCACTGCAGTCTGCCGAACCAATGCTCAGCTCGTTCTCTCAAAAAAATTTTTTTATTAAAAAAATATTTCAGTCACTCAAAACTATAAGCAGCACCTTATTTGAAGCAAATGCTAGAGAAACTGTGGACATGTTTTGGTGACCCCTCCTACCACTCATTTCTCTCCAGCCTCACAGGGAAAAATACTCTCAAATCTCCACATTTGTCATTTCTTTGCCTTTTAGCACACATTTTTAGTACATGTGTGAAGCCATAAGCAATACACTAATATTGTTTGACTGATTTCCTTCTTCATTTTTAGATTTTGGGCCACACCTGGCGGTGCTCAGGTCCTGGCTGGGCCCTTTGGGATCATTCCTGGTGCCTGGGGGACAGTACATGGTGTGGGGATTAAACCTGGGGTGGGTTTATGCAAGGCAAGTGCCTTCACTGCATCACTGTCTTCCTATTGTTCATCGATTGCCTCGAGCAGGCCCCAGTAACGTCTCCTTCGTCCTAGCCCTGAGATTTTAAAAAGTGCCACATTTGAGGCTCTTTCAGGGTCAGGAGAACAAGACCCATAATTATTACTGGTTTTTGGCATATTGAATACACCAAGGGGAGTTTGCCAGACTCTGCCATGTGGGCAGGATACTTTTGGTAGCCTGTCAGGTTCTCCAGAGTAAGAACTAGATGATAAGATGTCCCGCAGCCACAAATGCAGCCGTGCGCTTCAGGGAACAGGGTTTTATAGTCTCTGAGTCTTGGCTGTTGATGGGATTACACAGTGCCGGGGGCAGTTGGTGGGTGTAATGCTTACATACTGGAAGATGGTGTGTGTGTGTGGGGGGGGGGGTCTGGGTGGAGGAGGCCCCAGTCCCAATCTGAACAGGCTTGGAGATCTACGCCCCGGGTGCCGAACACCTGGGTTCCTCAGCCGCTTCCTTCATGCGTCAGGATCATCCGAGGCAAGTGCCTTATCTGCTGTAATATCACTTCAGCCTTTTGACTTTCAGATCTACACACATCATACTAAACTGCACAGTATCATTTGGTATTTTGGGTCTTTATTTGAAGGTGCATTTCCTATCGTCTCTCCTTGCTGCTAACGAGCACAAGGGATGTGGAATCCACTTGAGTCCCTTCTCCTACTCAATCCCAGCGGGCAGCGCAGGCCTGTTGTAGGAATCGTGATTAGACACTTCCCATCGCCTTAGCTCCCAAAGCAGGAGCTGAGGCCCGACACCAGGTAGACACACCGAAATGACTCCAGAGCAAATCAACTTCTGTCTGACAAATGACCTTGCCGAACAAAAGTCTCCAAACTCAAAAGGAAATACAATTATCCCTTTGCTTCATCCCTCAAGGCCCCATTCCAGCTAAAATACACCCCTCAGCAAAAAAAAAAAAAAAAAAAGTGCCATGTGATTTGAAGTCCTTTCCGCCTCTAATCCAACTGCCCAAAGTTCTTTTTTTTTCTTAAATATCCTCGTGGGAAGAACCCTTCTACAATGGTCTCAGCCAAGTGCCTGGGTGCCAACTGCCTCTAGAGGAAACAGAGCCAATAGACAATAAAGGATCTTAATTTTTACCCAGAAAATGCAATGAAAGTACTCACACGTTTCTGGAAAGAAAGAGGTCAGGGCCTGCTTTAAAATTAGAATTCTTAATTAAGAAAAAAAAAAAGTTACTCCCTAGAATGTGTGCTATAAAAAACCTTCATAAAAAGGTTGCAAGACAGACTGACCTTCCCCAGCAGGTGGGGGTGCAGTGGCGGGGGTGAGGGGGTGTCCTTAACCTTGAGCCTTTTTTAAGGAAACGTTGATTAGATGGTACAAATGTAGCAGCAGCATCCATGCACGTTTCTGGTCCCCAGCTACAGCAACTGCATGTCCTTATTAAGGGCACTGGTTAAGTGACCTGCATGAGGTTTCTAAGACATCCCTTCTTAGCTAATTTGAAAGGCCACACCCAATATTTTTTTCTTTCACTTTTTTTGGGTCACACCCAGCGATGCTTAGGGGTTATTCCTGGCTCTACACTCAGGAGTTACTCCTGGCTGTACTCAGGGGACCTTATGGGATGCTGGGAATTGAAGCCAGGTCAGCCACATGCACGGCAAATGCCCTTCCCGCTGTACGACACACCCAATATTTGCCCCCAGTGGTGCTTGGGGAACAATAGGGAAGGCCCCATGATCTGACCCTTTGTACCATCTCTCCCAGCCCACCTCACAGAGAAGGGCATCATGGCTGTGAGGAGAAAGATGTATGTGTGTATGCTGTGAGAAGGGCTGGCAGAGTGTTTCTAAGAAATCTGAAAGGACATTTGTAGTGAGGAAAAGTAGCCTCGAGAGAGACTGGGGGAGGAGTCACCAGCTGTGGAGTCCCTGGTGTTGGGGTCTGGGGAGACCCACGGAATAAGCTTAGCAGCTACCTGGTCATAGTGGTGGAAAGCTGAGGCCCACGAAGGCCAAGGGGCTTGCCTAAGTGGACACATATAATCAGAAGGCAGGATGACAAGGCCCAGCTGTGGCACAAGTCACAGGCATAGCTGGGTGAACACAATAGATACTGCAAATGGCTGACAAGAAGGACTGGACTTCTTGCCAGCATCTTCCTGACCTGAGTCAGTGGAGCATCAAGAAGTACTTTGGTCTCGTCTCCATGCTCTGAGGATCAGAGGAACATAGCAATGGGGGAAAGACTGCATGGAACATGCATTGTGGAAGCAACAATGTGCTCTGGCCTAACTCAGTTATCCTCAAGGACCCATTTAAGCCACCTCAACATTGGATCCTGGTGGGGCCAGAAAGACCCATAATAATGAGAACAAGAGTAAGAGGCAGAACCGGCTAGCATCAAAGGATGTAACTAAAAACAGGAATATTGTATGAATGTTACATGTTTGCTCATTCAGGACCCCCCCCCCCCCCCGCCCCAAAGACCCTGTGGATGAGATATCATTTTGGTTTCATTTTCTTTCATTGTGGAATCAAGCCTGGTGGCTCAGGGCATACTCCTGGTTCTGAGCTCAACAATCATCCCTGGTAGGCACTATGCGATGCTGGGGTTTGAGGCAGGGTTGGCCTCAGGCAAGGCAAGTACCTTAATCCCTGACTCTCTCTGACCTGGCACTACTATTAAACATACTTTACTTCATTCATTTTTTTGTTTGTTTGGTGGCAACACTTGACTTTGCTCAACGATCACTTCAGGCATGGTACAGGGAATAGGTACATGGTATAGGGTGCTAGGGATCAAACCCAGGTCAGCTGCATGTAAGACAAGTGTCCTACTCAAGTCTCCTGCCCCAAACTTACTTTATATGTGCAGAAACTAAGGCATGTAGAGATTCATGTGTATGTCCAACAGGTCATTCAGGTCTGGACTAACCCTTATGCCTGGCCCTGCCAGGGTTCCTTACCCTTCCCACTCCCGGCTGTGCAGATTGTGGAGTGCCACTAAGATGATCCCTGCAGAGGGCTCTCAAGAAGTTTCAAAAGCAAACCCTGAAGAAGTCTCCAAGATTCTAGGGGCTGGAGCAATGGTATAGGAGTAAGGATCTTGCTTTGTTTGTGTCTGACCTGGATACGATCACTGACATTCCATATAGACCCCAAGCCTGCCAGGAATGATACCTCAGCTCAGAGCCAGGAGTTAAGCCCTGGGTACATCTAGGTGTGGTCCCACAACAACAACAAAACAAGAAGGGGTTGAAGCGACAGTACAGTGGGTAGGGTGTTTGCCTTGCACACGGCTGACCTGGGTTCAGTTCCCAGTGTAATTCCTGAGTGCAAAGCCAGGAGAAATCCCTGTGCATCTCCAAGGCTGGTCCAAGGCATCATTATGAGGCCAGAGACCTCTTTCAGAGTTTCCCCACTCAACTCCGTGGAGGACCCAAGAATCAGTTGTCATGCCATCTTCCAGGTGAC